AGTTTAATCTAATTTATTTAAAGTATAGACCAGGTATTGTCTGAATGCGTGTAGTATACATTTAAATAGGGCACAGATAATGGTTTAAAACGCGATAAATATTCCTTGATTTGGATGTTATGCAGTGGCCGTCGCCACGGTGAATCATGGTCACAATATATTAAAACTTTCACGTTTAAAACCATTAAAAGTGTTGATTTCTATTTGGTAGATTGAATAGTATAATTAATATTATATTTAAGTATTCCATGGTTTTGGTAATTTCCAGTTTCTGATAGACATAAGTTGTGTATCGGATTTGCCTGCCCCATGTACGTCTTAGGAGATTTTACCTCTCGTGCTCTTGAAGTGGTAATTTGAAGCAATTATTAATATTATTCTCAACAGCTTTTAAATGGAGTACTTATGTATTTATCTAAACTAGATTACCAATAACATTATAATTTACGTACGTCATCGCCATTATGGTCCGTACAAAATAATGTTGTATGCATACATCGATGATGAATCATAAAAATAAAACGTGTGTACACATAAATTAATTCGCTTTCAACGACACACAAACATGGTCCTTAAAGGGACTGTGTTGTCATATTGTATTACGTGATAATTTGGTTCGTTGTAATCCTTATATCACTTCCTGACCTGAACTTACAGACTATTTGAGTACTAAAATGTGTGATCATACTGGATTTATAATGTTATTAATTTTATTTTATTGGATTGTCATCTAAATTAAATGTGTGTACCAAATTTCAGATCAATCGGACAACGGGAAGGTGCTTAAATTTCAATTTCTAATTTTGACCCAAATAAATTCCGTACGGGTCGAGCTAGATAAAACTTTTAAAATCATCTAATTGATGTTAAAACTCAATTATGACATATGAGCGCTTATAACTTTATATTATCTCAAGTGTACTCTTCGTGTAATATACACGAAGAGTAAACTTTGAATAAAACACTTTTAACGGTTTAGAACGCAATACGATTTCTGTACGAATGGAAAAAGCATCAGCATTACGTTGGATCGTCGTCGAACATCAATGTACTTCTTTGTTTCACGTCGTACCATATTTAATGTCTTATTTAAAAATGGCATATCATCCTCACAAGTAGACAAATTGTTTTAGATTTTAGGGCTACTCAATGTGCTCTACCCGACAGGGGTAAATTTGACAACTTACGAAAATGAGATATTTTGTGAAAAGCAGAGCTATTAGATATAATTAAGTAATGACTGATATACATTGCAACACTGAACATAAAAATATTTATCAACATTGCTATTAACGAACATTCTGAGACTAATTAAGTTTATGGAACACAAAACAAGTTCCGCGCTTAATGAAGGTCATTCTCAAAATTATGTAAAACCTAAAATTCTCAATTAACATATTTGCACGCTTGAAGGAAATTGTTGAATGTGTTTTTACTAGATTTATCAGGGCAAACGTCATCTCTTGAGTCATTGGTTGGATTTTGTATTCCGAACAGGATCTAGGAAACTAGAATTGTGCTGGTTTAATTTACTACATACATAACTTAAACTTAATTAATTTAGTTTGAGAACAAATGTATGCTTTTAAATGCTCGCTGGTCGAATCCTTCTCTGTTTTATGTAATGTGTTTTAATTCATAGTGTGTATCGATATTGCTAGTTAAGCCTATTTAACTTTTGGAATTATTTGGGTGTCATATCGTAAAAGTTACATTTTCTAATCCTTTAATGTACTAATAATGCTAATTCTAAGATATCCATACTAAAATAATATATAAAGGAAATAAAAGATAGAATAATACTGTCTTTAGTTTACGCGAGTAATACACATTTTAATAAAACACTTTAACGGTTTAAAACGCGATATATTAGTTAAACTTATTTGAAAATGATTTTTAACTTCGGCCCGACGTTCCAAGGACGTCATTGGACGAATAGATAGAATCATGTTTTTTTAGGAACAATTGTAAGATTTTTTTTTCATTTATTTTCTTTAAACTTTTTGTTTACATGGTATGTAGTTCTTAGATAGAATCATGTTTTTTTAGGAACAATATGTAAGATTCTTTGTTTTCATTTCAAGTATTGTCCCTCTATAGAACCGTGGTATGTAGTTTACACTAGTTGTAACCATGGAAATATTATTAGTAAGAAAATCCGACACATGGGGTAGAGGTTAAATTTTATTGTCTAATATATTCCACTTTTCACCCATTGAAAATGTTGTATTTATTGCAATCTATACATTTTAGTAGATCTTTTGTCTCAAAGGCAGAACAAATACTTAACTGTCGATATCAAAGTACTGTTGTAATTAAATAGGCGATTACCTACATCATCTTAGTTACCAGCCCACGTCAGTCATCGAGGTTACACCATCATCTATAGCCGTTGTTATTCTGTCATGTTCGTCACCTTCGATCATCGTATTTCCTTGTATTCGCAGCCAATTCTAATGATGTTAAAATGCAATAGACAACGCTATAAAGCGTTAGTTACACTGTAAAGTTACTTTCACAAACCTCTTTATCAAGTAATTGGTCATCTTTTCAGAACCTATTATTGCATGTTATACAAATAAAATTTCTTTTCATTATCAACTACAACAAAATCTACACAAAAAGTAAAATATTAAATTTAAGAAATCTTTATTTTTATAACACTTGCATCTTAATTGAAAATTATTCAAAAAACTACTCAATTTAATTAACTTACATAATAAAACTAACTTAAGAATAAGATGAATTACACTAATTAATCAACCAAGAACAAAATAAAAAAAACGAGGAGTACAATTATTTAATAGTACCTCTTGTATTCGCAATATTACGAAGTTTAAGATGATTTGAAAAAATATATAGTCGAGCAAAACCATATGTAAATTATTATTATTTAAGCCACCCGCGTATATGTATACGTAGTTTTTTAAGTTCTTTTATTGTGTAAATCTCATTATAAATGCACAAGCTTATGAGAAATAAAGTCTATAAACCTAAAACGTGTATATCTTGGACCCTTAGCGTAACAGCAACATTAAAAAATATATATGTGTAATTAAAAAACAGTATTTGCTTAATAAATAATCTTAATCAAAAGCCTAAACCATTGCTTTAGCCATATAAATCGTCTGTCCATTTTCAATTTTCATTCTTACTCGAAATTATAATCAAGTTTCAATCAAACTTACCCTATGGGCAATGACGAAACTATAGGGTGGCAAGTCGGCAAAATGCCACGGGCCCCGGCCCGAAGGGGCCCCCGGTCAGAGGAAATCTCAATTGTTGGTTCAGCTTCTTTATATATTGGGGAAGTGGGAGGGCCCATTCGATGAATTTGCCACGGGCCTCGAACGGTATAGTTACGCCACTGCCTATAGGTATCGAACTCTAATTCTATGATTCTCACATATAACATGTATAAACGTAATTATGTGAGGCATGGGGAACATAAATCTACTAGCTAGTCAGCGACTTCGTCCGCGTAGAATTGTTATTTTAGGCATCCAACATTGTTTTTGCAAACTGTCCCGTCGCTCGCGACCCGTCGTTCTTGCGAGTTCATCTTAAGAGATAGACATATAGCGTCGCGGACTTTTTTTTAGATCATTTAAAGAGGAATCATTCTTTATACATATAATTTTCAAATTTCTCGTTGTATCTCCGCTTGTATCAGTCACAGGGCGATGTTGTATAGCCTTCCTCGATAAAGGAACCAATTCGAGACCGTAGTTTCTGAGATTAGCGCGTTCAAACAAACAAACTCTCCAGCTTTATATATTAGTATAGATATAGATGAGTCCGGTTTACTGACCGATTTGATAAAGGTAAGACGATCAGGACCGCCTCCGTAGCACAATGGTTAAACGTGTTGCCTAGCATTGCGTTAAACGTAAGTGGTTTGAATCTTGGGGAAAAAGAAAATTGTTTCGGAAAAAGTTTGATCAACTACTTGCCTGTAAATAAAACCGAGCAGTGAAACGGACATAGAAATGTGTTTGCCCTATGCCCCACAAGGGAAAACGGGATTTCACATATTTCACTCAAGATGACCAGACCAGGCTGTAATCTCATCGGGCTTCAAACCCAGGAACGGTTGAAGACAGAGGCGGTCCTGTAACCACTATTAATTGCTTCTTTGGCATTTAATTTTGTTGTGTGTGTCATTTAATTAATCAGTAATCCTTTGTTTTGTAGAAAGACTGCGAACATCGTCGCTCACCCAAATGTTTTTATCAAATCAATAAATAATATTAGCAATTACAATCAGTAATTATTAAATTAATAATTTAAAAAAACGTTATTGTCCTTGGCAGAAATAGTGTTGTCTGGTTGTGGCTCATAAACAATTAGGACTCCTACACTACAATGATTAATAGGCAAAACAAACCCACTGCAATCATATACCAAGTTATAATTTGCATCAACATGTGCAAAATTATTCGATATTATTAATCTGTGTGTGCTTTAAATTGAAGAAAACTTAACGAACTCTTTGGTGTATTGGTAGCAATGTTCGGCTAATAATCTAAGGGTCCTGGGGTTCGATTCCCACCGCATTCAATTTATAATTTTTATGAAAAACGTTGGAACTGCGTTTGGAAAGCTGAAGCTGAAGCTATTAAATAGATGGTAGGATCAAAATTCCATCCGAGATGAACCAGCGTCCGCAGATGAAAAAGTCGTGAATTTAAATCACATTTCGATTATCGAATATCTAAAGGCAAACATAGGACGATAGCGCATCTTGTTTAGATGATACAGACGGGGGTATTTCACGTATGCTCGTCTGTTCACCTCTATCATTAAAAAAGATATAATGACTATAAATATAATTTGAAAATTTCAAAGTTTTTGAACTTTGGCATATATTTTTAATTTACATCTAATGTATGATATTATTATTATAATACTGCAAAATTAGTTTCAATAGTCGCGGGTTTCAATCCTTACTGAAAATTAATCAATATAAAATATTTAATATACCACTTTTTTTATTCCAGATGTGTGCGTACAGTGCATTAGCTGCACTGGATAGCTACAGCGCACAGCAGTACCCAGACCAGTTCCACATTCAGACTGATGAAGATGATGAAAGGTATTTCCTGTACCAGACTCACAATGGCCAATACAGAAAAGAACGAAGATTGAAGGATGGCTCTGTAGTGGGTATGTGGTGTTCTTACCCTTATTTTGTTTAAGAATAATGATTAATGAGAGATTTGTAAAACTGTAATATTTTTACATGTTATTGTACTTGATGGCACTTTATAAATTAAAAATTTAGCTACTATTGTCTAATTGATTAAAGCAACAGCACGTAACGCTGCAGATACCGGTTCAAGCCCTGTAAAAAAAATACTACCCGGCGTAATTGTTTCAATTTATAATTGATTTTTAATTTACATAATAAGAGATCCTGATTCCCCCGGGACACGGATCTTTAGAAAATAAGACTTTGAAGAAGGATTTGAGATTAACAAGAATATGACACGGACAGGACTCAAAATCGACCGTGTTTCGTGTTTACCGGTTAAGCTACCATGTCCCATCATGACATCATAATCGATTCAGCCGACTTCAGCCAAAATTTGTCTTCGACGGATGTTTGTTTATTGTTTTGAATTATTAATGTATGTACGTAAAGTGACATAACACAAGCCTAATACTTGTAACTCTATCTCGATATCAACCGTAGCTTCTAAAACGCGTCATTTAGTAAGAAGCTAGTGTTGTGTAGCATGAGTCACTAGCGTTATATTTTTGCATTTCCAGGAACCACAGGCTGGGTGGGCGCTGATGGTTACTTGCGGTTACAAGACTACATAGCTGATGACCAAGGTTACAGAATATATAAGTCCAAAACAGTATACGTTGGTGACCATTCCATTGGAGTAAGTATGAGTTATTTGATATACATCTTTAAACAAAAGCATACTATATATAAGGCTAAGTATTTCAAAGTTTAAACGTTAATTTTAAACATATCTAACGGCTAGTTCTACATGATTTGTTTTAAGTTTTGCGTGGTACGTAAGGATAATATTATGATAATTAAGTGCAATAACCTAAGCGTATCTTTAGGAAACTAAGTATGTAATTAAATAATTAGCATAATGAACTTAAATTTTTCTTTAAGACGCAAAAAAAGATGTTAATTTCCTGCTTACTATACTAGCAAAGTACTAATAATATTATCTAGTATAAATATAATCATAAATTTTTTATTATCTTTTCTGTTTTCAGGAGTCACTAAAGATCGCGAAAACAGCACCAACGGACGCAGGTTTTAACATCACACCTGCACCAGCAGCTCGGCATCCACATAGAGGAACACCACGATTTAGTACCACCACTAAATCCCCTATATCTCCGTCTTCAACGCTAGAACCACCCAGATCTTATCCTGATGAAGTATCAACCACTCCATCTCCTTATGTCCCATCGTCAACACCTCGCGTCGAAGTGTCTCCAAACTCAATTGACTCCTCGACCAATTTTGATTTCCGACCTACTGTCCCACCTATTACTTCCGACGAGGCAACATCTACTAATCCTTATGATTACGATGGAACAAATACAAATACAATTGACGGTTACTATGGCAGTGATAGCAGACGCTACGACGTCTACAACCCGAACTCTTACAGACATGCTGATGCTTGGACTCAGAGACAGCGGCCTGGTCAAGCGATAGGCGATGGCTACACTCCCCAGTTCCAAGGGTATGACGGTGTGGCGTTCAGAAAGAATGGCTTCCGTTATTACCTTCCTAAGCAGTACCATGAAGAACAGAACAGTAATTCTAATGAGAGAACGGGGAGTTTCGGTTATGTAGACCCGTTTGGTATCCGGCGTGTAATTTACTATAACACAGCACCGGGTCAAGGATTCCAAATTAAGAAAAATAATAGATATGTGGGTCACGATGCGACGCCCTATGATCCTAGACCGATTAACTAAATTAATTGTGATTGATATAATGTAGTTACCACCTGATCAGTATTTATAAGAATTATAATTGGTAGAGACAAAACGATTGATTCTCGAACGACCTCTTAGCCATAATACTTAGAGTTATGTAATCTTAGAGTTACTTTTTATCTAATTTATTAATACTTACTGATTATATGGCGCTGTTATATATTTATTTAACTGTTTCAGGGCACAAATAAGCTTTTGTCTGATAAATAATTAATATTGCATTTAATGCAAATACTTATTGCTTTTCTAGAAGTTTCCATAATGTATAAGTAACCAAAGAGTCCATTTACATATATATATAGGGCTTTATATTTGATTTATTTTACGTATGTATCTTGTTTAGCTTATCAGTGAAATATGTTATTGTGAATAATTTGTCATTACCAATACCGTTTACAGAATTTTAGTAAAAGTTATTCGCGAATCAAACGGAAGTAATGACGTCTTGTTCCAATAACTATGGGAAATATGGTAACCATACTATTTTTTAAATGTTTTTGTTTATAACATTACTTTACTTCTTTTTACTATACTATTATAAACTATTCCTGTTAAAACGAGTTGGGAATTGTCTACTTTGATATCTAATGACTTAAGCAAAATAGTTAATCAGGTAATTATTTTTCAATGTAATTAATTAACTTGCAATAATATAATTATCTACATGAGGCAATAATATAATGATTTATAAAATGAAAGTTTTTGCAATAAAAGGTCCTGTTTTTGATTTTGTCACTCAGAAAGAAATGAGCGTGCTAAGGTAAGCATTGCTTTTCTAGAATCCCATAACTCTTCTAGTTTTAATTCGTTATTAATTTTTTATTTTATTTCAGGTAACATTTTCAAAATGAACTTCTTCTGCCTTATCTTATCAGCAATAACGATTGTTTTGGCGGATGTTGACACAAATTACTCGAATGATTTTAGTAATTTCGACGGACAAGAAGCGCCTACTTTGAAACCTGTTGAGTTATTATCTGCTAACAATGACAATAAGAAAATTTCAGAAGGTCTTAAGTCAACGGTGTCATTTAATTATAGGCAAGAGAGGACAGGGCGTGTCCCTCAAATAGAGGCCAGAAAAGAAAATATTCAGCATTACTTCCGAGTGCGAAGACCAGTAGAAAGAAGAAAAATATTTCATATTAGAAATGACCACAGATACCGTGGAAATATAAAGTCACTCCGTGATGATATTACTCAACCACTCGTTTTGGAGAATACAATGACAAACGAAACGCCAAAAAATGCCATTACTGGTGGTAATAATTCAGAGAATTTGCCCGAAATTATTGAAATTGTTCAAGGTGAAATAATACCGTATTCACAACAAACATCTGGTGATATGAAACCAACCAAGTTAACCTCAAATCTTCCGGAAGCAAATATCACTTACACCATTGCTCCCGTTAAAATTAATTCTGATAAGAAAGAAGAAACACCTTCTTTTGAAAGGGAATTACATAAGGAGCTTTCTTCAATAAATAATGAGTCAGAAAAATCATCGGAGGAAGGACAAGCAAATACAAATGAAGATGACACAAATAGCTCGTCAGATGGGATTAATGATGATTTTATTGAAGGAAATCCCGTAATACAAGATGAGTCCAAAATTATAAGTGATTCTTTCAATAATAGTGACAGAAACACAGATAAAAATAACTCAACACCTGACTTTGAAGTCGTAATAAAAGCGAAAATATTAGAACAAAAACCATTACCCCGATTAAGGTATCGCGGTAATAAAAAGTTTACGTACAGTGACGAAGACATACCGAGTGTGGTCATAAAAGAAATATCCGAATCAGGTGCTATACCTGTGGAAGTTTCCCATGAATTATCCAATCTGAACAGTGCAACAAATATTCCACAAGAAAGCAAGGTCGACGATAGCACTGAAGTCTCAATAAATGAAGATGCAAATAAATATGAAAGCAGTTCACCAGACACAATTATTACTGACATAGAAACAAAGAGCACTTCAATAACTCCATTTTCTAATACAGACTTAGGATTTCAATCAGAAAATAAACCAATGCCGAGTAATAATATTTATGGCGAAGATGCACATGTGGGAGATGTAAGTAACGAAGACTCCACTCCTGTTCAACTAAATTTGCCTACAGCATTTAATCCCGAATTAAATTTATCTTATAATGAAGAAAACAGTTCCTCAACCCCTCCGGAATACACATCAAGTACTGAAAATATTGCACCTTCACCGGCAATACGTATGCGTAGAAGAAAACTTAGAAATCGTAAAAGACTACAGTCACAAATAACAGAAGCAGAAACTGAACTTACTACACCTGAAAGGATATATCCCGTGAGAGAGATAACTGCTTCTGAAATTTCAACACCGAAATATTATGAAGACAACTTACAACCCACATCACAAATCCCAGATTCTAGTATAGATACAGAACAGATTGCTGCTTCCACGAGCTCCTCAACAAACTTATACTCTACGGAAAGGGTTACTACACATAATAAAAAAGCACATAGACGTTTCCGTCCAAGGCAAAGATTTAGTAATCGTCATACTATTAGTACACTTAAACCGTCTGAAGATTTAGATAAAAGCACAAATGGTCCAATTATTGAGATCATTGGCATTTCTGAAATTCCATATATCACAAGGTCCACAGAGTCGCCATCTCGCAGGCATCGAGGCAGGACGAAATATAGAAAATGGAATCGAAACAGGAATATCATATCTACAACACCTTACGATAATGAAGCACACTCTACTACATCATTATCCACTACTAAGTCGACGATTGAAGATGGAAACGCACTATTGGATTTGAAGTCTGGAATTATAGAAAATCCTACATATAGCGACCAACGAAATGAGCATTCTAGACGATTCACTAGAAAAAGATTACATTTGCGTCCAACCGTTGCAGAAGAATATACAACTACGTCACAACCACCATTTGTAGAGCCGATTGATACGACAAATCGTCCGCAACGTCGTATGCGATATCGCAATAGATTTAGAAGAATTAAAACAACTACCCTAATACCTGTTTATAACGAAAACCCGATAGAAGAGGAAGCTGAGGCAGATGGTACAACGATAAACAACGAAGGCACTTCTCAGAAGAAGTTAAACGTCCAGAGCCCTCCGCCACCAGTACCTACTCTATCTCCATGGTTCGATGGATTTGGAAAATAAAAATAATTAAATATTTCGTGTTACTAAACAAATGTTAATAAAACAGCGTTATGTTTTTAACCGTTTAATATAAAATATTTAATAAATGATATGAAATATGTGTATGTCTTCTTTTGTAAAGGGTGTAGTAGGGTCTTCATTCACAATATTATTTAGCCATTATAATATACATTAATAAATATGCTTAAATTTTGGCCAAAAGGTCTTTATGCACTCAGATAAAGTCGTTACTATATTACCAAACGACTTAAGGTAGTTAATTGGAAAAATCTAATTATAAGATACTAGTGGCCCGCCCCGGCTTTTGTCGGGTGCAATGATGATACTAAATACATAATAGAAACATTGTGAACGTGATGTATAAAAAACTTTCCTATTGAATCACTCTTTCTATTTAAACAAAAAAACGCTACAAAATCCGTTGCATAGTTTTAAATAGGGACAGAAAAAGCCACTTTGTTTTATACTATGTAGTGATGATGAATCAATAAATAATTCAGTGTTGTTATATCAAAATAACAAAAGAAAAACCAATGTTATAGTATTTTTATTTATAACACCCAGATACCATGTGTATTTTTGGTGATGGCCCGCCTAGGAAATTGGAATTGTTAGCGATAGTTTGTCTACACTCATGAAAGAGATGTCGTTAGTATACAAAGAAATTTGATGGGTTATAATCTTGATACGATTAAAAAACAACTTTGAAAGCAATAAAAAAAACCCAATTTTAATTTGATAATATATTATTCTTGCCGATTTATGAATTTAATGCATGAAAAAAACAGTAGACAAAATATTATAACGAACTTTTTATTATTTAGTACGTTGATTACTCTAAATAATTGTTATAATCTGCGTATTCGGGGTATTCGGGATAATAAGAAGTCCGATAGAAAAGAGGCCGGTTGAAGGGCCACCGAATTGGGAAAGAGAAAGGCCACGACGGTAAATACGAGAATATGTTTGAGAGAAATGATGGCCATTTGAAAACAAAAGGACTACTTGCTTCATCGTTAACTTGTTCGGGAATAAATTGAACCGGTTCATTCTCAAAACCTGCATTGTTGTTGTATTCATTATTTTCCTCTACAAAGTTCGGATTGGCAGATTCCTCTTGTTGTTGTTCTTCTAAGTTTTCTCTTTCTATCTCTTGCTCTTCCGGGTTATTTATGTCAGTTTCTTTATTTAGAGATTCTGGCAGGGGTGAAATTAAGGGAGGCACAGGTGATACTCTATCGTTATCGTTCTTGTCTTCACCACTTGCTGATTTAACGTGAAATTGGTCAGAGATTTTATCCTTTGTGGGTACTATATCTGGTTTCTTGGGCCGCTCTGTTGATGGCAATGCGGCGACACAAGCAAGGAGCCATAAGACTCCGACAATATACATCTAAAAATAAAATTGTTTTAATGAAACGATATTGTTGTTTACTATTATAAATAAATTTGGAAAAATTTAGTTATTAATTATTTTTTCCAAAACCACCTATATTGCAAATACTCCTTACAATAAAAAATATATGACGCAAAAAGCCAAAATTTTCCTCTGACAAACAAAATTATCTTACCTTGAGAAAACTCTATTTTCCAACAAGATATTAGGTTACTGATTGAATCGCCTGTGCCCTGAGAATTTTATAGAGCTATGATTATAGAATCGATTTAAAAGATATTATACTATAATTAACATCACAAATCGTCGTACAAATAAATCTAGAACATATCTGCGTTATTTAAATTAAAAGTTTTGAATGGATTTTGTTAATAATATACCTACAATTAAGATGATATCCTGAATAAAAATACGTAAAGTATATGAGTCATGGCTTAGTTATTATCTATACTAATATATAAAATTGAAGAGTTTGTTTGTTTGAACGCGCTGATCTCAGGAACTACTGAGTATTTAAGAAGATTATAGGACGGAGAGTTGTTCCCAATAGGAGCGAAGAAACAGCGCGAAATGGGGAAAAAACGGGAAAAAATATTCATATTTGTGTGTTTCCGATGCCGTTTTGCACGTTGCAAAAACGGCTCAAGATACCCAAAAAATATGTTTGAAAGAGTGAAACGATCTCTTTAAATTATCTAAAAATAAGAAAATATAAAAAAAAGTTTGCTACACTGTATATCTATTTTTTAAGATTAACTTGCAAGAAAGACGGTACGCTACCGACGTCGTGATAGGTTATAAAGATGAAGAGATTTGAAAAACAATTTTTGTATGCCCAAAATAACTATTCCTCGCGAACGAAGTCGCGGACACAGCTAATATTTTATAATTAGTAATGAATAATTTTGCTTTTAAATACTTACAAAATATGTTTGATTGGGGCAAAGACTAAACTAAAACCCTCACTCATTATATAAGCTGCATAAACAGAAACTGGTAACATTACATGATTTAGTAGTTAGGTTATGTAGGTCTCATATAATCATGGTTTTTTGATTTGTTGTAGAAATGCATTTTCAAATGAACTGTGAGGTTTCGTGAAGTTTCCAGTGGTTCTTAAATTGGGTACAAGAATCCAGATTTTTAAATGTCTTCGAAATTTTAATTGACCAATTCAAAAAATGGTGTAACTCCGAATTGCAGATTTTTATTGAACCAAATCTGCAATTCGTTCTTGCACGACTATTAATTACTATATAAACTTCAGAATATTTAGTTCCCTTAGTTCTTTAATGTGTATTAAAAAAAAAACAAATTGTAGACAAAACTTCATTTAATAAGCCATGACATTTTACTGGGACTTCGACTCTTCAGATTGTGCACCAGGTGCAATGGGCTGATGATTGTTTTCTACGTGGTATCCGTCGATCCCAGCAGTGAATTTGGTAATGTAGAGTTCACCATCGTCGCCGATATATGAAACTTCACCCTCGGTGATGAGCACGTAGTCCTTTCCATCAGCAGTTGGTACAAGACGGCCACGTTCAGAGACTACGGTTCCCTCAGCTGTGACGTAGCGAAGAGCGTATTGTCCAAACTCGTCATGCACTTCTTCATGCTCCAGCGCAGGTAAATGACGCCGCGCTAATATTTCGGGGTTAACAGTGGTAGTGGGTGCGCATGTTGCTGATACCACGAGAACACAAAGAACCAAAACCTGAAAGCACGAATTAAGTATTTAGAAAAAATTATACTTCTTAGCTATTTGTTTGTTTGTTTGAACGCGCTAATCTCAGGAAGTACGGGTTCGTATTAAATTGTTCAGTTTGTGTTGGTTAGAGAATTAATCGAGGAAGGCTATAGGCTATAAAACATCGCGCTGTGACTAATAGAAGCGAAAATACAGCAGGAAAAGTGAACAAAATGGGGAAAAAAGTTCTTCTCTGTGGGTTTCGAAAACGTACGCTGCGAAAACGGTTCAAAATATGTATGAAAGAATGATTCGTCTTTAAATGATCCAAAAAAAAGTCTATGTCGTTATGTGTCTATCTTTTAAGCTTAACTTGTAATAACGACGGGAAGGGACGCGCTGGATGTTGTGGCTAACAGCTTAAGTTTATAAAGATGACGGGGTTTGCAAAAACTAATACATTAATAAAAAAAAATATTAATACATAATAACTTATAAACTCACCACTTTCATGTTGATTGTTTTGGGGCCCGAACAATGATGTTGATACAATAAAGGCAATATTCAATATGATATGCAACTAATTTAGGTTGCCATATTTATACCAAATGTTTGTTACATTAATTAATTAATAGAGAATGATGAAACATTCCAGAAGACCCGTAATTATGTAATAAGTAATCACTTATATTTAATCAATATTAATATTGCAATTCTTCTAATTTTTTGGTCTATTAAGTAATAGTTGTTTGATAAGTCTGCGAAACACATAGACCCAATAAATACATACACATAAATGCCGAAATACGAAATAAGTCGAGAGAATAACTTAATTTATGGCAATATTTCACCTTCCATCAATTGAACAACAATATGCTAAAGACAAACCATGTCATAATTTTGTTATTTTGTAATTTTTATATCCGTTTCAATTTATAATTAAAAACTAAATATAGGTAATCCACAAGACAATAATACTTTTGGTCAAACAGTCAACACCAACTTCATTTATATCAATATACTTATTTACTTACTAACCTATTCAAACAACACAGTTTAATTTTACTCTAATATACTCGTATAAGGTAATAACAATAAATGGAAGACACAAAAACGGGGAAATGTCTTCCCCGTTTTTTGTGTCCATCGTATTAAAGCGTGTGGATTCTTTAGAGAGATTATTTAATTAATTTAACAAAATAAATAAATATTTAATTTACAATCATATTTAATGAATAAATATTTGACTTAACGAATGTTTGAATTGTATATATTGTATTTAACATATTTTTTATTTTGACGTCAGAAACACCCTCCATCTTTATTCTCCCCGTGACTACGTCCGAAACGTCGGGCCGTAGTTGAGATGATTTTCAAACAAGTTAATATATACATCACATTTTAAACCGTTACAGTGCTATATTTAAATTGTATTTAATGTTTTAATTTAATACGCATACATATAATATTTGAAAATTAAAAAATTGTATTATTTGAATTGTCCTGTGACTGTGTGTGACTAGAACCTAACGCTTAAAGGTAACCTAATGCTTATCTATCTATCTAATATATAAAATTCTCGTGTCACGGTCTTCGAACTTGATCTCCTCCGAAACGGCTCGACCGATTTTGATGAAATTTTTTGGTACTTATCCGGTATCTATGAGAATCGGCCTACATCTATTTTTCGTCCCCCTAAATGTTAGGGGTAGTCCACCCCTAAATTTTTGTTTATTTATTTTTTAGACAAAAAATTTAATTTCTATTTTTTTTATGATACAACATACAAAAATACATACATTCCTCAATTTTCACCCTTCTACGATCAACCCTTATTTTTTAATAGCCATTTTAGTAATTTAATCATTTTTCCTCTCCGGTCGAAAACTGACCAATCGTCATTTAATTAGTTATCCCCGCCAGATGTCTACAGGTGTCACTTCATTTATATGACAAAACAACGTTTGCCGGCTCATCTAGTACTAATATATAAAGCTGAAGAATTTGTTTGTTTGAACGCGCTAATTTCAGAACCTACTGGTTCGAATTAAAAGTTTTGTTTTGTTATTAATTGTATACAATAAGAGCATTTATCAAGGAAGGCTATAAAGCATCGCGCTGTGACTAATAGAAGCGAAGAAACAGCGAGAAATGTGAAAAAAACGGGGGAAATAATTTTTCTCTCTGGGTTTCCAAAGCGTACGCTCTCCCTCGATAAATAATCTAACCAACAAAAATAAATATTTTTTCAATTCGAACCCGTAGTTCCTGAGATAAGCGCGTTCAATCAAACAAACAAACAAACTCTTCAGCTTTATATATTAGTATAGATAATAAGTGATGTTTTATGTGTACCATATAAAACATTAAACTTGTGTTAACAAATTAAATTTTGCATTCCCTCGTAAGCTATTGTTTTGTAAGCTTAACATAAAAAAGAGTGATTATATTTCGTCATCATCATTTATTTTCAATATTTTATAAACACAGACTTAGTAAAATTAAACTATGACATAACTAGGATACCTAATGAGGGGCTGTTGAAACACTGGAGGACCTAAAAATGGCGAATAAATACGATATAACGATAAGGGAGACAACTGAACTAGGAGCGGTGGCTGATACTCTCTACTGAGAAGAACGGGTGGTGCCGGGATATTGCGCCACGCTATGGGTCTTTTATACTCCAAATCATCGGGCTCTGTAACTACTACTGCTTGACTGTCTTCAGCTACGGATGGTGGTGGTTCTGTGAGCGATTCTGTTTCTGGTGATACCGAGGTATTATTTACGACATTTGTGCTTGGCGTCACTTCGTTACTAAAAACAGACTCTGTAACATTATTGCTTGGATGTGAATTTTCGTCAAGGCCAGCGTCTATTTTGTTCTGCGCCTCTTCTAGGAATCCCAGGTCACCTCTTTCGGCAGTATCTCCTTCGTTTACGTTTTCTTCATTTCGAAGCGTCGCTGTTAAACTATTTATAGGAGGTAAGTTACTTTCACTTGAAACTAAATCCGATCGTGGCTTTTTAACCTCGTGGCCTTTAAGGATTTCTGGTGTAACATTACTAGCTTCATTTTTAACGATACTTGTAGGCAAGCAATCAATAATTGCTATAAAACTCAAGGCTAACAATGAGTGCATCTGAAAATAGAAATTAATTCTAGAAGCATACACCTTATATCAAATTATATCATTTAAGAAAATAAAAATAATATTATAACAGTAACGTACCGTACACAGATTAATAGTGACCAGCTTCATATTAGGAGAGTGAAATAATAACTGAAAGCAATACGCAATCTAATCCTTTATATATAAAAGCTTTGGTGAATAGGGTGGAGATTCGATAACATTTTTAACGATGGTTAACTAATGAGCTTATTATTGTGTTAAAAAAATATTTTTCTCATACTAATTATGATAATTACAATAACTAGTAAAGAATCGGCATAGTAATAAAATTAACACAAAATAATCAATATTTTTTAATAACATAACTTTTGAAGTCAATATGTATGTTTTGTGCTCTTTGGTGAAATGGTAGCAATGTATGGACAATAATCAATTGGTCGTGGGTTTGATTCTCACTGGGTTCCAATTGTAATCAATTTATAATTATTCTAAAACACATTTGGACTTTGTCTGGAAAACTGGATATTATGGGTGGTAAGAATGCCGAAATTTCCGGCCGGGTCACGAACCACCGTCCACAAATGAACAAGCTGTTAACTAAAATCGCATTGTGGTTACAGACTGTGGATTTCCGAATAAATAAATAAAGCCAAAATAGGTTGACAGTGAACCTGGTTTAGGTGTCATATGACTGGGTTACTACCGTCTTTTCTATCCTCGTATGTATCTATCCTTTTATACTAATATATAAAGCTGAAGAGTTTGTTTGTTTGCATGTTTGTACGAGCTAATCTCAGGAACTACTGGTTTACAAAAAATATTTTTGTGTTAGTTAGAGCATTTATTGAGGAAGTCTATATATAGCCTATTTCTCGTTGTATCTTCGCTTATTTCAGTCACAGGGCGATGTTTTAGCCTTCCGATAAATGCTCCCACCAAGAAACCAACAAAAATAATGTATTTATATAACAGTTTAAATTTAAATAAAACACTTTAACGGATTAAAACGCGACATATTAGTTAAACTTATTTGAAAATGATTTTAGTCTCCCCGTGACCACGGCTGCTGCAAAACATCCGAAACGTCGGGCCGAAGTTAAAAATCATTTTCAAATAAGTTTAACTAATATATCGCGTTTCAAACCGTAAAGTGTTTTATTTAAATTTAAACTGTTATATAAATACAGCCTACGATCAAATATTAATATATTTCATTTTAATATAGCTAAGCAAACTACAAAGACAATTTTAAGTAAACTTTATTTTAAAAACAACGTACATAAAGGTTTTTATTTCAGTACCAAAATTTTAGCTGACAAAATACACTAGATTTTTTTTGCACTTCTTATATGAAAAACTTATAACGTTGCAAATTGGTCTAATAACTCTTAACGATGAAATAAAAATCATAAAATATATTTGGTTATTTAATTATTTAAATATACACAACTAATACTGGAGAATCAGATCCATAAACTTATACAATTGAGCAATATCCATCCAGATTCTAGATAGAACTGTAATTCTAGATACAATTTTCAATGGCTTAATGTAGGAGGCGCTGGAATATTGAATTTAACAGCTACAGGCTTCGCTACATCATTATCAGACTTAGTTACAATAAAACGTCTACCATTCGCTCTATTCCCATTAATTTTATCTAATAGGACTTTTCTACCCTTGTGTAGGCCTGTTAAAGATGCAAAGCCATTAAGTGTATTAACCTTATTTTCCAGTGAGGGTGGAACGGGAACCACCCATTTAACTGGTTGTTTTTCTTCGACAATAATTACGGATTCTTTTACAATTTCCTCAACTTTTTCGTTGGCAGACTCACGGTCTGTGGGATATTCTAAAGGTGCTTCGGGTTCTTGAACAGTTTTTTTACTAATCTCTTTCCAAAATAATTTCTCCATATTTAGGAGACTCTACATTATCTTCATGTTTCTCGTTTATAACTGATTCCCATTGAGCTGGAACATTCTTGCTAGTTCTTAGTTTTTCACTTAGTACGGGTTTCTCGTCGATGACTTCTTCATTTCTAGGGGTAGATTCGCCGTCCTTATTTACCAGTATGATTCTTTTTTGTCCGTTTTCGTTATTCGATACTTTATTTTCTTTTATCTTTTTAATAATTAGCGTTTCGTCGTTTCGAAGAGAAGATAAGGAAGAATATCCCGAGGGCAATGTTATGGAATCGGCGATCGACGGCGGAGCAGGTACATTCAACCGCATTGCAGGTTGTACTTCTATTTCGGTGACTACAGGTTCTTCGGTGACTAGGTTCTTCGGTATTGATTTCTGTCCTAGTAATATCAGGTTGTTGGCTTTCACTAGTAAACTCCACAACCTGCTTCGGTTCGTAACGTCTCCTTTCATGTATAGTCTCAATGAGAGCATTTTTACTGTTTCGTAGCTCTGACAATGACGAGTATCCTGAAGGTAAAGTAATAGTTTGAGCAATTGAAGGAGGCGCAGGAACATTCAACCTAACATTTCGTTGTTCCTCATTGATTATTGGTTGTTGATTACCAACTTCTGGTTTTGGGGTAAGAGTTTTCTTCGTCGTTTGAAGGTACGACAGTTTCTCCTCCTTTCCTTTATTCGATGTTTTATACTCTTTGACTTTTTTAATAATTAGTCTTTCATCGTTTCGAAGAGAAGATAAGGAAGAATATCCTGAAGGCAATGTTATGGAATCGGTGATCGACGGCGGAGCAGGTACATTCAACCGCACTGCAGGTTGTACTTCTTCTTCGGTGACTATTGGTTCTTCGATAGTTATTTCGGTCCTTGTAATATCAGGTTGTTGGCTTTCACTAGTATACTCCACAACCTGTTTTGGTTCGTAACGCTCTCTCGCATTAGGAGCCTCCGCCCACGGCGGGAGGGGGCCGGAAATTCAACATAAAAATTCGTTGTTCCTCATTGATTATTGGTTGCTGATTGCCAACTTCTACGGCATCGGGGAAAGATTTTTCTTCTTCGTTTGAAAGTACGACACTTCCTCCGCCATTTCCTTTATTTGATGTTTTATATTCTTTGACTTTTTCAATAATTAGCCTTTCGTCGTTTCTAAGAGAAGATAAGGAAGAATATCCTAAAGGTAATACTATGGAATCGGTGATTGACGGCGGAGCAGGTACATTCAACCGCACTGCAGGTTGTACTTCTTCTCTCGGTGACTATTGGTTCTTCGGTAATTATTTCTGTCCTAGTAATATCAGGTTTTTCCTCATTTATTACTGGTTTGTCATCAATTTCTACAGCAACGGGATGAGATTTTTCTTCTTCATTTGAAAGTACGATACTTCCTTCGCCATTTCCTTTATCTGATGTTTTATATTCCTTGACTCTTTCAATAATCAGCCTTTCGTCGTTTCTTAGAGAAGATAAAGAAGAATATCCTGAAGGCAATATAATGGAATCGGTGATCGACGGCGGAGCAGGTACATTCAACCGCACTCAGGTTTTTTTGCAGGTACATTCAACCGCACCGCAGGTTGTACTTCTTCTTCGTTGACTATTGGTTCTTCGGTAATTATTTCTGTCCTAGTAATATCAGGTTGTTGGCTTTCACTAGTAAACTCCACAACCTGCTTTGGTTCGTAACGTCTCGTCGCATGTATATTCTCAATGAGAGCCTTTTTACTGTTTCGTAGCTCTGACAATGACGAGTATCCTGAAGGCAAAGTAATAGTTTGGGCAATTGAAGGAGGTGCAGGAACATTCAACCTAACAATTCGTTGTTCCTCATTGATTATTGGCAGTTGATTACCAACTTCTACGGTATTGGGGTAAGATTTTTCTTCGTCGTTTGAAAGTACGACACTTCCTTCGCCATTTCCTTTATTTGATGTTTTATATTTTTTTACTTTTTCAATAATTAGCCTTTCATCGTTTCGAAGAGAAGATAAGGAAGAATATCCTAAAGGCAATGCTATGGAATCGGTTATTGACGGCGGAGCAGGTACATTCAACCGCACTGCAGGTTGTACTTCTTCGGTGACTATTGGTTCTTCGGTAATTATTTCTGTCCTAGTAATATCAGGTTGTTGGCTTTCACTAGAAAATTCCACAACCTGCTTCGGTTCGTAACGTCTCGTCGCATGTATATTCTCAATGAGTGCCTTTTTACTGTTTCGTAGCTCTGACAATGACGAGTATCCTGAAGGCAAAGTAATAGTTTGAGCAATTGAAGGAGGCGCAGGAACATTCAACCTAACAATTCGTTCTTCCTCATTGATTATTGGTTGTTGATTACCAACTTCTACGGTTTTGGGGTAAGATTTTTCTTCGTCGTTTGAAAGTACGACACTTCCTTCGCCATTTCCTTTATTTGATGTTTTATATTTTTTTACTTTTTCAATAATTAGCCTTTCATCGTTTCGAAGAGAAGATAAGGAAGAATATCCTAAAGGCAATGCTATGGAATCGGTGATCGACGGCGGAGCAGGTACATTCAACCGCACTGCAGGTTGTACTTCTTCGGTGACTATTGGTTCTTCGGTAATTATTTCTGTCCTAGTAATATCAGGTTGTTGGCTTTCACTAGTAAACTCCACAACCTGCTTCGGTTCGTAACGTCTCGTCGCATGTATATTCTCAATGAGAGCCTTTTACTTTTCGTAGCTCTGACAATGACGAGTATCCTGAAGGCAAAGTAATAGTTGGGCGATTGAAGGAGGCGCAGGAACATTCAACGTAACAGTTCGTTGTTCCTCATTGATTATTGGTTGTTGATTACCAACTTCTACGGTATCGGGGAAAGATTTTTCTTCGTCGTTTGAAAGTACGACACTTCCTCCGCCATTTCCTTTATTCGATGTTTTATATTCTTTGACTTTTTCAATAATTAGCCTTTCATCGTTTCGAAGAGAAGATAAGGAAGAATATCGTGAAGGCAATGTTATGGAATCGGTGATCGACGGCGGAGCAGGTACATTCAATCCGCACTGTGGGTTGTTTTTCATTGATTGGTAATGGTTTTCTGACGTCCACTGTATCAGGGTAAGATACGGAATCTCGGCTATCTCCATTATTCGATGTTTTATGTTTTTTTACCTTTTCAACAATTAGACTTTCGTCGTTTTGAAGAGAAGATATGGAAGAGTATCCTGAAGGCAATGTTACTGAACTTGTAATTGACGGTGGAACAGGAATATTCAAATGCACTACTGGTTGAGCCTCTTCCACACTGAGTACAGGTCTTGCTGAAAAACTTTCAATCTTAGTGCTATCTGGTTGTTGATTTTCATTGATTTTATCTGAAATTTTAACGCTCTGCTCAGGTCCGTATTTCTTTCGGTGGCAATCCTTGTTGTCTTGTTGGTCCTCGACTTTATCATAGAAATACTTTCTATTCTGTTGAGAGTCTACTAAAATGTTGTCAAAATATATTGGTGAACTGTCCATAATAGATATCGTCTTATCAATGACCTCACTGATAATTTTGAACTTTACAATATTTGGTTGAATGGCATTAGCACCGTCTAGAAGATGTCCTTTCGATCCTACCGGAAGATATTGACTGTACCATCTCGTTCCATCTTGAACCTTCTGTGGAGGTTGTAGATTTCTTTTTTCAAGTTTTATTTCATCTCCATTTTGTTGTATTAGTGGTGATGCAGTAGCGCATGCGATTAAGCATACGAATCTGAAGAAATACATCTGAAACAAGAATTACATCATCTATAAAAGAAAATATAAAAATAAATTAATTATCAAGAGAGTAAATGTTAACGTTTATGGAAATTTATGAAAAAAAACTCGCATGATACAGCAAAAACAAACAAGAAGAACATAGAAAAATTTGAATATATTTTTATTTAATTTTCTTTTGTAGGGAACATATGGCTATTAATAATTATTTTAACTTTGTACATACCTCGCTATACCATTGCCCGTCAATATTGAACCTCTAGATGACACTGACCTATTTTGCACTATTGTACTCTATTTATGTCACGCTTTACTCGTATCTAACAAGTAATAATTATCATTAATACTAGTTCTGACCAAAAGCATTTGTTATGAAATCCGACATTCCATTTGTTGCGTAAAATTAAGACGAATTAGGATAATTAGAATGTGTGTTAGGTAATTAGAAATTGAATAATACTCGTCGAAGCTTTATAAGAATAGTTGCTTTACAAGATGATATTTATAATAGTAAAGAGTGAATCTTTTTTTGACAGATCATGGGTTCGATCCCCACCGGGTGCACTTTTCTAATCAAATTGGACTTCGTTTGGAAATCTGTATATTATATGGATGTTAGAAATATCTAAATTTCGTCCGGGCCACGAGATACAAAGCCACACACCGATATTAAGCCATAAAGTTTAATCGCGTTTCGGTTTCAGACTGTGGATTTTCGAATATCCAAAGCTAAAATAGGGCGACAGCGCATTTTCTTTAGATGTCATCTGGGCTATTTCACTTACCCTTGCTCTTACTTCAAATGAACACATACTTACAAAACACTTTAAATATTCGTCTAAACCACTTAAGGGCAAAACATTTTTTTATCAACTTAACTAAGCTAACTTAAATATCGTTAAGTTGTAAATACAATACAAAGAGAAAAACAAATACGTAAAATTAGTATATATCCTTAATTTATGCACACTCCTGTAACACTTAATTACTACACCCCACCGTACGATTCACTGATCAAGTCTTGTAAAATTATATATTATAGCGGAACTACTACACTAGGTCTACAAAATTAAATAAAAACTCAAGAATTATTTAAGTTAGATAATTTCTAGGTGTCAAAAGTCGGCCGTGTGGAATTTAAATAAATTCAGGTTTGTTTTACCAAGATTTTGGTGCAAGAAAAGTCATTATCAACGCTAAAAATTTTAATCTTTAATCAAATAGTGTGTATTATTGAGTTATAAAGCTTTTGACGAACTCATTGGTCTAATATCTAATAATAATAATCAAAGCTTTGGATCCAAAATGTATCTAAGTATTCCATTTTACAATTATACTGAAACTTTAGTTACTTGACTAAGTCTGAAAATCTGGATAATAAATAGGTATGGCGTACCGCATATTCCATATTTCCATAATTTCGTCCGGGCCAGGAACCATCGTTAAGTTTTATCGCGTTTTAGTTTAGGTCTTTACAAATACGTCTCTATAATAACATTCCAAAACGCTATCTCTACACTAGCAGTGGTTTATACCACTGCTTAAACTAAGCGGAAACCTTACCATAAACAATTACAAAAGACCAAAAATCAATATAAAGCAACACATAAAAAAAATACTTATAACATTTTATAATTTAGCTTACACCGTTAACAAACGTTTTGTATAATAATAAACGAAGCATATATTTACGCATTTTTCCGTCTATTTCTACATATGTGATTCCGAGTGAGTTTACAAAATTTATGGTTATAGGATTCGGGAAATAAAATATTTGTTATATACTTATATTTCATGGGTGTATATATTTTTTGTTATAAATATTCTCAAACATTCTTTACTTCAAAATGTAAAATTTAAATAAAACACTTTAAAGGTTTAAAAGGATATAAATAAAGTTAAAGTGTTTTATTTAAATGTGTACTACTCGCTAAACTATAGACAGTATTTTATGTTAAAAATTATTTCTCATTATCATTAAAAAAGTGTAAAGGTTTCTTATGTGAATTCTTACAAATAAATTACATGTAAATGTAATTTTTGATGACGTACATTACTTAATTATTTGAAATTGAAAGTTGCTTGAAGTTTATAAGGAAATAATAGGGGACTGTTTGTATATCACTACATTTTATTTATAAAAATATTATACAGCAAATAAATATTTCCTACACTAGATTTTTTAGATATGACCAAGGTATACAATTCTGGGAGGTTTAAAAATAGTTGGGATTTGATAAGGCCAGTTTATCTTCAGAGAACGTATCGAAGACAGTGAAATAGGAAGAGGTGGTACAGATATCTTCGTGGAAAATGTAGGAGGTTTTGGTACTGGGTATTTTGCTAACGGCAAGTACTTGTCTTCCCAACTAGGGATTTGCGTTGTCTTCGTCTGTTGTTCTTGTGGCTTATTCTTGTTTAAAATTTTCATCGTTTCAGAATCAGGTTCAATTTCAATAATTTCAGTTAAAGTCGGTCCGTTGAGTGTTTGCTGTAAGATTTTAGACACCAAATCCTGTTGAACTCCAGCTTCAAGATTTTGCTCATCGTATCTCCGTTTTTCAACATCCTCTTCTTTCACGTCATCCTCCGGATTTTGTTCGTCATATTTCTGCTCTTCTGGTTTAGCTGTTGATAACTCATTGAGAATTTTACCGAGCTCTTGTTCGTGTTCTTGTTCGAATAGTTTCTCAGCTGGCGCAAAACCTTGTCAACACCTTGATCTGGCTGAAGTTTTGGAGTTTTGTCATTGTTCTTTTGTTCTTCCGAGTTGGCAATAGCAGCATCTTTCGACACACTATTCTGTTCCTGTGACTCAGCGGCAGGTTCATTAAATGGTTTTTGTTCATTTTTCGATTGTAATTCTTCATTTAATATATACTGAAGCTCTCCTAATACATCTAATTTTTTTAGTATCATCTAAGCTGGCCTGTCCTGGACTTAAATCGTAAATTTCATATTTTCCTTGCGAATCTGGCTTAGCTATAACAAATTCGTGGGGTGCAGGTTTATCGTCGAGTGGTTTTGCGTAGATTAACGTGGCCAAACATAAAATTCCAAACTTTAGCAGCAACATGTTTTCTGAAAAGCAAGAAAATGTCATTCAACTCTGTTATACACTCGCAATCAATACAACAACTGATTCTATAATAATTAATACAAGAGATGTTACAATATAACTCACCTGGTTATTCAAACGTTGTTCCCTCACAGGACAAAAATGAACTGAAGAATATTTCAAAATTACCTTATTTATATTTGCTAATGCCAGGTATAACTATACTTATTGGTATTAATCTTATCTAATAACATTCTTATAATCCTAATGAGCATTCAATACTAAACATCGTAATTAGTAATAGGATTACCGCGTACCTGGAATACATTATAATACCTGCCTAATTGTCGTCTTTAGGAAACAATTTTATGTATTTTCTTAGGAAGTTGTAAATGCATTGGCTTACAGATAACGACTATACAATGTTGGGTTTAACATCTATACTTATTAGCGTAAGTCAAAAGTACTCACTTTATGATATGTGTAAAAAATGTAGTTACTTTACAATAGAGATTACCTGAGTCATCGACTTCATACGCGTAGAATAGTGACTTGGGGTAGAATTTTTAATTATTTATGCTTTTTATTAATTTATGTAAGGGCGCATTTAGGGCAGCCAATCTATGTTGTATGTGCTACTTTGCCGCAACACCTCACAGCACTCCTACTCTAACTCCCACTCTCATTCTTCCACTCACTCTCACTCTTACTCCCACTCCCACTCCTATTCTCAAAAACCAAACAAAGAAAGTTTCATTGCTCTAGCTTCAAAAAAAACGAATTTCCATACACACTTTCATCCCTTTTTCAACCCCTATAAAACCATATTTGACATATAAAAGTAGCCTATCCTGTCCATTCTCAGGCTTTAAAACATCTTTCTAGTCTTTCAAATTTCATTTAAATCACTTCAGTAGTTTCAGAGTTAAAGCCCAACAGACAGACAGACGGACAGAGTTACTTTCACAATTATTACTTTTTGAGTTTGTCGGTTACATACAAAAATACAAATCTTTCCTCATTATAATATTAGTGTAGATAGCTGTTACCCACGATATTCGTATCCCGTCGTACGCGTCCCGTCGTTCGGATCGTTCTTGCGTGTTTTATAGCCTATAGCTTTCCTCGATAAATGCTCTAACACAAAGAATTTTTCAATTCGAACTCGTACTTCCAGAGATTAGCGCGTTCAAAACAAACAAACAATATAATGAATGATAGTAGAATTATTTGTTTTTATAAATAAGTAAGTTGATAGTGTTATTATTAATGCTAAGTCTGCATTTTGCAGTGTAAACTCATCCAGAATCGAATTATGTACTTCGTCAAATATTTGTATTAAAATACATTAAAGAATAATAAAAAATAAAAAATTGTGCTTGTAATATGGGACAAGGCCGCTCGGCTTATGCGTCCTAAAAGACTGACGCTCAGAGCACCGGTTTTCAATGGCCGCGCTTTTCCTTAATTCAGGGCGCTAAGAACTGACTTTAAACTATGAAACTGTATTCAAAATTATATAGAACATATAAATAAAACACTTAAACAGTATAAAACGCGATATATATTAGTTAAACTTATTTGAAAACTATTTTTTATTTCGGCCCGACGTTCCGGATGCTTTGAAGAAGAGAATATGTCGCGTTTTAAACCGTCAAAGTATTTTATTTAAATGTGTACTACTCGTGGTGATAGTAGAGAACGAGCTCAAACTCTAATTGAAGTAAATACGAATTTATTGTATTAATAAGTTTAACTTATATATTTCGCGTTCTAAACCATCATAGTGTTTTCTAACTCGCATAATCTACTAATTTCCTGAAAAATTGTAAAATGTTGGGATTTTCTTAGCCTTAAAAATATGTGATATCATCATAATGTTAAAAATAAAATGTTATGGAGTTTGAACTATTTCTTTCCTTACATTACAAAGCTACGTTGTTATTTTTTTTATAAAACTTACAATAGTAATTATAAATACAACTTCCAAAAAAAAAATTTTCGTACAATAACAAAAAATGTAAATTGTGTAAGACTTTCACGGCCATCGTTCAGCATATCATTGTCTTTCGGGCTGTTCGGCCGACGTGAGCGAGAAGAGGTTCTCAACGTTTCGCTACCGCGTGCGGACGGCATCATCAAAGGAGATGTTGTTCGACGGCCCAGTAAATAAAGTCGAAATGATAAATTGAAATCACGGAGTCTTGAACCGGCATTGTTTTACTGTTGCTCTACTACAATTTCGAATATCATGTGCAAGATGTTATTAATGCATGTAAAGTTTTATTTCATTGACTATGCATATCCACATACGGGTAAAAATTGTGGTTTTATTATAGTGTTTTTTTTTCACTGACTAATGAAGTAAAAATAGATTCTCAATTGTGAATTTGTTAATGCTAGTAGGAGACAGATAAGCATGAAATTTAATTGATGTAGGTTTAAAACACCCTAGACAGCAACAATAATTTGTAAATTGATAAATTATTTTTCAATTTTAAATTTAAATTATAATGAATACTTTCTTTCATTCTTTATTGTCTTTGATTTGTCCGAGTGAAGTGGCCTTAAGAAATGTGTGTATCCCTGCCCTTAATATATAAATATAACATTTAAAGAACATGCTCTGTCGTCCTTTTATGCTTCGGTCTGTATGAACATAATATAATATTTTACTACATATATTTTTGTAATATGATCATAGTGTTAGACAGAAAGATAAGTGTAAGAAAGTATTAATTCATAGTTTTTAAATATAAGGAAAATTTCCACAAGTTTGTTACCTAATTGACAGGCGAATTATATATTCTAATATAAAAGTACATTATGAATATGTAACTATACTATGCGTAGTGATAAAATAAAATGTTAAGATAATTTGTATTTAAATTAGTTTATTTGTCTGTTATATTGTTTCACTGGGCCGCAGCAGCTTCATTCTGTTCAGGGTTCTGTTCAGGATTCTCAGCAAGGGGGTGGTGAGTATTCTCCACATGGTATCCATCTAGTCCTGCAGTAAACTTCATAATGTAGAGTTCACCATCGTCTCCGACGTATGAGACTTCGCCCTCTGTGACTAGCACGTAGTCACCACTCGCCGTAGGTACAAGTCTACCACGTTCCGAGACCACCGTACCCTCAGCTGTAACATACCGAAGAGCATACTGCCCGAATTCATCATGCACTTCTTCATGCTCCAGTGCAGGTAATGCTCGTCTTGCCTGAACCTCAGAGTATTTGGGTGAACTTGGGGCACACGCCCCTAGAGCAACGATGACAGTCAATGCAATAATCTGGAAATATCGAATAATTAATAAAATAAAAAGCATATTACTAAAAACTCAAAATAACAAATTTTATATGGTAAGACTCTATGTACATTTTTAATTCTATTTTTAAATCATATATAGATTACATATAGTCAAGTCACAAATAGACGTTAAGTATTGTAATGGTTTTCAAAATATTATTTTTTTTAAATTTCATACAATGCTTTTAGAGCTTAATTCTAAGTATACTAAACTTACCACTTTCATGATGATCTAAATAGATGTGTCTCTTTTAAATCCTGATTCCTTACTAAGATAGAGTGTAAACTGACTAGCAATATTTATATGATAATTCTCATTTGCAACTAAAACTTAAAGCTTAAATGAAATTATTAGTTAATTGATTAAGCAATATCGTCGTATTATTTCCTCGTGTAAGTAAAGTATCTAATTTGTTAATCACGCAATTTTAATTGATAGATTCTTAATTATTTCTCGAAACAATTTCATTAGTGTCTTGTGATGTTTCGCCGCGTGTGTTTGTCTGAATTCTAGTTTCAAAAATTATTATATTAAATTAAGGATCACTAATTAAAATGGTAAGATATAACTACAGATAAAATATTCTGCTTAGGTACTTAGATTTTTATTTAAGTTTTAGTTATAATTTATATACTAACAGATGTTCTTATTTTCAGTTAATTACCATATTTTGTAAATTATTTACAATAATAATACTAAATATCTCGTATTGCCAGTCGACTGATGTCGACGATTTTAGAAGCATCCTACCAAGTATACCTGTTGCACAAGGAAATAGTGGTGGAAAAGGCTCAAACGATCTGGTATCGTCATATTTACATTTCGTCCAGCATGGGAATAACTTCTTTTTTAAACCTAATTTCGATCTGGGTCCGAAAATTGAAAAGGACTCATCTCGTGACACAGATGAGGTTGGGGATAGGCGATTCCCTAATAACTTAATTCCACCACCAGCATCTATAGCTAGCTTAGAAGCAAACATGGAAGAGGAAGCGATAATACCCGAAGCACCCGTTTTATCCCCTCTTAAAATGCCTAAATTACCCGTTGTAAAGCAGCCCCAACAACTACAAATAATTCCTCTCCCAACAGCAAATAGAGCAGCAGCTAATACAAACGATCAGCAAGTGATATTAGGGCACACCGAAGCTCTAGAGTCAGTTAAAGGGTCGTTAAAGGTCCAAGAAATTATGCCTATTTTATTCGAGCTCTTCCGGTCTTACTTACCTTCAAACGAGCCTAAGGCAGCTCCTCAAACTCAATTTAATAACCAAGTGAGTGGGGGTCAGCAACAAGTGAATGGGTACTCCATACCACAAACACTAAATACCAATATCCAGCAACGCAGTAGCGCAATTATTAAACCACAAGCTCGTAAAAGAGTTAGATTGGAGAGAACTGGACTTCGAAAGAGCAGTCAACGTACGAGCATTGAAGCAAATATTGCTGAACCAGAAGTTCAGTACGTAGTTCAAAGCCCTGTTCAACAAGAAAATGTTAATGTGGAACAAGGTGAAATGTCATTGTCAGATACAATGATGAGAGAGCCAAACGGCGATTATGTTCCGTATCTGTAAATAAGCTTTTTGAGAAGATCTATTGAGTATTAAAATCTACTTTGTAAAATACTTATTTATTTCTACAACTACGTTGTATCGCATAAAGAATGTTTAAATACAATTATATTAATCCAAAGTTTATTAAATATAGAAATGAAATAAAGTAAAGTTGAAAAATTGTTTGTGTTATTAAATTCCAGATCTTGGGGTCAACTTCAATGAAATCGGTTGATCAGGTTTGTTTATAAGTAATGTTTTAACACCAAGCTTTCCACCAAGCCACTCAATCTTGTAATTGCGGACAATCTGAAAAAAAGATATACCGTGAAAACTATTTTTTAAGAATCAATACTAATATATAAAGCTGAAGAGTTTGTCTGTTTGTTTTATATGTTTGAACGCGTTACTCTCAGGAACTACTGGTTCGAATTGAAAAATTAGTTTTGTGTTGGTTAGAGCATTTATCGAGTGGAAGAGACGCGACCGATGTCGTGGGTAAAAGCTTAACTTATGAAGACGTTTGTAAAAACGAATTTGGATGCCCAAAATAACTATTCTACACGGATGAAGTCACTAACGCAGCTAGTATATAATAAAAATGAAACGGGCGGGATTCGAACTCATAATCACAGCATATGGAGCATGTTCTTCCAACTAAGCCACTGCTCTGCGTTCGTTTTGGAATTCGTACGACAGTAGATTTTTTTATTTATTTACACATACTTGTTGAAATTATCTAAAATCAATATTGTAAAATACTCACTTTCATAATAGTTATGCACATATTCTGTTCAGCTAGCCGTCTAGCTATGCAGGATCTTGGTCCAAAACCAAATGGTAAGCTCAGAAACGGATGTATATCTTCGTACTGTGTTGAACCTCGCAAATATCGCTCTGGGATAAATCGTGAGGGATTCCGGACATATTGCGGTAGGCGCGAGGCTACCATATTTTGAGTGACCACCACTGTCTAAATATTATAATGTAGTGTTAATAATATACACACACATGCCTTCATTATGATAATAAGCAATTTACTAAAATAATTTATTTCTTTACTTTGCGTGTAAATTAATTCATTCTTATCCCAAATATGGCAAAATACACAACAAAACTTTATAACAAGTTACTATATACATCATCCTTAAACTCTTATTACAAAGCAAGGACTAACTGTCTATAGTTTACGCGAGTAGTACACATTTAAATAAAACACTTTAACGGTTTAAAACGCGATATATTAGTTAAACTTACTTGAAAATTATTTTTAACTTCGGCCGGACGTTGGAGACACGTCTCCAAATTTCAAATAAGTTTAACTAATATATCACGTTTTAAACCGTTAAAGTGTTTTATTTAAATAAGGACTAACTCTCAAACCTGGTTTAAACAAAGCGAAGTTTAACGTTTGTACTGGACTAACTACGGTTCTAGTTTAGATTCCATCATGGTTTAAGAGTTAAACCAAGTCTCCTCAGTTCTGGTTTAAGTATTTTTTTGTAATAAGGCCGCATATGTATAAATCATATACATCATATGCGTAATTGTATGCTAATTATATGTTTTTTTATAGCTAGTGTATGTATAGATTTTCATTCATTTGTATCAAAGACTACATATATTTGTATATACAACTGAGAATTGAATTTATAATAACACAGTTAAACGGTACAAATCGCGAAATATTCCGGCTGCTACAATGCACCCAAAACGTCGAGCCATAGTTAAAAGAAATTATAAATAAATTAACTAATATGTTTCGCGTTTTAAACCGTTAAAGTCTTTTATTTCAATATTCACTGCATGGGAATTTTAGTTTAATAACTTTTGTAATTTTCAAAATAGTACGTGTAATTAAAAGAAAAATAAATAAATGAAGACCTACCCCTGATGGAATTTTATATCCCTTCAAAATCACATCGTTCTGTAGCACTCTACCAACGCCTATCGCCACTGGATTTAATCGAAGGCTTTCCTTAACGCAACTCTTAAGGTAGACTGCCTTTGCAAGTACCGAAGCAGATATTTCGGTCTTCTCGTCTGGTAGCAAACTAAGAGCTTCTCTAAATAACTCTTTTTGACAATCAGGATTTGTCGCTATGTGGTATAATGCAAAACTTGTCGTGTAGGAAGTCTAAAAAAATGTATTCATAACTTAATATTCACTTATGAAACTATTAAAACATAAATTCCTATTTAAAAAAGTTCTTAATATTTGTATCTAATTTTCTTTTTTTATAATATAGCACAAGACATAGAAAATATATAGTATTATTGCGCATTTTTATTATATAGTCCTTATTGAAAATCTTGTTTTTTGTTTTTAGGCCAGACTGACTCTGGCGGCCTCATATATAGTTTCGTGTATATATTTACTTACGGTATCGATACCAGCCATTAATATATCCACCATCATACCAACAATATCTTTCACGTCGACACCCGGAAGTTGCATAAAAGACGATAAAAGGGAACTGTCATTAGATTCTGAATTGATTGCGTAATAATTCAATTTCTTTAGCAAAATGTCTTTCGATACCCTAAAAAGAATAATAAATAATTATAAAGAAAATTCCTCTATTGAAAATTATTTTATGTCCATAAACGTACTTTTCTAAATATTCTTGAGATTTCGCTAGCTTTCTATAAAGGGGCGTTGTAAATAGTTTCCACATAACGCCCTTGTCAAGTTTCATAATACCGCTGTTTGATCCAAAAGCTGCCGATATGATTTTGTTGCTACGAGAGCTTACAAGCTGTTCGGGATCGGAGAAACTATTAAAACTCTCATCAAAGACCACCGCACCGATGACTGAAAATTTTAAAAAAAAGGTTTATTAAAAAAAAGTTAATCGTTATTTTTTTTAGAAACAATAAAGATTTAGAGTAAAGTAAACATGTAGATGTTATATTATACAATAACTAGAAGTTACGTGCATAAGTTATTTTTAATATCTTTATATAGCATGTTTTAAATACACATTTCACTATTATAATTATTTGCTATTGACAAAGCATTAAAGTACCTTCTAGATTAAGCCGGTTCAAGTAAGGCAAAAAGTCTGTAATCGTTGACATTTCTTTGTCTTTCAACCACTGCAAGAATTGGGTAACAACTCTATCAGTAACTGCCACGTATTTTTTTTGCATTTTGAGGCCCTGAAAAGTTTCTTTGAAACGCACTTCGTATGCGCCACCAATCTGGTCCATTCCTAGAAACATTTTTTGGTTAAGTATTTTTAGAGCGACCTAACGTCATTTCGTTTTCGTTAAGAACGATTTTCATAAGTGCATGCAAAAGGTAATTTATAAATGACTTATCACTACATAGTATAAAACAAAGTCGCTTTTTCTGTCCCTTAATCGCGCTTAAAACTAGGTATGCAACGGAAATAGATACAGTGATTCAAGAGGATGGTTTATATGTATAATAACATTCATTAAATAGAAGTGAATCATTTTATCTTTTCCGCTTATAACGCAAAAGCAGGCTGAACCCTACAGCTTTATCAAAATAATGTATTATACTCCTTTTTGTACACATTAAAACGGTCTAAAGAAACCTCCACGTTGGTATAGGTATGTTTATCTGGTTAAGAATAATTTAGAAGATATTACAGAATAAAAAATTGCGGGCCGTGGCGTTTGCGGTGATAACAGCCGGAACAAAGCCGGATCGGGCCAGTATTTTTTTTATATTCAACGTTCACAGTTCTTCTATGGTGTATTTAGTATCAGCATTACATCCAAGCGAAGCCGGGGCGGGTCGCTAGTATATAATAAATAAACAATAACGAAGTATATTTGTAATTGTTAATACAAGTAAGTAAAAAGCGCACCTACAGTAAAGTAAATTAATCATCAAAGTGTCAGGATTGTCGATTTTTTAACATTTATTTTTGTGTCTTACGTCGAAAGAAGTCCTCCCGAATTATAGGTTTCCGGTTTACCAAGTCGATAATGCAGCATTGCTATGTGACTTCTCCTAGCCGGATAACGATCGTTTTGACGAAAGATTGTTTCAAAAAGTTCTGGTTCGTAAAGGTGGACCAAGTTTATAATCGGCGATTCTCTTACAAGCCCTCCATAGCGACGCCAGTTCAGACAAGCATTCTTATCTAATGTATCAGCGTTATAATCACCTAGAACATTAAGATTTCGAGGTAGCTACTAATGAGTTATTAAGTAACTTCTAGTGACATTGTATCAAGTTGTAATAAAAGTAGAAATGATGATACAACATTTTACATGTTGAGAAGCAATTAGCGTTCTAAAAGTTTAACTTTTATATCCATATTGAAATAGTAAATACAAAATTGTATGTAATTGTAGGGCTGAAAGACCGCCAACATTCTTATTTATTTGCGTTTTTTTTAAATTTACCATGCAAGCTAAGACGAAAGTTAAAGTATTCAACAAACTTACCAACCAAAGGCCAATATTTATATAAACTACCGATTACAGGATACCTCTTCGGACCAGGAATCTCATGAAAAACCAAGCAATTTGCAGATTGTTTGAACGCGCTCGAATAGCGAACTATTAATCTTTGTGTTCTTATACATCTAGCGAAGTAATTGCGCTGACAAAACATGCCTAACATTTCTCTAGCTAAGAGAAGCGACACCAACGAAATCTGACACTACACTACACACGGGATATCAAATAAATGCACATATCTAAGTGGCTTACGTGAAAAAAACATATACAGGTAAAAAGCCAAAATGAATATATAAATATCAAAACGTCTATCGTAGGTTGATCTTTTTATATACATACATTTAAACAAGAAGAAATAATAAGTACTTTCATTAAAATACTTTTGTCACCAAGTACTAGATAAGAATACAATTGTTGTGTAACCAAGTACTAGATACAAGACTAGTGAAGTTAAAAATTAAAATTATTTGTTGAGAATTGGGGATGAATGTACCTAATATTCACATTTTATTCTTGATCAAATTGGTCCTCCAAAAATCAAGATATAATCCTATATGATAAAGACATTATTATTTTATTTATTGGCTGTTATGACTTATAAACAATATAATTTGGCTGACTGAAAAAACTTAAGTTAAGTAAAACCATTATGTTAATTTTTCATTTTTATTTTTAACAACTTCATTGGTATTCTAGCTTCCTTAACTTCGCTTATAAGATTTTCACCTAATGGACTGACTGCTTTAATATCTAAACTATTTAAATCTGTAACAATATCTACACCTCCCCGCCATTTTTCAAGACCATTCCATGCTATCATAACACCATTATCTGTGCACAATTTAGGATCAGGTCTAAAAATGTCATACTCCATTTCATTACACAAAATTGTTAAATTTTTAAATATAAAATTGTTACAAGCCACACCACCAGATACAACTAATCTTCCTTCAGTTTCTGGTATTAATTTTCTTTGTTTACAAAACTCAATGGCCCTTTGAGTTCTATGTACAAGATGCCTTGTTACAGCCATTAGCAAGGCTGCACACAAATCACTTACCTCTGGTATCAGTTCATCACCCTCAATATTATGTTCTTTCTCTTTTCTATGCAAATGAAGCAGGGTAGATGTTTTAAGGCCATTGAAGCTAAAATTACAGTCTTTATAATTTGCTAACGGTAAGGGTAACTTAAAACAATGAGGATCGCTTGCTTTAGAAGCTGATGCCTCTATTGCCTGGCCACCAGACATTTTAGAATATTCAGGAACGTTTCTTAATTTAAGTCTCCTAGATACTTTGTCGAATACTTCTCCCGGTGCAGAGTCTAAGCTTTCCCCAAGCAGTTTAAATTGGTTGATATCCTGAACTATGGCTAGTAGACAATGTCCTCCAGATATTAGAAGTGTGAGATATGGAAATGGTATATTATGTTGCATTCTAGAAACTAAGGCATGAGCTTCCATATGATGAATTGGTATAAAAGGTTTATTAAACTTCCGTGCTAAATGTTTTGCATATTTCATTCCTACTGCTAAGCTAAGAGGTAAACCTGGTTGTAAAGTAACAGCTAAAGCAGTAATATCATCCATACTCAAATTTGCTTTTTTCAAAGTATCTTCAACTGTTAATTCTATGTACCTCCTGTGAAGGTCTTGAGCCACATCTGGTATAATACCCCCATTGCGAAGATGTATTAAATTTTGGCAATGAAGTGATTCTGACAAAAGATTTCCTCTGCCATCAACAATAGCACAACCTGTATCATCACAGGAAGTTTCGATGCCAAAAATTAGAGGCTTCGAATGAAACTTTCTTAATCTAATATATCTTCCATAATTTGAAATCAATTTGGAATTATAACAAAAAACAAACTGCATTTTCATTGTAAAAATATATGCAACATTATTCATGCTGTTATGATTCTGAAAATTAATGAATAAATTGTTAATAATTTAATAATCATTAGAGAAAAGCGTTGCGCCTGGCAAAAATAGTAAACAAACAACCTTTATCAAAAGAGTTTCAAAGTTTATTTACATTTATACAATCTTTAACATAATAAATATGTAACAAAAATATATTTCCAGATTAAAATCTTGACATAAAACCGACAGGGAAACGAACCTCAAAATCGCCAGGAACATATTTTTGAAATACAGCTGTCAAGCAGCTGACAGCTGTATTCCAAAAATGCATGACTCAAAAACTTTGACTTAAACTGTCAAGAATAGATAGATAAGTTAGTTAAAAAAAAATAATTTGTCAACTGCTCTGCTTTAAATTATGTCTTAATCGTATCTATTGAATAGACAAATAGAAAACCTGCAAATCCTGGGATTTGTAGGTTTAGTGTGCCACTGGGGATCTCCCTATATCACCTGCTGCAAAGCATCGAAACGTCGGGCCAAGTTAAAAATCATATCCAAATAAGTTTAACTAATACATCGCGTTTTAAACGTTAAAGTGTTTTATTTAAATAAATTCATGTTTTAAAATTATCCTATTCATTTCAATTTGAGCCGCGACGGCGATTCAGTTTGAAAATTATGCCGGGGCAACAGCTATCAAATAAATTTAAAGTGTATATTGTCTGTGCTTTGACTTACGCCATGTTGGAGTAAAAATTGAGTCGCGAGTCGTCTGTCACGTGCACTTTTCAATTATCATTATAGTCTGTTAGAATAATTACGATTTTAAATATAATTAATTTGATTATTAAATGTTACTATAAACATTCTAGTGTCAAATCACCTGTGGAGATCTTGCAAAATTATTTTCATGATCTAAGAAAATTGACCATAAAATAACTTTTATTAATAGTTTTAAAATATTTAATTTTTTTGCTAAAATATAATTTATATCTATTAAGTACTGAACGTAAAGACGGAATATAACTGTAGTTTCAGAACGTATTTAGGGGCACCTTGGCAGGTAATCAAGTAACAGGAATACCACAATTTTATATCTAATGAATGATTCAGTACAAAGCTAAATCGAAGGAACACCTTCATGGTCACGATCATCGCTGCCAAATTATGTTCAAATACGTAACCTAATTTAATCAAGTGTTTTGGTACAGTAGTAACAAAAATGGAACTATTTGAAAGAATTTATCGTACTATTATCAGAAAAATAAATGAACTTCCAGTGACAGTTAATAAAACTGTAGATATAATAAACAAATCGGTAAATAATGTGAGGGTACCACCATTAACTAGAGACAATGTCTTATATTATTACTTACCTTTACAAGGACTGGCAAGTTACACAACATTGTCTGTGAGTGTCATGAACCCTCACCTAATGGTAAGGTAAGCGTATGCATTAACAAGTCTTTAAATTGTTTGTGTAGTTTTTTTTAATTTTATTAATCTATCTTTAATTATCATTCACAGATTGTTCCCTCGGCGAGATATAACGGACATCCTTTTCATATCAGCAGGAGGTGGAGCTGGTCTCTGGCTCTGGGCAAGACCCCATGTTGCTGCAGCAGCACCAGCTAGACGTTTTTCATGGGCATTTTTGGGTGGTTGTTTATGGCCTTTAGGTTCAATTTTCCTATGGGCTATCCTTAGAAGTTCTGTTGGCCAAAGACCAGTAATTGGAACTATTCTTGGTGTTTCAACTGGGGCGATGCTTACCAATATAGCAATAGATTATTTTAACTATATAGAACTTATGTTTTGTGGTGAGCTCCGTTTACCTGATGAAACTTATAGTCCAAATAGTGATGATGAAAAATATGATATTGATCTGTAGTTAGTTGATTCCATTAGGTCAGGTTGGGTTTTAATATTTACTTCTCTGTTTAAAACATGTTTTGCAATGTAGCTTTTTGATCTACTTTTAAATAATATTCTCACTTATGATTAAGCTAAACATATTAAATAGCACAGCTTTTATGGTGTTGTAAGCATATATTGTATGAAATTGGATTCTAGTCTTGTGAAAATGTTAATAACAATGTTATTGCTGCTAAAAGGTTTTTTATTTCCTTAAAAATCTTTTAAAATTATGAATTGTATTTAAATATTGCTTATGTTGTGAACTGTGTGTTACTGGCTGTTACAAAGAGTTAAAGGATTATGTAAAAAGTAAATTCAAATATTATGTCCTATATTTTGATGCTGTTTACAAAAATACAAATAAGAATGTTCAGTTGTTTTGTGGTGGCTTTGACCATTCAACATTCAGAATCAAGTGATCATAACCATGACCATTGAGAGTCTGGATAGCTTTTGCAGCATCAGCTTTAAACTTGAAGTGGACGTAGGCAAATCCTTTGCAGAGACCAGTACTCTGTAACAATGAATAATTATAAGACAAAAGTTTATGTTATGGACATTTTTTGATTGACATATACAATAACAATTTTCATGGTCCAGTTTACTTCACATTGTTGCATGAGGTGTAATAATTTTCTATAAATACATAAAACATACCTTCTCCTTTGCAAGATACAATTTGTGAACTGGTCCAAAACCTTTCACAAGATCATCAAGGTCAGCTTCCACCGCAAAGTTGCTGAGGTTTGAAATCCGAATGGCAGCTACATCATCACGTCTTGCGCCTGGGGGTTCTCGGCCGCGACTAGCGCCTTCACGCAAGTTTGGAGCGACATATTTGTTAGATGACGCAGCTGCTTTAGCTTCTGTTAACAGTAAAATAAATCAACATTATATCTTTCTTGTACTTGTATTTTATAATATTCATGAGTTAATGAAAATTAGAGAATTAATAGTAACATTCATAAAACTTCACTACTACTACGTAAAGTACTATAAAAGTACAAAATGTTTTGACAAATATTTCAATTCAGAAAGACAACTAACCTGCAGCTTTAGCAGCTTCATTAGCCTTCGTCTGAGCAAGCTGGGTGTGCTTAAATGGACAGCTAGAAGTCCAATGTTCACCTTGGCATGTACGACATTTAAATATTACACTGCTAGTTGGTGGCTGAAAATGAATCAAGCAAGAAATTATTTTAAATAGCTTTTGTTGACCAAAAAGAACTAATTAAGAAACTTTGATTAGTTACTTTCAATCCATCAAGTTCACCATCATCAGGACGCTGTGCCTCCTCTTTGCTACTAATAAACTGCATAAACACATCTTCGGAAACATTTGTGGTAGCTGGGTTAGGACCAGGCTTGTCAGTTGCTGAATCACCAAATTTACTCCATGTTTTACGCTTGGCAATGCTCTGCAATATATATAGTTAGTAGGTATAGTAAATGTTTTTCTTTTTTACTTTTCAAAAGGGTGTGATAGTATTTCTTTGTATACCTCTACAGAAGTATAAATTAAATATGTTGGTTAGTTATACATCTAACCATTATAAAGAAATTTAAGATTTAGAAACTTGAAATTTGCCCAGTTACAATTATCATAGCAAAGTTTTGTTAGTAGAGAGATTAGTTGATTAGTTTAGTCTGCCTCCACTCAAGGCATTGTAATAGTCTAAAGCATAAATTCTACATACTATACCTTAGATACAACACGTTTTTCTATCTTGTATGTGCGCACAATTTTAACTTTTTTATTATCATTGTCATATTTGTATTCTGTGACAATCTTGAGACCATTTTCAACAACTTCAGAAGGAGGTGGAAGAGCACCCTGATCTATCTCAACTTCATCAGCCCAAGACGATTGGATTTCATCAGCGACAGGCATCTATAAATGGATGGAAATGGATTTCTCTACATCATATTACATTCTAAGAGTGCTTTTTGAACTCGTGAATAAGTGTCGATTTGTCAAGTAACATAACCTTAGAAATCAACGCAAAATGTAAGTAAGAAGAAACTATTATTGAGAACGATTAGCACGAAAGTTAAATAGTGAATGTGCTAAGAAAATGTACCTTTTTACAGTTTTATTCACACTTTTAATGATAAATTATGCCTGTCACATCAGCATTAACAATAAATTTCCTAAAGAGAACTTAGAAATGAGAACAGACAACTCCAACTCTACAAAACAGATTGTTGTATAGTCTATGGATCTTCCTTTACTCAATAAAATGTGGAGCACAGGCAACACAATCTCGATTAAATGGCATAGAGTATGAAGAAACCACAGCAAAAACATTTCATTTGAACTTAGTACCACAGATAAAAATATAATGCCAGTTAAAATAACTTTCCCTTATTATTGTTAAAAGATCGAAAAATTGTTGTTATTAAGAAGTTTATATTGAAGTCATTTTATGGAGTATTAAATAATGAATATAGATCGTCAGTTAGTTTTTTTTTGTTAATTATACACTTTGATTCAAAATAGAAATGAATGTAATTTTCAAATTGTAATTTGGATTATTTATGTTTTGATAGTGCGTGAAACTGTAATTACAGTTTGGCAACATTTCCACAGACGAAAGCCTTACCTGAGTTAATCACACATGTTATATGTATTTATTATCTTTAAAAGAATTTGTAGTTAAATCTTCAATATTTATCAATCTTGATTCTGTGAATTAGGATAAGTGATTCCGAAAATGAATTTAAATATTTGCAAAGTTTTTGTGAATAAAACTTTGATAAAGTTGAACAATAAATAATTCTACATTGTGGACTAGAACATTCACCGCACATATAAATCTTGCAATGTTTTAATTGAAATGGTTTGTATCAGTTGATTGTGATGACGAATTATGTGATGCATAAGTGATTGTGTTAATATTGTATCCCATCTTAATTGGTACGTATAATTTGAAAATCACAATTATTTATGACTAAATTTACATTACCCTTTTAATATTTACAAATTACGCCCATAATGAGACCTGACATATTTTTACATTGAGGTATGGAAACTGGCATTAATTAATAGATATATAAATACCACTAAGTATAAAAACTAAAACAAATGGATTTAACTAACTTTATAGATTGAATAAATTGTAAACACTATAATCAAGATATATACATCTTTCAAGTGTACTAATATTTGTATCACTTTTAGCTGTGCTAACTACTATACATGTACTTATTATTTTAAAAAGTTTAGTTATTTCTGTAATACTTTTTAACTTACTTCTCAGTTGGTGTTGTCTTGTTACCTTTTTTTATATTTTTATCTTGTACCATGTGAAAACACAGATATTGTAGAAACAGATTTGTTTTAAACAGTTAACATGTATATTATAATAATGAAGTATTTTTAAATAATGCATTACATATTAGACATTTGCATTCTTCTTACTCTTAATAAGTTTTGCAGTTACAAATGCCATTCTTTTATATATCATTGAGGATATTTTTACAACAAAATTGCCTTTTACAACTTATCCTTGCCTATGTAAGGAAGTTTATTAGGTGTAACATAAGGAAATTTCATTTATTTTTAAGACCATATCTTAGCTGTGGTGTGATACAAATTAGGTTTCTGTAGTAGATTTTAACTTATATCTTCAAATGGTATTTTTATCTCATAAGGTTGACATATTAAACTTATTTCTTTTTTACAGATATATCAACAAGATGTTAAGATTTCTTAGCAGAAAAGGTAGATCGTCTAGCCAGACACGAAAAAAGCAGACTCAAAAAACTGCCGTCAACAAGCATCTAATCCAGTGTAAGGTAATGTTACTTGATGATACTGATCTAACCATAAATCTTACCAAGAAAGCTAGTGCTGTTGATTTATATGAACAAGTATTTTATTCTTTGGATTTAATTGAAAAAGATTACTTTGGACTACAATTCACTGATACAAATAATGTACAACACTGGCTGGATCCAACTAAAACTATTAAAAAGCAGGTGAAAATAGGACCTCCCTACACATTAAGACTAAAAGTCAAATTTTATTCTTCTGAACCTAACAATTTGAGAGAAGAACTAACTCGATATCAATTTTTCCTTCAACTAAAGAAGGATATCCTAGAAAGCAAGTTAGAATGTCCTCATTCTACAGCCGTAGAGTTGGCTGCATTGGCCTTGCAATCTGAACTGGGAGATTTCGATGAAACCATTCATACTCCAGCAACCGTATCTGAGTTTCGTTTTGTACCAAATCAATCTGAAGAAATGGAAATAGAAATTTTAGAAGAGTACAAAAAATGCAAAGGGCTTACACCAGCTCAAGCAGAAGTGAACTATCTTAACAAAGCAAAGTGGCTGGAGATGTACGGTGTGGATATGCATATCGTGTTGGGAAAAGACGGCTGTGAATATCATTTGGGTTTGACACCCACTGGTATACTTGTTTTCGAGGGTCCACAGAAAATCGGGCTTTTCTTCTGGCCAAAAATAACAAAATTGAATTTTAAGAAGAAGAAGCTAACACTGGTAGTCGTAGAGGATGACGATCAAGGTCGAGAGCAGGAGCACACATTTGTGTTTCGACTTCACAACGAAAAGGCTTGCAAGCATCTTTGGAAGTGCGCTGTCCAGTATCACACATTCTTTCGTTTGCGAGCGCCAGTCAAAGGACCTTCGGCGCGGCAGAATTTCTTCAGAATGGGATCGCGCTTTCAGTATTCAGGGAAAACTGAATATCAGACGACGCAACAGAATCGCGCCAGAAGAACTGTACAGTTTGAGAGGCGACCTAGTCAACGTTTTGCCCGGAGGCAATCTCACGTACTCCGCGAACGAGAAAAGCAAACCGTTACTAAACCTGAAGCTACGCCCCAGGCTGAACCGCCAGAGATTGCCCCAAGCACATCCACAGCCGAACCGACAACACCTACAACAACTGAAGCGACAGTTGTGGAGACGACCATCGAAACTGCTCTCGAGCCGTTCACCAGAAAAGATAGTACTAAGTCTCGGAAATCTACTGAAGCAGACGATGAAGGTGAAGAGAAAGATGAAAAAAACCCAAACGAACCCGAGGTAGAACCTTGGTTGTACACGCTGGTCTTTAGGCACTGTAGAAGTTTAGATTTGAAAACGTCTACAAATTTACAAAAGACTGTTAATCCGGTGTGGATACGTCCGGCGATCTCGTTCACATTTGACTCCGTCGGAAATGATAAACAATCGAAGGTAGATATACCGACATAATTAAATACTTATGATTGTCTATTTGAGATTTAAAGAGAGTTTTTATCCATATTGTTGACATTAATTATTGTATTGTTCTATAAAATGACGAAAAAAAGTTTTCGTGATTTACTACTTATAAATGTTAAATTATGTACTTATTCAAGTGAAAATCAATTATCACAATTTCGCAATAACCGCCCTATACGGGCGCTTAAAAGCAACCCTATTTATATAGAAGAAAATATTAAATTAAATATTAAGAAATATTTTATAGAATTTTAAACTGATGATGATGACAAGCAAGATGTAGATATTCTTTGTGCTTTTCAGCAGTTTTTATAATACTAAATTGTATCTATTTTATCAAAAAAAAATTATTGATACCGCTCTGTCGGTGATTGGTGTCATTATTGTGATGAGATTTTTATCATGTGGTGTTAAAATGAGCATCTGATTTCACTGAGTTTATCACAACACATGTATTTATTGAACATTACCGATAAATAAAATTAATGGTTCTATATCAGGAACTTACAATTGTGTACTTAATAGAGATTTTTTAATGATTAATTTTAACTGCAAAACGATGGAACGGTACATGACAATCCAAAATATTAGTGTGTTATGTAGGTGCATCCAATAGCAAAACGGCTGAGCCGGGTACATATTTTTTTCGGAAACGATACATTTTCAAAGCAATGCATAACAAAAAGGGTACTTTCTGATGATAAGTACACATACGCATATAAATACGACGATGAGCTCAAGAAATACAAGATAATTGTTGAATGAACTATACATTGGTATTTCTAATTACTTCGACATCGATCATAATTTAAAATAATTGTACTTAATTCCATTAAGCGCTAATGAAAATGCAATAAGACTAAAAATAAAAATTATTAAACTCATTAGGTTAATGGACTTATTTTAATATGTACTTTATGTACAATGTTTGTATATTAGACCGAAACATCTTTTAGTATTTAAATAAAACACTTTAACGGTTTAAAACGCGATATATTTTCGTTAAAATTGTTTGAAACAAAAAATAATGGAGTTAAAAATAAATTTCAAACAAGTTTAACTAAAATATGTCGCGTTTTAAACCGTTAAGGTGTTTTATTTAAATGTGTACTACTTGCGTAAACTGCAGACAGATCTTATCTTAATTTTAAAAATTTTAATTATATCGGTTTGTCATTGAAAAGTATTCGATGTTTCTCGCCTAAGTTTGAAATACGTTGGTGTATTGAAATAGCTCAGGCGGCATATGTAGTGCATAACAATTGTATAACGTAATGGTAAAAACATCTGCCTTCGCTAATGTTAGACACCTGGTTTCTAGCCGATAGCGTTGGTTCTATGTCGGTGCTGGTTCAGGGTTCCGAAGTCATATAAGGAAGCCCTATGATAAATCTATGTTCGTTCTAACATACTCAACAAAATTTCAAACACCGTTATGTGCATAGGTTTTGTTTCAAATGTAATCTTAAATAAATGGTACTTATTTTAAACGTTTTAACTTCGTATTATAGTATATTACAAATTAGTTAAAAATCAATTGAATTATTATGATAATTGTACTGAATATAAGTATTTTTCGAACCGTCCCATTTACATATCGATTTAAGGTAAACTTATTTATACAAATGTTAAATTCGAATATCATTTAACGAGTACAATTTTAACTACAGTATTAAAAATTTATCAATTATTGCGGTGCCATAGAATTTGTGCAAAATTATACATTTCTCAGTTAAGAAATATTTGTTTAACGTAAAACCTTTTCACGGGGATATTCTTTTTATTATAATTATATTTTTTTCTTTCGTATGAGAATTGAGAATATTGTTTAAGGTCTGAGAATTCCTAATGTACATTCCGTAACTAGACAATAATTATTTCCAATGAATTGTATTGGGACAATAACGATTATTATAAATCGAGATAAGGTACTTAACCAAGATTATATCTAGAACAACATTAACAAAACTTATATTAGGTAATTTTACTCTAGATACTTGAATATTTTATTGAAAAATTAAATGGTGCTTTAAAATATTTTTATCAATGAATTTATTATACACATTACTATCTACGGTACAGTATTGGTATGAATTTTCCCTAATTACTTAATTCTACTTAAGCCATTGTCGATAAAACGGTCATGGACTTGGTTTGCGTGTAGAGATCTATGATAAATGATTTATTTTTTCACTTGTATGTCATTCCAAATCCAAACAAGATTATTAAAGTCTTAATCTACTTAGTATAAAAAAAGGACGATGTTAAATTTTTTTGTGTACATTTTAAGTTAACGGCCTTTAGATAAGTGGATTGTTGAGATTGTTACTTAAGTTCATTTCGAGATTAAGTGCCTAAAGTATTGTATATTTAACTATTTTATTGTAACTACCGTTTTTATAACAAAATATTATTTACAATTATTGACGATACATCTGTAGTAAAAATTTGATGGGTTTTTAAGTTTTCAGAAACATTTAAACTTGTTTTCGCTTAATTAAATATCGTATTGTACGTGGTAGTGTATCGTGTTATATGTTATGATAGAATACTATACTTTTATTAATTGTAACAATATTATGCGATGAAATAAATCAGTAAAATTATAATTAATTTTGATTTTTTATTCGTATCCTTTCATTCTTATATAGAAATTTGATTTTATCGTAATTTCGACATCAAATACGTGAACTTGGCACATATAAAACACATTTGACAAAGTCATTTAAATGCCACCTAAGCTTCAATTTATTAAAAGCAAAACCGAAATACACATATGAAGAATGAAAAAATCAATGGAAAAGTTGTCTTCGGAAAGATCGTGTTCGGAGGCGGAGGTGTTATTTTCCTACAAGCGTTATTTCATTAATAACGTTGATTCATATCACGGCGAATATATATTAAATGAAGTGTCGAAGGTGTTAGACAAGAATGCGACGGAATCGGTGAAACAGCCGTCCCAGACGGTTCTTGGGGAGGATGCTGTGGATATTCTTCCACCGCCGCCGCCAGAACAGCCCTATGAAATTATTGGTAAGGAGTTTTTTTTATTGTTCTACTGACTGTAGAAGTGCCTAAATGCTCTGTCGATAGATCGATTCAGCCGTTCGGTGTCCACTGCTGGACACAGGCCTCCCCCATAGACTTACAGCACGACCGGTCGTTCGCTAGTTGAATCCAGCGTTTCCCTGCTACCTTGACCAGGTCGTCGGTCCGCCTGATAGGAGGTCGTCCAGGTTTTCGACGCACGGTACGTGGCCGCTATGTGCCTAGCCCACTGCCACTTCAGCTTGCTTAATGCTCTGTACTGCTGTATAATACACCGCTATACAATGCCAATCTAATATTTCACGTATACCTATTTAGTGTTTATTTTAAACTGTGTTTTCTGTTATGTGTGTGAAATAAATTGTCTGTATGGATTCACGCCTTTACCTTCCAATGGTCCATTTTTATTATTTATATATAAAAAAGTTAGCATTAAGTTTGTAAATACGAAATACATTTAAATAAAACACTTTTAACGGTTTAAAATGCGAAATATATTAGTTAACTTATCTACAATGTATTTTAACTAGACGTTTTCAACCTTTAAGTGTTTTACTTCAATGTAAAAATGTACTTCCTCCCCAGGTACTGTCTCTGATCCCAAGATAAAATCAGTGGATAATGTCGCTCGTATTGTTCCGAAAACCGAATGCCTGCCGATCATGTTGACATGTGGAACACTCATATTAGACATAAGCTACGATAGAGAAGAGCTTTCAATTACAATGGAGTTTTTGAAGCGTATGTGACTTTGAATCAATACCCATTTGTCTTATTCCCTTTCAACCTAACTGGCTTCATAGAATGCAGCTATTCTATTTTCAAATTAATTATGAATAATGTATGTCCTAGTTCTGAAAACTCTATTAGAGAGGCAAGCTGGTCAGGATGTACCTGATGCAGATGACGATGGCGGAGCCGGAGAGTCCAAAAAGCGCTATCTAATACTAGTGTCGACTGTTATGACATGGGGTGTTACAAAACCTTTGGATCCAGTAAAGATTGCTTACATATTTTTTATACGATTTTTTATCAAAAAGAAAATCTTTGCGAAGGTTGCTTCTGATTTATATATTTTAGGATACGCCTGACATGCCGTTTATTGAGACGGATTTTAGGAAACGGAAAGCTCACCCCAGCTACAAAATGCACTACGATGTGGAGAACGAAGTTGTGCTGATAGCTAGGAAATATCGAGCTCAGATTGGGTACAGTGCCTACTCTTATTCATAGCCATATTTAGATAATCGAGGCAGAGTGGTCTAATAACATAATTTTCAATAAAGAGGTAAATAAACATGCGCAAATAACTTAGGTGAAATTGAATTTGTACTATTATTTGTGTAAGAATTTCTTTGAACATTTCAAGACTATAAAAATATAATTAAATCAAGTCATAAATTGCAGTTAGGTTTTTCTACCTCTAGCGGCCTTAATTTAAACATATCATATGTCCCTTACGTAGTTGTAGGTGAATACTCTTTTATCCGTTAGACTTTTACGATATATGTATCAAATCGTATTTACTAGGGCAATTGTCGTCGCTGCTGGTGTTACATATGGGGGACGTGAGGACGTTCTCTTTTACTGGTTCCAAAAGGCTTGGGAGTGTGAGCCTCTATTGCCTATACTGGGACGTGGTGGAAATGTTATCCCGCTGATTAATGTTCAGGATTTGGCGCAGTTAGTAGATACATATGTTATACTAAGTCACTATTAGGAGGTGAAATATTACCAAAAATATTTTGTATGTATAACTGTTGGACATCAAAATTCAATTTACCTTATATAATACAGAATATTTTATCTGGCTTTACGATTTCGTTACTGGCCGTGATATCTTTTCGAGAGGTTCAATAATCGAGATTAAAAATGATAACCCATTTAAGCGATGCTGTCCATTCCAGAATCATCTACAATTTGATAACTGATTTTCCAAAGAAACTCTACATTTTGGCGGTTGAACAAAACGTAACCAAGCAGAGAGAGGTATGTAGCTGTGGGCAATTAATTGCATATCCTACGAAGACTAACGGTTTCTTACAATTAATTTAGATAGTAAAACCATTGGGTCGTATTGTTGGATCTGGATTATTCAAATGCATTCCGCCAGAAGACGCCTTCTTGATTCCGGAAATTGACGTAAGCTTCTGATATGCTAATACATTACTATAACTGTTTTCTGTAATATTAAAAACAAATTTAGCAAAGGATTTACGACCTATTGACGCTAAATTTGAACATGGAGCCAACGTTTATTGTCGAAACAATGGGCCTACAATGGACCTCAGAACTCACCTTTGCAGAGAATGTGCCGATGCTTATGAAACAGTTTAAAAAGGAGAGAGGATTGAAACCTTTCAAGGTGGTGTCATCCTAGAGCCTTTTTGTGCAATATTGTAAAGTTCATATGATAATACCAACAAATGTATATTGTAGGTAATTGTATACGGACCGCCGATCGTAGGTAAAACTACGCTGTCGAAACTTATCTGTGAAGCGTATGGTTTAATTTACATATCGCCAGATACAGTTGCGGATGATATAATGAATGATTTGGTACGTTATAGGCACTATTACTTTCTATGTTAGCTTTAATGTACTTACTTATAGTCTGTAGTTAACACGAGTAGTAGACACCCAATTATAACATTTTTACCGGTTTAAAACGCCAAATATATTGGTTAGTTTATTTTTAATTAAATTTATCCACGGCCCGATATTTGGACTCCCCTCGTGACCAAATCCGAAAACTAGGTATACAAATACAAATTCTTTGTTTACCAAGACTGTGTACATTTCATTATAGGGTGTGCTAGCGAGGATAAAGGGATCTAAATAAAGTTTTTTATATGAAAAATTACATGATGATGTTTTTAAATACATAAACATTAACTTATGGTTAGAACAAATTCCTTAGAAAAGAGCCTGCATCTTCCTTTTAGTTTTATAAAATGGCTCGTTTTTAGTGGTTTGCTGTCTTAAGGACTCGTAATATTTGTTAAGGCATGGCGTGTTCACCATTGGGAGATCGGTGAAACCGCCGGGCTTCCTATACGTAATGCAGAAGAAGAAGATGCTCTACCGGATGATGATGAAGATGACCCTGGCGTAGAAGTAGAAGTCCAGGAGACTGCTCGCCAGACTCTTGCCTTGTTGCAATCAGGCAGGACCCTTACTGACGAAGAAACGTTGGGGTCCGTATCTAGTATGAATATTCATTTTTTTAAATAAAATTTTTAGATGTTATATATTAATAAGTATTGATAAAAACATTTAAGGTATTTGAGACAAAGAATGTTAAATCGTGAAGCTCTAAATAGAGGATGGGTGCTAGATGGATTTCCAACGAATTTAGCGCAATGCTCTATAGGTATGTATTTTAATTAAAAATAAAATCAGACAAAAAAAATATTGATACAGACGATTTGAATGCTACCAAATCGCGACTACATTATGATGTTAAATTGTGTAAGGCTTTCACGGACATCATAATTCATATTACTGTCTTTCGGGCTGTTCGGCCGATGTGAGCGAGAAGAGGTTCTCGACGTTTCGCCATCACGTGTGGACGGCATCGTCAGGAGATGTTGACTCCTCGATTGCTCGAATAATTATCATCATAATTCTTCGATATGAATTATGATGTTAATTAAAGTCATTGTAATTACACCTGATTCTAACAGAACTATTTATTTAGTATTTGACAAGGGGGACGAACAGGATTCTGAAGCTGGAGAAGAGGCCGATGAAGAGAAGTTCGACGAAGATCTAGATCTTTACAGTAATGTTCTCAAAAAGCTTTTACCTTGTACGAAATTACTCCAACGAATGGTATTCAAATGATCTACACTATCTAACAATAGCTCTTTGTAGATATCGTGGTGTCTTTAGAAGCAACGGACGACTTTATTTGCGATAAGGCGATGCGCCAACCCGACGGTGACTCACGGCTAGATGAAGAAACAGTTCTGAAACGACTCAGCGAGTTTAGGCTTAACGATGGCCGTGACGTCACTCCACTTAATTTCTTTGACGAGCTCGATATTCATCCGCTTGTTGTACCTGTTAAGGAACATTCAGATTATAGTATGAAAGGAGCTTATGCAGCGGTCGCTTTAAGAATGGGGCGGCCTTGTCGATATGGAAAGCTTATCGGTTAGTTTATGGAAGACTACAAGTTATTCATTAAAGATTTTCTTAGATCATTGTCAATACTTTCGTAAATAGAAATTAGTTTATTGATTTATTTCCTTAGCATTAGTTGAAGCCGCAGAGAAGAAGGAAAAGGCTGATCTGGAAACGCTTCGGTCAAAGGAAGCGAAAGCTTTAAAAGAACTCGAGAAGAAAATGCAAGAAGAACGCGAGGATAAGATGGAATATTGGGTGCGTACATGTTAACAGAACTTTACATAAAATACATTATTTATCAACGCAAAGCCTCTAAACAAGAAGACTTGTATTGGTCTGTAATGTTGGGTGTAAAATACGAATACGCAACGATGAGTTGGCCCAGAGATATTACTTCGTGTAATCAATCCAAAATCCAAAAAAATATTTTATTTATTAATATTGAATTAAAGATTTTATTTAATAAAATAGACTGAACTCTTACACAAATGTTAGGTAAATGCCAAACACATACCATACCCTAATATGTAATTAATATCGTAGTCGGAGCTGTACTTATTGATGCAAGAAGAGGAAGAGGCTGCGCTTGCGGCAGCAAGCGAGCCAATGCGCAATTACCTCATTAACCACATCTTCCCAACCCTCACTCCTGCGCTACTCGAAGTGGCCAAGTTGCGTCCCGATGACCCCATTGATTTTCTGGTAAAAAAATCAGTTTTAATTTAAAGTGTTATTTCTATAATTTATAGAAAACATCTTAAATTTAAATTACGAATAATTAAATGTAGTATAAAACCATAATGGCATAGAAAGCTATGGGTTATAAAGTAAAGAGTATACAAATGTACACAAATTACTAAAAAAATAATAAGTATATGTAGGAAAAAGAAAATAGACCAAACCCTTTTATTCTTCTGCTTTTAAATAAAATATTTTATTAATAATTATTGATTTAAAACCAATTCCACATCCTCACAGAACAATAATTCCAATATGAGAATAAACAAATTTTTTAACATATAATATCTTTGCACATACATATATATTTTTTTGGTTTCCTAGTCCATGGCACCGGTAATTAAATCTTTCAATTTGCACGTTTAGGCAGAGCATCTGTTCAAGTTGAACCCAACCGGAAAAATGCTAGAGCCGGGTTACAATTTACAAGCGGAGAAGTTGCTCGGCAAGATTAAGATCTTGGACGATGCGTTGAAAGATCTAGATATCAAAATAGACCCACTGCTTCCGCCCGAATGTGCTGTCGACGATCCTTCGGCGTCCAGGAAGAACATTAATAGTATGAGTGCCTTATAAGATTTGAAATGAATGGTTTCTTTTAATCATTAAAAAATAAAAAACGACAGTTGTGTTTCATTTTATAGAACATTTTTTCATTGAAAATTTATTTTTAGATTTTTTTTATGACAGAGGAGGACAGCCAATCACGGATTTTACTTAATTGAAGATGAGTAGTAGTCATATACTAAATATCTCAACACGATGCATTGTCAACCTTTTCTTTAACCTTTGATTATTCAGAAATCTGAAACCGCAACGCAAAATTTTCGTTTATGGGCGGAGCTTCGTGCCGCGAACAATTTTGTATCAGGATTCCTACCACACTTTTAATAAAAAAAAATGATTACGCACAGGCAGACTACAAACCCACGACTATGACTATGACTCCATTTTTCTTTGGAGTGCGTAAGATTTCGAAGTATCCAAGTCGAAATATCATAGCGTGCCTTATGAGAATTGTATGAAAATTAAAAGCATGAAACATTCCATGATACTGCATTCTACTAAACAAGACACGACGTAGGACGTGGGTTCAATTCCCATTTATCATTTTTACAAAACTTTTAGAAGCGCCTCAGTATTATTTTATATAAAATCGGTTAAATCCAATTAACGAAAAGTTTCGGTAACCTTAATGTATAAATTACTGTTAAATTTTATCGGCTAACAAAACATGTGATGTTATCTGCCTTGCGTGATACATTGTCGTGTCGTTATATTTCATATCAAAACAGTTACCATTGGATTGTATGTCATTAGAATCGATATCTGAGTTTCGTGTTATGACAAATCACAACAATGAAGGTCTATCCGCAACAAAGATTAGAGTACCAACGTACGGGTGTAAGAAATAGAAGGACGTGGTTCCCTGAACAAAATAAATATGAAAGCAAAGATAATATTGTCTCGCTATTCGCAACGAGTTTACGTCATCAGACGACAGAGTTCTTTGAGAATTCTACGCTACACGGCGTTCGTTATATCGCTGAAAAGGGAAGACCGTTTTGTGAAAAGTAAGTAGGTTCAATTTAAACAATCCGTTTTTTTTTATGACAAGAAGAACAAGACATGCAAGCCTGCGGTTCACTGAAAGAAAAATATAATAGCATATAATTAAGGAGTAATGATGAAATGAATCCGAATTTCCGAAGCCAAAATAGGTCGATATTTTGGCTTCGGAAATTCGGATATTGAGTACTTAAACCGAAACGCGAATTTGAACGTGGCTTTTCGATGTTAGGATAGGGCTTTGATATTTCTATCACCCATTTAACGTCTAGATTTTCCAGGTGTTAAGAAAAATATGAATGTTTATTAGCCATATATAGTTATCAGTGTACCAGCAAACCCTACCAACAATATAAATCCTAATCCAGTTTGAATTATATTTACGGTAGTTTTGTTTTTTTTACAAAACAATACATAAATAAATTTTCTTTCAGGTTTATGTGGTTTTGCTTTACTTCTATAGGAGCAATAGCAACTTGCATTATAATCGTTAGTTTATGGGAGAAGTTTCAAACGAATCCGACCATTACTGGTATGTTAATTGTGATAAGTTTATAAGATTTCGACACTTTACATAAACTTTTTCATAATGTATTTAATTTTTCAAATGCATTCGTCTAGTAGTATGGTAAAGAAAAAGATTTTTTAAAATACCATGTAATGTCATGCATGAACGAAACCGTTAAGGGCGTTACGGAAAAAATCCAATGAGTTTTTCATGACGCCGTTTTATCTTATAAATAAATGTAAAATTTTGAATAAAGACAATAAATAAATAAGCATTGCACCAACATGACGGTATATTATCTAGTACTTTGTTGTTCTTTGTATTATTTCTTTATTCAATAAAGTGTTATTACTCACATTGTTTTTTAACAGGATTGGACACGGATTTCCACAATTGGGACGTACCCTTCCCCGCTGTCACAATCTGTGATAGAAATCCCATTGATGACGACCTTTTACAAGATTACATCGATAAGTTAATAAGTTTATTAAAAACCAGCTTCACTTATGTAACTAAATGCGTGCTAATTATTATTTTTTCTCAGAATATGGGGTTCGGAACTACCGGCGAACGCAGACGAAATGCTACGATGGTTATCCATGTTGAGTTATCAGTCCATCGCAGCTAGAGCTTCGGAATTTAATTCGAAGAGCCTAACTGAAAGTAATCCCGCGATGAACACAAAAGAAGCCGTATTTAATGTTTGTTAATTTGACTAGACCTTGTAATCAAACATACTATACATTACCTTAAGCGACATTTTCTAGCCTGTTACAACGCCAGTCTTATTGTCAAACACAAGAGACAAATTTCTTTTTATGTATCAATTATCAACTTACGAGCTCTGCCTAACGGAAACTGTTTATTATATTTACCCGGGAATCAAACCTGTGTCTTCCTGCATTGCATTGAACAGGGAAACGCGGTCTCTCAATTTTATTACTTTAACCTACTCTTTTAAATAAAACACGTTAACGGTTTAAAACGCGATATATTAGTTAAACTTATTTGAAAATGATTTTTAACTTCGGCCCGACGATTCGGATGCTTTGCAGCAGCCGTGGTCACGGGGAGACGTGTATAAGTTTAACTAATATATCGCGTTTAAACCGTTAAAGTGTTTTATTTAAATGTGTACTACTCGCGTAAACTATAGACAGTATTTATTTAACCTACTCTTTTAAATTTATAAGTTTACATTGTTTCTCTAATATTTTCACTTTATTTGTGTATTTATTTTAGTTAAACTTGTTGGCCGAAGTTAAAACAAGTTTAACTAAAATAGCTCGCCGTTTAAACCGTTTATTATTATTATATCAGCTAATGCCTCGATCCTACTTGTACTATAACAGTTTTGCGTGTTAAAAATAAATTTCAGATTGTACGTCATTGTGAAAATTTGTTCTACGACTGTGAATGGAAGGGTGATTCGGAAGAATGTTGCGATTTAGTGGCGCCAGTTTTCACTGAGATGGGCTTTTGCTATGCTTTTAACTCTAAACATGCCGAGAAGACATGGCCTTGGTAAAGACAACTACAATTTCCCAATAAAACTTTAAATAACTATACTTATCACATGCAGTGATGTTCTCTTACAGGCAAACGCAAAACGATGAGTTCGTAGAAGCGTTCATTCACGAAACAGATGCCAAATGGTCGTTCATGTTTAATTCATTTCGTAACGATACAACAATTGACGTAAGAAATAAGTTTTAATAACAATCTATCTCCACTATGTATAATTGTACCTATACTATATAACAAGCTGATTCGGCGAACGTTGTTATTTGTTGCCAATCTAACACATAATTGGTAACAATTTCGACTAAATTTTCTTAAACTGTTTCAATTTGAACCAGTAGTTTCTGAGATTAGCGCATTTATCTTATTTTAAAATGCCTTTATATTTTGTCATTCAATATGAAGCCCAGAAACCGATGTATCTCTGGCTGTAGCCGCTTTAATTTTTTTACATTCGTGAGCTCGTCAAGATCAACTTTATTTTATATTCATTCTTCTTATAGATTTATATTCATTCAACTGAAGAAATGGCGGGTCTGGAGCAAAGCGTCCAGCACTCTTGGGACCGGCGAGTGGAGAAGGTCTCCTTTTCAGTAAAGCACACATACACCACAGAGGACGCGAGGCAACTCTCTGTACGACAAAGACGCTGTATATTCGCTGATGAGCAAAAATTGGAGACATCAAATATATACACGTATACAGCGTGTATGAGGCAGTGTAGGATGCAGCGATGTCGGTCGTATTGCAGCTGTGTTCCGCATTTTTATCCGCCTACAAGTATGTCTTAATGTTGCTGTTTTTATGACTCTGCTTTATTGAACAAATGGCGTCGAACATGTTATATTTCTATATTAAATAGATATGAGGCTACTAGAGGCAGAGTGGCCTGATAACAATAAACATACCTAATTTATAATAAGGAGGAAAATAAAAATGCGCAATAAACTAAATATAATATAATAAAAATTGTACTATTTTGTGTGTAAAATTAATTCGAAAATTTTTTTTCAATTTATTTTCGCTTTTTAAATTATATAGTGTCTTCATATGCAGTAACATGTGAAAAATAACAAAGTTTCATGCCTTATTTTCAGTTAGTTCATGTAGGTTTACAGATATTTAATTTGTCCGTGTGTTTTTTATCGGAAAGTCTTGCGTGAGAAATTATTTAATAGCACATCTTTGTCTTCTCCGTCTTATATAGTTTCACAATATAGAATCTCTTACTTTTTACTAAGTTTAACTAATATATCGCGTTTTAAACCGTTAAAGTGTTTTATTTAAATATGTACTACTCGCGTAAACTATAGACAGTATCTTTTACTAATTAGTAATTAAAAATATCTTTTTCAGAAGGCTACCGTCATTGTACTGTGAAGGAATTGGAGTGCATAGCCAAGAACGTAGCTGCTATCACAGATGTGAACCGGTGCAACTGTGAACTCGGTTGCACTCATACTGTTTATGAAGTTGAGAAACTCACAGAGATCGAGTATGAAACTTCATATTATTATAACAGTCTCGGATACTTCGTTAGAGTCCTTGATAATAAGCAGCGTGGAATCCTAATGCGTTATTGTAAAATTTCATCAATATCAGCTTAGTCTTTTTTGTATGTAATTTATATTCTTTCACACATATTTGTTGTAGACAAATCTCTAAAGCTTTTTAAGGAAAATCTATTTAATAAACATTTGGCTAAGCATCAACGGCTCGATCCCAACGGGATCCAACATTTTTGTAATCAATTTATAATTTGTCTGAAACATGTTGGATATTAAATGGATGGTACCCCTACCATCAAAAATCCTATCCTATCATCAAAATTCCGTCCGGGTCACGAACCACCGTCCACATGAAAAAGCCGTGATGTGTAATCGCGTTTCGGATTTCAAAATAGAAAAACAACGCATCTTGTTTAGATGTTATTTGGCTGGGGTATTACACTTTATAAGATATATGTTTGATCCAGTAACTGGATAGCGTAATAAATTAAATGCTTTTCAGCGCCAGTAAAGCATCAGCAGCAACGAACTCGCTGGAAACCGAATTCGTCTCATGGCCAATGGTACGATACAAACGAGAAGTGTTGTTTGGGTGGGTCGATTTATTAGGTACGTGAAGATATTTAAATAGAACACTTTAACGGTTTAAAACGCGATATATTAGTTTAATTTATTTGAAAAATTATTTTTAACCTCGGCCCGACGTTTCCGATGCTTTGTAGCAGCCGTGGTCACGGGGAGATGTTTAAAATTCATTTCAGATTCAAACAATCTACACGGTCGGGATTCAAACCCACGACTAGTGCTCCGTGCTTTAGTAGTGGACGTGACATGTCCTGTCCATAATTAGGTACCACAATTATTTTATGCACTCCTCGCGAATAAAGTTTAAGGTTATATACTTAGATTTCATTCATACTTACATCTGAATAACTTTTTATTTACTATAAAAACGCTTTGATGACTTTTTTTTCAGTGTCCTTTGGCGGTATAGCCGGTTTGTTCCTAGGATTTTCACTGTTATCCGGCGTAGAGATCATTTACTACTTCACATTGCGGGCCTGTTGCGCGATTGTTCGCGACCGAGACATGTTGCGGAAGGAGCGAGAACAGCGACGTGCGAAAACTAAACCTTTGCATCAAATAAATCCGTGGTAATTTTAATACTATTTTTCAATAAAACTACGGCCCGATGTTTTGGTGGTCCCACTTGACCACGGATGCTGCAAAGCATCCGAAACGTTGGCCCGAAGTTAAAAACCATTTTCAAATAAGTTTAACTAATTATCGCGTTATATTTAAATGTGTACAATAGACAGTACAAAAATAATTTTTCATTTCGAACCAGTAGTTCCAGAGTAGCGCATTAAAACAAACAAGCTCTTCAGCTTGAGCTATTAGTATAGACATTAAGTGTATCATTTCTTTCCAGGTCAACACGAGAACCACCACTTCGAACCCTGAAACCTTTCCAAATTCAAGTGCAACATTATAGACCTCGTTACTTACCTCCTCCGACGTACTATGGATACTTACCGTAGACATAACCAAAATGAAACATTCTTCAGGTAATAATAATACACTGAAACTATTTGATTAACGAATTTTATTCAATACATTTGGTCACATCAATTTTAGTTTTTCATTAAAGTCAAGATTTATCAAACTACATTTTCTTGAACATAAAAAACAGTCAACAGGTTCCCAATATTCGAGAAATATTCAACAAGAATCGCGGACCACAGTTTAATGATGATACGAGAGAATAAGCAATCTTCTTAGTAGTATTCAAGAAAAATCTATATATGTCCTACAATTAACACCGATACTAGTTAAATTTAGACCCAATTCCACCAAGAAATAATGACGTTGATTAAAATTGACCGACCGGTTAACTGGAGACTTATAAGTTAACATAAATCTGACAACCGATTATTTTTTAACCATTGTTCCTCCGTGAAATTGGATCTCAACATGATTGCACTAACCTTTCAAAGAACACCTCTAAAGTCGTACATCCATAAACTAGTGTTTCATTGAAAAATCCTTACGTCTCTTTTGTCTAATTCAACTAAGTACTAGATTAAGGAATGAAGCATAGCCTTAAATAATACTAAATTAACTAATAAAACTCTGCGTTATTAAAATACGATTAGACAAAGAAAATTTGATAAAACTTTAAATACTGTTACAAAATTCTATCGGCAAATCCATTTAAAGTTATCTAATTACATTTACTGTATCACGGTATATCGTATAATATAAAGATATGAACGTAAGCATTCCTACGTGTAACAAAATTTTATCGCCACTGCTTTGCTTGCCCTTAGACAGTCAGCTAAATAGCTATCGCGTATAAATACAATAGCTATATTAAATAAGTGACTTAAATGAGCAAACATAACAAAAAATTTAAATGCATCTAAACTAGACACAACACTCAGATAAACCAAAAACTACACAATTAGTTGTTAATATTAACAATTTTTAACAATATAATTTAAAAGTTTATTATAAGAATCTGTGTAAAATTCTTTGAAATGTGAAAACAGACCCAGGGGGAAATTCTCGATATTTTAGATTTGTATGTATTTACTAATACAGTAGATATAAAATGTATAACAACGTACAAATACAAATAATGATAATTGCAGTTAACCGGCCTTTAAACTAAAAATTTTAAATTGTTCAATTGACAGCCGTTAACTGCCCTAATCCGAATGATAATTTTTCGCTGAAACTGGATAATTTTGAGAATTTCCGACCAGGTTACAAAAATCACCTTCACATATGTTTGAATGGTTAAGTAAAGAGTAACTATTATTTGGTTATACGAATAAATTAAGTAAAAAGGCATTAGGTGAATAGTGTAACGTGTTGAACACGGTACACTTGAGATCTATTTACATTTTAAGAGGTAACTATTAAAAAAAAAATGTTTTATAGAGGTTCAATAAAGAAAACATTTTCCCTATAGTTAAGTTACTCGAAGTAGAAAAAGTTGATTAAGGTTAGTTATATGTTAAAGTTGTAATATTTAGACAGACATGATATATTATAACAATTGTAAAAATCGCAATAAATACCAGAATTTATAAGGCTTTCGTGGGCAAGTATTGAAGCTACTAGGGTTTCGAGTTGTTCATTTGTCGTATTTGAGAAATGGTTTACAATTACGACGAAAACACGATAACCCGAACAATGATAATTCGATATTAAATAAGTACCGATTACAACAAAAGTACTCGCATAAATGCTTAAAAAATATCTACAAATAAATACTTCACGTAATATTTGTCTACAATGCTATCTTTACCTATGTACAGAGCGGGGTAGGACAATATTAAAAATATTTTAATTTTTATCGCATTTGATACAGAATGGAGTGCAGCAACTAAAATCGCTTTAATCTCATGCAGATATCTGGAGAAGTACTTAAATATATATTATACAAAAAAAATATATATAGAAGAGAGAAAAAATGCCTAAGTTAGTTTTAATTGATGACGTAATAACTGCTAACTCATGACAGCACTTAGTTTTACAATAAGACATGCCCTTTTAAATTAACCAACTTTAGTAATGTAGAAAATGAAGAAAAAAACGTAGTAATGGTAACTACATAAGGGCAGCACTATGCATATAAAGAAATTAATAAGAAACTTCAAATATGCCTGATCAACAAAGTCTACATTACCTATTTTTCTCCTTTAAAAACGGGAGAGTGAATTAATCCAAACATTATCTTCATTATATCGGTTTCAAAAACTTTTGAAAACACTATATACAACAGTTTATATAAAATATTTACTAGGACTTAACGCTCCGGTACAAAAAATCATGCGACATTTAATTTCCAAATTTTTTTTATTATTATTTGATTTGGCAAGTATTTCACGGGGCCTGCTTCAAGTGTCGGGAAGTCCAAACGATAACTCTCCGTCTAGCGACAAAGACAACATATATTGGATAATTCTCAACATGGAAACATTTTTAAACTGAGCGATATAAGACTTACGCCTTAGTGATAAAAGTCGACGGAAATCTTTTATCACTTAATTTAACTAAATTCATATATACTTTCTGCTTTATGAGAGTTAAAAAGTCCTTTTGAAACTACTTATAATATAAAGGTAATTAAGTCATACAATGAACCTATACATGTATGTCAGCAGACGTGCGAGGGCGAGTGGGGGGGCCAGAGGGGGCATTCAGCGTCTGCTGAATTTTCCTCTTTATTATTGGAGCATCGTCGGAACGACCGGTACAAGTTGCTGAACAGCTGCGGGTCTGAGAATGTCGCCTGCAATAATAAAAATTATATGAAATAAAGACAAATGGGAATTTATAAATTAAGATTAAAATAGCCCTTAGTTTTATAGAGTTCAATAAGGTGGTCCAGTTCGGCCAAGTTGACGAATGATAAAGTAACCGGTGGGTAATTTGCTAGTTAAAAAGTATGAAATCCCGTTTTCCCAATGATGAGTGTATGAGGAACCCAGACTTCTGTGTCTATTATGACGTATATCTGTAGGATTTAATTACAAGCAAGTAGTTGATCACACTTTTGTGTCCGACCAAAACAATCTTTTGTTTCTTTGGGATTTGAACCCACGACACCTTGCGCTTAACCCAACGGTAAAACTTTCAACATTCATTTTCAGGCTATGGTAATTCGAAAGTTAATGTATGTAAAAGTAAATTTCTTGAAGCATAGAAAACCTATATCTAACGAATAAAAAACGTGTCGATAATTGTTGAATTAAAAAAGGTATAGTTAAAGGTTTTTTACGTAATTACTTACAAAACATAATTATTATAAAAAAGTATAAAAATAATATGACATTATATAGTTAACACAGTTATTAAATTATATATTTGACTTACTTCAACACCAACAGCTAGCAGCAGATGCAGCATAGGTATAATAAGAATATATATACGGAAGTAGTTCTGTTCTACATAAGCCGGTCGCATCACTTCCACTTCCATCCAATCGGCGAGGTCTGACCACGGACAGAACAGCAGAAGCGTGACAAACACCGCTTGACTCATTAGTGTTATCACCATGTAATCTGAAATATTTTCATTTAAATTAGGAAAAATATCATTATACAATTCCAGAATTAACGAAGTCACGACTAATTATTAATTGAATGGAAAAATTAAAACGATTTTCAATGATTCATAGAAAGCGACAATAAATAATATATTTCTTCTGAAACATGCTTTGAAATTTTAGCATTATTTTGACAACATTCTTCGAGATAAATCATTCTTTTGCTATATTGGTCGAGTAGCGGCCGGCATTAGTCGTATGAAAATCCATATTTATCGTGTAAATAAAACACCTTACCGGTTTAAAACGCGATATATATTAAACTTATTTGAAAATTATTTCTTACTACAGCCCGACGTTTCGGATGCATTTAAGCAGCCGTGGTCGTCGGGCCGTAGTTAATAAAAATTTCCAAATAAGTTTAACTTAAATATATCGCGTTTTAAAACGTAAACTGCAGATAGTATTATTATATTTGTCGTGTAATTTAAAAATGGAACGTTCTTTTTTCGGCAACATGGCGACCAAAGAGGTAACTTATAAACGGTTTAATTTAAATTTCGAACTAGTTTGAACTTTTTATTTAAGCAAGTTTTGTCACATTTGAAAAAACATGGTATGCTTCAGCCATATTGACTAGCGTATTACGTATTAACGGCCTAAAAACTGTTAGTATCTCATATAATGCCTTCATTCATATGTATGATTAAAAATATAAACGTATATACTCACAATTGGCACAAAACGGTTGCCTAAAGGGCCAGCCCTTAGCGTAGACGCACGCCATAATTAAATATTGGAATGCCGAAATAATAAATATTACTGAGTTCTCCCAGCACATGACCTGCTCCACGTCTGGACCGCCTTTTACTGATTCGAACCTAGAAATAAAATCGAGTTCGAAAGAATTAATACTTATTTTTGAAAAAAAAAAGTCTGAAGACAGAAAGAGACAAATATAATATTACAACTAACAATGACAACGATTAATGTGCAAGACTTTCTTGGCATTTCTATTGTAATATAAAAAAAAAAATACTGCCATCTATCCTCTGGTATGACGTCAATTTATAGTAATACATGAACTTCCAAACTGATTTTAAGCTAACAAAATATTGTGTCGCCTAGACACCATTAAACATTTGAATGAAAGAGACAACATATGATAAACCCTTTTCACGTTATAACACTCATTGTACTTACCATGGCTGTGAGAACAGCAAGACAGTCGCGACTACTTGCACGAGTAGTACTAGCGTGACTTGAATGAAGAGTGGCAAAAGACTGGACAGTGCCACTAGCGAGACAGGCGGAGATTGCTTTGTCAGAACCGGTCCTGGTCCGGCTCGGCCCAGCGAGAGCGCTAACAGTGTAGTTAGCACCAGATCAATGTATAGGAACTGGTTGTTACCCAGGATTGAGTAGAACTGAACATCAAAATATTTATCTGGTTTTACATTCAGAAAAATTTTCAACAAACAGCCTAGGTTGGAATGCAAAAGGCGCATTGTAATTTCGACCATATACCCTTAGTTATAAAAATTGTATATTTGTATCGTGTAAATAATAAAAAAATATTCTTTTCATACGAGGAGGGCAAACATGCTTGGAGTTCACTTGACCATCTAAACGAGATGCGAAGAAACCTTTGGCCTTGGATATTCAATTTTACGGCTTTATTATTTGTTAAATATTACTAAGACCTATTGAATATCTAGATTTCCAGAAGAAGTTCCACATGTTACAAAGAAAATATATAAAAAGATTAGACCCGGTGGGTATCGAACCAACGACCATTGATACCGTATTCTTTTTTTACATGTGCATGTGTAAAACAAATAAGTGCACATAAAATGATTGACTGATGTTAATAAATCTACAAAATAACTATAAAAACGTATAAGAATTTTACTTACATTGTAAAGTATCAGGATAGAGAAGAATTGTATGAGAGAGTAGAGAGCCATGTATTTGAAGATAGCGAATGATGTACTAAGGGCACAGCGACCTTCCAGTGCTAGCAGCTTAACGCATCGTATGTTTTGCTCTTGTGAAGTGAATGGTGCAGCGACTAAAAAAATAGGATGAAATTAATTATTATGCCGTAGTACAGATTATATAAATGTATGTGTCCAATTAAATGTATTGCTATGGTAAAAAATATGGTATACTGATTTTTTTGTAGAAGTATATTGCAAGAAACACTTTTTATATCTTTACACATACATCTACATGTTTATTGTTATTATTATAGAATAATTTAATTCTGGAAACTAGACTAAATCGAGACAATAAAAGTCACGGCTTCTGTAATTTGTATATAGAACTACATACAATCAACCGTTGCCATGACAACGAAATATTTACCAGAGGCATCCGCTTCAGATAGAGATATTCCGACGTGCGCGGCCTTCAGCGCTCCGCAGTCATTGGCTCCGTCCCCACACATACCCACAATCAGCCCTTCACCTTGCAACGCTGTTATCAACTGCGTTTTTTGATCAGGTCCAAATCGGCCGAATATCATTCCTGAAATTTCAATATACCTATAAAATATACCGTTATACATTTATCTTAAAGAGGTTAGTTTGGTTATTGCTAAGTAACTCTTAAATTTTAATTTGATTATATAAACAAGTTACCTTTACTCATAACAGTAGGCATAAACTCAGGGTAATGCAACCGAACGACAGCCCAAGTCTTTCCCTCCATAGCAATGACATAGTCGTCTAAGGCCAATTTTGGGGGTCCACCTTCACCAATAATCTGTGAAAAAGGTAAATTAGTAACTTCATATAATAGTACAAATGCCTTAGTATGTTTGCTATTTTTTTACACTTTGATGAGATGACATTTGCTAGAATGTGGTTCAGTATTTTTTTAATGATGGAGGACCCCAGATTAAAGCATCTAAACAAGATGCTTAGTCGACCTATTTTGGCTTTGGATATTCGGAAATCCAAAGACTGAAGTCGAATCGTGATTCACGGCTTTTACATCTATTTATATAAAATATGTAATTGCATCTGTAAAAATTACAAATATCAAAAAAGGATTTCTAATGAAGTGAACTTCTCAAACTCTTCATAATATTGTAAAACATTTCTCGAATAGGTAAAAAAAAATTACCTCCATTGATAGCGGTGGTCTCTGATCACTCGTCTGTGGCACGCCTAATGTAACTAAAACCACTTTTTGTTGCGGCTGTACCATGAAACAGCCACGCGCCACTGACATGGCCGTCATTATGTTGTCACCTAAAATTAGCAATAAGTTTCTATGCTTACGAACATGATTTTCAAGGATATTTTGAACAAATGAAGCTTTAAAATACAACTCAACAATAGTTAATGAGTTTTAGCCTGAATTACTAAATTTGTGTTTTCAGATGTGGGTTTGTTTTCTATTCTCTTATAAAGATACTAGCTGTGCCAGCGACTTCGTTCGCGAGAATCGTTATTTTTAACGTTTAAGCTGTTAACCACGACGTCCACCGCATCCCTTCCCGTCGTTCTTGCAAGTTAATCTTCCAAGATAGACATATAGCGTCGTAGGGAAATCATTCTATCACACACAACTTTTAGGTATCTTGAACCGTTTTCGCAATGTACGCATCTGAAACCTGCAGAGATGAAATATTTCCCCCGTATTGTTCACATTTCTCGCTGTATCTTCGCTCCAATTAGTCACATCGCAATGTGTTATAGCCTATAACCCTCCTCGATAAATGCTATAACCAACACCAAAATAATTCGAACCCGTACTTCCTCAGATTAGCGCGTTCAAACAAACAAACTCTTCAGCTTTATATATTAGTAGAGATAAAGAGTTTTTTAAACTATAATAATAGGATTATAGTGGACACACTACTGAGTCCATTTTTCTTGACTTTCAAACGAAACTATCAGTACATGATATGAGGGAAAAAATTGAACAAAGATTCAGACGGGAATTTGAAGTACAGGTTATTTTTATCATTAGTTACTTGAAATTACAATTTACGTGTATTAATAATTCCGTTAAATTTGCCAGTAACTTACCAGTAACCATAATCTGTCTCATATTAGCCTCGTGCAGTTCTTTGATAACGTGGGTTGTCTCCGGTTTAAGACTGTTCTGCATGACTAGAAAACCTAGGAACGTCATTCCATACTCGAGCATCTCGCGTTTGACCCTTTGCGCGTCCATCCATTTCATTTTACGGTCCAACTTCTTATACGCGAGACCGATCACACGGAAACCGTTCGATGTGTATTCGTTCAGAGTGCTGTTGAAATTGTCGGGCAGCGACATTGGGTCGCACATGCCTGCGATCTAAAAGACAAATCTAATTAGGATTTCAGTTATAAGGTTATAAGTAAACACACGAAATAATCAAATTTTAATTACAAGTATGTCAAACACAAATTTTTATTCCACACACACCGAAAGAATCTAAGATTTTAGGGACCTTCTTAAAATTAAGTCGTGCCTAAAACTAAGAAAAACGCATATTTTTAGCGATATTTCTTCTTAATTTTATATAACAAAACTACAAGAATGAAAATGTGTTTACCTTAACATTAATTAAATCAAATTAGGTTATTATTAGATAAAACAATTTAAGAAAGAAGAGTAAGATTTACCTTTTCTGGAGCACCCTTTACATAATAGACCATTGAAGGTTGACCGAGCACTCGAGCAATAACACCCATCGACTGTTGTGACGATGAGAAGTGGAATCTTCGTAATAGACCGATCTAAAATAAATGTACTGTACTTAAAATAAATTCGAAAAATTAACTGTAATTATAATTTGAATGCTGATAGTAACATACCTCGTACGGCATTTCCATTGTCAAAGGGTCTAGATTGTCTAAATTCTGTAAGTCCTCATTGAGAGTAGACGGTGGCTTGACAATAGCTGGCGTGAGGTTATCGTATCGAGTATTCTCCGGGCCTGGCTCCTCCAGTACCTAGGATAAATCACGAATAATGTACCGCCGTAGCCTGTTAATATCTAAAATAAACTTGGAATATTTAATTATGGCTTAATATAGCAAAGCTCCATTTAGACAACATAAATTGCCTTGGCACAAGATTTCTAAGCATTGTTCTGTACTTTATGTTAGGTAATTTATTCTTTTGAAACAGTTAAATGTATTAATGACTTTTTGGAAAAAAAAAATAATATTGAAAATACATATTTTATTATGTTAAAAAACAAAATAAAAGAAGGTAGGAAGAAATTTACAATAATGCACTTGGCAACATACCCACTGAGTAAACTCAAACATCTTCAAATCCAGGGGATCCCCCTTCAATTGGCCTTGAATACTCGTCAGCGAGTGACACGACGCCAGTGCCTGTATCAAAGGGCTTTTGGACGGCAATGTAGTTATATCGTCCACACATCGGCCGAAGCTCTCATCTTGGTTAGATGGTATTACTGCGTATAGATCCAAACCGTCCTCTGTTAATGTTCCCGTCTGGAAGAAAAACAATGAAATAAGTAACAGTATTAAGATAATTTGTGGCACAAAAAAAAACAAAATATTTTTGCTTTCTTGTTATCTCTTCCGTAGTTTCATTTTTTTAAAACCCCTTTTCTACCAGAGGGGCACGAGTTACAATTATTTCTGTATGTTTCACAAGTCGATTTCATTTACGAGCTATAAATTAGGCTTCTATGCCCTGCTCGACCGAAACTATGTATTATATTCCCGTAGGAATTTAAACTAAGTCTTCCTCCGCTTAGCCAAAACGTTTAGCCCTTAAGGAGGCAGCAATTAATTAAACATATTTATAAAAATGTTACCCTATGGCACCCTACATCATTCAAATAATAAGCGATTTGACATGTGAAAGATAACAGACGGTATTATTATTTTATTTTTCATTTCTTTTTCGCATCGCTATTAAATCTGTAAATATTCGGTTACCTTATCAAAACACATCACTTGTAGTTTCCCACAGATAATAATTTTTGGGGGGGATACACAGAAAATTCGATTTTTTCTTCAACCGCTGCTGACTGTACACGATGCCAGCTGTCATCGCCGCAGGGAGTGCTGGCGGTACGACTATAGTTATTATGTCCAAAGTTCGCAATATTATTGTACCCAAGGAACTCTGTAAATGCAAGGAAATATTTAAATAACACAAAAACAATATATCAAATAAGATCGGACTCTGCAAAAAAAATTTCTTCGAATTACAAGTCATTCGAATCAGGCTATTCGAATTTCGCTGACACGCATATAACATAAATGGAGCTATGACAAACTCAAAACATGAGAACTAGAATAATGCAATATTTAACTGTGTCAGCGACTTCGTCGGCGTTATTGTACGCCATTGTATTAGGTATCAAAGATTGTTTGTATAATGCTCGTCTTCATCATTATAGATTTAAGCTATTGCCCACGACGTCGGTCGCGTCCCGTCGTTCTTGCAAGTTAATCTTCAAAGAAAACATTGAAATAATTATTGAGTATGTTGAACCGATCTCTAAACCCACAAAGATACTATATATACTACGATAATACATTTCCCCCGTTTTTTCCACATTTCCCGCTGTTTCCTCACTCCTATCAGTCGCGACGTTTTATAGCCTATAGCTTTCCTTGATAAATGCTCTAAACACGAAAATAATTTTTCAATTCCCACCAGTAGTTCTTGAGATTAACGCGTTCAAAGAAACAAACTAACTCGTCAGCTTTATATATTAATATAGATACAAGAGAAGTCAGATGTGATATAACTTACGCCTCTTTGAACATAAAGCCATATCGAATAGACCATGCCCATAGCTGCAATGCAAAACATGAAAATGACGAATTTAACAGCGTCCTTGTAGAACTGAAAGTCAAACTGCTTTGGGAAGAGTATACTTTTGATCAATTCTCCTTTGGCCGTGTAAAATCCAGTCCGGACTACTTTTGCTAGAACCTGAAATTAGAAGTACTTTTGAGTAAACCTATAAACGTAAAATATGTGAGTGTTAGTTGAGATTTTTTTTGCGAGGTGAACAGTACACGGACGGGGATTCCCTCCCCGTTTTTTATACAGTAGGAACAAAAGTGACCAGAAAAAAAAAACAGAAAACTTTCACGGTTTTCTTGCAGAAGCTTTTTTTTTAATTTATAAATATAAACCAGTAAATAACATTTTACAATTGATTTATTTACGAGTTTACCTAATACTAATATAATACTACATAATAGAATACATTATAATATTACATAATTTAAAACTATATATAGTAGGATAAAACGAATTTATTGTTATTTATTAGAGTTATGTAATTGAGTTGGGCATGCAACAGAAATAAAATTCGCATTAAAAATGTTATCATTTTACCCTTACTCATCATTTACAACATTATTTGCACATACAACTGTAGAATTACGAAATAGTAAAGAATGTTACAATAGCGGTGTTAATTACCTGATTATTGCCATAAAATCTCGTTTGAATGACGTGCGTGCCTGCGAAAAGCGTGTGCCGTTTGTGGTTTTCGGTAGAATACACTTCAAGTGTGGGGCAAGGCGGGCCCTTCATAACTGGGACACTTTCGCCTAAAATTACAAGATTTGCTTTTAAGGATTCATTAAGAAAGTAGACTATGACGAAAAATATTTGTTGAGCGCGAAAGTGCGAATCACAATATTCGATTGGGTAGTTTACAGGCAGATAAACTAAGTATCGTAAATAGAAAACAATCAGGCAAAGACACAGAAATGAGCCGGTTCCATGTACTTAGTGAAAGGAATGAAATTTCTCTATTTTCCTTTTTAATAACCTATACAGTATAAACAATTAACATTATGTTTTTAATACAATTTCGTATTGGTCACCCCAATATCCATTGTCTTTCAATACTTAAGGTATATAAAGATTTTCCTCAAAATAAAATTATATCCACGACGACAATTATGCAATAAGTTTCACATTATATTTGTAACATATTATTAAAAATAGTCCTTATTTTATATCACTTTATATGAATTGGCCCCATGGGTAAAATGTTATATCCCTTCACCCTTGAGATAATTTCTGAAGATCTCTGAAACATTACCTACCAGTAAGCATGCTCTCATTGACGATACAAGACCCGGTCAACAGCATAGCGTCACACGGCATCACGCATCCGTCAGGTGGGAGTACTAACACATCGCCCGGAACAAGCCGACTAGCATTTACCACGCACTCTTCCCGGCCGCTACGAGAAGGCCGAAGCACGGTTACGGTAAATGTGCTAGTAGAACCCGCCATCTTGTGTATCTTTCTGCTCATCTGCAAAGGTTATTGACTTAATCAGTTTGTTTTCTACTATAGGGTGCTTTATTCAATTATATCTTCTGAAACTACCTTAGTAGTAGACACTCTAGAATGTTGTGTTAAGAAACGCGAATTTGATACGGATATATTTAACCCAAGATAATAGTAGTAGAACTCTTCATAAAGTCCTGCATTCTCAATGTGGTTAGACAGTTAGTTCATAGTTGGCGACCTGGCTTTCATGCACGGCCCAACGGATACAACTTATTATATCTTATTTCTTTGCAATACAATGGAGGCTATATATAAACATGTTCATTAACATATCTTTAATTTGTATATTAATAATTAAAAATACACATAAGAATAATAACACAAAAGCGCATAAGCAGAAAATATCACCTATTCTTCAACAACATGATTCAAGCATTTTCCTTATTTCTATATTATAATAAGCGCAGGTTGTTCTTTGTTAACGGTATAGATGATTTTTATAGTCACCACATAATATTGTATATGCGAAGACTGTCTGTAATTTACGTGAGTAGTACAAATTTAAATAACACACTGTTAACGGAGCCGTGTTGTTTTAACATAGCCTTGGTTACGGCTGCTGCAAAGCATCCGAAATATGTTATTTCGCGTTTTAAACCATTAAAAGTGTGTTCTTTTTGAATATTTACAAAGGTACATACTTGTTTCGTTTGATAAAGTGCCGTCATACAAGAAATCGCAGACAGTATGAAAACACACGTCGCGTACTGGTAGTATTCGTCCAACGACCATAGAATTATTGAAAAGATTTGGAACAAGTAAAACGGATTGAAAACTTCACTACAGAATATTGTCCAGTATTTTTTCACTTGTACTTCTACTGAGTTTTTTCCATACAATTTAATACTGAAAAAAAAAAAATGTTTTACAAATCGAAGTTACATATAAATATTATTTTTAGATTTAATCATAATTTAACCCACAGCTCATTTTGTTGCCTTTTATTTATACCAGACATATTTTCCATCAAAATGTTCAATGTAAGTTTTTCGTTCAGTGCCTGCACATTAATAAATGCTCCTTGATCATTCAGCCAGATGTAACGACTGTGTTGGTATATAAAATAACGAAGTTTATTGTCTCTGTGGTTTAGAAGATTCAAATCGACTATTTCCACATTCTCTATTGTAAAGGTGCCTTCTGCGTCCATGACTGTAAGAAAAAAAGGTTTATTTTGTTTTGGAGATATTTCGTAATAGATGGAAAAACTTAAATTTAAAAACACAACAGCATTGCAGCAGCAGAGGAAGGCTATAGGCTATAAAACATCGCCTTGTGACTAATACAAGCGAAGATGGTAAAATCGTTCATTATTATGGGTTCCGACGCGTACGCTGCAAAAACGGTTAAATGATCTAAAAAACATCCGCGACGCTATATGTCTATATTTTAAGATTAACTTGTATAAACGAAATTGGATGCTCATAATAATGATTCTCGCGAAGTCGCTGACACAGCTAGTAATAAAATACATTGCTATATATCGTGTTGCAATATTGACAATTTATTTCTTACCGCAGATATTTTCGGCGGTCCTCAAGCTGCACTTAATAAATTTGTGGCGGTTGTACAATGGATAGTATGCCAGAGCGAAATATGGAAGGCCACAGAGTGATACACATATTGCATGAAAGATTGTTGAGCGTAGCTTTGAATATCTGTATCCATAAATTCTGATTGCCTGGTCGTCGGTACCTTCCAACATCTGCCATTGTGCTTCACCTATCACTTCGTATTCTTCTGTAACAAACATGAAAATGATGTAAAACATTTGAAAATAAAACTTAGTGCTTTTTTAGACTATAGTATTAAAAGACTGTATATATCAAGGCATCATCTATATAATTAAGAGATAAATACTTAGTATGTTTGTAATCATCTTTTATCAGTGCAATCAAGTAAAACAGTTGTAAGGAAATTTATATCAAGATTTAAAATTTGGCATTGTTTTCCTTGTGTCAGGCTTGATGGGAAATACTGACTACCTGCAGATTTTCCTTCAACATTAGTATACTGTTCACATCTGATGTGAATTTTAAACAGCTTTGTATAATCATGAGCTATAAATATGTACATTTTATCAGCAAAATAATTTAAATTTCGCTTTTTATTTTCTTATTTCATTTTTAATTTAAAAGCCAAATTACTAGTGCCTTTACCAATGTTTTTAATTATTTCTTAGTGTTTAAATCCAGCACCTCTTGTCGCACTGTTAGGAAATTTATGTAACAATTAATTTAAGTAGAACAAAAATGCATTTTCTCCCACAAAGTTATACATGAAATGTAAAAAATTAGTACACAGCATATAAAAAAAATTGTTGTTTTTAATATCTTTTTCCGCTTTCTTTCACATTTTTCTAACATTTCAACACATAAAATTTTGCCAAATTAATAAATACTACACAAATTTCTTATTTAGTAATGACAGAATAAGATTAGTAGTGGGTTACTGCATTCTCTGTTTACAAGTAATGGATATGACCTATAAATATCAAAACACAATCAAGGCTATTATCTTCAAACGCAAGCAATTTAAATGTTCATTGATAAATTTTATGAGTTATTAAGACTTACACTATATAACCATGTAGAATATAATAGATTTTATTGTCTGTCAAAAATAATTTAAGTAGTTTGAGTAAAAAAGTGTATTAAACTATATTTTCCATAAAGGTCTTTACAATGATTTGGTTAATTACAAGAGAAATTTAACAAAAACTCTTTAAATAAATTGGTGTGTTTAAGTATCTCATTCTCAAATTTACTAATGAAATTGTTTTATAGGACTTAAAAATACTAGGTAATTCCAAGAAAAACAAATGATTTTGTCAATGTACAAACTCGAATCTGAAATATGCCTCCTTTATAGACCTAATTGTTCTCATTACTCAATTTTTGTTTTTGTCATTGACCATCAATCTTTTGTTTCTCAGAAATATGACATGATTTATAACAAAAGTAATGACTTAGTTTCATTGAAATATCAGATAAAAATTATCGTAACGTGAAACCTGAAGTGCATAACATAATATAGCAATTCCTTATAACATATACTTATCCAATGTATTAGACTCGAGTAGTTTTAGTAGTTTAGCCTCAACAATAAACTATTACAATTGACTATTAAGAAATTGAGTTGATTTTGAGAAATATATTAAATAATATGTTGTGTATGTAATGTAAAAAAATATTATTTATCTTATATTGTATCTAAAAAAATGTAATAAGTAATTTGATCATATTTTGTGGTTATAAAACTTACACAATATACTTTTCTACACTAGCTCAGTTCATTAATAATAAAAAAATAGTATTTGCACAATATTGTCATGTATGAATCATACGTGTCGACAATATTTTTTCAAAAAATACTACTTACCATTGGTGACGGAGACATTATTCATGTTTGGCATTCCCGAAAAACTTCGTATTCACACAAAAGTTATGGCATAATATTAAAATTCCTAATATTTATTAACCGGTGCTACCTCATGGCAAATTCGATAAGAAATCTATCGTAAAATAATTCACATTTCGCACTAACTCGGCCTCACTTCAGTCATCACACCTTTATAAATGGAATGTCAATATTCATCTGACACTGACATTTTGCTAGATAGAGTCAGTGTAATACAGATTAAATAATAAAATGTAATTATGATCATGAGTTGAATGAGAAAATACACAATTTTTAATTACTATTTACATATCTGCTACTCAAATTTTAACCTATGAATCATTCATAGGTTAAAATTTTAATAAATTATTTTTAGATATTACTTTTTATTTGAAACCGATTAGGCCTCAAATACAATTCGATATTATATTTAGTCTGTGTTATTATGTCCATATGAGAACTCCAACAACCGGAAAACGGAAAAGCGGATACTATTGATTTTGGCGCGAACGGAGTGCGCGTTGCAAATAGTAATTTTCTAATAACAACATTACCTAACCAAACTATGGAAAAACAACAAATTATGACATTCATATATACATAAAATATGTTATAGAGAGCTTTACTTCGAGTTTTATGTAAATTTAGCGAAGAATAGTATAATGTCACATCGTGGATTATCAGAAGGTAAAACGGAATATTTAGAAATTGGTGAATACAATTTCACATGGCCAGGTGAAAACGGATCCCTCCATGACTTGGGATCTTTAAATTATACTATGCCGTCAGGTAAGATTGTGTTTTGTAGATGAAAAATAATTCAAAACAGTTACGATTATCACTATGGATGTTTTTATTTTTCTTAAATCTATAAAGGTTTAAGAAATATAATAAAAAGATGATTGTGTATTAAATTACCGTAATATTGTAAGTAATGTAAAGTATAATTACTCTTCTTTATCACATTGTAGGTCCTTGGTTTTGGCCCTGGTGTCCATTGTGGAGGGTCCCACAGCATCCCCTTTTTCAGGTATTAATGATTTAAGTTTTACAAAATAACCGGTAGTTATGCATTAAAAAGTCAATTCAATATTTTTGTATTTTTAGCTTTCAAACGTATTATTTGTGGCCTCATACTGTGCTCCGAGCACCAAAAAAGGTCAACTATGGATGCATACAATTTTAATTTTTGGTAAGTACATTAATGAGTTTATTGATATTGATTTAAATTATCATAAGTGTGTACTCTAGTATATTACTAAGCGATTTATTTTGATTATTTGAAACAGTCCATTTATGAATTTATGAATAAAATATATTGCTTTAAAATAATATACTAAAAGTTCTTTTCTTCTAGGCTTTATGTTGTATTCAGTGTGGGCGTGGCATGTGATTTGTTCTCCTGATGCATTTTCATGGAATTTCGGCTTCGTGTTTTTGAACTTAGCACAGGTGGTATACTTGGTTTACGAGATGAGACCAGTAAAGTTTGACCCTGAACTTGAAGAAGTTTACCATACACTTTTTGAGCCCTTTAAGGTAATGTTTTCTTATCTATTCTATAAATCTAATCTTGTTGTCAACAGATTGTTTTTTGTATCGTGCTATTTTTATGCAAAGAACGTCATAATCATGTTATTATTACTGTTTGGAGTCCGTACTTAGTCCTTTTAAATTATTGTTTTTAATAATTGCTCCAGGTTCAGGAGACATTCTCATAGCAATACAACTGAGTAATAAGGGTGATAAAGCCACGAAGCTCACAATAATACAATATAAATAAAGAAGGCTGGTTAAACAGTTTAAAATAGGAATTGTATTAAATGAAAAATTAAATTATATTTATGATATGTTATATTATGTTTATTTATTAACCCGACCGACTAAATGTGATATTCGCAAGTCAAAAAATATCATACCTGTTCTATGATTTAAAATAAAACAGGTGTCAAGGCTTCAATTCAAGCGAATGGTGTCACCAGACTTTGCACACGTTATGTCACTCCATGCAGGCGAAGCATATGCTATGCAGAACCTCACGAAGACAGACAGACTCGGCCTATTGCTGTCTGGAAAGGTAAGGGTATTTTGTTTTTAACACGTGACAGAGGATACAAAAAAGACTCGAAGCCTCAACTCAGCGTTCACTACCAATTAAGGTCCTTATAAAAAAAACGAGTACAAAACTTATCAAAATGTTATAAAAATGAATGGACCTTAGTATTCCTAAAAAAATAATAAAACGATTTTTCTTCACGATAACATTGTTTTACGATATTTTTGTATTATTAACGGACGAAATAATTGCTTGATAAACGGTAAAATTTTCTTTCATAGTATTCATTTCATGCCTTTAATTGCTTTTTAATTTTAATTCCACAAAGTATTAATTTATAGGAAATAGGTTATTCAAATTATTAGACAAATCATTGCTTTCACCTCGATAGACCTTATTTAGCAAATCGATAACTGTAATTAAAATAAATTTAATTTCTCTAACTAGGAAGAAGTAAAAAAAAAATTTTTTTCAGAAAAAACTTGTGGGGTTTTTTAAAAACTTTTTTTTTTTTTTGGAAAAAAAAATTTTTTTTTTTTTAAAAAAAAAATTTTTTTTTTTTTTTTTTTTTTTTTTTTTTTTTTTTTTTTTTTTTTTTTTTTTTTTTTTTTCCCTATAACTAGTGTTTAAATAGTAGAAAAAAAAAAAATTTACACAGAAACAATACTAAATTAAGAGACATTTAACTGTTCTTAGAACTAAATTTCAAAAATTCTACAGGCTATATAAACACCACTTTTATTTCCTATAGTGATGAAAAACTATTATGAAAGTAATATATATTATATACTTATAAAAAATTATTGATAGGCAAAAAGGTGTCAATTATTTTGCCTTGTATAGAATATTATTTTATTTAACTAGGTATTAGTAGAATAATATTTTATTTTAATAAAATACCTTTAAACTTCACCCACATAAAGAAACACAACTCTTTAATTAAGCTAACGATGTGCTAATACTTGAAGCGGAATATAACCACATAACCACAGAACCGCAATAGTCCTCTTCGCTAGATGGAGCATTCAATTTAACAGTTGATTCATAATTTATCACGATTTATAATCTATGTTAGTTCATTTTATTGCATTCTGTATATTTCATGTATCAAATAGTTAAATTTGGAATACGTAATGCAACTAAACTTGTTAGACTCTTAATTCAAAATTTAAACGTGGCATATATAAATACACAATTAAGTATCTTAAGAAAACGAACGTTAATCGTTAAGGAATATTAAAACTCACGTGCTCTAGCTTAACTTTTAACGGTGTTAAACGCCAAAAATAATAGTTAACTTATTTATAACTATTATAATAGCAGATCGACTTTTCAGGTGCTATGCTATGCAAGTGTAATCATAGCCACGGTCCCCCCGTGTGAGAAAAATTATGAATAAGTTACATAATATATCTTGCATTTAAAAACTTTAAAAGTATTTTGTTTAAACTCTTGTGCTTATGGTAGTATTTTTTTTGTTGCAAAATTTAATCAAGTATATAGACAGAATTGAATATGTATAACTAACAGTCTAACAACTTGTGAAACTAACTATCTGAAACGTCTTCGGTTACGGTAAAGCAAACAATGATATCACCTCTACTTGGCAACTCCTATGCTAAAATATTACCCAAAATATGCAAATCACTTAAAATTGCATTAAAATTCCATAATCCCGAAAAGAGCGTGTACTTAACTTGTTGATCCGTTATTTACTACGTTGTAGGGAATTTCTTCCATTACCATTTCTCATAGCTATCTTGAGAGTATCACTTAGGTGGAGCAGCCCGTATCGTTCGTCCACAAATTATGCAAATAGCTGGCTTGTACTACGGATCGTTTAACGGCGGGTGAATTTTAAACAATTTTTGTTGGTATGCGTGCCAATGTTTTCCGTGCTGCATCGAATATCGAAATATATATACATAGACAACCTAAAAGTGTCTATTTCTATAAGACTATGTAATTAATAGACAGTGGGCGTTTAAAGAAAAAATAATAAAAAAAAAGATTTGAAAGATTTTGTCTGTATGTATAATCCCCTAAAACATTTACAATACCTTTTTCTGCGGTTTTCAACGATAGTTTACTGTATGACGTAAACTGTTAATTGGTTTTCTGAAATCTAATTTGACGACTATCCTATATTTGTAAATAAATAAAATAAAAAATGAAAAAAATAACAGTGAAAAAAGTGACAGTTATATTAAAATCTTAAATTCGACACTGGTCATACTCGAAACAAATAGCCGCAGAATAGCTAAAGACCTTATCTATGCAGACAAACTCGTGGAAGAAAGCTAACTGACTGTATTAGAGATAACGTATGACGATTGAATTGCATCTACGTGCTTACATTGGCTCTGTTAGCACGTAAATGCAATTATAATTATTGTCACTGGTTAGATAACATAAACGGATACATATATATATATATATAGAAATGGCATAAAATAATTAAATTTAAAAAATATGTATATTTAAGGACCAGGAGTAAAATTTAAAAGTAAAAAAAATATAAATGGAACATAATTATTCAGTGCAATTAATAATAATACTATTATCGCGGTTATTTTATAGTTAGATATATATTGAAAACATTAATATTTTTCACATATTAGAATATGAATTTGTCGATATGTTTAAATAAAATATTTAACTTAACGCGATATATTAGAAACTTCTGTTTTTACTAGGCCCGAGTTTCGGATGCTTTAGCAGCCGTGGTCACGGGGAGACTGTCGATATGTATTTATATTTAGTATTGACAGGGATTTCGGTTTTAATTTAATCTTCATGCTAGGTCATTCTAATGGCTTATATTGTAGGTCTACTTGTCTCTTCTTATTACAAATGAAACTATTTTATAATTCATAAATATGTTTTAATTACTAACAGGTCAACGTGATGAGCGGACACCAGTTTCTTCATCCCATACTTCCTTGTGAATTTCTTGACTCTCCAGAGTTTGAATCCAGTCGTGCCACTATTGAGGAAAAGTTTAAGGTAAGAATTGTACTAAGAAAAAAATAAAAATAAAAGACCAAACCGTGTTTTATGGAAATCAATTTCCATAAAAACGGTTCGTACTAGTTAATCTTAAAAGATATTATGTGGTATTTTTTTTAAGATTATTGAAAGAAGAAAGATTCTTTTATATTTTTGCGAATCTATAACCATTTTCTCAGTGCGCGCATCTGAAACCCTCAAAAACGAACAGTCATTCCTGTCTCTTCACTCGTTTTAGTCGCAGCTTGATGTGTAAACCATTTCTCGATAAATGCTCCAAGGCCATCATTATATAGGCCTTATAATAAATTACTTCTTACATTACAGTTAATAAATGTTTAGTTTTAGTTTAAAAAATTAAATGCAACTTATACCTCTATTATACTCGATAAATGTATGATACGGCAGGACTGGCCGTTTGTAGCTTTCAATCAATTCATTTGTGTTTTTGTGATTTTAATATGACTTAAACAATAAGCCACGATTATTATAAGCTCTTGTATAATCGCGTTATTAAGTAAGTGCTTAAGAATGGCTCTCGCAATTATTCCGTGACCGACCTAAAGAGAGAGGGCTGACCTTAATTCCTTTTGTATTTATGCCTGCTATTCTATGTGAGGGGTTGGAAGCCCCTTGGCGGAAGTTCATATTTACTCGATAAGCGCACTTTTCTTTCGCAGGCTTTCCCTAATTCTTAGCAATAAAAGACACGAACATGCCAGACTGTGTGGAGACAACTATGATTCATTACCCGTAATTGGCCCGTGCATTAAGTAATAAAATGGGCCATATTTTCTACTTTATACAGCAGTATCTGTAGCGCGAATGGTACAAATAAAACACTTTAACGGTTTAAAACACGATGTATTAACCATTCAAATGTATTATTTATAACTAGCCAAATAACCCTGTCAGTGAATGCGCAACAACATAAATATCTCTATCGTCTGAATAATAAAAGGGACAGTGTGGTGTATAGATCTTATATAATTTATTAGAGCCTTTCTGCACAATGGGCTGAAGCGAAGCATTTAGGCAATGTAGGTCATACGAGAGGTTGGTTTGTCACGGCGTCAGAGCCACTTCTACCCTAAATAATGATCTCGTCAAAGAGACGTTTAGACGTGTTGGCTAACCGCATTACTAAATGAGGTTATGATGATGTTTGCAACGATAAGTTTAATCTAGGTCTTGCTTAGAGATATGTTTATAAGTTTGAGTTGATTGTTAATGAGTTTACTTCTTTGCAAACGTCCTTAAAGTTACGAAATGAAGATACGCTATAATCTATACTAATATATAAATCTGAAGAGTTTGTTTCTTTGTTTGTTTGAACGCGATAGTCTCAGGAACTACGGGTTCGAATTAAAAAAATCTTTTTGTTAGAGCATTTCGTCCTGTTACTGTAGGAGCGAAGATATGAGAAAAATGTGACAAAAATTGGGATAATTATTCATCATTATGGGTTTCCGTACGCTGCAAAAACGGTTCGAGATACCCAAAAAATATGTACAATACACGACAACATGTGAAAAATATTAAAGTTTTCAACACCTATTTCAGTTTTCCCCTTAGTTCTAATAACTGACAAGAGAAAACCGCTGCTCAATACTTGTTAGAAAACATACCTTCATCGCAATACAACATTATTGCATTTAGTAGTATCTGATTTGCTGCAACTTAGTTGGATGATACTCCGACCCACTACAAATTGCAACCTGCCGCAAAGCAGGTCTAGCTGACGCAACTAAGTTTTGATTAATGGTTCTTCTAGGAATGTATAGATAACTTTGAACGCCCGAAGGAGACATCGGGGTGCGAAATAGTAGATTCGTCTTCTAAATTATCGAATTATATAATTAGGAGCTAATTAAGATGTTTTAAAAGCCTTAACACGTTTAGGACCACTAATGTGGCGCTTGTTACCTATTTATATATTTATTTCCACTGTATTGAGTTTTTTCATCCTTAGCTACATGAATACACGATCTTTAACTTGAGTTTTTATTTGAATCATGACTATTTCTCTAAATATTGTTTTACTTAAAGAAAACGGTTTCAACGCGGTATATATTCGTTAGCAGTGGTCCCCGTGACCACGGCGGCTGCAAAGCATTCGAAACGTCGGCTCGGGGTTAAAATAATTTTCAAATAAGTTTAATATATGTATTAACATATCGCGCTAAACCATTTGTGTTTTAATAAAACGTGTACTACTCGCATAAACTATAGACACTATTTAAATTATGTTTTAATTTACTTTATTGTTGAACCCTTTGTTTCCAACTTTTACTATCATACATTTCTATAAGTTCTTGTAAACAAATAGAAAAAAAGTGAATTGAAAGCAATGCTTTTGAAAGAAAGTTAGCGTTTATGAGAAAGTACCCTTACACCACCTTCCCATTCCGCTGACCTAATTGCTATCTGATACGATACTATAAAAGCTGAAGTGGCTATAAATGCAAGAAACTGGGTTAAATATCGATGAACTCTAAACACTTTCGAATATGCCAAGCACAAAGTAAGCGACACATTGTTTGTTTATCATGAAATGTTTACACGTACACGTCACAGTTCGCAAAGTTTGTTTTAAAATTGAGAAAGTGTTTTCTTTGCAATTTTCCCCCTTTGCCCAATTATTAAGATTGCCTAATTATTATATATGTACATATGACATAGAGTATATGTGATTTTATTGTATAGTGCTTTCAAGCGAGGTGTTGAATTAGAATCCCGGGAACAGATGGTTTAAAATGATTTAAAAATCGAAAATAAATTGAAAAAATTTTCGACTTGGGCAGGACTTGAACCGTCATCGTCAGCGTTCCGTGCTGTTGCTCTACCAATTGAGCTACCGAGTCTGGTTTAAAATGTCTGAGTTTAGCGGGGAGGCTGACGACTAAAATTATTTTTGTTATAGGTCAGACACAGAAATTATTATGTTATTTTTGCATGGATATAAGCTTATTTATATTTTAGGAATATTTAGCTTTTTTCACGTTGTAAATATTAAAAAAAATTTAACAGTAATTAAAATGTTTGAAAGCTTTAATATTTTTTACATGTGCACATGAAGACACTGTATAATTTAAAAACTTGATAGCTCAATTGGTAAAACAACAACACGGTTCAAGTCCTGCCCCAATCGAAATTTTTCTCAATTTATTTTCGATTTTAAAATAATTATAATAATATACATATGAATTATATTATAATTAAACAGTACAAGCATTGTAAACGAAATTACTTTAAGGCTGTGGTATCAAAACTGCACCCGAAGTTCCCGTGGTCTACCTAAATAAATGTAGAAATAAGAAACTCTAACAAATGTGTTTTCGTTTTGGAAGTTCATAAATATATTTGCAAAATATAAACAAGCGCAAATGTAATAAGCGAAATATATTAATTAAATAAAAAAACGCTTTCATTTCGCCATTTCCTGAACAGTAATTTCCGAGCTGAAGTAGCAACTTGTTATAGAATTAAAAACAATTAAGCATTAAGACCACAACGAGAGCCACTCGCTTTTTTTGCTTGCATAATTTAATATCTGTTTAAATTAAAGAGTGCTTTTAACTCGTATAACTATTGTAATCAGTTCAGTTATTCTGTGGACGTATTTACAGTTACTGAATAATGATTTTGACGTCTGCATTACCTCCCTTATATTGTTAATTAAAATAAATCTTGGATTTGAAATTATTATGAAAATACTTTGATCTTTATGTATAAACTTTAATTTTAAAAGATTAAAGTAGTATAATATAGTAGTAGCAAGTAGTATAAAAATTGAGTGAAGGGAATAAAGCAGACATTGTTTTTGAATTTAACACACAAACAACTAAACTCGATATATAGTTACTATAGTATTATATAGTATGCATGTGTACTTAAAATTTTCACGATTAATATCGTTACAGTTTTATTAGAGGCACGTGTTAATAATTGAAATGCAAACTACAGACAACTTATCGGCCGATGTTTTGATCGCCTTTAAATTCTTAAGAATACTACTAGTACTCTTGCGATCGTTAGCAATTGGCCGACTGATGAGCCTCGCTAGCCTTACTATTGACGGCCCCGGGCCAAAATAAATAATTATCACTAAAAAAGGCCTATTGATCTGGACATCTACAAACCGACTCGACCAAACTATTGCTCGATAAAAGTCTATAGTTAGCGCATAAACGTAATTTATAGTTAATTTCCAGGTGTCTATAGTGGCAGCATCATCGTGTCGCTACGTATATTGGCAACGAAGTTCCCTGGAATACCTCTTCGTGAAGGAACCATATCTTGCCTCCGTGGTGACGACGTTGATCGCACGCGACATTACTACCAAATTGTACGCTATGAATAACAAGATTGTGACCGAGAGGGGTTCACATCTAGATATTAGATTACCAAGTATATCCCACGCGTTAGCTAAGAGCCCAAGGAAGTTACGTTCTGCGAACAAACCACCACCGCCGACCACTGTACAACCGGTGCCACCTGAAAAACGGACAAGTGAGTATAAATCTTTTAATAGTTTTCTACTATTGTTGAAGCTTGTTTCTTCAACATTTCCCGCTGTTCCTTGGCTCATATTAGTTTTACAAACATTTTTTTTCAATTCGAACCAGTAGTTCCTGAGATAGGCGCGTTCAAACAAAAGAACAAACGATTCAGCTTTATAAAATAAAATGTACTTTATTCTCATATCTCGTAAAATTATAAAAATTATTTAGATTCGCCAAAAAAATATTAAATAATATGTTTGTCTGTCCGTACGTCGTGATTCTACAGTGTTCAAAAGAGCAACATAACCGGGAACAACACCCAAGAAACTCAGTGTGGCTTTATATATTAAACTTTTATATTCAGTACATTACTTTAACTTAATCAATATTTTTATCAAAACAATTGTAAAGTAATTTAATATAAAAAAACATTCAGACAACATATATCTTCTTGTCCCTGCTTCATATAAGAAAACTAAGGCTTCATTATATTTCATATCAAGTATACTCGGTTCCAATTTCTGTCAAGGCCAGCGAACAAATAATCACGAAATATGGCAATGTTTGCGTTATGGTGCACACAATTTGCGTACACTTGATTCATGCTGCGGAGGACGATGAACCAGAAAATATCCGTTTCCATCTATACTATAATAAAACAATAGATATAGTTTGTCTGTACATTAAATGAAGTTATGGAAACCTAATTATAAGTTTATAATTACTTGAGTACGAAAGAGATTTCAAAGTCAATCTATCTGACCCGATAATCTTCTAAAGCGAAAATTTTCCGCACTGTTTACCTATAACTCAACATATAAGCTGTATTTTATGTCAAGCAAACGCGTAATAAAAATATAAATAATTTACGCACTACGAATTAAAATTCTTGTGGATATATATTACAGTGTAGAACTACAGGATGTTATATGGCTAAAATATTTCGCCTTCCATCGAATATTAAGCCCATGCTTATCATTCCTCCTCTAACATAAAAAATATAGTGAAGAAGTTACGAAGCAGTGCAATGACAAACACTACGAAACTCCAAGTGACTTTTTAGGTAGACAACATCGCGGGAGCAGCTAGTTACATAATAATTTATTAAGAACGCCGTCTGCCAGTGTCGCGTATCGCTACATAAATTGCAGAACATTTGTCCCTACTTGGCAACATTTAGAACACGACCAATTCAATCAAAACCTTGGCCATAAGCCGATACAACGCGAAAATAGCATATTGTTTTTAAGTAATAACATCCCTGGACTTACTTTTATTCTTTGATACGTACTTAAAACACTTTAAACTAGCTAAGAAAATGCGCAGAGTATTTTAAAGGTTATTTATATATATCATGGCACAGCATACATGGCGACTTGGCAGTGACAGTTATTTTGTTTATTTCTGGCTCGAAAAAAATATATTTCTATAATTCCTTATTTGTACAAAGTTACCTTTTTTAATGGTTTAGCTACATAGTATTTTTCTTTATCTTAATTACTATATCTTATCAAAGTCGGTCAAACCGACGGTCGGATTGACCGAACCTGAGTGAAAAACTAATGTAAATCCATTATTATATAGTCACAAACTTTTCCATACTAGTAAGAAGTTAGATGTTATCTGATGGTGTCTTATATATATGTCTCAAACAGATTACTGGTCTCGAGAGGTCGAAAGTGCAATACCAAGTCTGAGGAAACGGAATGGCGTAGCAGCTTCACTCCCGGAAGACGATGAAGAATTGATTCCCTTAGCTGCTCACGAAGCACCAGCCGCGTCTTCAGATGATCTATCTATAGCTGATAGTTGTCCCGATACCTCCTCTAAATACCACAGTTGCGAAGCAGTTGAAACAGACGATGAACTAAAACATTAGATTTTTAAAAACATAATAAATGTTATTTGTCTCCAGTTTTTTTTTAAATCCATACTAAACAAACACCCCTTATTAAACAAATTCAGCACATTTAGAGAATTATGGGTGTTCATGTGTGCAAAAAGTATTTGTACAAACAATGCATATTATAATAGGCCATTCTTAGGCAAAAAGCAATGTCTGGATTTTCAGCATTTCCTCACGCGATTTCAAATCCACGTATACATAATATTATGAGTTTGTCGTCTTTAAATATGTTGGTAGTAAAAATCATAAAGCCTACAAATATTAGTATAACAATAATAAATATAGCTTTATTGTGATACGTCAAATATAAACGTCATTTACTTATGTATTTCATAATATATTTTTTGACGGATTTAAAAATGCAAAACATATACGTTAATCAATCAACTAAATATTTTTATTTTATTCATACCACTCGCGTATTACAATAATAGTCTTTCTGGCAGCATTTTAGTAACAATTAAAAAAACACTTTTTCATAATGTTCTTGAAGTTTAATTTGTAACAGTTAATCATTAAAAATTTTCGTACCAAATTAAATAAAATAGTTGTTTTCTATTTTAAAGTTAGACTGCTGCCAAAAAATTACCAAAAAAAAATCATATCTTATCAACATGCAAAATTATGCAACACTTATTAACAAGTTACACAACGTGCATACATTTTCCAATATAGATGGTCTTGCATGCCTCAACTTTATATATAGGTTGTGTTTAGGTTGTAGCAATCTAAGGCTGTCAGCAGCGGCACGTAACAAGATAACTACTGTTCACAATAGGAAGTCATAATTACTCTAAATCACCCAAAAGTAGCTCGAGGCTAACTTGAATCGTGGTGCTGTTTTCGAGGTTTGTGATGGTAAGAACGGGGTATGTCGACAGAGGTATAAAGGCAGAGATATATAGCGACGAATATAATATTAAAGCCTGTATGTTTATTTTTTATTGCACTGTGCCCTTCAAATACATTTCCAGGGACTCAAACAAAGAACCATTCATCTAGCACGTCAACAAGCTGAAGGCGATCAAGAATCAAAATCTTTCAAGAATCTTGTTTTAACATCCACGTTTTGTATGATTAAACTCATCTTTATTCGTACAAAAAATCACGAGTTTTTGGATCGATATATTATGATAAATATAACTAGAAACCATATAAACAATTATGAACCAGTTAAAATAATTTTAAAGTTACTCGTGTATGTATACATACATAAATAAATAAAGTCTAGAAATATGCCACCTGGTAAATTGAGAAATGCTTTAGTTAAGTAATATATTTAGAATTTTGTATCGTTAAATGTGATTTATTTCAAAGTTTATTTGGTAATTGTAGTTGTTTTTTGAGTCCTACTGAGGAATGCTCAGAGGCACTTTATATCCGCGTCGTAGCTTAGAGTAACAGCCACGTAACGGCACTACACTTGACATGTTTCGTAGCCTTTTCGTAGCTACGCGAATTCGTAGCACTGCACGTGTCAAAAAACTAAGTGCCTTAATGTAAACTGTATGATTTTTAGCAATATAACGCAATTCTTAGTCTTCGTATTTCTTGTGGGATGGTAAAATTCTACGTTACGTAACGGACGTTACGCGTGACAGACCTAAGCTTTCTTTTTCTTATAGAAGTGGTATTATGGCTGTTAGGCTACGATGCACACTTTTTAATTAATTATTACAGTGATAATCACTCCAGTATGTAACGTTTTACGGCGTCAGTCTTTGTAACCATTACTTCTACAAATATGAACATGCCTTACAACGGTCCTACAGTCACGCTAGCGATTAATTTAATATAGCATAAGACGAGTAATTAGAGTGTTTCCTTACAAATATAAGCGTGATTTTCTTGAGCATTACATGCGATATAGTGTTCCAATGCTTATCAGATGACCTGCAGTGAATAACAATGGTTCAGAACGTAGATCGATTTGAAGACCGTCCATTTTGAACTCAAAGGTAGTTGAATTAACTTTGTTCTTATCGCCAACAACGTTATGCAATAAATCATAATGTATAATTTCCTTCTTGTTTATTTTTAATCTATATATACGTATTATAAATGGCCAGTCTCGAAGGAATTCCTATAGATAATAATAGATTAATTATTAAGACATTTTTCTATGACACAGGCATCGAGGAAAGGAGAGGCAAAAGGTCTCGAACCCTCAAATCAACAATACCGTACAGTTATTTTTTAAACCACCATATCACATTTCTATTTTTAAATGTTATACTCAAATATGTATATTTTATAAAATCTAAGCTGACATATATATAATTGAAATGACGTTAAGTTAAAGTGTCTGTGTGTAATACTCGTTAAATTCGTGACCGCAACTACTGTAAAATATCCGAAACATTGTGTAGTAATTAAAAATAAATTAACTGATATATTTCACGTTGTAAATTGTAATGTGCTTTGTACAACGAAATAACGCTATTAAAATGTATAATCACAGAAATTCGTTTGGAATGAATAATATCGATACTTGAATAAAGTACGCAATTATCATGGCTTCCCTACATTTAAATTAAACGTGATTGGGTCGCTTTTGCATTCCTGAATATCCATTTTCGATTCGACGCCCAATGGCTTTTGTAAAATACACATGAAAAGCACAGACTTGACAATGTACACTTGTACAGATGTGCAATTTTATCTGCGACATTATTAATTTATAATCGTAATGAATGCTAAATTGATCATTTTTTATGTTAGAGATGCATATACAGTCGTGGCTCTGATGGGTGATAAACTGTTCCACCCCCTGTTACCTCTATTTACCCACTTTATTTTTTGGCTTGTCAAAAATAATATATTTATAGCGGATGTCAGTTTGATATTTTTTAATTCATTAAATAAGAGTTAAGGGTTCTCTTAAAGAAATTGCTTCTTAGAGATAAAATACCATCTATAGTTAACGCCAGTAGTACACATTTACATACAAAACTTTAACGGTTTAATATGAGATATTTTTTTTTTTAGTTAAACTTGTTTGAAAATTATTTTTTAACTACGACCGACGCCCGACGTTTTTAAAAGAAGTTTAACTAAAATATATCGCGCTTGAAACCGTTAAAGTGTTTTATTTAAATGTTAGGGATAAGTCGATCAATTGTCCTCCATTCTGGCAAGTACATTAGTATTTTTTGCCATACGATCTGTACTGCAAAAAGTTATTAAAACTCTCAGTAGCCTTAGAAAAAATCTTTGCTCTGTATAAACAAGTGTTTCATTGGTAAATAAATGTTTAAAAAAAATATATATATTCTGCTGAAAATCTTGGCTTCCGTTGCGCTTTATGCCATATTGCGTTATGAATGGTCCTAAGTTCGATTACAGGGGAAATAATAAATTTGTTCTGTCAAACAGAGCACAGACGACTAATCAACTACTTAACTGTAAACAAAATAGACAAATGAGATGAACACAAAAATGTGTTCACGCCATGCCCCACGGGGGAAACCGTGATTTCGTAGACTAGAATAAAGTCATACTCAAACTAAATCGATTCATAAACTATAAAATCATACTTTATCTACTAAAAAAGCCCAAATAGAATTGTTAAATTCATGTTTCATAATAAGTGAAGTTGTCAAGGCATAATATCAGTTACGTGACGTGAATGTAGGAATCTATTTATGACGGAATAGAACATGGAAATGGGTTATATTGTGGTGGGCCGTACAAAAGCCAGTCGGAGACGGAAAGGCTGCGTCATTGCAAGGTCCCTTGGCCCCTGGACCGTTGCCAGATGTTAATCGTCACGCAGTTAGTATATTGAATCACGGAGGCCGGACTTTAAGCCTTAAGATATAATTATATGTACAAAGGGAAGCTTCGTACGAACATTCAATTAGGTACTAAATATATCCATGATACATTTGGTTATGCAACTAAAATTATGTAATTATTTTGTTTAGTTTATACGTGTAGGCGATATTCGATTAAATAAAACAGTTTAATCGGTTTAAAATCAGAAATATATTAGTTAACTTATTTTGATAAATGGTGGTCCTGGGGTGACTGAAGATAAAAGATGTTCTTAATATCAAATTTACATCTGCAACACTAGCGCCATCTGTTCGTTGTAGTTAAAATAATGTTACTAGTATATTACCTACGCGTTATAAAGCATTATAGTGTTTTAATGAAATATGCTTTTTTTGTTTGCGCAGTTGTAATTTGTTATAATAATTAATCTAGTTGTACCATTATGTGCAATGAGTAATGAAGCAGAACGCATTGAATAAAACATTTTGTCATTTATAATGCATCGAATACGCCGAGTAAAAAAGGTTTAAGTATTGCGCATGCGCATGTATACCCGAAACATTTATAATATGTATTTATATTAATTTCTTGGGTATATTGGTAATATTGGACTCAGTATAATTACCTAAGTTTTTGCGGGATTTTCTGATAAACCTTTTTTTCTTTAATGGAATAGAAATTTCTTAAAAGAAAAGTTACTAAAAGACGAATAGGAGCGTTAACAAACAATTCTATTATAAAACATCTTAGTGCACTTTAGTGTTACAGAACTAAAACTGTAGAAAGAAGAGTTAATAAAGAGTAACGATCTGCAAATTAGTACAATTCGTTATGCAAAGTTCCGACGCTTTCTGTTAATAAAGATTTAATTTCTGGAAATTTCGTCGCAGCCGTCGAATGGTGTGATTTGTGTGCGAGACGATAACACAAAAATTGGATGGGCGCCGGCAGTCTAAAATATTTTGGCATATTTTACTTGCGATATTTGGTTTCAACGCTTCAACACTTATTTGTTATAGCCCATAGTCTTTTAAAGTTTTATCGACATAATTTTACATAGTAAAATCCTGTATGTCCATTGTAGAATTTGAGATTGACAAAAATCTGGTTTACTCCAATTACTTTTTGTCTTGCTCGACTAAAACCGTTAAAAGTGTATCTCCACGACTCGAACCCTGGCACTCGCGCTCAGCTATTAAGCTATGCCGTTATATTTATTGACATAATCTTTAAACCCAATAATAATGTACTGGTGAACAATTCTCGCGAGAGACATTTTTATGGTCAGAAATTACACGTTTTAATGTTTGTGATACGATGTGTTTGACATGTTGTGGCTATCAAACGTGTCCATGCAGTACAATAATTTTATTGATAATATCAAAGCAGAGTACGTAGGCAAGATGTTGAACAGAAACACGTTTTCATTTATGAATGGAACTATAACGTAATACTGACATTAGTAAACGCATTTATGTATAAAAATTAAGAATACAAAGCCAAAACTAAGCAAATAATGGAAAACAAAATTACCGGTGATTCTAGTAAATGATTATTAAATTTACAAAATTAAATATATCTATGGTCTTAATACACAGATAGAAATATATTTTACTAACATATTAACTGACATTGATGTACCTATTTAAGCTAATATCTTTCTACGACTATCCGTGGACCTAGTGTAACTTTGGATATTCGAAAAAATAGTTTACGGTCGCACGTATATTAATGGTTGTTTCTGTCTAAAATATACTCTGTGGTACAGAGATGTGAGTAAAGACTCGGGGCGATTGGGGCGGGCGGGGATCGCGCATGCGCGTAACAGCGCCGCGCCCGTACCAGTACAACCAACATATCGCTTTAGGCTCTACATCTAGCGGGATTTTAATATACGTATTGAGCGCTGGTTACTAGATATTAAAAATTGGGTAATTATTATAAAAGAAAGTAACATAAATAAAAAATAAGTACTATACCTAAAAATACTGTAGAATTGTTAGTAAAAGTGTAATCAAAAGCTAAAAATAAGTAAATAAGACACAAGTAAGCACTTAAAGCTTATTGTTAGTGTAAATCAGCGCTTTCTTTTCTCGAAGAGTTGGCAGTACTGGTACGGACGCGCCGTGCGGAAGCAGTCAGTCCAACGGCGAGGGCCAACCCTTGATCGCAGGTAGCACGCGCCTCTTGCGCGACTCTCGAGATATACTATGATAGTCGCGTGCCGCGCTAACGATTGTTGTGGTGCCTTATGATGGTACGGCATGAAAGTGCAAGGTATGCGGACGTTCCGTGAAGGGGATCCCGCGGAAAATACCACCTCTACAAGTGGGCGGAGGGACTGGCCTCGGCACAGGTGAGGCCCGTCGCATCTCACTTGGCTGCTGAAAGACGCTGCCATCTCAGGGTCGATAAAAATCCCTTATTGCCTAACGAAAACTAATTACGTATACACGAAAATTTTCGAGAATCAATTAAGAATGTGGCTTTCGTATTTAATTCGACGGCACTGGTATTGAAATGTTACAAAACACGCAATCCTTAATTGCTCTCCGAAGTGCTTTTAAGTGCTTATTTATTTTTGATGACGTTGTTAAGAGACTAAATTTAATGTTTCATAGCATCTACTTTGACGCGATCGTTTTAAAAAAGCATTATATAAAACATAACTCATCTATGCATCGGTTTAAATCCTTAATATCTCTATACTGGGAATTAGTCTCTTCTTTTAAGGAAAAGGATTTATAAGCTTAAACCCACCACGTTGACCCAGTGCCGGTTGGTGGGTTCATTTACCACTACCACGCAATTAGTGTGGACTGTGGACGTGCTCAACGTTGCATCTGACGCTGATGACTCATGATCTGCAATTGACTGTCTTAAACATTAGATCAATGTGACAGTTAATCAATAAATAATTATATCTTATCTGCTAATAAGTATCAATTAAACAACATTACAAGAAAAGAAATGTCGATAACAATTATAGTCTGTAGTTTACACGAGTAGTACATATATACGTACAGCTCGATTCGTTCTTGCGATTCGTCACGCAATATTGACTATGAAGCTTTATCGTCGGTTTTGTTAGCTCACTGTTGTCATCAATCTCGGGCCTTCAAACGTCACGGTCTAGATGCCATGCCAACGCGCAGCTAATAATATATATTGACGTATTTTAACCCTTCAATTAACTATGGAGTATTAGTGTTTTAAATAAATGTTCTGCAGTCATTTGCGTCGATTGTTCTAAATCGTTTATCATAAGGTTATGATAGTGAGGTGATCTTAAGTATTATTTTTGAGAACATATATGCACTTGGATGGCATTCATAGATGGGACCCCAGTGCACAGCAACTACACAAGATGCGGTAACGACGTATTTTAGCATTGGATATTCGGAAATCTTAAGACTGAAACCGAACGCTAATAAGCTATACGGATTTTTCATCTGTGGTTCGTGTCCAGGACGAAATTTCCTACCGCGCATTTAATATCTAGTTTTCGAAATGAAGTTCGACATGTTTCAGAAAAATTATAAATTGAAAAATTAGAAACGTGTTAGACCTGGTCGGGTTCGAACTCAGGACCCGTTGATTGCTTGCTTGATACATTGCTACCAATAGAAAATAATAATAACAATATGCGAATGATTTCGTTCGTATATTTTATAGCTATCAAAATCTGGGTTTCTCTTGGTTGAATTGGGAAAAGACAACTAAAAGAACGACACCAAACTATTGGCTTTTAAAAGCTCTTTTAATTTTATGTAAAGAATCATACTTTTAATTGTTAGACGTGAAACAAATCATGTTTATTTACTTCCTGAAACGTAGTTTTGACATATGCACCTTGTATTGTATATCTTAATTACCAACAATCAACATCCAATCTCTGCTCATTGTTCAGATTTGTATGTATCCAACACGTGAACCTTTGTGGAGCAAATTGTCCTGAAGGATACCGATTCTAGAGGAACAGATCGATTCCAAGAGTCCAGACAAGCCTTATGACGACTTACTTAACCGAGTAATAGAAAGTTTAAAAAGGTCAATGACTTTAATCATAGAGGATCATGGAATTAAGTTATGTCTTGAGTAAAGCGAAACGAAACGTCTAATCGTAGGTATTAAATTTAGATCATACATACTTATCTAATTTAGGTGTCTCTCATTAATTTGGACCTTCGGCAAATATTTTGCTTTTATACACTACCTAGGTATATATTACGTATTATTTCTAAATCATTAAAAAAAAAACGAAAGTTTGTAAGAAAAATAACTCACACAAGAGAACCAAGAACCCTGTGATGAGAATGCTGTGTTTTGGTTCAAGTCCCGCCCGTATCGTGTTTTTTTGTCAATCAAAATATATTTTTAATTTATATAATGCTACCAATGCAATGCAATAAAATATGTTTCTACATTAAACACAGACACGTGTTTCAGTTATCTTTTTTTAGAAAATCTTTAAATTAAAAATTGCAACAATACGGAACGCTGTAGATGCCGATTCAAGTCCTAGCCGAGTTGTAAAAGTTTTTATTGATACTTAATTTATATAAAACCATCATGTGCAATGTGATAATTATAAAAGTATACAAATACAAACCCCTTAATATTTTTATTAAGGAATAGTTGAAGCCGAGTTAAACATAAAACCAACAGAGTATAGGAATACTGCTTCGAGATTTGCTGACTCTCACGATCCAAAACCCAATCGTATTACCTAATACTTCTATCTAGAAAGTTTTCTGAATTTCGTAGCGGGCTCTGGCTGAACGTTATTTTATATGAGTATGAGTATCGTAAAGTAATTTGTTATGTATGTGAGTATAATATTGTCAGTTTGGAGCAGACAGGGCGCGGCTACGACTAGCCGTCGCCACGCGTCATCGCTTTTCCAGCCAACTTCTGCATACAGCTGAAAATTCATATTCAATATGCGAAAACCTTTTGAATATTCATGAGTATATGCATTTTATTGATTGACGGTTCTAGATATCGTGTGTGTATGAGGGTATATTTTGAAGTAAGTTTACTGAATGATAAAAGTTATATCGCCGTTGTCATCACTAAAAGCCGTGAAACCCTAGAGCTACAGCCTCGTTGAAGTTATTCCATCATTGTACATTTAATCTCATACACGTAGTATATTTTTATATGAATTTATTTGTCAGTAATTTCAACGTCTTCGCTTCTATTGGTCGCAGCTTAATGTTTTAAAGACCTCCTCGATAAATGATCTAACTAACAAAAAATTTTTTTGTTTATTCGAACCAGTAGTTCCTGAGATTAGCGCATTCAAGCAAAGTCTTTAAATATTAGTATCGATAAAAAGTTCTACTCTATAAAAGGGGAAATATATTTATACAAAACCATGAAAAAATTGCGAAATATACAATGTATCGGGTAAAGTTATAATACGGCTATCAGGAGAAAAAGCTCTAAGCATTACAAGAAGGTATTTCTGAAAAGAAAACACGACCTACGTGAAGGAAAATTTAAGCGACGCCGCTGAATTTCAGGGTGACCTTTACTAAACGGCCCTTAAGAGTCTTAAGCTCAGGTAAACAAGCGTGCACTGCGAGGTCGGCTTTATTAAAACGATGGTTCCTTATTATAAAAACTAAAAGAGACTGTTCACGTCAAATGCTTTAGACTCTGTAACTTTTTGGTATTGAAACGTGCTATTAAAATGAATCTGGTATAAAAAACTCTTTGGTTTGTTCTTTAGTCTTATTTATTTATAAAGCTTTTTTCACATAGGTATATAATTATGTTTAAATCAAATCAAAAATCATTTATGTACACTTATGAACGTCAAAAAAGTTAAACATTTAAAACTCTAAATTTACAGCTACTACTAGTTCCCAAGCTAAGGGCGTAGAACGAACGAGAAGAACTGGCAAGAAACTCGTCTCTACTCCTTTTAATTGCCAAATTTTTATTACAATTTCCTAAAATTTCTTACGCACTTAATGTGTACATCTTCTTCCTTGTTAGAGCGGGTTCTTCTATACCCCAAGCTTTATTAGCATTTAAATATTCATTTACATTATAATACGGGGTCATTCATAAAGTACGTCACACGTAAAGGGGGGAGGGGGTGTCGACAAAGTGTGACATGGTGTGACAAGGGGTGGGAGGGGTCCTAAGTTTCGTTACATCACATTTTAAAATCTAATGTATCTGGAGGTACTAATCGCGTGATTTGGAATATTAATTAAACTAAAAAATATTTTCTGTGAAAATGTGACTGCCATGACAGTTATAAATAATTTAAAGGAGTGGGTTCAAAGTCCATGGACTGAAGATGATTGAGTTTCTTTCTTCTTCTTTTTCTTTATATTTAATAGTTTTTCGATGTGTCATTGCAAAACATGTGACGTCACACTAGGGGGGGTCTCAGAAATTTGACAAGGACGGGGGGGGGGCTCAATAAATCATGAAATGAGTGTGACGTACTTTAAGGATGACCCCTAACCCTTTCCAAGCCGTTTTTCTTTAACATACGATTTAAACTTATTTATTGTCAGTTTTTATGCTTCACTAGGGATTTTATTAAATTTAAAAGACTAATTCGTTTATGCTTAACTAATTTATTCTATCACGATATTAAATAATCCATTCTATTTGACGGGGTTAGTCTTATATGGGTCGTGGATTCAATCCCCACCGGGTCACATGTTTTTAATCAATTCATAATTTTTCTGAAACGTTGGACTCAGTCTGGAAATCTGAATGTTAAACATGTAGTAGGAACATCCAAATTAACTAAACGACCGGCTCAAATATCGGCGTATAAGCCGCGAATTATAATGGCGTTTCATTTTCAATCTGTGGATTTTAGAATACCAGAAGCCAAAATAGGTCTTAGGAGAGCACATCTTGTTTAGATGTTATATCGCTGGGATGTGAACCCCGCGCTTGTCTGTCCTCCCCTATCATAAAAAAGCCGGATATACTTAAGTAATAGAAAATGTATAATTGGTATACAGATAAACATTACAATTACTATAATAGAGTAATATCCTACTATTTTACGACAAAATTAGTTTATTTCGCTTATAAAAGTACGTCTACATTAGTGCAATAAACTGACGACCATATAAAAGTGTTTGCGAACCCATTTCAGTACGTGAAAGTAATTCAATTTAATGCAAATGTGGCTATCATAAGTACTCTTCGGGGTGCTGCACGAGATTTTCTCTGACCGATCCTGAATTATACAAGAACGGCCAAGACTTGTTTCAAAACAAAACGCTATAAACAGTTCAACGAAACTACTACGACTATATAAATAACTAAAAGAATTTGAGTTTATTTTGATTTCATAATAAAAAGCGGAATTCATATTACGACTGATTACTTACGCCTTACAATACATTCTAAATTAAAACAAAACTATCTACATTACAAATTTAAACAATAATAATTTAATCATCAATATAATTTAAATAAATGTCCTATATGACCAAATATATAGTATACAGATAATTTTAAATAATTATTTACGTATATAGCTTTATGTGTATATATGAAAATTATTATCTAATTTTCCATGCGATGATGTAGGTAAAAAAACTAATTATGAATTAAAAATAGATTCAAAATTGAAACAATTGCAACTCGGTCAGGACTCGAAGCCCACAGCGTTCCGTGCTGATGCTCTAACCAATTAACTACAGAGTCGTACACGACATCGTACTTTTTCAACCATTACATGCACCTCTCGCGCAATGCAATTTAAACCTTAACACTTCGAGTCGTATTTAAAAAAAATATATAATCGATTTTTAATTCATATAGTGCAATAATATGTGAAAAATATTAAAATGTTTTCAAGCATAATCATGTCAAAATAATTTACCTATCCTCGGTATAACAAAAAATGCGACAATAAAAATACAAAATAATATCGCTCGAATCAATTTCTCAGGTGAATGAATTGTGTGCGGTAAACTGTAAAACGGAGCGAGCACACATTTCAAATTCTGCCATACCAATAAGCAGGAGAAGCTTATGTTCGTTTTCATTTAGCGAAATGCGCTTTTTATTCTCATCGCGATCTCAACTCGCGCGGAAGCGAGTTAAATTTTTTATTCAGTGTGATTATTGTGTTTCTATAAGTGGTTATACAAGAGTCATGTTGATAGCGAGTTTATTTCAGTTTACATTCGGTTGCGAGTTCATGAATGATTCATTCTTCCTTTTGAATGTTTTACCCAAAGCCCACAGCGGGCACCTAGGTCCGATGCAGTTTTTCACTTGTTATCGACGACCTCCATCGGGTCAAGACGGGGTTCTTAGGTCTTTTGTACTTATTTCTATTCGGTATTGTGAATTATTCTCGTTAGCCTGGCTTGTTGCTGGAATACTGAATTATTTATGCTATAGACAACCTATTATTGTGTATAGCTTCATTAGAATAAACGGACGGACTTTAGAAAAGATATTTAATTTACAATTGAAGAATATTTTGGTAATTATGATTTATAACATATATTCACAACATATATAAACATATTATTTTAGATGTTTTGTCTTAAGTATGGTGATATAACTAACAGTGTTGGCACTTGGCAGTAGTGGCCTTTTGTTTATGAAAGCAAGAAAACATTACTTATACTAAATTATTGCAAAGAAAGACAGATTGACTATTCAATCGGGCAGAATCTCGCCCTAGATAAGTTGTCGGCACAACCAAATTTTGTCAAAATAAGGCGCGCACGCGCTTATACACCCTTGTCACCCTTTACCTATAAACACTTCTTTTCTCCTCCTGTATGACGTATTTCTCTAACAATATGCATATTATGAAATAAGTAAAAAATTTATTTATATATTGGCATAAATATAAAGACTACGTTTTAAAACTATACGTTATAAAGAAATTCATTTTTTACGTTAGAAATGGTTTTTGTTACAGATAAGAGAGTGCGCGCAGCTCTTACGAGAAGTACTGCGTAGGGTGTGGTGATGGAGGTGGTAATACTGAAAGCGAGAGCCCAACTAAATCGTCTCGTGTCGGTGAGGCGGCCGAGCAGAGAACGCGAGGCGCGCGCGGGAGACGGCGGGGCCTCTCGCGGGTCCGGCGCAGCCCGCGCGCGCAGCATGGCGCCTGCGCCCTCTGCGACCGCCTCGCCCTGGCTCAACGCTACTCTGGCCTTCAACCTCTCGCGGATCAATTCCACCTTCGACACCGATTACGAACTCCTCAACGGCAACACCACTGACGAACACGATAATCATTGGTTCTGCGCCAAATGGACTAGCGCGCAACAGGATCTATTTCAAGTAAATATATATTTTTAAAATACAACGGCAGAGTTCGGCTTGAAGGACCAATAAATGATATATTAAAATGATGCTTCCTTAGTATCTTCTGTATTCATGACGTATGAATGACATAAATGAGACATTCACTCTCTAGTACATTTAAATATCTAATTGGCCAAAAAACAACGAAGAACTGTGTTTTCAGCCATTTCATATAATTATTTTTATTTCATAGGCAGCGAACTTATGCTTCGCCATCGCATTCCTAGCGCCCAAGAGTTTCAAGCAAAGTATATTGGTGCTACGTGCCTTGGCCGCGACTGGTGCGGTGCTCATGGGCATGTGGGCGGGGGCTGAAGTCTGTGCACCAGATGTTTTAGCTTGGAGCCTGGCTCTAGTCGTTGTCAACTCAATACATACTGTGTTCTTGATAATAAGGTAACATTACAAACATCCATCTGATTATCTTTACATTATACACGATAATACGTCCGGCTCGAAGGACTAAATTGAAATTTCAAAGATTTTAGTATTCTGAGTACTTAATTATTAAAACTTCATTAAATATGTTAACATAACTTTAAATATTAAAGGTTAAACGGCTTATGATCACACACATTTATTTGTTAATAAAACTACCGTTTCTGAGACTACTACAAAAAGAAAAAGCGATAAAGTTCAGTTTTACCATAAGCGGCTAAGTATATTATGAGCAAATGTCAAGGAAATGTAAAATTATTCATCGTGTACACCCTGTCTGTACATGAACTATAATTAATTTTGCGAGTCTATCTATGTATTAATAGTATATTGGTTCAATTATTCAATTTGCAGCAGCCGAAACGTCGGGCCGTAGTTAAAAATATTTCAAACAAGTTTAACTAAAATTATCGCGTTTTAAATCGTTAAAGTATTTAATACTTATTACAGTGTCGTTACAGGTTTTTACCGCCAGCTCTTTCACTAGAGCTCACCGATTTGTACCTGAAGCTTTTCAAGCCATTAAAAATAAGCAAGAAGCACTTTCAAGAGTTAACAAGGGAAGCGCGTGTAGTCAGATTGGAACCAGGCGAGGCGTATGCCGTGGAAGAAGTAACACCAGCGGATGAACGATTATCAATATTACTGAAGGGAAAGTATGTGGAGGCTTCATATTTATGTTGATTTGATTCGTGAGGCGAATGCTTAGATTTCGTGTTCCGCGTTATAATGCTAGGCACGTGCGATCAAGAAGCAAGAATTATTTATTTAGTCTCCTCTCTTCTAAACATTTGTGACATTTTGTATTATTCTTATGTAATAGAAATTAGGAAAGGTGAAAAGGCCGTTTTTAGATAGCATTATGATACGACAAGGAGCTCAGTAAAACAACTTTAATTTTTGTAATTTTTGTATAACTTATCTTGTTGGACCAGCTATGCATAGATAATTTGAAAACGGGTAATATGTAATTGCTTGCAAAGGTATTCGATACTTATTGATTTATAAAGACAATTTTGTGCATTAATAAGAAAAAAAATATTTTTTTTTAAAAAAAAACTTTTTCGGTTTTTTCCCCCTTTTTTTTTTTTACCCTTTTTTTAAATTTTTTTCCCCCCCCCCCCCCCCCCCCGCGCGCCCCCCCCCCCCCGGGGGCCCGGGGGGGGGGGGGGGGGGCGAAAAAAAACCCTTTTTTAAAAAAAATTTCCCCCCCCCTTCCCCCCCTTAAAAATTTTTTTTTTTTTTTTTTTAAAATAACCCAAAAAAAAAAAAAATTTTATTTTAATATTTTACTACTCTTGCGTTGCATTAGTTTCTTCATCACAAAGTCGGCGGCATTCGTCATAAAGCACCTAAGTTATTATTTGTAGCGCATAATGTTGCCAGAAAATAGAATACTTCATAAGTGTGATCATAATACACCTATCCTCTTTGACAAGATATACTCCTTAGTAAAATGTGTGGGATAACTCAAATAATTTTCTTGTGCAGCTAAAGAGCTAAGCTAAGTTTAGCTTGCGTAGCAGACTCAGTTTTTCATACTTATGTACAGACCGGAAACTATGTGAACTAACAAAAAATTGAAAGTTAGTTGTGTATGCCAATGCGTACTTACTGAGCTAAGCTAAACCACTTCCGCCTTTCCTTCACGCCCTTCACACATCATCACTTTTTTCATTTATTACATTCATAGCGAGCGTAATCGTTCTAGGTGTATAACACTGACTTAGTTCTAGCATAGGTCTTGGTTATCTAGCGTAGCTTATAGCATAGCTTAGTATTTGTTTATGGTATATCTTAGTTCTTTGTCTGCAACCGGCATTAGGTTCAAACCATTATCACATAGTCATAATTAAATAAATTACACAAGATACAAATGTTTGAAACAATATTTAACGCCACTTACAAATTATACACAACATTTCGCCCGCGACTATATGACCTATAAATTAAAAGTTCTTGACTTGTCCACGACGATTTGACCCCTCCCGAGACCAACGCTGGACTGAGTTGTGCTTTCGGAGCGTACACACAAACATTTACACAAAATTTTAAAATAGGTTTTCCTTTTTTTTTTTTTTTTCTTTCAGTTTCTGCAAATTTTCTAAAAGCAACAGACGAACACATACAAACTTTTTCCATTGCTTCATTATAGTGTTTTCCAAGTGGTGCTTTCAAGGCGTTTCACTGCACGTTAGTTTATGATAGGCATTGCAAGCAATTTTCTTCACCCACGCGAACAGGGTCGCGGTCAGAATCCATTTTACTCGTAAGTTCCGAGGCGACTGAAATCTAAAATCCAGCCTATTTCTAACGTATTAACTCTCAAGTAAGACACAATCACTCGAACACCATTTTATATAAATTAATAATATTTTATATATAATGTTATATGACATCTTGAAGCCTAGTGGATAGCGAAAAGCTGAAAATGAATTTACAGAACATACATATAGCTACACCATACAGAATCTATACTAAGGAGTTTGTTTGTTTGTTTGAACGCGCTAATCTCAGAACTACGGGTTCGAATGGAAAATTTATAACATTTATCGAGAAAGGCTAAATAATCACAATGAGACTAAATAATGTGGAAAAAACGGGGGAAGAAATTTCATCTCTGTAGGTTTTCGATGCGTACGCTGCGAAAACGGTTCAAGACAACCAAAACTATCAATGAAAGAATGATTCCTCTTAAATAATATAAAAGATATCCGCGACACTTTTAAGTCTAATCTTTTGAGATTAACTTACAAGAACGACAGAACCCGAACCGCGGGTCGCGAGCGACGGTACTCAACCGATGTCGTGGGATACAGCTTAAATTAATAACAATTAAAAGAGGATCCCCAAAATAACTATTCTTCGCGGACAAAGTCGTGTGTGCAATTAGTTAAAATACAATATTTAATACAGTATAAACTATAAAGTGAATTTCCCCGTAACAAGCCGTACGGTTCGGAAATCCTTAATTTCTTATCATACATGCATTCGCTTTCCATCAAAATAATTGCATTGCAAAATGGGTGTGTTCCTTTAACGGAGTTGCGTGTTTCTACGTTCAACTTGTCAAACCGTTGGCCGTATTTCGCTACAAATCGCGAACTTATCAAATCCAGTCCGGAGTAAAAAATAAAGTAAGCTCGCCTAATCTAAAACTGTTCACTTCAATTGACTTATCGTCGAAGTTTCTCGTAGGGATTTTGAACTTTCCGGCCATTCGACATTGAATACACGACAGCGCTCGATAAGAAAGATAGAAATGTTTGGATAGTTACGTCATATATGGGACCGCGTAAAGCTTTTAGAGATCTTTGTTCCGTCATTTCAAAGCTTTAGATACGAAATGGAAGGCTTTAGAAGTTTCTTTTATTTTCTTGTATTCGATATGGAGACGTTTACTTTAATGAAAGTATTTTGTTTTTGTTTACAATTTTACTCATTATTTTGAAACATGAACTAATAAAATAAATCAAGGCACAGTATATTGACCTCATTTTATGTACTTGTAATCCCATTTGGGAACTCCCATGGGGCATGGGGCAGTTAGGGCAAACAAAATATCAGTTTCTGTGATCGAATTTTATTTATAAGCAATTGTTATTAAGTTAACGGAATTTGAAACCAGGTCTCCTTCAACGCAATTCGTTAAATTATACTATTAAGCTAGGATGACGGTCAATTTACCGTTTACTAATATTACTTATGATTAAAATCTATTTTTTCATAACTGAGTTTATTTTCATTATTTCTTTTAGAATGAAAGTGAGCTGTGATGAAACGCACCTTCATTATATACAGCCCTACCAGTTCGTGGATTCGCCAGAGTGGGAGGCAAATCGGGAACAATCTGATGACGTATTTCAGGTGGGTAATATCAGTCAACGTCTAATTGAATAAAAAAACGACCTTAACAAAATTAAATTATATAACAAAGATCGTCAGCCGCTCCATGTCCATAGCTGGACGTAGGTTACACCTACAGCATGCAACCCGGCCTTCGCCTAATTAATTTTTTTTTATGGTGAAAAGTTAGAAATATACCCAATTTTTTACTTTAAAATTATTAAATTAAGGAATCAATATTATCCATATGAAAATGGCCAATGAAGTGAAATATTTATTTGTATTTTTTATTTAAGGTGACTGTAATAGCCGAAGAGGTATGCACGTGTTTATGTTGGCCAAGAATGCGACTAGAACGCGTTCTCCGGCATAGACCTTCCCTGAAAGTCGTTCTGGATTGCCTCATAGGTAAAGTTGGCTTTAAAAGTTCTTTAGAGATTCTTAACGCTACTGAAATCTAGATCTAGAATCTTTGCAATACATCAATTTTATTATTATTATCTTCATTCCTAATGATCTGTTGGCATGAATTATATTAGAGTTTTCCCGATTCAAAAATTGACAACTTTACTCTTGTATAGCATTATTATATATTTATACATAACATATGTATATTCTACTATTTTTATAATTAAACCTATATTTAAACACATAATTAAACTATGTGAATTGCCAAGAATTAAAATAAAGCCGTAATATTTGAAGAATAAGTTTTGATAAAGCTGTATCTATTTTTTCAGGGAAGGACATTACACATAAACTGTATTCAGTGAGTGAAGGCCTCGGTCTGGGCGCATCTGGAGATAACGACGGTCCACCAGGCCATCTTACGAGGTCAGCTAGCGTGGATGCTGTGCATGAAGGTGCAAGAGGTCGCCTAAGAAGTTTAGCATGGCGATCGCATACATCAACCTCAAAGGGTAAGAATCTAACGACATAGGATTACGGCTATATCGATAAAAAGCTATAAATGTTTATCTACATTTATAGTATATATAGATATGATTAGTTACCTATTATTATTATTATTACTATTAGTATCTACTAGTTCTTATCCAGTATTTACAACTTTTGTAATTTGACAAGTAAACAAAGATAACATGATAATATCCCGTTGTATAAAACATATTATATATAATTCAAATCAATACAAAGAGTCGACAGACTGACTAAAGGTGCCTATAGAGGCAGGTACCAAGACGAAGCACTATTTAAAACCTCAGAGAAATATTTTTGAGTTTCTTAGGTATTTATGTCAGTTATGTTGCTCTTTTGGACACTCTGTAGAATCACGACAAACAGACAGACAAACGAAATTAACGAATCTAAATAATTTTTAAAATTTTCAAGAGAATATAGTATATTTTATTTTTTTATTTTATATGGTATCAACAGGAAAATTTACCAATCTATATTTATGCTAATTTGAATAAATATCATAAATTACTTTTTTTATGATCTCTAATTCCAAAATTACTCCTACATTTTTGATTTCACATTCAGGAAATTCTTACTGGCAACCGGTAGTTGCCCGACAATTCCTTCGGCAATCGCCGTTTGGGCGAAGCGTGGTGCCGCCACCGAGACTGTTAACCCAAGCATCATCAGCCAGTCTTCAACCACCACCGAGGCGGCGAAGCCCGCCGCGACGAACTGCGTCGTTCCGGCGCAGCAGGGAAGTAAAGTTCGCGGAGGTACCGTCCGCTGGCGAGCCTCTGGTGTGACGTGGGCCGCGGCCCCAGCCTGAGCTGGAGCCGCTGGTGTCGCCCGTATCCCCAGCACTCGCCTCCCCCTGACCACCGCTCGACCTCGCCGTGCGCACCACGGACTTCTAAACGAACAACAGTTTCTATGATGCCCTTGTTATTTAGTTTCGATTTATGACTAAAGAGCTTCCTGTTGACGTTTGATAGAATACGGTATGCAGTGGGTAACAGGATCAGGAACAGTGATAAGTGAAGAGTGACCGCGATGGAAACTTATGAATTGATGATCAAATGTTAACGTGTGAAATGTAGAATAAGTAGTGTAATTTTTTTAACATTCTTTGCATACACCTTCCGTTAACACAGTTCGATGTCTTTTCGATTTAGTGCAAGAATTTCTGTACCGACATATTGAAGAGTATTTTTAATAGCGCATTAAATTCTGACGATATTTCACCTCGAGCTAAGCACATTTTGCTATCACTAGACGCAGGTTAGGTATTTGATAATCCCTGAATGTTTTTCTATGTCCGTTAGGCCTAACGATTTGACCTTATCACGATCGATGTTTATTTTTGACCTCAGCATTGATTCAGGGGTGTAATTAATTTATAGTCTTGATATTGTACTTCACATTGTACTAATAAAAACCCGTTGCACTAAATAAAAATATAAAGACTGTTGATAAAATAATTGTAAATGTTTATTTCGCTTTTGTGGATCTTTACGTTGTGTATGTAGTTGATAATATTATAGTTTTATAATAATACAAAATTTAATGTTTATAAATAATAAACGCTTTATACATGTAATGATAGGCTATAATATCAGACTGAAATGTTTTGTAAGTATCACAAACACAATCATTGACATCAATTTATCGGTTACAGGACATTTTTTTTATTAAAAACAATTGCTTTATTAATGAATCACTTTATTATCGTTTTCAAAAACTCGCGGATGTGTCGCTTTGTCAGTTATTTATTTGAAATGTACGTATCGAAACTTCAAACTTTTGTAGATGTTTTACGAATGAGCGTAACAAAACGTAAGCCATTTTGATCACAACACGTGACCACCAGCACTTCACAGATCGTACAATGTAAAATAGGTTGTACTTAACGCACCTCTCTAAGATATATCACGAAACACGAATACATCAATAAACTTTGTGAGAAATCAGCGAATACAGCTTTCACATGTTACCTTTTCGAATTGGATGTCTTTTCACATAAAGTATTTCGAGTCGATGTTTAGTTGATGTTGTCGCTTTGTACTGTGTCCCTCTAGACAAGTAGTTAGTGTTCGTTTTGATTGTAAGACTTCACGCCAAGCAAACTTGACGCTTCGTTTTATTCATCTGAAGTAAGTTCAGTGGCGGATCCAGGGGGGAGGCGTCTTGGGGTCATGACCCTCCTCCTGAGCTGGTTCCAGGACATATGTGGACCATTATCATTATTACAGTACGTTTACGAATGTACATTAAAATACCTACTTTTTATTCGTATCTGTGGTTATCGAAGTTAAATTAAAGGTCTTGACTTGACCACGACTCTGTGACCCCCTCCTGCCAAAACTGGATCCGCCCTTGAGTAAGTTAGTTTAAAAACTGCGACGTTGAAATGAGGACCAAATCGGATGTCAGGTGCAGACGATAGAGTCAAGTTTGCCATGGCAGCACCAGCACTTCGACTACAGTAACTCGAAGTTCGTTAAAATAGATTGAATGTGAACTTTCACGTCAGCTAAGTTGTTAAATAATGCCTAAGTAGGTTCTTATGACACGGTATCTTCAAATACATATCGTTACACGTCTTGTCTCGTCTTCTTAGTAACTTAACGTCATAGCTTGCGAACATACAAACAAGGAATCATTCACTGTTTTAGAGCAGGGTCACTTGGCTGCTAATTCACGAATTTGTCGTGCCAATGACAGTTTTTGCAATTTCGACAACATGACATTGTTAGGCAGACTTGGCTTGTAATAGCGCCCGTTTTAGATTATTTGAACATTGAATGTTTTAAATTCGATTTTGTTGGTTTTGGTAGATGAAGGCTGGACGATTACTGATGTAATGATAATTTAAAAGGATGTCTTATTGTGTAAATGAACATCGGAAAAGGCTAGTGACATTTTGATATCTTAAAACACCATATAACTTACTTTTTTACATAACTAATCGCTCTTGTATCTAAAACTCTCGAATACCTTACGTTTACTTCATCAGAAATAAAACAATGGATCGTTTACACACACAATAAAAGAAGCAAATTTTATTTTCTTAAACTGTCTTCCACAAATCGATTGTAAAATTATTTATTGCCAGAAATACGAATTACCATAATTAAAGTGTTGTGACGCTCTTCCAACGATATTACATGTCTTAATTAACAATTAAATTTAATTGTACCCCTAGTATGAGTTCAATAACAAAAACGATCGACATCATCGTATTAAGAGCGTTGTTTAACATTCATAATTCAACACCTCTAACGGATATAGAGCAAAGACACGATTATTTCGAACGTTTTCGTCAATTATCGAACTTAAACTAGGCCCTCAGGTATTTTAATAACGAAGGTGTTATATAAATGTTGTTTCAGCTGTAAATAAAGTTACTAATTATATGGGTTGTAATTTACAATTTATAATTATTTGTCATTTTAATGTTTATAACCATATTTTTATATAATTTAAGTTTTGGTACATTTAACGTTATCCTGTAATAGGTAGTACGATCTAGAGTTTAGTTTACTTGCTAAATGGCTTTTACATTCCCAGCAAAATTTAGGCGCAACCTGATTTATTTGCATTTGGTATTAAGGCGATGTTTAGACTGGTGTATTTTTCAACAAAGAAGCATTAGCTTCGTAGCTTTAAATTTAATTGATGTTCTATTATTTAAATAACTTTTACGGGTAAAAACGCGATATATATATTAGTTGTTTGTTTGAAACTTATTTTAACTTCGGTTCGTCGTTCGGATGCTTTGCAGTAGCTGTGGTCACGGGGACATGAATTTTAACTAATATATATCGCGTTTTAAACTGTTAAAGTATTTTATTTAAATGTGTACTATTCGCGTAAACCACAGACAGTATTTGATGTTCTATTAGTTTATTGCGATAACGCAAAACCAAAGCTTCGACGCATAAAAATGACGGATCACAATTGTCTTGTTATGTATCTCCACCAAAATTTTTGTTTTTAACAACAAGTACATTAACTTAAAACATTTAAATAATTATCATGTGTTGAACCGACTCACCTTGAAATGAAATTCTACATTGTCACCTCTAAAACGCTGTGTAATTGTAAATTTTGTATAGTCTCCGGCGTAGTTAGATAATTATGTGTTATAGACCTTTACGACGTGAAAATTTATTATCTGTATGTATGTTTATAGTTCCAGAAGTGCGTAGATGTCCTCGTCGTAGGTGCCTTCGTTTTATTCCGTTTACAAATTACAAACTATCGTAGCTGTTGAGAGAGAATATAATATAAACATTTATTTAATCCGTAGGCTACGTTCTATAATTTGCTTGAGTACAATTAGATCTGCCAGCCTTATAAACACTATTTACGTATATTCACTGACTGAGTTAAAAGCTGTCGTTCAACTTAACTATGGAATGATGTACTGTAGCAGATGTTCGGCAGAGCGCCTCTGTGATACACGTTAGCGATTAGAATAGAAGATCTCGGATAAAGCGAAGCCGGTTCTCTTGCGTGTGTTTTCAAAAAATATATATTAATACACAAATTGGATATTACTATTTTCACGTGATTTATATTTAAAAAAAAATCCATGACTACGACAAGAAACTAACCCTCGACCACAGTGTGGGTACACACATGGTAAGTTGTTGAGTAAGAGCAAAAGCACGGAAAGCTGTGGGCGTAGGACGATTCCTATCCGTGTTATCAAATCTATTTAATTGACATACTTTCAAATCCGATACAGGCCAATTCCATAACGAATCGATTATAATCAGCGATCTATCACATAAATACCGATAAACGATAGATAAAATAATCAAAAAATATTATCAAAACAATGATGTAACTTCTAACTCTCGTTTCCAACATCAGTAAATAACACAGACAAAGTTGTTGAACACACGCAAGAAAGCCGACAAATATTATTATAATAATTGTACTTGCAATTACTAATGTTATTCTGATTATAATGGGTTGCCCCCCGCGTCTCGTGCATAACATTACCGTTATAAATTATATATTATTGTATTTATTCACTTTATTAACATGTTTATTATGTATTTAATAAAAAGAATTGCTTATTAAGAATATATATTATTTTAAACCATGAGGGAACGTAGCAAAAAGCTAAACGTATCATACGTGGGTTTCAAGGTCTTCACGCACTTCATACTTTAAGACTAAATTTATATAGATAAATTTGTAAAATGACTTATATTGTTCATTACTTAGAACAAGCCCGACACGTCGACACCGATAGATTCAAAATGGCCGAACCGCACCGCAGAATCAAGTCGTACGTAGGAAACGAAATAAAATTATTGCTCACTTTACTCCTTGACCTTAGTAACACATACGATACATATTTGAGAATGGTTAATTGTGTTTAAAATTTTAATCAATTCTCCAGCGCACTGATAATGAGGAACGATAACAGTTTGTGAGTGAGTTCTGCTCGAAAACGGTGTCTCGCCACGCTTTACCAAATTAGTTTTTAATTATGGCACTGTTAATAAACAAATTTATATCAAACGTGCAAAATTTGAGCAGGTGTCAAAAAGTGTGCTCCACGAGTGTAAGTGCTTGTTTAATATTTTAACAAAAACAATTTGTATTAGCAATTAATTAAATCTCATTAGCATTGAAGAAAATGTTGCATTGTGTTTTATATATTTTTAAATCAATAAGTAATATAGCCATTGTATGTAATGTTTACGTATTTACAAAATGTAATACATCAACTCATTCGGATTCTAAAATTCGTTATCTGTTGTTGCTAATTACAGTTGTATCATTTCTGCTATCATGAAATATGTTATCAAATAAAATAAACAAATTTCTTATTGGTTTAAAAAACACTTTAACTCTACTTACCTACAAACGAGAGTTTGTTTATTTCAAATGTATGTAACTTTTGAAACGTTGTTTTTTTTTCTGTGTTTATCATTATTAAACTTGTATGTTATCGTCTAACAGAGAGTCTTAAGACAATGGAACAGAACGAATAGCGGCATAATAATACTAGATAAAAAGAAGAAAAAGAATGCTCTACGCACTTTTGAAGAATTGAAAAGTAAACAAATACACACCACGAGATCTGCACACCAGGCGATAGCATTCAAATTGTCGGACATCGGCGAAGGAATACGTGAAGTCGTCATAAAGGAGTGGTGAGATAATTACTAAATAATGTAAATCTTAAATTAACATTTTTTTAAAGTTATAACTTCTTATGGGAAGTAAGCCGCATTGTAACGCGTTATGACATCAGACTTCTGATTTAGGCTTTCGTTTCTCTGCGAAATATTTTTAACTTTTTCTGTAACCTGTCTCGGCACATTAAAGATAAAAAAATACAATTTTAAAAAAACGTATTAAAATCGTTTTACCCACAGACAAATTAACTTAAAAAAAACATAAAAGGTATATTTTTAAAAGCAAGAATGTTGAAACCTATAAAAATAATCAATAATCTTTCCAGGTTTGTAAAAGTGGGCGACAAAGTGCAACAGTTCGACAATATTTGCGAAGTTCAAAGTGATAAAGCTTCAGTCACAATAACTAGTCGATACGATGGGGTTGTAACGCGTCTTTACCATGAAGTGGATCAAACCGCTTTGGTGGGCCAACCGTTAGTAGATATAGAATTAGAAGGAACGACAGCGGAAGGTATAGTTACATTTTGTAAATATTGTTAAATCTCACTTGATGAGAGGTGGAATACCCCAGCCATATAGCATTTAAGCAAGATGTGCTGTCGATCTTTTTTTTGGCTTTGGTTATTTTAAAATCCCCAGATTGAAACAGCTACTTCAGGTGCCATCGAAATACTCAATTTGTAAATAGGTTTTTAAGCTTTAAAAAAGCTAATAAAAAAACTTACCTGTAAATAAAGACCAACAGTTACACGAGCACAGAAATGTGTTCGCCCCGTGGGCGGAAATGGTATTTCACTACATGCATGTTGAGTTAATAAATAAGAATATATAAAACAAAATCGAAACGCGATTAAACTTCACGACTTCTTCATATTTGGTGGTTCGTGACCCGGACGGAATTTCGATATTCTACCATTCATTTAATATATAGATTTCCAGACGGAGTGCAACATGTTTCGGAAAAATTATAAATTAGACATGTTAGACCCGGTGGCGATCGAACCCATGACCCGTTGATTATTAGCCACACTTGCTACCTTTCGACCAACGAGCTCGTCAAATTTAATCGTCGAGCCTAACAATTACGCTTGAAAATAAGTACAACTGAAACCACGGTATATAATGCATATACGCTACCGAATCTACTGCTAATTAATGTTAAATATTTTGTAATTCAAATATAATTTCATAGAATCTTAAGTTTAGCTAAAATGCATATGGGCTCGGGCGAAGGTTCAGTGGGTGGAATTAAAAAAAACAAGGGGGGAAAAAAAATAAAATTTTGGGAGGGAAAGGGGGGGGGGGGGGGGGGGGGGGGGGGGGGGGGGGGGGCCCCAACACCGGGGGGGGGGGGGGGGGGGGGGGGGGGGGGGGGGGGGGGGGGGGGGCCCCCCCCCGGCGGGGGGGGGGGCCCCCCAAAAAACAATTTTAGCTAATGCAATTTAACTGATATTAAATTCAATAATTTCAGATGCACCAAAATCAAAAGAACCAGCTACCAAAGAAACAAATGAAACCCAAAAAGAACAACAGATAAATAGTTCTAGCAAAAAAGAAAAGATTCTTACCACACCGGCTGTTAGAAGAATTGCGTCTCAATTTAGGGTAAAAATGCAGAGCAGCCTGCATTGAATACGGACATATATAATGCGGTGCCTAAAAATAACCAATACATTTTGAATTTCTAGGTAAACTTAAGTGAAATACCAGCTACAGGAAGGAACGGTCGCCTGCTGAAGGAAGATTTACTGTCATACTTGAATATTAGTTCTGATAAATCAAACGAAGTACCTGAATTTGCTAATATACCCGCCCCTACGGCTCAAGTAGCTCCCAAACCTGAAGTTATATTGGAGGATAAAATTGTCCCTGTCACTGGATTTACGAAAGCCATGGTTAAGTCAATGACAGAAGCAATGGTGAGATGTGGTGCATTTAATGATACTTAAACAATTGAAAGACTTATGCGTTTGAAAGTAAAGAAAGGAATCGAATTGTGTGGGTCTACCAAATTTAAGGCTAATAATCAACGGTTGGTGGGTTAGATCCCCAACGGGTTCAACGTTTTTCAAAATATTAATTTATAATCTTTCTGACACATGGCCTTGATCTGGAAATCTGGATATTAAATAAGTGGTAGGAATATCGAAATTCCGTCAGGTTCACGAATTCCACAGATGTTTTCAAGCGGTGGATTTCCGAATATCCAAAACCAAAATAGGATGACAGGACATCATGTTAGATGTTATATAGCTGTTTTACCTACCAGCAAGTGAAAGTTGTAATAAATATTAGTTTAAATAAACACTGTAACGGTTTAAAACGCGATATATATTAGTTATAAGGTACACGTTATTACATACACGGAGAGACCACGGCTGCTGCAAAATATCCGAAACTACGTGCCGCAGTTAAAAAAATTTCTAAATAAGTTTAACTGATATACAGCTCGTTTTAAACCGTTAAAGTGTTATATTCAAATGTGTACTACTCGCGTGAACTACAGACAGTATTAGGTGTAGAATATTATAATATATTTACGTATAATATTCACAGAGGATAATTAATTATTTCGTGTTTCAGAAAATACCCCATTTTGGCTTTTGTGATGAGTATAATGTAACAAAACTAGTTGAGATGAGGGAAACACTTAAGAAAGTGGCACTTAGTCGGGGAGTCAAGTTGACATACATGCCCATCATTGTTAAAGCAACCTCATTGACTTTATTGAATCATCCAGTTTTGAACAGCAGTCTCGACAGCTCCTGTGAAAATATCATCTTCAAAGCTAGCCACAACATTGGTGTAGCAATGGACACGCCTAATGGCTTAGTTGTTCCTGTCATAAAGGTATTGAACCATAAATTATATTTATACTAATATTATAAAGCTGTAGAGTTTCGACTTTAAAAATCTTTGTGTTTAATAGACCTACAAAAGCTCACATAAGATCACGCTGCGACCAAAAACAGTATAAAATGTGGAGAAACGAGGGAAATTATTCATATTAGAGTGTTTTCGTTGCATGCGATATGAAAACTGTTTAAATAACCAAAAAAATATGTATGATAGAATGTTTCGTCTTTAAATGATCTAAAAATATGGCCACGACTGTCTCTCTTACGACCGTACAACGAACGACGAGACGCAGATAACGTCGTGGGTAACAGCTAAATTCATTTTGCTGCTCAAAATAACTATTCCACTCGGACGAAGTCTCGAGCCCAACTACTTATTATACTAATACTAAACAAAACACTGTTAATAGTGGCCGTATCGGGGTCAAAAGGGGTGTAAAGACGTCGTCGCGTCGTACATAAAAACAAGTTACCTGATTCATGTCAACGCTTTAAACTGTTAAAATTATTTTTTCCGGTTTAAACGGAAATATACTCGTCCTTTTCCTCTTTTGACGTCAGTGGCAGACAGAGATAGAGCAGCAGTAGATACAACAGATGAAGCCTTTTGTGATAACATGTTTAACAATTTCGCTGACATTCTTAAATATATTTTTAGAACGTCCAAAACAAAACCGTTTTGGAGGTAGCCAAGGAATTAAATCTCATCCAAGAAAAAGGTGCCAAAGGTCAGCTAGGTCTAAGTGATCTTACTGGAGGGACCTTCACTATTTCAAATATAGGAAATGTAAGATCTTATAAGTACCATATTTGCTTAATATTTTAAATCATTCAATAATTTTCATTACATTATTATCTATTCTGTTTCAGGTGGGAGGTACCTACACTAAACCCATCATATTACCACCGCAAGTGTCAATTGGTGCTTTAGGTAAAATACAGGTAAGGTTCATAAATCATTTACACCGTTCTTAACAAAAAAAATTGCATATCATTATTTCTCGGGCTGTTCGGCCGACTTAAGCGAGAAGAGGTTCTCCATGTTTAGCCATCACGAGCGGACGGCATAATCAGGAGATGTTAGCTCCTCACTTACGTAAGCCGAAGAGCCTGAAAAACAATGATATGCTGAACGATGGCCGTGAAAGTCTTACACAATTTATTAAAAGTATAGCAATTTTGATTTTAATTTTTTTGACATATTATTTTTGCAAATCGTTTTTTTTTTAATGTACATAATAGACTACGTAGATCTGATGCATTACAGGCACAGGTCGTTATATTAAATTTTATACCTAGTAGCATATGTATTTTATCTTTCAGGTCCTGCCGAGATTTGACTCAGAGGGTAAGGTGGTACCTACTCATATTCTAACAGTAAGCTGGTCTGCCGACCACCGAGTGATAGATGGCGTCACCATTGCAAGATTTTCTAACGAACTCAAGAGCTACTTAGAAAATCCTTATAATTTACTACTAGATGTGTAAATTATTAAACGTTTATATAAATCAAGTAAACTTTATTATGTAAGTGATATTATTTAAAACATATAAAATATATAGATGTAAAAGTATTTTAATGTTGTTCTATCGTCTTAAAACTTCGAATCTGGTTACTTTGAAATATGCTATGGTCCATTCGGGAATGCAATTCGGCGTATATTCGCGGTGGAAACGAGCGAAGATTTCCGTGAAAATCAGCGCGTCTATGTTGTTTATTGGAGCCCATTTTAGTGCTAAGAAGGCCATGTCGACGTCACAAAACTTTTTATCTGTGAACAGAATTATTTATGAAAAGTAAATAATGGTACACTTAGAACTGTATAAACACGAAATATATAAGATTTATGGCTTTTCGTAATCGTGGTCTTGGTGGCTGCTGAAAAGTAATGCAATTCGCGTAAAGTACACACCGCTAAGCTTTTAAAGCTTTGAAATACAATGCACGTCTTATCAAGAATATAGCGTTTTGTGTAGCTTACGCGTATAAGAAATAGTAGATACAATTTAATCTAAATATTTAATACCAGCTATCCTTATAAAATAGACTTTCCGCGGCGATGATATTTGAATATCCCCATGATTTAGAGCCAATAGAGATCTTTGTCTTTCGCCCCAATTTCGATCCAGCTCTCGCACCAAGCTCAATCGAGCTGGCTTCGTCAGTAAACCATTCAGTTCTCCAAGTTGACCTTCGCTTATAATATGCGTTACGCGGGATATGGCCTGAAATACAGTATAATATAACTATGTAAATTAAAATTTTGTTATAAATTATTGAAAAAATTTACTACTAGGGCATGACTTGAACCGGCATCCACAGCGTTCCGTGCTGTTGCTCTAACCAATTGAGTCATACATACATACTACATTAAACTAAACCTGACAGATATGCACTTATGGAAATAATTCGACATTTCATTTCAGATTAACCGTTACCTGTGTAGTTCCAAATTTAAAATCTCTCTCCCGAAATGAGGAATCCCAAACTCGTCTTAGCACAATAAAGTCAATTTTGGTCATGAGCCAAGTGAAGGGATTCTGTAACAATATCAACCTCGGGATGCGTTTCTTTTTTTTGTTCGGTTTATTTTTACGTCGAAACATAGACAAGTTGAGCACATCCAGAGGTAGCTTCGAGAGTGGCAGTTGCTTTGCAACATTGTTATAACGTTTTGGTTCAAGTTGCTTGTATTTAATCGGATCCTGCGGGCCCGACGAGAGACAGCGGTTAAAAGATGAGTTGATATTGTGATAAGACCTCAAAGACTGTGCTTCTTTTGTACACAACTTTATTAACTTAGAATTTGAAGCTGCGAACGGCGTTGCAAGAGACAAACATTGTTTGATGAATGAGAGCTTCGGGGCTATCTGTAAAAAACAAATCGTTAAGGACATCGATACAGAGAACTACGCTGAGTTATTGTTCTAATTATATTGTAATTGTAGTTCTTACCATTGTCACATTGCAACGGTGCCGCAGGTAAAAGAAATCAAAATTTCCTCGATAGTCTTATCACTTGCATAATTTTATTTACATTTTTAATTTATCATTGAAACGAATACTTAATGCATTTTTGCTTCCATTCCTACACTGAAACCTTTGATTTAAATGACAACATCATACGACATTTTGTCAAACTTGGCATAATAATAAAGCGTGCAAAATAAAGTTTTATTATTAATTAGAAATGAAACAGCACATTTTCTCATTTTAAATAGAATGAGTAAGAAGGTTCCAGACATGCAGTATTTTTGATAATTATTTTATTTATTTGTAAAACACAAGAAACCTTTCCAAAAACACAGGGGAATAAACTGTACACGTTTGTATCAATCAATTGATTTATTACAATAAAGCAGTATACCGTACCAGTGGTTTTGCTATATAAAATGATAAATAAATATTTTAACATATCTTTGTAGGTACGTATTTGTTGGACGAGGTTAAATTTTCAGAAAGTAATAAGCTAAATCAAAAGGTCAGTAAGTTATGAAATATATTAATATATATTATCAACTAGTTGAGTCAGCGACTTCGTACGCGTAGAATAGTTATTTTGGGTATCAATCTTTGTATTTGCAAACCTCCTATTTAACTCTATAAATTTAAGACGTTACCCACGATGTCGTCCGCGTCCCGTCGTTCTTGCAAGCTAATCTTACAAGATAGACATATACTTTAAAAATCGAAAATAAATTGAAAATTACGTCTCGGGCAGGACTTGAACCGGCATCGTCAGCGTTCCGTGCTGTTGCTCTACCAATTGACTCGGTAGCTCAATTGGTAAAGCAAAACATTTTTTCAATTTATTTTCTATTTTTAAATTATATAGTGCATTCATGTGCTTACTGTTGCGGATTTTTTTAATCATGTAAAGACGAATGATTCTTTCGTAGTCATATATTTTTCAATTGATGAATAATTTTTCCCGTTTTTTCGACATATCGCGTTGTATCTTCGGTTCTATTAGTTACAGCGTTATGTTTTATGTGTATAACACAAAAATAATTTTTCAAATCGAACCAGTTATTCCTGAAATAAGCGCGTTCAAACAAACAAACTCTTCAGCTTTATATATTAGTATAGATATTTTATATATATATAATTAATCCTCTTTTTAATATTATATAAGACATATATCAGTTAAAAATTGTAATTTTGTTCTTTATCCTAATAAGGAGATACTGCAAGTGCCGTTACTGATTTTTATCTTATAACAATTAATTACGCACAAAGCTTAATGAGAAAAAAAATCAATATCTCTTCTATCTTTTCGAGCACAAATAATAATATTTTGTAATATATTACTGATAATATATAAAAATATAATACCCCAGTTAAAACTGGGAGTACGCAGGTAATTTTAGTGTGACTTTTAGTCGCTAAATTGAACCCGGGACCTCGTTTATACAGCTGAGCGACGCTCTGCAAAATTTAACTAGATATACACGAAACTAATGACGTCAACCTGCAATTAAGGAAAACACAAACTGCGCGGGTATTTTGCTATGCGTTGTTACAGGTAGGGTTATTCATACTGTAGAACCATTATAATTTCTATAAAGATCGTGTATTTGCATTAGACACGCTATATCGGTTAAAATATACACAACTAGTTGCTGAATACTGACAGTGAAATACGATAAGGATTTAAAAATATTTACTAAAGGTACGATTAAAAAAAACGTAATAATTTTTAACTAATAAAAAATTTTATTTTGGTTTATAAATGTATGTTTTAACTTGTAAATTTAATTCTCTATTTATTTTTTTAAACTAATGAATATGAAAGCATACATGTAAATGTATATTTATACATATTATTAAATTTATTTTATATTGAATTTATAACCAAAGCCGGAACCCACAGTACGAATGAAAAATAGTGGCAACGTTTTTGCTCTACCGTGGGCTCGGTATTAAAAAGATATAGAAGAATATGACTTTTAAATTAGTTTAACTAATATATCGCGTTTTAAACCGTTAAAGTGTTTTATTAAAATATGTACTACTCTACTATGTTGCTATTTTAATTATAGACATAGCAAACAAAAAAATAAGATTTTATCCCTGTAATATATTTTTAGGCAATTGGCATATCTTACTTCTTGAACGATAAAAGAATCGTGATAGAACGCATCAAGATTAATAGTTGGCACCTATACTTCTTATCGTAATATAAGGTACCTATTATATAAAAAGTGATTGAAATAATAATTAAGCAATTGCTGTGAAGGAGCGACAGGTAAGTGTAGTTATTGTTTAAATTTTGTATTTAATATATACGACAGGGCTATTAAATATTTTTTGTAGTATGAGTTAATAGACCCACTCCTTAGTTTAATAGTAAATCGCGTTGCTTAGAATAATTCGAGCAGTTCGAATTCTGGGAAAACTATTAATTGTTTCAGTCGGGCAGAGCACAGGGAACGTGTATTAACGCGAAAAGTGTAAAACTGTTTTACATTTATCGTGTTAATAGAATGAAACATAAACAATGGTACAACCATGATTTTATATTCTACAACTTGATATTTTCATTTATAGAAGATATTGACCAAAAAACAATTTTTATGACCTTTGATCTTTAATGTCTGAAGTCGTAAACACGATAGCATTTCTGACTTTTGAGACAACATTTAGAACGACGAATCAAAGGTATATACTAATTTATTGCTAATTATATTTTATTCCGAGGTTGACCCTTTTACATAACACGACTGGGCTTATAAGGATTAAATTTTTCGGAACAAAATACAGTCGCTCAAAAGACTAACAATGTCAATAGAAAAAGGTTCATTTACCTAATATATATATATATATAAAGTTATCAATTGGTAATTTACCAAAAATTAAAAAGACGATGGTGGTAGTGAAATTAGTATTATAGAAAGTATTATTTTTATATAAAAATACGACTATTTCTACTATTTTCCGGAAAGACTACCATTTTCCTTAGATTTTGTTAACGTACAACACAACTAAGTAAGTGCCAGAAATCAAGTTAATATAAGTCGTAAGAGATAAATAAACACTCACATGTAAAATATTATGTCAATTATTATATGTTATGTATAATTATGTGAATATTATGTTCTAGTATCATGTGGATCTTATTAGGGGTTGTAGCGCTGGCTACTTCGGCCACAGCATGTTGGTCCAGTGTCACAACTGTGAGCGGCACCCATGCCCCGGAGACTGTGTGCTCGGGCGCAATGATCTTCTCAGATGACTTCGAAGAGTTTGATTTAGAGAAATGGCAACACGAGAATACTCTATCCGGAGGCGGTGTAAGTAAAAGTACAATAATCTGATATTTATCAACAGAATTCTACTAAGTATTGAAAGTGAGTTACTTTGAGTAGAATAACTTACACTTATATAATAAGGGTACCGGTTTTGATAGGCATATAAGATATAATATACTTTTCCGAATGTAGACCATAATTTTTTACTTATATCATTTCTTAACGACCGACTATTATTAAGAAATTTCCGTGCCTCGTAATTTAATAAGATTTAATTAAGGGCTTGCAATAGAACAATCATTAAAAATGGAGTATATAAGACCGATATCTTTAAGAAATGCTGAGTAGAGGGTCTAAACTTTTATAATATATAATACATTTCTATATGCGAAAGGAGGATAGGCAATCCTGGAGTTCGCTTGATGTTTTTCATCTGTGGTTGGCAACTCGGACGGAATTTCGATATCCAACCATCCAGATTTTAAGACGAAGTCCAATATGTTATAGAATATTTGCAACAAACAAGTGCGTCAAAAAATTGACATTGCTTCATAAATATTACATATAGATAGTTTTTGGAAAAAAATTTTGACTAAAATTTATTTTCCTAGAATTGGGAGTTCCAGTATTACAACAACAACAGAACAAACTCGTACGTCCGCAATGGGGTTCTGTACATCAAGCCAACACTAACCTCTGACCAGTTTGGAGAAGGCTTCCTTACAAGCGGTGTCCTCAATGTCGAAGGAGGCGCACCTGCCGACAGGTATTATATTCTCAAACCGCGTACTGTCTCAGGACAAAAAGGACATCCAAATTTATTATAAGCTCTCTTATATATTGAAGGAATTTCAAATCATGCCTTGGTTTTTAGTGTTTAAGGAGTGGTATTAGAGATAGATTATTGTTAGAGAGTAGATTTGAGATTGTATATTTAGGTAAACATATAAAATACTGTTTGTAGTTTACGCGAGTAGTACACATTTAAATACGTTAACGCTTTAAAATCTATATGTATTGCTAAATTTATTTGAAAATATTTTAAATTTAACTAATATATATCGCGTTTTAACCCGTTAAAGTGTTTTAATTAAATAAGTAAACATATATTTTTTTACTGTCATACTTTCTGGACAACCTACTTTATTAGTCTTGCGTCCTTGTGTGGCCTTTCCCATACAAGGACACCATTGGCATTTCCTTTTTAATTAATATAGAGGGTGTAATATGTTGAATCATAACATTTTAGTAAGTTAGTTGATGTAACGATATAGATAAAAAATTATTATATAATACGGTAACTATAACATTATCAATATGACGCTGTAATTGAAGTGTTTTTACCAAAAAAATCTGAGATTTTGATGTATAACATGTATGTAATAAAAATCTTATCTTTTTCGTGATTAAAATTTAATTAAATAATATTGATTAAACAATAATCAATTTAGTAATTATCAATTGAAAACGCAATCGGCAGAATTAGAATAATATTTTCTTGATCTATTGCTCTGGACTGCTGTAAGTTGAACCTTGAATGAAATGGTACGATACTCTAAATTCAAATAAATTTATACGTATAGAATTGCCATAATGACCTAAAAGAACGTTAAAAATATTTAATGACATTTTGCACTCTAGGGATACTAAATTTACGCACGAATCTTGATCTCTATGGATCATTATTTAAAACTTAGTATTTCCATATGTTATTGTACTTTACAGCATTTAATATATATAAATTTAAAATTTGTCAAAAAATTCAAGACGTGCACGTGCGCACTGTAACCGTGTTAGGGTTAGAGTACGGATCAATGTGGATCAAACTTCAAGATTTTTAATTTATTGTGTTCTACCGAGTAGAAGGCTAGTTATTAAAAAAAAACAGAAAAAAATATAATTCACATTAGATATTTTTTTAAATGTACCAAAAAGATAATTGATTAAATTACCTATGTACACAATTAAATTTTACCTTTATTTATTAGAAGGTTGTGGTAAAGATATTAGATTGAAAATAATATATAAGGGTTACATTAAGAATAAGTGTTAAATATTTGTTTGAAATTCCAGATGCACAAACCCACAATGGTATGGTTGCGAAAGAACTGGATCAGCACAGAACATCATAAACCCTATCAAGAGCGCACGCCTTCGCACAGTCAATTCCTTCAGCTTCCGCTATGGACGCGTAGAAGTCAGGGCTAAGATGCCAGCCGGTGACTGGTTATGGCCAGGTAATTATTTTCTTGGTGAACATTTAAGTCATACGCTTGTGATTGTGAACCATGGATTGTGGGTAGTTTGATTTTTAGATGTTACTTTAATAAATGCTGGGCTTACTTATAAATGAAATACATAATAATTGTCATTGTTATTCAAAGTTTCAAAAACAATCTTATGTAAACCGTTATACTAGGTCATAACAATAAATATTTACCTTTGACGACTTTCTCGTCTATGCACGGTAGTTCGTCACTCGGAGAGAATTTCGATATTCCATTTCCAGACGAAGTCGAAGATATTTTAAAATAATTATAAATCGATTTTAGTAAACATGATAGACCTATTGGGAATTAAATTCAAGACCCATTACTTACTTACTCCGCTGGCGCGGCGACGCAAAGTGAGTCATGGCCTCCGAAACTAAATAGCGCAATTTTTTCTGATCTTGCGAGGCTGTTCGCCATTCTGCCACACCGAGCTCGCGCAGGTCCTTCTCCATGGCGTCCTTCTAGCGATATCTCGGCCGGCCGACAGGTCGGCGGCCACTGGAATTCCGCTTCCGCTTCGATATACGCTTTCTTGAAACTCCGATAATCTCCCATTCTCTCCAAATGGCCAGCCCAGCGGAGTTTTTGGGATTTTGCTTCCCCCATAATGTTGCAAGACCCATTGATTATTGTTTATTAAATATACATTGCTATCATTGGAACAAAGACTCTCAAAGCCACACTGTTCTTTATCTGTTCTGATTTATTCCACAGCTATTTGGATGATGCCCGCATTCAACGCATATGGTACTTGGCCTGCTTCTGGAGAGATTGACATCGTCGAATCTCGCGGTAACCGCAACATGTTATCGAACGGAAACCACATTGGTACACAAGAGGCCGGCTCCACTTTACACTACGGGCCTTTCCCGGCGCTAAACGGATGGGAACGCGCACACTGGCTCAGAAGAAACAACCAAGGTTACGACAGAAACTTCCACAGATACCAACTGGAATGGACTCCTGGTGAGTTTCAGAATTAATGATTATTTATATAGGTATACAAGCTGTGCCCACGACATCGGCAGCATCCCGTAATTCATGCCAATTAATCTTAAAAGATATACTGACGTGGACAATTTTTAGATCACTTTAAGAAGTCACTCTTTCATAAATTATTTTTGCTTTTTTGAACGCACCTAATGAAAGCCCACAAAGATGACTCATTTTCACCTTTTTTCCACTGTTTCTTCGCTCCTATTTGTGACCTGATGTTGTATAGCCCAACTAACACAAAAAATATCTTTCAATTCGAATCACTAGTCCGTAAAATTAGCGTGTTTAAACGATGAAACACATAAACTCTACTACTAACTATAATATTAGTATGGATATGTCGTTGAAATTATTTCACTTTAATTTGTACTTACTTAGCTATAAGAAAACTATAGATATGGAGAAGTCAATCATGATCTTGATTTTGAAAACTAAATTATTTCAGAACACCTCCGATTCTCGATTGATGATCAGGAAATCGGTTTCATTGCACCTCCCAACGGTGGTTTTTGGGATTTCGCCAATTTTGGTGGCAATCCAAACTTCCGCAACCTTGACAACCCCTGGAAGGCGGGCAGCAAAATGGCGCCGTTTGACCAAAAGGTTAATACCAAATTTAAAAATCTATTCTTCAAAGCAGAACAATGAAAATAAACGCTTTTCACTTACACACACTGTGAGGGGTTCGACCAACGTTTGGCTAATGAACTCCTTGTGAGTCTTGAGTTCGATTCCCAACGGACCAACATATTTTCATTTAAAATAATAAAAGCCTCTTTTGTCATCTCTTCGTAAAAACCTGGACACAGTGCGATAAAATATGATAAGAACAACATATCATTGTCTTTCGGGCTGTTCGGCCGATGTGAGCGAGAAGAGGTTCTCGACGTTTCGCCATCACGTGTGGACGGCATCATCAGGAGATGTTGACTCCTCGATTGCTCATAATTCATACATTCATACTCATAATTCTTCGATGACGATTAACTGATATGCTGAACGATGGCCGTGAAAGCCTTACACAATTTATGATAAAAACAAATTCTGTCTGAATCATGAACCACTATTATTACACTAAAATTCAATATTATGCCGGCCCACGATATAATATATTAAGGATAAGTAAACGAGCCTTTTTTATCAGGAATAGAAAATGAGATTAAAATTTTTCCTTGCAGTTCTACTTAATCATGAACCTGGCTGTTGGTGGTACGAATGGATTCTTCCCCGACGGAGTTCAAAACCCTGATCCCAAGCCGTGGTGGAATGGTTCCCCAACGGTAAGTTCGGATAGGGTTTAAAGTACTTATAAAGATAACTTATTTTAAATATTGCGCGAGAGGTGAATAGGTTAAAAAATTCGACGATGACGTGTAGGACTGAGTCGTAGCTCAATTGGTTAGAGCAACATCATGCCGGTTGAAGTCCTGCCCGAGACGTATTTTTTTTCAATTTATAATTGATTTTTGACTTATTTTAATCTACAATTTCCTGTTTAAATTCGCGATATTTCTGACTTCCTAGGCAACTCGTCACTCAGTGGTAACATATCTAGCATTGCGTTAAACATGGGTTCGAATTATGGGAAAGTCGATAATTTGTTTTGGTCGGGTTAGTTAAATAAGTCTAATCAACTCCTTACTTGTGTATGAACTACATATGTACATATATATTGTGTAGAGAGAAATGTGTTCGCTCCACTGTGGGAGATGGAATTTCAATGTATTTTATGTAGGGGCAATTTTTTTTTCTATTTGATATTTATTTTTCATATATATTTTTTTTTAATTTCAGGCACCAAGAGATTTCTGGAACGCTCGCGGTGCTTGGCTCAGAACATGGAATACAAATGTAAATAATGGTGAAGATGCCGCCCTTCAAGTTGACTATGTGCGCATTTGGGCTCTGTAACTTCAATAAAGATTCAAATAGTGTAATCGGTGTTTTTCTCTCGTTCCATATTATGAGGCTGCTCTCTAGAGCCTCATAATTGGACCTGCAGAGTGGCCTAATAACAACAACCATGATTTTCAATAAGGAGGAAAAATAAAAATGCGCAATAAGTTACAAAAATGAATTTGTAATATTATCTGTGTAAGAATAATGTTCAATTATCGGTTACTGTTCGTCTACTCTTGTAGATTAACATTTGTAGACTATAAATTGCAGTTAGGCTACTCTGCCTCTAGCTAGACTATATATATAATATTCCTTCTGTATACCTGTTATCCTTTTCCTAGCATTGATTTTAGAAACATTCTGGATTTTAATCACAGGAGAAGTGGCTTAAAGGTCTCGTTACCAGGCCATTAAATATTATTTAAAAAAAAGAGGTAGAAGTTAATTCGTTTTAATCTGTGGATTTCCGAATATCCAAAGCCATAAGGTCGACGGCGCATCTTGTTTAAATATTATATGGCTAGGCTATTTCACCTTCCATCAAGTGAACCACGAGCTTGTTTGTTTGTATCTTCACGTATGTCTATTGTAAATCAGTAATGGAGGTAAAAATTAAAAAATAAATATTTTATTTAAAATGAATTGTTAAAGAATTTTATAATAATACTTAAAATCGGAGGTTTTAAAGAGGATTGTGTAAGAAGGTAAAGTAGATTTAAGAAATTTATAGGAAAAAAATAATGAACAAATGGATGACTGTTTTAAATTACAAATCCCTAAATGAAAACTACAACATTATTACATAATATTAATGAAATATAAAATTTAGGCAACAATTAATAAAATCACTTTTTAAGAATGCACCATGTTGACCTTCTTTGAAGGATTCTTCTTCTTTGCCAATTTTTAGTGCAAATAACTCATCTATAGAAAGAATTAATGTTATTAGATAAAAATGGTTATAAAGTTTTACGAGGTAACTGTCTATTAAATAAAACACGTTTAAAACGCGATTATATATTATTATTATGATTATACTTAGCTGTGAAGCATCCGAAACGTCGGGTCGTTGTTAAAATAATTTCCAAATAAGTTTAATACATCGTGTTTTAAACCGTTGAAGTGTTTTATTTCAATGTGTACTACTCGCGTAAATTACAGACAGTTTTTTGGTAACTGTCTATTTATTAATTAATGAACAAAGAATAAAAAAATACTCAATATTATGATCTTTTTATTATAAATTTGGGATCTTACTTTCATTTTAGTCCATGTGATAGAAACGAGGACTGAGGTAATTTTCTGGTCTCTTGTTGGACAGCGGTGTGGATGTGGCCATCAGGTATGGTGGAATGGCGCGGCGCTTGTCGGTGAAGGGACTTATACGGGAATAGTACCTTCTTTCTATTATCTGAAAGAAAAGTAATAAAATTATAATTACTTTCTAATGATATGTAGATTACGCTCATACATAAGAAATAATTCCGTTTCCCCCGGGGGGGGGGGGGAAAAAAACATTTCAGTGTAATACTGTCAGTTTCCGCGAGTACACTTTGAAAAAATTAAACGGTAAAAAGCGATATATATTTGAAAAAAAAAGTTCGGATACTTTGCAGCAGCGTGGTCACGGGGAGACTGTGGGGCGGGGCCATTTTCAAGTTATTATTTTTTTAATTCTGTTTCCTTACTCTGATTGATAGACTCTCTTGTTTTGAGATTCGAACCCAGAACATGTTACATTTATCTACACAGGCATAGTCATATACATAACAGTTTTAAATAAAAACTTTGAATTTGTGATAACACTTTTATTTTGTTTTTACCCGTAGGCTGTACTTATTCAAACACAAGATTATTTCTTATTGTATATATAAGAATATCCAAATCCAAAACAGTTCGACAGTACATCTTGTATAGGAGTTAATCAATCACACCAAATGAACCCCCGCGCTTGTCTCCTCTCCCCTATCATTAAAAAATATATATAAAAAAGTAAATATGTGTTACCTTATCGAAAAATCTTGTCAACTTCACTGAGTTGCTGGTGCCAGGAGCTAGACTTCTAAAACAAAAATTACTTTTTAGTTAAAATAGATGGCTTCCATTGTACAATGTGTTGTATCTATGATCTGTGTTGAAAGAGTAAAAAATTTTCATATAAATTTAGCCAAGCATAGAAGGCTGAAGCAAAGCTTGTAAGTATAAAAAATAATAAATAAATAAACCACTATAGCTCTCTATAGATGTGTTATATTTGTGTTCTTCTGCAATAATAAGAATACCTGGGTTGAAAGCAATTAACAAATATTTCATCAGCTCCACACTGCTCTGCGATACTACTAGCTAGTCTTCTATACTGATTCTTCTTTTGGTTCTCTTCAGCTATATCGAACTTGGTCCCTATGACTAGTATGGGAATCTGGAATAACATGTTTAACAAATGAATTTATTGGTCATATTTTATTTAATTTAGTGACAAATCTTTAATTTACACAATATTTTACATACTTGAGTAGATCCTAGGAACTGTTCAGGATCCACATCTACATTTTGGAATGTGGGATTTGTCGAGTCTTGGTTCAAGATTTCAGATAACCATTTTTGTAAATTTAACTGACTTTTTCTATTAGTCAAATCATGTACTAAAATTATTCCTGGAATAAAACCAATGAAATTAATAGCAGAATTGTGTTGGCAATAGATATTGCTTCATTTGTACACTAATATTATTTATATTTAATGAGTATGAGTATCTATAAGAAATATTACTAATTAGATTTAATACGAAGTTTATTACCATGTGTTGGTTGATAAAATACATTTCTTGTATTCCTATGATTATTGGATCCCCCAACATCCCAAAGTTCAACAAAAAAGGTATTTTGTGCTTGGGTTCCTTCCTTATATCTATGCAATTTCACTTCCACTGAACATCCAACAGTCCACCCCGGAGATAAAAGTGGTTTATTGTGCGCAATTAAATATGTTAATGAGGTTTTTCCCACACCTGAGGATAGATTTTGTATTTAATTTTCAATTTAAAAATATTTGTAAAAAAAATTTACGTTTCCCGCCAGTTAAAAAAGTTTTCATGTTGTCCAACCCTACAACAAGTGTCATGGTGGCGTAAACATGTAGGGAAATGTTAGCTGTGTAATTTATATCTAGTAAATATTTGTTTTTATATTCTATAGATGTGAAAAGTGTAAAAACCAAACACATGATTCGTGATTTACCGGAATCGCCGAGGACGACTACCTTAACTTTCTCAATAGCAGCCATTCAGAGGTTTTTATCACTGATATCATTACTTGCTTATCGTTTGTTTGTCTTGAGTTTTTGACAATTCCAGTTTGACAGTACGAATCGTTACCAACCTTTAAAAACATTCGATTGAATACGCTGCGTACCTAATTCAATTATTTGAATCGTCTAGTGTTATAGTTGTAAGATGTATCTTGCAGTACATTTTAGTAAGCATATAAATTTAATGCTCATTTTATTAATGCAATTATTGATTATGTGTTCCAATTTTTTGATTCGGTATTGGTTTACACGCTAATAAGCCCTAACAAGTAGTCTGTGAACATAATCTATAGAACACAGAGTACCAACACCATATCCATCGACATCACTATTTCCCTATAAAATTATGGTTTTCTACGCGCGACTGTCGTGCTTGAAAATTTATGTCTAAAATAAAATCAATATTTTAAATAATGTGTCTGTCGCCATTGTGAAACTAAATATACCTTTATATATTGAAAACTTATTATTAAAAATGTAGCAGTAATACGTGAGGAACAATTAATAAAAGCTCTAAAATGGAGACGTTCCTAAAAATTATTGTTGTGCTTGTGTCCGTGAAATCAGTTCATCTCTATTGTGGTCCATACAATGGGCAAATTTGTAAGCACTATTCAACGGGATATGTCTGGTACAACCACACTGGTGGTCTTGAAAATGAAAGAATTACAGCGGGCTTGTGGAAAGAGATGATATCTACATTAAAAGAACCCTGCCGAAGTAACGCTGAAAAATTGCTTTGTGCCTATGCTTTTCCTAAGTGTATAAATAGAGAAGGAGTAGGCTACATGGCGTTACCATTGTGTTATGAAGACTGTATGGCTGTTAAAATGCAATTTTGTTATAACGCGTGGATCGTAATTGAAGAGCAGAAACACAGAGGTGTATTTTTCGAGTCAAGAGGTCACTTTCGGCTTCCCGAATGTGAAAAGCTACCAAAGTTTGCGGGCAAAGGCGCACAGGTTACATGCCATAATACAGGCATTACTGAGATGGACTATAGTTTAGTGACTACAAATTGTTATCATGGGAATGGACGTTTCTATCAAGGAAACATGAATGTGACAGAAACTGGGCTAGCTTGTCAAGCATGGGAATCACAACAACCGCACCAGCATACAAGGCCTCCTCTCATTTTCCCAGAAGTGCAAAATGCCACTAACTACTGTAGAAATGCTGGAGGTGAAGAACGTAAACCATGGTGTTATACAATGAACCCTACTGTCAGATGGGAATATTGTGATGTACCTATTTGTGCTAACTCAAGTGAAAACCCATTGGATAACAATAATGGCCCTATTATTATGGAAAACTACTTCACCCCAACATTTGTTCTATTATTGTCTGTCAGTGGTCTTGGTTGTATTTTAGGTATAGCATCTATAGCTCTCTTGTGCCATTACTTTTTGAAGAATCATTACTCTAAATGTAATATTACAAATAGAAGAAATGTGCAAAACATGGATATAGATTTAGACAAACTTCCCAGCAACTTGGCTTACCACACTACAGGAGCTCAATTGAATCCAAAACTAGAAAAGTTGGAGTTCCCGAGAAATAACATAATTTACATAAGAGACCTAGGTCAAGGAGCTTTTGGCCGAGTTTTCCAAGCCAAGGCACCAGGTTTAGTCCCTGAAGAAGAATTTACATTAGTGGCTGTGAAAATGTTAAAAGATGAAGCATCTCATGACTTACAATTGGATTTTGAAAGAGAGGCTTGCTTGCTTGCTGACTTTGACCACCCCAACATTGTTAAATTGCTAGGTGTCTGTGCTGTAGGGAGACCAATGTGTCTTCTATTTGAATACATGGGGAAAGGTGACTTGAATGAGTACTTGAGAGCCTGCAGTACAGCACCAAATTATCCACCTGGTGTTGAGAACAGGGAAGATCTGCGCCTTTTAGTCGCACCTCTTAGTCATTTAGATCTTCTACATATTGCAAGGCAAATTGCTTCAGGTATGGTGTACCTATCAGATAGAAAATTTGTTCATCGTGACCTAGCCACAAGGAACTGCCTAATCAATGATGACATGGTGGTTAAGATAGCAGATTTTGGGCTCTCACATAAAATCTACTTACAGGATTATTATAAGGGTGATGAGCATGATGCTATCCCTGTTAGGTGGATGCCACTAGAAAGTATTTTGTACAACAAATACACACTTGAATCTGACGTTTGGGCGTACGGTGTATGCCTATGGGAAATATTCTCGTTTGCTTTGCAACCTTATTTTGGGATGACACATGAAGAAGTAGTTAGGTTTTTGAAAGATGGTAATGTTCTTGCCTGCCCTGATAATACGCCAAGATGTGTATATGATTTAATGAAACAATGCTGGAATCACCATCCAAGCGATCGCCCTCATTTTAGAGTTATTTATCAGACCTTGGACAATATTCAAATGATTTTAGAAAGAAGTCAATCGGAATAAGCTAGAAAAGGTTGTTAGGTTTGAGGTAGACTGTATTAATTACCATTACTGTAATTAATGATTCCACTTGCCTTGTAAATACTACCAATAATTGTCATCTGTGTGTATTCAATGTGTGCATTAACATAATTTCATTAAGTAGAACACAATATTTAAATTTTCATATTATGTGACTTAAAAAATAGATTTCTGTAATATTATGCACATTCTTAAGTTTTGTTGCTCAACTTTGTACATATTAGATATTTTAATGTATGTCATAGAGTTCTGTTTGAGATTTGTTAATTGAAGAAGACTGATTTTTTTAACTATTATGTCAGATTACAGTTGCTTAATTTTGTGTAAATAATTTGTTTAAATCTAACAAATTCTTATGTACTTTTAAAGCTTCTTATGTGTTCCACATGTATTCCATTTAAATAATAACAAATGCACATGGTCAAATTGCCAAAATTGTTATAGAAGTATTATATAATGTAAAAGTAATCTCAGATAAGTAGAAACGAAAAATATATCCATATTATATTTTTGTATACCGAGAGTCATTTCAAGAGATTTAAAACTAGCAAAACTATTTCTTTTTCCAAAATTAAATTAAATTTTTGTTTTAATTAAATTCTTAGTTACGGGATTTGTATTTACTATAAATAAAATTAATGTAAACTTTAACATGGAGTTGATTTTCTTTAGCTATTTGAGTAATAGAAAATCCATGTTATCTACTTTTATAATATAACCTTTTATGTGGACGTAATTATTAATATTCACTGCCATTAGCATATAAAATGGTTTCTAATTTTACTCAACCTTAGTATATACAATAACAAGTAAATGCAACAACGATTTTCATTCTAAATGTTCAAATAGAAATTCTATGCCAACTTTTTGAAAAATTTTACTTGAAGGTATTATTGTACATTTTAAATTATTTTCTTATGTTAATGATTATTGTTAAGATTAAATGAGACGATTTCGTACTTTTTAGAATTTTATTTTTACCCTCAAACCTACCTCAGTTTCTTAGTCGCAATAAAATTTTACATTGTTGGTAAGTAGTAACTAATGTCTTATCAACAATTAATACATATTCGCATTGCAGATAAAAATCCACAATGACAGAGGAACGTTTAGTCACTGAAGTTCCCAGTAGCTTGAAGCAATTGGCGCGTCTGGTAGTTAGAGGTTTTTATACCATTGAAGATGCTCTCATAGTAGATATGTTGGTTAGAAACCCATGTAAGTACCACGATCGGTAGCGTGAAATTAGCGCAATTTCACATTTAAAACATACCTTCCACTTATTCAAGCGAGAAAAAAATATCTCTCGGCACAATTTTCTCGACGTGACCTCGATTGAGCAATTATATTTCCCTAATTGCAGGCATGAAAGAGGACGATATCTGCGAGCTTTTAAAGTTCGAACGGAAAATGTTAAGAGCTCGTATAGCGACGCTTAAAAATGATAAATTCATCCAAGTAAGGCTAAAAATGGAAACAGGTCAGTTTATTTGCGTATATTTCCCTCAAAAATTCAGGTCATTGGAATTGCAAAGGGGAAATTTGAAGCTGCGTTTGTAATGTTTCTGGAAATTCTAGGTCCCGACGGTAAGGCCCAAAAGGTGAACTACTATTTTATCAACTACAAAACGTTTGTAAACGTAGTTAAGTACAAACTAGATCTAATGCGGAAAAGAATGGAGACGGAGGAACGTGATGCGACGAGCCGGGCCAGCTTCAAGTGTCCGTCTTGTGGCAAAACGTTTACTGATTTAGAGGTATGATCATCGTCAATTCAACAATATATGCATTTACATATGAATACCTATTAAGAGGAAAAAAGAAGGAAGAAGAAAAAAGGAAGGTTAACAATGGCTATTTAATTTATGAATAATAATTCCATCGGAGAAATAAAGTTATAGATATAAGATACTTTGAGATATTGGTGTAACTTTACAGGCTGACCAGCTATACGACATGATGACACAAGAGTTTCGGTGTACGTTCTGCAACCAAGTCGTGGAAGAAGACCAGTCTGCTTTACCCAAAAAGGATTCACGTCTATTGCTAGCTAAGTTCAATGAACAGCTGGAAACTTTGTATATTCTACTCAGAGAGGTGGAAGGTATCAAGCTAGCTCCAGAGATATTGGAGCCAGAACCTGTGGATATCAACACAATACGAGGGTAGGTGAACATTTTTACATGTTATTGCACATGATGGCACTATAAAGATTTTTTTTTTCAATTTATTTTTGATTTTTAATCTGTATTAAGTAATACATTATAATTCTGCAGCTTTTGAACCGCAAATCTACATATTTACACACAAGTTAAATTACTAAATATGCATCGTGTCCATTTTATGTTTATCTCATTTTGATCGAGACGTTAAAGGTCCTTTAAAAGTAATGTAAAAAGACTAAAGAGTTTGTTTTTCCATAAAAAAATAACTAGAATTTATGGTACACTTGTATACGTATAACTGAATTCCGGAGGCCTTCGTATTACCTACTTTAACATAAGGATATGTTAATATATATACGATATTTCTATCAATAACCTTGGAATTGTTTAAATAATAGTGACTTTTTCAGGCTGACAAACAAACAGTCAGCGTTGCGTCCATCAGGCGAGCAATGGTCTGGTGAGGCGACGCGTAACCAAGGTATAGCAGTGGAAGAGACGCGAGTGGACATCACTATTGGCGATGCTGATAACGCAGTAGACCCGACTGCACTCAGGAAGGAACGCCCTGTATGGATGGTGGAGAGTACTATTGCTGCTAACGAACAGGTAAAACAAAGCACAATATTCCAAATATATGTATATTATGTATATTTATTTAAGCTAATCAAAAAGAATATGACACATAGGAATACAAACATTTCTCGATGGTATTGAATCTATACTAATACTAAAAGCCGAAGGGTTTGTTCGTTTGTTTGTTGGAAGTCGCTAATCTCAGGAACCACTGGTTCGAATGGAAAAATCTTTGTGTTGGCCGGACCATTTATTAAGGAAGTCTTTAGGCTATAAAACATTAGCTTGCGACCAATAAAAGCGAAGTAATAGAGGGAAATGTGGAAGTACGGGGAAAATTATTAATTTTTGAAGGCTTCTATGTCTTTAATATAAAATTAATACGTAGGTAATGTTAGGATTGCATTTATACAATACCGTAGATATTATCATTTTTCAAATATACTATATTTCGAAAAATACCTATAGCCCCTTACTTATTTTGCTTACTTACTGTCGATAAGTTAGTGTATTTGTGTAAATTCACGTTTCTTGTTGTTACAGAGTGATAGCGTGCACTCTACTGACATGGCTCTAGAAAAGGCTGCGAGTACGGCAAGCAACGCAAAAGGCACTGGAAAAGAGAAAACAGACGATATCATGTCCGTTTTGCTGGCACATGAAAAACAAAACTCAGGTAAATACTGTCTGTAGTTTAGGCGAGTAGTACACATTTAAATAAAACACTTTATCGGTTTAAAAGGCGAAAGTATTAGTTAAACATATTTACAAACTTTTAAAATGATTTGTATATAAGTGTAACTACTTAATACATTTCGCGTTTTAAACTGTTAAATATGATTTTTTAAACTCAGGTATTAAAGAAGTATTCCACTTAGGATACAATACTTTTACATTAACAAATCAATGAAGATTAAATGTGTAATTTTACTATATTTAAAGAATAACCATTTCAGAAGATTACAATTTGTTAGTTTATAAAAAAAATATGTATGAACATGTTTCTTACTTAAAATCTGTTTTTACCTTATACGTTTAGTTAGTGTCAATAGAAATGTATGTAATATGTATAAATGCTTTCTGTGTTTTAGGAAATTCAGCAGCGAACACCCTTAAGAGTGCTGATCAAGAAAGTTCTGACTCCAGTGATAACGAATCTAAGGACCCATACAAACTTAAGGATGAAATGGCTGCTGTTGGTATGTATTTGATTGTTCATCATACTAATTTCACAAGTTCTCTCGCTGTAATTACAATGATTACAATTTTAAACATAGGCGTAGTAGCCTAACTGCTATTTTATGACATGTTAATCTAGAAGAGAATCTTATTAATAGAATTGATGTTTTAATTCCTTCTTCTTTCTTTTGTTTTAAACTAACTAGCTTTATTCAACATTAACGACGTAGTTCTTTGTCGATCAATCATAAACTATATTTTTTTTAGATCATATAAATATTTATATTGGTTCACCTACCCTCACTTTATTAATATAAAAGTATCAAGCAGCGTTATGAATCTTCGTATTTGCGATCTATGTTTAACTAAACTTAATCTACTCTAGCTGAAATGGAGAGTGAGGATTCAGAATCTGATGACAATGTTCCAACTGTCTTGGTAAACGGAAAGCCGGTAGCTCTAACCAGTATTGACGACGACGTTATCGCGACCATGACTCCATCTGAAAAGGAAACCTACATTCAAGTGTACCAAGAATACTACAGTCATATGTATGATTAGATAGTACATAGAATAACATAACTGTGGATTAAAATAACTTTACAGATAATTTTCGACTTTCATTGATTTTTCACCTCCGAGTTATGTTGATTGATAAATTAATAGATTTAAAACTTTATTATTTTTTACATGTTATTGCACTAAGAAGCACTTCTGCCTTCGAGCAAGAACTTGTTCGAAGGCAGAAGTATAATTGAAAAATCGAAAATAAATTGAATTTTTTTTAAAGGTGCCTGAGAGGTGCATGTATCATTAAGTTGTAAAAATTCGTATATTATATTATAAAAATTCGTAATAAGTCCTGCCCGTGTTGTAATTTATATAATTGATTTTCACTATAAATGTTTCTGTTATCGTATTAAACATATTAATTTTAAATCGACTCGGGCAGGACTTGAACCAGCATCCACAACTTTCCGTGTTGTTGCTCTAACCTATAGAGCTACCATGTCTTAACGTTTTCAATTAATATTGTGCCATCATGTGAAAAATATTAAAGCTTTTCACAGAAACATTTGTTGTATACTGAACTTGAGATAAGATTATCTACCTTAAAAGTATTTTGAATAAACTTTTGTAACGTGTATAATATTTGTAAGTTTTCTAACTTTATTATCTTTATTCTGTAAATTATTAACATCCGCTGCCACGGGGAAGACGCGTGTCGATTATGAAAGAAAGCAGGTTGCGTTTTAAACTTCGGAAAGGTACTCCTGAAGAAAATGGTTTAGAACTAGGATCGCAAGATGACGTCGATCGAAATTTCCCGCTCTTGAGATCCACTAAAAGTTTGAAGGAATTTGCTAAATCAGGCCATAGGCCCAATGGACTGTAGAGCATTGAATAATTGATGATGATTTATCTTGATATAACTTTGCTTTCAAATGCTCAGATAAGTAATATTTTATTTTAAAATAATATACTAACGACGATCTAACAATAAAAAAACACACAATCATGATTCCACGTTTATTATACAGAAAATAAATAATCCAAACAAACTTCACAAAATATACAATGTAAAAATTTACTATTTTACATTGTATATTTTTTTGTATATTAAGTTATCGAACTGCACTCGAATGTCTCGTAATACTGTATTTTAACTAAAATAAACGTATTAAATAAACACAACATTCTAAATGAAGTGAATACTATTTGAACAAGAAAGCACTAAGGACTGTGGTGTAATAAGAAAATAAATTCTAATAAATTTGTTTTTAAGTTAAGTAAACATTTTGTGTTTTATTGTGCGTTTACGTCAGAATATGATATTTAATATAATCACAAAAAGGTAACCGATCCAAACTTCATAATTTTTATTAATTAAAAATGATAATGTTTGGCACTTACAATAGTAGGATATTATTGCCTTGCTACTTCTTAGAATCACTTATTCACTATCGGAGAACACATTATTGTTACTTAATCTTTCAAATTTTTTCATAAATATGACACAACCTTGAAAATATGATCAAAATCTTATTCTGGTTTTGTCATAGATTTTTTACTACGACCAAACTTGTCTATGCTTTTCAGCAGTCGTCACATCTATTGACAGATATATATTTCGTTTCAAACCGTTAAAGGCGTATTTTCAAATTCTTACAATTTTCGTTATAACGTCGCATTTAAAGGATGTCGTCGTAATCATAAATATAAGACACTGATATATATAACATCTTTGTACATAAATATATGTATAACAACAACTTAACTATATAATTGCACTAACAATGAACACAGAATGACTATGGTTAAATTTTTTTACATAATTGTGTCAGCATCATATATTTTTGCCCCATTTCTCCCAATACTCGTCCGTTTGCATTTCCATTATGCGTGATAAACATCGATCACAAGCGAACATTTCCTCTTCGCCAGTGAATATAGCTGCTTTTGAATCTTCCTAAAAGAGAGAAGACATGTCAAATTATTACCTATTGAAAAGAGAAAGAGATATAGGTAAGGCAAATTGTTCAACTACGAAATAAGAGCCCACACATTATTTTAGCATTAGTAAGTAATGGACTTTGAGTATTCAATGTTAGGTGAGATCCCGATCAGTTACCAACATTATCTACTTTGACTTTTATGTTCATATGATTATTAAAAATAGCCCTTTGTTAAATACTTCTTGTCGTTAAAAGTAAAAATTAATAACTAACCGAATCTTTTGTTATACTCAAGTCATCCATCAGGGCTCTATCAGCGTCACCATAACTGTCCTTGACATCATCAAGGTTAAACAGTTTCTTCGGCTCGCAATCAGCTGCTATGACAACCTGCAATTAACAACAAATTTGTGAATTAAAATCAAGTGCCCGTTTCTTGAATATCTAGGTTCTTTTTTATATTTATTTCTTCGAGACTGTTCTTATTTATGTTGAATATAAAATGTATTTGTTTAAAACCGTTTTTATTTTTTTTACCCAACTAGGACCCAATTTTGAGTAATAATGTCATTATTAGACAAAGATTAGGTACCTATGTTTAATGGTCGGTCTACTTTGATAAATGTAATTCTTTCATGTCCTATTGGCTTTTTAAATGTATGTTGGTTCACTTACCCTCACTTTATTATCATAAAAAGTATCAATCAGCGTTATGAACCTTCGTATTTGCGATCTGTGTTTAACTATTGATAATTGTGGCAGCTCTCTAATGAACACAGTGTGAAAAGTTTTGGATAAAATTAAATAATCGCTAGCACCAAGGGGCTGAAAGGGGGATAAATTTTAATATATCACAAATAATATAACATTGTTGTTTGGTCAAAAAAACTATGTTCAAATCTCAACTTACTCGATCACATAGTTCATCAAAAGTAGAGTCCAATACGCGTCCACAGCTTTTAGCAAACTTTACATTTCTTCCTAATATATTTATCACCCTAGCTCTGACTGTGTCATTTTCTTGAGAAATTAAAAACTTAAAAAGATTATCCACTCCATTGCTTTCTGGGGTTAATTCACTATTGCTGAAACATTAAGAAAACCTGTCACAGCAAGGTTTTTAAATGATAAGTCATTCTATACCTTTGTAGCAAGCGGGCTTTGTCGACCAAATAAGTAAATATATATGCAACAATACCATAGCTTGTGTTGTTAGCATAGTCATTATTATTGTACATCCACCACAGTGGAGTTTATTATATTTTATTGCTAATCTAATTGTTACTTACATAAAGTACTTCCCAAACTTACTACCAGTTCCACGCAATCTATAATCAATACCAGAGTCAAGCTGAATAACATTGCAATGCGATTTAAGAATGGGTATGAATGGTAGAAAGTTGGCTCTCTGCAGTCCATTTTTGTACAAGTCATCTGGCTGCCGGTTACTGGTTGCAATAACAACACAGCCATTGTCAAAAAGTTGTGTAAATAGGCGTTTTAAAATCATTGCGTCACCAATATCAGTTACCTGGGTAGCAAAAAATATTGAATAAAGAACTTATAAATAAACTGAGAATGCATATTATGTGACTTTTTATGTCAATTTGTTTTTAATTACTTATTGTTTTGGAGGTATCATCTAAATAGGCACTCGACACTGATGAAAGCAAAGAGCAATCAAATATGTCCAGAATTTAATAAGAAGGAATCAACAAATTTTCACCAACTTGCTGAATTCTCTATGTATTAAAAAAAAAAAGGAATATTTGTCCCCAAAAAAGTAATAATAACATGTATCTGGGATACTGCAAGAGTAAATTGAGCAAGAAATTACCTGAAATTCATCAAAACAAATAAGCCATGACTCTTGTGTAATGTCTGCTGCCACAGGTGGTATTGGATCAAACAATTTTGTTCCTTCGTCCTTAAATGAGCTGGCCCCTTTCCCAGATTTGATTTTAAGCTCATGAATCCTTGAATGGATATTTAACATGAATGAGTTAAAATGAACTCTTAATTTCTCTTTGATCTAAAATTTTCATTGTTATTATAAAAATACTAGAAGATAAGGAAATATATTTGAATATAATTAGAGAATCTTACAGGAATGGTTTCATAAAATAAATCCATTAACATGGTTTTTCCACCACCAACACTTCCATAAATATACAGGCCTTGAGGAGCGATGATCTTTTGGGGTTCGCTTCTCTTGAAGAAAGAGAATATTGACCCACGATTTGAGTTTAAGGCGGGTCTTTTAAATTTAACTACCTCTTGGTAAACATTTTGAAGTTGCTGCACAACTTTTTCTTGGTGTGGGTCAGTAGTTAAGACATCGTTAGCTATTTTCTGTAAATATAAGTCCATGGGCCCTTCATTTGCAAGTTTTTCTTGTGTTTGCGACGATAGCAATCTTACACACAGATGACAAGGCCTCCAAGAATTCTGTTTAATTAAATACTGCACCGTCGTACAAACAGGCGAGGTATGTCCAAACATTTTTATCAATAATATAGGCCTATTCAAAACAGCTTTTTGTAATAGAAATCAAATTCATTATATAACCAATACAATCAAGCAAGGTTATAGCAAGTATTTGTCTGTGAACTTGTATTATATTGTTTTATAATACTATTACGTTTAATGGTTATATAAACTAATATTATGTACTACTACTGAAGTCAAAACTAATGTTTTGGTTTTACAATTATTATTCATGGTTGTAATTTTGGTTTTTCCACCAACACTGTCATTGATCATTCCATATTAGATAAAATTGACAATTGACTGATGCATTTATTATTTACTAGTTTGACCAAGTTGGCATCTGTCAATATCTCATTTTCCGATTACAAGTGGATTGCAACTCGATCAATGTTCCGAGTACAAGTCGAACAATATTTTTCCTTGATTATATTTGATTACTAATTGGATATTATTAATTTATAATAAATGGGATTATCAAAATATCGGCAGATTGCTAGATCGTGACCAAGGATTGTATTCTGTTTTATACTTATAGACGCTTTACCGTTTAATATTTAATATAAAGATAACACAATAGACAGAGATAACAAAAAAAAAAAACCTACAATACTGATGTAGGACGAGGTCCCAAATTTTAACTTCTGGAAAACATTTCAAAATTGTTTCACTCGGGGTTTTCGCTTAAAAACACTTGGTGTGGTCACGACTGCTGCAAAGCATCCGAAACGTCGGGCCGAAGTTAAAAATCATTTTCAAACAAGTTTAACTAATATATCGCGTTTTAAACCGTTATAGTGTTTTATTTAAATGGGTACTTCTCGCGTAAACTATAGACAGTATTTAATTAAGGCTTTCTTACTCGTCTATAAATAAACAGTGAAGGTAGACCTTAATTTGTAAATTAATTTATTGAATCTATGTTTATGTTTATTGTCTGCGATCTATAGATAATATTATGTAAGTATTTATTAAAGAAATAACCGCCAAAATCTATTTGTATCCTATCACAGTAATCACATCAAACAATGCACAATGGATACCGCTAAAACAATGCAGAGTCCTTTTTGAATACTAAATTATCTGACCCCTAACATTTTAGTATTTACCTATTGGTCTGGAAACAAGCTAAAAAGATAAGCATTTCGACCGTCCAATTCGTTACTTGGTGATTGTTACCATAGCGTTTTAATTATTGAGATTATCGATGATAGCGTATAGATTAGTTTGTAATTACAATTAACGAAAACAATTTAACATTATTCCACTATAACTACATTTGATAAGTTTAACTTAAGAATTAAAATATACCATTTTGTCGAGTTTTAGAAGGATGCCCCTTGTGTATGTGCATCACCTCTCAATGTCAGCGGGAGCTTAATAAATTTAACCTCATATTATGAACGATTCATATAAATTACCCCACTTTGCAATAATAATAAGAATAACTTGAGAAAGCAGGATGTGGTCGAATTGAAATCGTCGTTCTCAGTGCATTCATCTGATAAGTGCATAATATATTGCAATCAGCGATAATGTATTGTCTTCTCATCCTCTTTAGAATCGGCAGGGTTAAGGACATTTGTCAAATGGTTAGGTACATATTGGCCGGAGAATTTTGTATGGCATTTTAGTAATAAAGATTCTTACTACCTCGTATGTCTGAAAACAAAAACCTGAATCAAGCATTAAAATGACAAAAAGAGTAAAAGTTACATTTTGTAAAAAAACTGCTAACTAGGCATCATATCAAAATGTTAAAATAATACAAAACTTACATACATATTTTTTTTTTTGCAACAGTAATGCTTACAAATGAATATAAATAAATAATTTAATTTCGTGCCAATTAGATTTTAGTAGAATTTGCGACGAACATATTTATTTTGTTATCAATAACGTAAGGAAAATTAAAAAAAATGGAAATATAAAAAACGCAAGGAAACAATCTTAGAAATATTAAAATGATATTTCTAAGATTTTTCCTGTCCCGCACTTCATGCAATGTTGGAGAACGCGTTTAACCCTTGAGCCGTGAAGGTGGTCAAGTCCATATCTTAAATCAACGGCGGATCCAGACGGGAGTTCATGGATTCATGACCCCCTTGAGCTGGTCGTCTAAGCCTTAGGTGTAACACTAATTGAACATTCGATTTTATTTACAAATTATTATATGTTAAATTCTTTAAGTGTACAATTTACGTACATACCTACTTTTTACTTTTCAAAATTAAATTAAAAGTTCTTGACTTGACCACGACTATGGGACCTGGCGCCAAAGCTGGATCCACCATTGTCTTAAACCACTGTTTAACTGTCACTACAAAACATTTACAATTATATAATGTAATCGTTATATATAGACATGTAACATCATATAGATACGTTATAGGCCGCCGTAGGTACAACTTTACGTCTGAATAATTATTCAGAGGTTTTATAAGCGCACCGTTTGTAAGATACTTCCAGACGACAGTCGCCCACTTAATTTACAATCCTTCCTTTTTTCTGTCTGACTCTCCTGGTAATTACTCCTGGAAATACGTCTCGACGTCGTAACTAATATGCTATTTTGAACAGGACATTAAGCTCCTTCACGCTAGTTATGAATGACTGTCTGCATTACGGATTTAGCATTGCACGAACTTTAAGCTGTTCCATCCAATCACCTGAAAGTAAACAACAAGGCAGTTTTACGACACTAGTGCTTACTATGTAGTGGTTTTCTTACTATTCGTTGCGTGAAATTACTGCAAGTTACTAATGTTAGTAAGAAAATTTAAAGAACATGTACTTACCAGTAGGTATATTACGGGTGGGTTCATACTTAAGTACTTACCTAGTAAAAATTAGCGTCTAATTGAATAGTGGATCGACGTAAAGAAAATATATAATCATGCACAAAGTTTATTCCAAATTCAAAATTTGAACTATTAATTACTTCCAAGTTTAATACATTTTTGTGAATACACTACAATACTATTCGATATTGTCTTATGGATAATTCTAGATTATTTAATAAATTGTCTCAATTACATAAGGATTGATTCCAAGGATAATGCCGATTCTAATCGGCATATCGGATAAACAGCGAGTTCTAACTCGCTGTTTATCAACGTATCGAATTGTTAGCAGTAAATACTAATATAATGCACTTATTGTAGTCAAAGTCAAGGTTACCTTTGGCGAACTGACCTACGGAACCTAAATTGCTCTTGAACTCGCTCACACAGTGGCCTCAATTGTCGTCTAATGTCTCGGTTAACAACCTCTGGTGCCAAGGTGCCTGGTGCTTGCATTGTAACTGACGCAAGAGTAAAATTGCTTCTTAGAAAGAATTGCAATGCATTGCACCTTCCTTTTACTGGCCAATACTCCAATTTATTGGATGACGTCTGATCATACTCAATTAGGCGCATAATTCCTGCCATGGAATTTTCAGCTTAGGCTGTGACTAAGCGGGTAAAATTCATCATTGTCAAAATACTTTTTTGTTAAATAGATTAAGGAACGATTAACAGGACAAACCCTCTAATGTAGTATGCATGATTAAAATGTGTGAGTTTTGCGAATTAAAAACATAATACTGCAAAAACTGCTTTGTAATTTATCAGGTTTAATGTATTACGAATATTGTAACCTTAGTCTTATTTACAACAACCTCATTTGGAATATAATAATCAGCCACTGGATGTTTTTACTTTTCTAAATATATATTTTTTTATACCTGGCGAAATATAACATTTATAAGCTTATAAATTGAATCGAATGAACGTCAAAATATACATTAATTCACATGTGTATTAAATAAAATAAAATTTAATATAAAACTTATCACGTATCTGCAAACGAGTTTTAAATTTAGCTTATCGAGAGATATTTTTACTGGGTTCAAATACTGTATTTCGATAGATAATAAATATAAATCGACTGCTATAACGGATATCACACATCCTACGCGCGAACAAAGGTGGACGAGTCCTTACGTAGTGAAATTTCACCCCTTGTGAGGATGAAACAGACACATTTCTGAGACTGTTTTATTGAACAATTTTAGTAAGAGGCATCTAGTTGATCAAACTTCTATACCCTGACCAACCACAACCAATATGATGATCGATACCGATCCAATACGTCTTGTGCTTAACGCAATGTTTTAATGATTGTTACAAGCCGTCACAAGGCACAGACGTCGGACCATCGGAATACTGTCTGTAGTTTACGCGAATAGTACACATTCAAATTTAATTTGACAATATGACACCCTCCTTCTTAGTCCCCCCATGGGGGGAATAAGAAGGAGGGTGCATCCGAAACGTCGGGCCGTAGATGAAATTTGATGATACGTTTAACTAATACATTCCGTGTTTTAAACCGTTAAAAGTGTTCTACTTGAGGTCGAATAGTGAAACGGGCACAGAAATCTGTCTATCCCATGTTCCACATAGGGTAAATTTAACTTCAACCGATCTTCATTACCTTAGGCTGTAAGATAATGCAATAATGTAGGGTTATATTTTTTGCATGGTTCGAGGGTGGTCGCATGCGGGCTCAGCTGCAAAGATTCGCAAGATACGAGTTTATTTATGAATAAGTAATAAAATATAGTATGCTATACATAGGTATGTATAATAATTGTATTTAACACTAGAGTATGCGGAATTTATGGTTTCCAAAATTTTTTACTAATATAGTCACGAGTCCAGATGTGAAAATACGAGCGTTTTTTAGAGCTTTTGTGTGTGTGCACATCTGTAGAAAAAACCAAACAGCACTTACCTATACAGATGTTAACTAGATGCTAAACTATTTATTCCAGAAGTGTAACTGAAAATTTTTGCATTAAAATGTATTTTATAAAATGTCTCTTATTGTTACAGTCTCATTAATAAGCTGAAATATGCAATGTAAATGTTACCTAAATTTATAAACAAATTTCAAACGGGTTAAAACAAAGAAACAAGGAAAACTACAAATCCTGAAATGCGTTTACCCCCATTGGGGCATAGGGCGACTAGACTAATAAGTTTTTTACAGGCAAGTGGCGTATCAGACTACTGTGCCCCGGCCGATCGAAATAATCTATCATGTCCCGGGGATTCGATCCCAGGAGCTCTCGCGCTTAAGCATCACGTTTAACCAAGCTACAGAGGCGATAGGAAGAGAAAAATATTATAAAAGGCCTCTTTTATAATTTGTATAATTAAACTATTTAGTATCTAGTTAAGTCTTTTTTCGTAACTAAAGTATTTAATATGGACTAGGAGACAGATGATTAGAGGAAAACTCTTCTTATTCTGTCGAGCATAAACACTAATTTCCATTGTCCTGTACACAGACGAGACGGTCTGATTTTAAGCAATTAAGGTGACGAAGAGCAGCCAAAACAATCGATCGCGTCAAATGGTCACCTCGTTGAGTTACGTACGGCAAGCGATATTGTATTAGCGTACGTATCTTAGATTTGCCTTAACTTTGTAGTATATTCTAGTCATGTCCTATATTGTAAAATCATCTACATACCATACAAAAAAATAAAATTGCTGTTGCTAGGCGCAAGCGCAAGAATTGTTGAGCCGATTGTCTCATTGGCGGTTTTTTTTTATATTCCCGTTTAATTCTATGAACAATTCGAAAAGTAATTAGATATTATGAAATAAGACAACACTAGAATCAGAAAATCAGAAAACAAAAAGTTTAAAGAAGCTTATGAACTTATTATGATGAAAATTTAACTTTAATTTGTGTAAAATGGTTTAAACTATTACTGCACATGACTACATTATATAAAGAAACAAGCATGTATCAATAAGATGCAAAAATTAACGAATGACATGTAGGACACTGTAACTCAATTGGTAAATGCAACAGCACGAAACCATGCCAACCATGTGGATGCCAGTTCAAGTCGTGCACGTGTCGTATTTTTTTTTTTATTTTTAAATCGTTTTTTAATTTGTATAAATATTGTGAATAATTAGAGTAATAACATTTGTTTATAAAAAAAAAATGGAATATATATAATATGAGAGCTAATAATATGCGCAAATAGTGCCACGTCCTTGTATTTATACGATAAGAAATGATATTTATAAAAACGACAAAGTTTTAAATATAAAACTATCCACTCTTTATAAATTCTACGGAATGGTTTAGAAATATTCTATCGTTGCACTATTTGGAAAATGGAGGTACCTATGTTTCAGAAGGGTTTTGTAAGCTTTCGGGAAAGTTATGAAAAATTCATTGAGGTTACATAAGGCCGCTAGAGTCAGAGTACTTAGTCTTACTGCAATTTTACGACTTGACTTATTTATATTTTCATTGTCTGAAAATGTTAATCTACAAGAGCACATTAACCAACAATTTTTAACATAATTCTTACACAAATAATAGGAATTAATTTTCGCCTAAGCTATTAAAATCCTGTTTTTTGTTATTAGGCCACTCTGCCTCTAGCAGCTTCATATTACTTAATCAGTAAAAAGTTCGTTTTCCACACCACCTTGGAGGTACGAACCTAAGGTGCGTTTTTTTTTAAGAGGTGTCCCCAGTAGGCCTAATCCTCCTCCACGTATTCAGATACGAAATGCTCCCAAATCTTTAAACGTGCTATTTGCTAATGCGCCAGGAATTGTGTCACCCACTAATAGGGATCTAGTATTACGGAGGCGTTTGATTTGCAAGACCCCAATTTCAGGACCCATAATGTCAGGGGCACATATAAAAATACCTCTACCGTCATATCAGAAATTATAAACATATCAATTTAAATTTTTTGGTAATTAAAACCTGCGATAAAGCGATCGGCTTAAAATAATTATTCTACAGCATTATCGCTCGTTATTGAAATAATATTGTGTTTACTTTTACATAAGCCGTCATGATAGAAACGCAATTTTAATTAACTTATACGGCTGGTTAATTAGTTGCCTATGCTCTATTGTCTACTCTTTCACTTACACACAAAAATAATCCAACACGATGTATTACAGCTACATGAAGTTTTGTGGTGGCGGCCACGCAACTCATAATTAAGCCAAATATATCGTCTGGATTGCACCAAACAAATGAATACATTCGGTAACCTTTCAAAGGAGACATAAAGAATAGACATAATTATATAAAATTAAGGATGCAAATAACATTTATAACATACACGATGCAGTTTTAAGCTTATCCCGATTTTAACAGCGAAGTCTTGTGATAACAAATTGCTCTACTTCTAATAATCCTATAGGATTATTAGAAAGATATATCTTTGGTCCACTTAATACAATTATTAATAATCAATCTATAAGCACGATTTCAAAAGCTTAACGAGTTATAAAAGATAAGAATAACTGGCGTTCTTTATGACAAAAGAGATATGTACCTAAATTGTTCAATAACTTATCTTTTATCTCCGGATGTACTGCACGGATCTTGTCGCGATTTTTGACAAAAGATTAACGAGTATTTTTTGATTTACTGTAAACTTGAATTTTAAATTATATTATTGTCTTGTAAAATAACTTTGTTTTCGTAAATTCTCTTCTTAATTGTTAACATTATTAAATGAAATAATAAAATTGATATACGTGCCTATTGCCAAAACATATAATTAAGTTTTATATAATTCCGAACGCGAACCTACAATAAACTAGCACAATTTAATAATTTATATCAAATACATGAGTTGTTTAATTGTAATTGGGTGCTCATATTCTTAGTTCATAGTTGATGTCGTTATCATCAGCGGTCGAAGCCCCTTTGCTTTAGCAGATCAGAACATATTATATTATTATGTATTTGCATGCACTCCGATAACCTCGTTCAATATTATGATTGTTTACCTTAATTGCTACTGTGTCAATTGTCAGCTTTACATTCATTTTAATAAAAAAAATTAACAGATATAAATTTTCCACGTTCTACATCTTCTCTGGTTCTAATCAGTTAATTAATTACAAATTCAGTTTCACAGACATTGTCCGAACGTGTATCTACGTCTACACGATGCTAGTAGTTTCAACGACCGCAAACGTAGTCTAAAAGTAGCCGCTTGACAATAGTGGGCCTAGTTAGAGTCGAAGCAATTTTCGGCTAATTAAAATTGGCAATGCGTAAGACGATCACGGAGTTCTTTACCCACTTATAAGCTGCACACGTGCCTGTCAATGAACTTCGTAGACCATTTTGGGCGAATAGGCGTTCGCACGTGGAGTCATGCCTACTTCAAAATGCTACGACTCTCCGAAATTTTTGAATCTAACGGACTGTCGACGTTACTGATCGTTTTTTATACATCGACTACATTTTCTTATACTCATGTATTTACATTTTATTATAGAAGAGATCGAGATATGCACGATTCTATTTCAAGACAAACGAGAACGTTAAAAATAATTAAGTACTCGACTCTATCAATGATGCCTAACACAAAAGTGTCTGACTGTAATTATTAATTGAATAATGTATTGTAAATGAAGAATTACTAACGGGCAAATATGAGGACGTTATCGGTACGGGCCAGGAAGTCGTCCTGTTCCGTGTGAGTGACGAAGGTCCGTGACGGCGCAGGCGCATCTGCCTGCACGCCGGGAGGTGGAGGCCTCATCTCGAAGCGTTTTATGAGATCTGCAGGCACCCGCGGCAACTGCCTCCCCGTAGTGTTCGGCGCTTGGGCGAAGCCGAGTTTCGCGAGGAGGCTCTCGCGGATCACTTTCAAGCTGTGCTCGCGCGCGCTCTCGTAGGAGCGGCAAGAGGCGCAGACGACTTGGGTCGCCGGCGGTTGCGGACAGGCCGGGTCGGCGGCGGCGGCTGCCAGCCACGCGGCGAGCAGCAGCAGGCTCGCGGGCCTGGCCCGCGGCCCGCGCGACGCGCCCAGCGGACGCGTGGTGCGGCAGAGCGGGGAGGCGGCGCGGGCGGCTCGGCGGAGCGAGGAAGCGGTCTGCGGCCGCGGGCGGCGCGTGCGACACTGCTGAATGCACGCGCCCGCCTCCAGCCGCACACCGCACACGCCGCACCCGCTCCGTAGCTCTGCCGTCGTAAGGGAAAGGAGCATCCAACATTTTTTTTATTGAAATATATTAACATTTATAATCAGCAATCGCAGACCACTTTTTCATTAATGTAATTTAAATCATCCATCATTTGACCCATAGAGAGACATCGCATAACCGACATTATCAAACACTGAATAATATTATTATATGAACACTGTTATAATAATGAACAATATTGCTTGCTTTTTAAGACAACATAAGGAACTTCTTATTCGACTCCCATAAAAATCCTTAAAAAAGAAAAAGTGAAAATTAAATAACTTTAATAATTACTTTTTCTTATAGACATACTTGGATAGGTCAGATTATTATGAATGATGAATGTATAGGGCGTCCCGCCCGCCCTGACTGTGTGACTACGGTATAGGTAATCACTTGTTAACTTTTTCGTTATTTTTTCCATTTTAAGTCAGTTTTTTCGTTAGTAGTTTAATTTAAATCTATTTAGTCATTATATATCTAAATACCATATTAGCGGGCAATTTGTGTTGCTTTCTACTGTGGAATTATATTTAAGTTTGATAACAATGCGCATTTTAGTTATGTACTAAATGTAAAGAAAATTGTTTGGGAAACTTATGAAAAATGCGATTTTATCTAAACTGCAGTGTTCTGTATGCAAAATGTATGCATTGTGTTCACTTTTACCGCAATAAACATTCACTTTAAATATAATTTGCAAAAACCAGACCAACCAAGAATCATTAATCTTAAGTAAAACAAAAATAAACCTAGACACGGGCGTGTTTGAAAACTCTTTAATTTGTTTAGACTAAAGTACTGACTCGCAAAACAGACAGACACTTATGCTTAAGAATTTCTTCACGTAGGGTTATTTTAAATTTTATTACCTTGTAACGAATTATCGGTGCGTGCATATTGTAACAAATATGTTGCTATAGATCATTTCGTAGTGTACTTAACTCTCAAAATGGAAGCTAAAACATTTTAAAAGAGAGCAAAGAGTCCCAAAAATTGTATTAAAATTACCTAACAATGTACGTTCCTTGCGTATATTATCAGGTAATTTGTTTGTTATTTTTGTAAAGATGAAAGAGGGGTCTTGGGGCTGGATGCCTGGTACATTAGAATAGAAAAGACAATTGAATGAATCTGTAAAAACTTTTCAGCATCTATTAGAACGGATTAGATCCACGTATTCTGATTGAGACAAGTCTAATCAACCCTGGAAGGACGAGACAAGTGGCCGTGGTATTTCCGTAATACCTGGAAAGGCTTCGATCCTGAATAACACTCTTTCTACTTCTCGTTATTTATATCAGTACAAAAGGATTAGTCCATTAATTTAACACAATAGCACATGTATCGGGTTACATTTGGGGGTGCGAAACCTAATGGGCCTTTTCATGGTGCCATCAATCAAATGAAGATATATAAGAGACAAAATTACACCTTCAGTATTAATCTTCCTTCAAACCTTGACTTTGAATAACGCGATGGTAAGTTGTACTTAACTTAGTTCCGTAAAATAAATAATATATTTTAATAAAACACTTTAACGGTTTAAAACGCGATATATTCGTTAAACTTATTTGAAAATAATGTTTAACTTTGGCCCGACGTTTCAGATGCTTTGCAGCAGCCGTGGTCACGGGGAGAGAGTCATGAGAGTTAAAGTGTTTTATTTAAATGTGTACTACTCGCATAAACTATAGACAGTATTAAAATAATATAGTTCTATTATAACTCCCGTTTCAGATGAAGAATGTTTTAATATTTATCGAGATTTTTGCTCTTATAATGTTGATACTTCAATGTTGCCTACCAACGGTGGCTTTAAAGAAGACTTCGAATGAGTTTATGGTTGAGAATAAACGAACGCATATGAGGCAAAACTACTTTGTACAGAGTGCTTTGAATGATGAGAATCCTGATGACAGGTACGGAATAGCTTATACAGCGGAATCGTTGAATCCGACAAGCCCAGAAGAACTGCCCGCACTGATTGTCGACTATGCTAATATGATAAGAAACGACATCATTCTCTTGGATAATTCAGTAGAGACGAGAACTAGGAAACGCGGTAATGTTAAAGTCGAAAATTATAATGTAAGTATTTGTCACATTAGTCTTTTAATAAGATTTTCTTTGTTAGATACAAACTTACTATTGTGTTAAACACGAGAGCTCCAAGGTACAGAACTACCGGACGGCCATGTAGAAGAAATGACTCTTAAAGTGTGCATATGTATATGACGTCATTCTATGCTGTACCATTATGTAATTGGTACAGCATAGATATATTTATGATTAAGAATTATTTACGTATATATTTCAGAATAATGGTCATCGAGAGGTGCCCTGTAACTGTGAACAAGGAGGTGTAAGTCATTTTGAATATTGCAGAAAAATGTATTGAAATATCTAAACCCATTTTACGTATTGACAGGGTACTGAAGTAATTATACTCGGAGAAGACTATGTTCCTAGTATCATCGAAAGTAGGAAATGCAATTCGGGGCATTGTTCTCCAACGTATAACTGCCAAAGACGCGTTTATAATGTAAGTGACATTTTTAAATTAAAAAAAAACATTCAAAAGCTATGTACTAATATTAAAACCAAATTTCAACTTAAAAGTGTATTCAATATTTAAAAAAATAGTCACGTTAAGAAAGCAATAAGTAAAAACTTACATAATGAAGGAAACTCCTTATAAAAGTTTAATTTTTTACATGTTATTGGACATGGCAGCATTATAAAAATTAAAAATCTATTTATATAATAAAAATATTGACTCTAACCTTTGGAAGTTTAGAGCCATCATTTCAAATAAGACCCGTATTGTATTTTTTTTTCAATTAGTGTACTTATAATTATGTTAATGTCGCTTTGCAGATAACAGTTTTGAAAAGGAAGAAATATGGTGACAGATCAATGGAAGACCTACCCGAGGACCTCGGAAAGAGATGGGTAGCTGTAAAGAAACCAATCACCGTTGCGTGTTTTTGTAGCGCCGATTACAGAGAACAATATTGATATGATCGACGTAAAATTATTTATTAAAAAGCAAAAATACATACTTAATCGTTTATTGATATAAACAGTTTTCAATAAATACACAATTCAGTAGTTATTTCTATTGCTGGAGTTTATACAAAATGTATGCCTCGCGAACTTATCAAGAAACACTGCCAACACATTAAAAAATGGTACTAATTCATTTCTGATCCAAGTAATATTACTTTGATAAATTCTTTAGAGGTTAGACAATACACAATAAGGTTGAATTGAACATTCCCTACTTAAAAAAAACAACTCTATTTAAAACATACGACGTAATTTTAGGACAAAATAGGTTGTGGGTACATTATTCTAATTTTATGAAACACAATTTGTAGGTTTACATATATTGAAATCTCTGGATTCTTGTTTTCAAGATATGAAATTTTCATTGGTTAAGATATTTTAATTTTTTTATAAAAAATCGTATAAGTATGTTCCTGTCTGTTAATATTTAAAAAATAACAATGGTCATCGAATTTTAAATTTTTATTTAAGTAACCTACGTTAGGTGGTTATGTACTTCATACAAAATCCTACACAGCAAAAGCAAGAAGCATTCAAAATCAACGCTGTGTTTGATACCTTTGAAAACATCAGGAATTTAATACTTTAACCTCTAATAAGAAAATAAATTGGTTGTACGTTTATTCGTTAATCTATACGTTATAATCTGTGGCATGATGCACCGTCTCGTGCGCTGCCGGAGTGGGTACTTCAGCGAGTTGGGGCATTATGTGGGCTATTGCGTCGCGGGTCTCACTCAACATTCCCATTTCGCGACGCAGCACCTCGTCAGTTACCGTGTGTATGGATTTGAACTTCAGGTTGATTCCGTGCGTTTTGTACACGTGGTTGTTCAAGTTTACCTTGTAACTGAACGCTACGTTGCACACCTGGAAGGGGTTATACATATAACAATCTATAAGCCTTCCGCGGCCATTTTGTAACTAGTTTTACAAAATGGCCGCTAAAGTCTTGTATGATATATTAGCGGCCTTGTCCCGGCTTCGCACGGGTAGACATAAATAAGTACAGACATTTAAATTATAAGCATGCTAATTAAAACGACCATGAATCACTAAATTAGAAAAAAATTGTATTGCGCGTCCTCTCTGTTAACGATCGTGGTCTATCTCACTGGTTCAGGAGCCAGTGAGATAGACCACGATCGTTAGTGTCCCGTGCACGCGTTCGCGAATTCCTAGCTCTATTTCCTTCAAGTCGCTGCGACGATCTTGTATTTTGTTCTGCAAGACGAACCTAAATATTCGAAGATAGATTCTCTGGCTCGCGAATGGGACGCGTACACTCTAATACTTTCCAGACGATCATTTTAGGAAGAAGACTTTCCCATACGACGAACTTTTGCTAATCTCGCTTGGAAACTATTTTTAGATAGCTGCGACCTTCTTCTAGGATTTTCAATCAGAGAAATTAAGAATAAACTAAAAATAATAAAAAAGAAAGTACTCAAGTTCAAAGTCATAGTTCTGAAAAGAATCTTGACAAACATAATGCAAAGTGTGATTTCTAATACTAAAACTAAGTAGCTTTGAAAAGAACTTTTTTAGTGAAGCATAAAACTGTTTTAAAAAAATTGAAATATTCAATGTCGCTCGCGCCCACTGCCCCTCTATGGTCGAATTAGTTACTTGATGGGCGGCGTGGAGGCCGCTGCCGGCATGTATTTTTATTATAATTTCATGATATCTTTTGAATGGCATGTCCGATTTCAGTAATCATCAGGTATTGAGACAGTCTTGAATATTAATTTATTTATTTGGATAAAAATTTATAAACGGTACGGATAACACGGTCTGATTTTGATCCACATTTCTATCAATTTGTTAAATGTAAAAAAGTAGTTATAGCGACGTAACTACAATAGTAAGACATATGCTCTCAAGATGTTTTTTGTAGATATTGATATATTCTATAATATTGTCGAACATTTTTGGTTCTACCTTTATTACTTTTCGCAGCGTATGCGTAGAAAGACATTTGACGGCTATTTTTTTTTACGCCTTTCGTTGGTTTTAGTAAGAATTTATATAGATGTCTATAGAAATCAAGTACTAAATATATGTTACTCAGTGATAACGTAGCTTTCTAATGAAAAAATAATTATTAAAATCGCTCCAGTACTTTTTGAGTTTATCCGTTACATACAAAAATACAAATCTTTCCTCTTTATAATATTAGTATAGATATATATACTATAATTCCAAGTATGTAAAAGAGAAAAAGTAATTAAATTCGTAATAAGATAAAATCAGCTGGCAATAATGAAAATAAATTAATACCTCGCATGTGTAAGGTCTTTCTCCCGTGTGCATCCTTTCATGGTTCTGCAGTTGGTGCTTAGCGTTGAAGGACATGGTGCAAGTTGCGCATTTGTACGGTTTATAACCAGCGTGGATACGCAGATGGCGAGTAAGATCACAGCGCTGTAATGGAACAGGTGATTATCAATTATTTTTTTTTGTTGCTAAATGGAGTTTATTGATACTAAAATTAATGAAATAATATAATATAGGTAAAAGTAGTTTTGTTCTTTAAGAAAACAACTAGACTACTAAACAACGTTAAAGAAACAACTTCCACGGTAAAACTTGGCGAATCGACAGCGCCATCTTTTGGGAGATTTTCAGGTAATTTTGTAACATATATAATCTTAAAATTTACTTACCGCAATAAACTTTTTAGAGCACAAATCGCATTGAAAAGGTCTTTCTCCTTTGTGAATCAAATTGTGTCTGAAAAATTATAATATTGAAGTAAGTTATAAATTTACTTGAGATATTGGACAAAGAAACTTTGTGGAACAAAAAAAACATAACTTACCTTAGCAAAGATTTCTGAGTATAGAAGCCAGCTCCACAAACTTCACAGATATGATCCTTAATACCAGAATGCTGCTTAAGGTGAATTAGCAAGTTTGATTTATGTGTAAAGGTTCGGTCACACTGTGTACAGTTAAACTTCTTCTTCTCTGAAAAATGAAATTTTAAAATAGTGCATTTTTTTCAATTAATTAAATTGAAATACCTACCTACATTTTTAAACTAATAAAAAATATATTTTTTTTATATTGGCTGTTAATTTATTTTAATCTATACCTTCATGTGTCGCCATATGATTTCCTAAAGTGAAGGTGAGGATTCCACAAACAGGACAGACCATTTTTTCACGATGTTTTCCTGGTGTTGAATCTCTTGAAACACGAACATTTTTAGATGACCTATTATCTGAATTTGGGTTTGGTTTGATAACTGTTGCATCTTTTGGTCTTTTTAACAATATTGGTGGACCAGTCGCACCGTTTTTCATAATTGGAACTGGAAAATATAATAAAAGATTACAATGTTATGATTACGATATGTTAGTTAAACATAATCGCTAATATAACGCGTTTTAAACCGGTAAAGTGTTTTATTTAAATGTGTACTATGTATGTGGCTACTCGCCTAAACTATAGACAGTATTTTGCGATATATATTAGTTAAAATGATTTGGAAATTATTTTAAATACAGCCGATGTTGTCATAAGGATTTAATTTAAATATTGAACCTCAATACGTACGCGATAAGGGCGAAATTACAATGCCTAATTATTCAAATATTCAGAAATTCAATGATCACAGTCTTATCTCCAAACCACCCTGAACAGTGTTTTTCCACTTCCCAAATGTATTATAATTTTTTAAATGTATAACAGCTGTTATATTATTTATATAATGTTTTGATTTTTAGGTATTATATGTAATGAATATATTATACTTAAATAAATTTTAAAACTTTACTTACAACAAGTGATTGTTGTGGTTCTTTTATCTGCACCATCCACATTTGTTTTTTTAACATGTTTTACCACCTTAACTTTTCTTATTATAGTTTTTTTACCCTTAGTATTAAAAACTTTGATATCACACAATTTTGGTTTCTTGAATTTATTTTTTGTTTCCTCTAGCGGTGGTAAATAATCATCATCATCTTCGCTGTCATGGCCACCGAAACCACTGAAGAAGTCACTCTGTAGGTAAAATGACAATTTATTTAATAAATAACAAAAATTAAGAGTGTTTGTTCTGATGTCAACTATGATCATATTATGAAAACAATTGTTTTTTTTATGACATGTATGACAGACTAGCTGTAAATTGTATAATTATTGCCAATGTCTTTTTTATATATACATATATAACTAATTTGTGTAATGTGTTAGTTAGGCCAGGTTAGTTGAGTATATAGTACTATTTGAGTAGTAATGTTGTCCAGTAAGTATGTACATAATATTAATGGTTTCTCAAAGTTGTATATTTGGATTTACGTAATTAAGTAAAAATAATCCACTTACATCATTCTGTTCATTTTCAAATTTAAAATTCTGTTTTCCTTCGACCTTTCTTATAACTGTATTGGCGATTACAATATCTTTCCCATCCATAGTTTCTGATTTTGGAACACAGTTTGGTGCAAGAACATCAATTTCAATACCTTCCCAATGGGGTTCATTCTTAACGAGGGGACCAATTTCTTGTTTTATATCAGTGAGGGTATCAAATGCTAATTTCTTAGTAGTCATACTTGGCCTTAAACTCTCTATTATTCTCCTCATCTTTCTATCAGATCTGAAAATAATAAAAAGAGTTAATTATATGTTAACTAGATGATGCAAAAATAAAAGATTATCAATGCAAACCTCTCGGCAACAGTTTTAAGCAAATATGCTTTTTCCAAACTTGAGCAACATTTGAGGCATATCTTTTCAGGAAGGCCATCATTTGCTAGAACCTGTAATGTGTACATAATATAACAATTTAATAATCTTAAAATAGAAATTAAGAAAAATATGAGAAGCTACGTTTTTAATACTGATGAATTAGGAGAACGCATTATTGGTTGCCTCACAAAACATTTTTAATATATATGTATAATAAGTTTGAATTAAATATTATTTTTTGTTTGTATTTAGACAGCTTTCGTCCCAATTCTACAATCAAGAAAACCCTATGCATTAGGAATAGCAGTCCTTACCTTGACATTAGCTATTGCTGTCAACATTTCTGCATAATTTCCCGACAATTTGTATTTAAAAAGTGGACACAGTGGTTTCTTTGTTGTTAAACATATTCGACAAGATTTCAAGTCAACACCATCACTAGTAGGTTCAAACATTTTGAATGAGTGTTGATCCAAATCCGTAAATAAAACCGAACAAAAGTTCCTCTCAACACTCAAACACACTAGTGAATACAGATTCGCAATACACTTGGTGACCAATGTTTCATTAATGACGCACAGCCACAGTCAAATGCATAAATCGATTATAAAATGTTCGATTATTTTGGTTCACAGATTAAATAATAAAATTTGACAACAGTTGTTTATAGTTTGACGTTGACATTGATAATATACTATGCGTCGCACGACAGATTCTTCGAAAAATAAATTTTAAAATAATGGCATAGTCTTCGAAATAATATTATTATGTTATTATTTTACATTCAAAAATCTCAGAACGTTACGCTAAAATTGTATTTTTTCAAGTGTTTTCTAGCAGTCTGAGTTACTTTATTTTAGAGAATATGCCCTGAAAAATGTTATGATGGCTACGTTAGAAAATAGACTTAGTCGAAGGAAAGGTAAATATTCGTTAATTTATAAGTATAATAAAAGTTCTCGTAACATTGATATCTGATATGATTTTCTCATCATGTTAACTAACCTTTGAGTAGCCTTTTTGAGTCTTAAAACTTTAGTAATCAACATTTTTCAGGAAAACCTGGTGGTGAATCATATAGGTTAGACACTAAAAATAAAACACCCGAAGAAAATATTGTAGATATCATTCAAGGTTTATACTTGAAGAAACATTTGCACAATGATACTTCACCTACTACCAAGACTATGCCTACAGAATATAGGTCAGGCCTTCGGACCACACAGAAAAATACTTATGAAAGTATAAGAGTTTCATATCTCACTGCTTTGGTTCACTTATGTAAAGAATACAGGAATAATTTAGGGTTTTCAACTGATGAATTAATGACATGGTGAGTACAGAATTTGTCAGCCTCACATGCTAATTGTAAATTTATCAATTATATATACAAAATGTAGGTAAGAAAAATTGGTCAGAAAAACAATTATTGCAGCATCTGAGGGAAGCATGATTTAATTATTATATGTCATTAGTTACCCTTTAATTTCAGTATCCGTGTTAGTCTAGTTGATGAGTCTATGCTTATGCGAGCCACTGCATTAAGAGTCCTCAGATATTTAATACAAAATGAAAGTGATGTTGCTACCTTCAATGCATTGAAGTTGCCATATCTTGTTATAAGGTAAAATGAAAGTTCACAATAAATAGTTCAATATGAAAACTGAAATGAAATGCTTTAAAACAAAGTTTTATTTTGAAGATCAATGGATTTAATGCTCCGCAATGAAGAAGAACGTGCACAAGCATTACGTGTTGTTAGACGGATAATTGCAGTTGTAGGAGGCACAGAGCCGTCTATAAGACGTCACAGGGCTGCTTACATTGAACAGGGTCTGTTGCGGTGTCTTGCATCAGTTGCTCGTGCTGGAAGTGCTGGTGATGGATCTGGTGATAGGCTTTCAAGGCCAGCTATAGCAACGTTAGCCGAAATATGTATGTACAGTGAGACAGTATTGAATAATACTTTTTTTTAATATTCCTTAGTAGGTGCTTGACTTTCTATACTAGACTAGCACCTATTTACTAATAATCTGATAGAGAAATGTTTAAATAGAATCTTGTCTTCAAAAATATCTCTTTAATATTTTGACTCTTTTTACTTGCATTTTGTTCATTATATTTGCAATAAGAGGTACTAAAGAGCATAGCAATTTACTTTTCATTATTTGTGTAAAGCTTTTTCAACCATTTTGCAAAGCTAAATTATGAAATAAAGACTTCTCAATGAGTAAACCCAAGCAGCATTCGTCTATTTAGTATTAAATTTTTCAGGTGTATTAAATCCGGATTTATTTATATCCTGTGGTGGGGTGACCGCTGTAACTAGACAGCTGGCAGAGTGTGCCACGCCTCGGATGGCTGAAGCTCTGTGTGGAGTGCTATTGCATATTATAAATGATCCGCACTCTCGTACTAATGCCAGGGTCGATTTGACGTGCCTAAACTCTCCTTATTGTGATTTTCATTTTCGTCCATCTGGGACTGATACCAGCAGGTATGTTGTATGTTACAGCATTTGTAATTTTTTTTTTTATCAGTCAAAAGGTGGTTGTTAATAATTTTCGAATATCCAATTAAAAAAAGTATAAGATCACACTGTTAATAATTATTACTAAGACAACTAAAAGTACATAGCAATTATAATTCCCTCTTGTATAAGTCTATTATACTGTACAGTTATAGAAAGTAATGCAATATTTGAATTATATAGATATTAGGAACGATGAAGTTATGCATTATAGGCAAACTGACATACTATATATCTTTTTTCCATTTTATAGGGATGAAAGGGAAATGCGTTTTACATGCAGCCGTCTAGCATTGCTATGCGTGCTGCGTAGCTGGCCTGGTCTTTTACATTTCTGTCATCCGCGTGCTGCTGGAGGTCTGCGCGCATTAGTCGCAGCTCTCTATCTACCTCGGTTAGAGGTCCGAGTGAGTACAATGATGGCGATAAAGCCTCCATACATATATATACCTTTCATATAGACCTAAATAAACTCTGGACCCTTTAAAATTTAAATTATTTTAGTGTGTTGAGTTTTTACTGCGACCCCTCTTTTCTGATCTGTTTATAAGTGTTTTATGTAACGGGTTCCAGTCGCGTTAAGAACTAGAGTATTAATCCTACAATAATGTTGCCTATACAGAAAGCTATACTGGACCTTCTTTATGAATTGGTTGGTCTGCGCCAGCCTGAATGGACAGATGAGATTTCAGTTGCTTTAGACGCTGTGGACCCATCAGATTTTCAGGTATATTCCAAATTTAATTAATTGGTTCTTTCTTCTACCGCTTAATTAAACATTAATATATTGTTGTTTTTTTATTATTAGGATTCATGGCGCCTAAATGAAGATTTTGTTGCCGCTGAAGGAATAGCTATACTACCTCATCTTGGTGCTACTGGTCCTGATATAATTGAAATTCATCTTGCCTTATTACTTCAGTGCTTTCTAGAGGTAAATATGTCATCTATAATAATATTATAAAGCTTAAATGTTTGTTTGAACATACTAATCTCAGGAGCTACGGTTCGAATTAAAAACATATAACTTAGTTGATTGGATAATTAAGAAAGGCTATCAAGCTATAACACACTACTACGATATGGCTACGAATAATAGGAGCAAAGGGAATTTGGAAAAAACGGGGAAAACTTTTTCCCTGTATCTGTTATTACTGAAGGCTTTCGTTGCATTTGCTACAAAAATGGTTAAAGATATCCAAAAAATATATAATATAAAAGAATTGTTCTTTTTTAAATAATAAAAAACAATTCCTATAAGGTATATACTCATCTTATTAGATTAACTTACAAGAACCGTTTTATGGTAATGAAATTGCAGTTGAAATACTTTTGATGACAAAAGAACCATTTCTGATTACAGGCTGGACTTCTAGACAGCTTAGCAGAAGTAATAGTGACAAGTGATACATTTATATCAGTCAGAGCGACTGTATTGTTAGGGCAACTACTGCATTTGGTGCATGTGTTACTACCCCCTCAAATTTGTAATATAACGCCAGCGTTACCTGCATTGGTTTCACAAGCGTCCGCGGGTAAACCGCAAGCATTGGCAGCTGTTGCGGCTTTGCAAAGACTGCACTCCATGTTGGAAGCGAGACCGGCTAGCAATAGCCTTTTCTTGGATCATATCATTAAGTACTGTAGTGGAACGTATAAAACCAGAATAGAGGATGTCTCGAAGAGCCGAAAAGAGAAAGACAATGCAAACAGAGTCAGACCGAAATATAATAATGAATCAGATACGGAAGAGGAACCGAAGCAACGGCATAGTGTTGGTTCAAGAGCAGACGTGGCCACGAGGAACGTTAGCGCTTTAGTGAAAAGTAAAAGTGTGAGTTCTCGGACTAGTGCCGCTGTAAGCAAAGTGACTAAATCGGCGAAATTCTTCAGCTTGTTCGAGCGAGAGAGCGACAGCTTGATTCGATCGTCGTTGGTGATGCAGAACAAGGACGGCAATACATGGAACTGGGAGATAATTCGGACGATACTTAAGGTCAGTTTAGTGCCTCTTCTTGGTTCGTTGTCTGACACTTAAAAAAAAAATTACTAAAGTATAATTACTGAACCCTTATGGAATTACACATTAACAACGTATACGTATACGTTAATCAACTTCTTACAAAAACTAGTTGAAAATATATTTAGATTAAAAAAGCGATGAACGGGCGGTATTTGACCCGGTATCTATAGCGATCTGTGCTGCTGTCACCAATTCAGCTTCTGTTTCACACGCCATCATCGAATTATTTCAGCCATCACCTTGCAAAATTCTTGTTTCTAAATAGATTTGTCGTTTATATAATGCCGTCATGTGTGAAAAATAATAAAACATTCTTCAAACTTTAAACGAATTACCAGGAAGCTGAGACGACGTTACTGAATTTAAACGACAGTGGTCACAAGGCGTGGGCGGGTCGGATTATAAACTACCTTAAGCCGTCCTCAAACAAATACTCTCACACTGATCTTTCAACTAATTGCAACGGCCACTCAGCCACGCGTGCCGGCTGCCAACTTATAAGGCATCTTTTGAGACATAACGATGTGAGTATGAAGCCATTTTTCAAGGTTTTATAGCAATAATTCAACTTTACTTAACTATTATACAACCTGCAACAAAAATTTTACTGGAATTGTTTGTTAGTTCTTGTGTTACACAATAACAATCTTCTTTCTTGTAATATGCAATTGATACATTCCAAATAATAGAGACAATATCGAAAAACCTTTATTTGTGTTTTTGTGTACTATAGAAGTCCTGGGCGATGTTAGAGAAACTTTAAAAATAAATTTTGTCTATCTTCATATGATTTTATAGACTTAACGTACATAATTATTTATCTTAAAAAATGAAATAGTGTTACCACATGAGTTACACATATATAAACCGTTTTATATCTTGTTTTACAGCAGTTGGTTATAAAAAACATGAATTATAAATATTAGTGATCCGCGATTATGTTCGTAATTGAAATATATATATGTGTGTGTAATGTTCATGATACATACTTATAGGCCTCCTTGAAAACACAGTTACACATAAGGGCTATATTTTTTTTAAGGTGGATTCTCAAAAATTCCTGGAAGACTTGTTTAATGACGTCAGTCAGCAGATAGTGGCTATTCAGACGGGGAAGAAAGCTCACGAATGTCTCTTCAGCCCGCAACACATGTGCAACACTATGTGCCAAATGTATTTCCTGTTTATTGGACAACTCTGTCACTCCAACACTGGACTAAGACTATTCAAGAAATCTAAGCTTTATGAGAAGTAAGTTATAGAAATATTCAAAACGCAAAGTAGAAACTCCTTCTGCACCAAAAAGTATATATGAAAAAACTTTTTGTAATGTTTTAAAGTAAACATCAATCATATAAATAACATACTAAAATTTTAATAACTCGTGTCTATAATTAGCCAGAGTTTTCTAAGAAAACCAATAAATAATATTTTTTTTAGCCTCTTGGAATTAGCGACAAAAACCCACCACAGCTGTTATGTGAAACTGGTAATATCCAGTTTGGATTACACACTCGATGCCTGTCCACGGGACATCCTCGCCAAAACACTGACTTGTAACAACCAGGCGTCACGACTGTACGCAACCCAGTTCCTCAATGTCCTCATACGCGCGTCCAGAAAGTCGAGAGATCTAATCCGCAAGAAGGCTAAATTAAAAAAGAATTTACTCCAAGAGCATTGGAAGTCTTCGCGGGACGAAGAATTCATGGAAGGAGTGGATATGGATACATGGCTGATGCAGATGCTGGTCGGGCAAATTAAGGACGAGTCGAAGATTGTCGTCAAGAACGCTTTGGCCATTTTGGAAGAAGCTTACACTGTTCCAGTAAGTTTTTTTTTAATGATAGAGCCTGATTGATGATGATTTTAGATGATATACCCCAGATAGCATCTAAACAAGATGCGCTGTCGTTTTGGCATTGGATATTCGGAAATCTACAGAATGAAACCTAAACGCGATTAAGCTTCACTGCTATGGACGGTGATTCGTGACCCGTACGGAATTTCTATATTTCTACCACCCGTTTAATATCCAGATTTTGAGCATGTTTCAAAAATATATATAGATTGAAAAATTAGAAACACGTTGGACCTGATGGAGGTCGAACCCACGACCCGTTTATCATTAGCCATACATTGCTACCATTAGACTAACGAGCCAATTTCATTTTTTTTTTGTTATAGTTTAGTCCTCGTTTTAGTATTTATTTTTTAAGATAGCATTGAGCTATCTTAAAAAAAAATACTTTTTGATTAACATTGTATGAACTTGAACTCGATGCGGACATATATGAAGACGTAACTTTAATTTTTTTTTCAAAACGCTTTTTATTTACGTAATTTGCATAGAAATTCACAGTGTTTCTATTCCTTGTTAATCATAATAGGTATATCAAGACAAACTAATGTCGCTGAGAGACATGCTGGGCGAGAATTGTCAATTAGAACGAGAAGCAGAGGCCTGTGTAGCTGAATCGTCAGCGGGTGGCGACCGTGGCTATTTGCTGTGGCTCGCCGTGCAGCTAGCAGCCACAAGGCACTCGCCACACGACGATTCTGTGGCTTTCATCAACAAGCATATGCACTACTGGGACAAATCGTATAACTACAGGTTACTGGTTTAACATGATTTATATGAATAACTTACCTTGCTTTTACGTAGAAGTAACATAAAACTTTTAACGGTTTAAAACTAAATAATTCTGTTAACTTATTTTTTGGGTGAAATTGTCAGCTGATGATGTGGACTGATCACCCGGCCTTTTATAGGTGTCCCCGATAGAAAATAATAACTTATTTTTAATTTATTTCAACTACGGACCAAAATTTATGATGCTGTGTAGCAGGCGTGGTCTCTGGGGCCTGAAGATGGAGGGTGTCTCTAATATTAAAATTTCCACTTGCTACTCTAGCGCCACCTACACTGTCGTAGTTAATATTTGGAGAAACTAGTGGCGAACACAAATAACAGATGGCGCTAGCCGTTTTAACCGGATAAAACGGCTAGCGCCATCTGTTCCTAAGTTAAAAGTATTTTATTTAAATGTTTCTAGTCGTGTTAACTACAGAAATACATAAAACTTACTCTAAAAAATATAATCATATTAAGCTATCCAATTCTCAAATAATATTAAATAGTATAGTATAAATATTTGTATCTACGAGGGTTTTTCAAAATAAAAAAAATGTATTTAGATACGTACGACTGGTGGAAGCCGAGGTACACGAAGCGTTGACGCTAAGTGAAGGGGTGCGACGCGCGCGCGGAACTAGACGCAGTGCCCGCCCACCTCCGCACATATTGTCAGCGTTGTCCATGCTGGCTTCTCCCGCTGTTAATTCGCCAATGGTGTCACCACCCTTTGTTAGGCCTTTACTAGCCGCCGCTCTACCACCACACTATAAGGTAAAACAAAGGAACATGTTTTTTTTATATGTATAAAATGTGTTGTGAAATTTTCCCTTTTGGAATTTTAAAAATTTTATAGCCAGACTAAAAACTTAGTTGGATAAGTAAATGTTTTTATGCTCTACCCGTATTAATTTTAATACCATTGGACTTTTAAATAATAACTTAAAATAAAGGTGTTGTAATTTTCTCTTTAAGCAATGTGAATCTTCCAGAGAAAAATAAACGTCTTAAACTTAATTAGAAATAAAAGCTATTTGCTATATTTTAAAAACTAAACTATAGAATAGCTACCTTGTTTTCTTTTATACAAAAAAAAATATAGACTTCTGGCGAATAAGGTTTTCATGAACTTTTTTGGTTTCAAAATATATAGATCCTACAATGCAAAAGCTGTTCAAGCGAACAAGAAGTAATGGACCTAAAAGCGTCCCTTTGGGCGGTCGGAAACACCGCTGTGACACCTACTGGTTTGCAGCTGCTAATGGCACTGTCCAACAACTCATTAGAAGACTCAATCCCAGTCCACATAGTCCGCCTTGCGAAGTTCTGCCCAGTGTACTCTGTTCGGGCCACCGCCTTTTACATACTTGGACTCCTAGGCAGCACGTACGACGGTGCTAACTTGCTCTCAGAATTGGGTAAGTGTCGAGGAAGACATATCTTAAATTACTGGCAGAAACATATGAATGGCGTTTTTATTAACCTACTTTCCAATCACTGTTTTAACCGACTTCGAATAAAGAAGATTTTTAATCCTTTTCTAGAGTATAATGTTTATGAATGATATTGAAGTTCATAGTTTCCTATACAAAATGATTTTTAATTTGATTTATTCCCTGAGATTTTATCAAATTGCAGAACGTAGTATTTTTGAAGCCTAACTATTAAGCGTGACTTAACAATTACTATTTATTAAAAACAGGTTGGCTCTGCGTCCGGCACACTCGTCACGACCAGTTTCCGGTTATCACGGACGAGAATTTCATTCAGTCGCTGGATACCAATGAAAAAGGATACGTGACGTCACCCGATCGTAAATTCAACAACACGCTAGAGGTTGATTTGAGCGAACACTCCGATCACACTGACCAAAGTATCGCTGAGAGCCTATATTCAGACACAACTAGACTCAATCGGACGATCGGCGCCATATCGATTGACGAGAAAGATCATGACGAAGTCGATCATAAAATTAATTACGGACGAGAATCCGATAAACGTAAATCTCATACGCTACCTTCTCAGGGTTGTGTCAGTTCTCACGAGAGATCGCTTACAGAATCGAGAACGGTAGATATAATACGCGACTGTTCGCCTTATGAGCGCACTGGGCATAAAATGCACGTGGAGAACAGATTACTGGGTAGAATGAACTCGCTGGATCAAGCCCACGAAGGCAGAGTTAGGAATACTAGTGAGTCTAGTACTAGTGGTGTTAGCAGCTGCGACTCGTTTCTTGGGAAATACGCTATACCGTGAGTAAACGTTTTCTTAGTAAATTTTAGTGTTGAATTAGTAAACGACTCTCGGCTTCAGTTATGCAGACCACCATTTGGAGTTGATTCCGATTACAGACTATAAAAGCTATAATGATGTCATCGAAGATTGACATTGACATACTGTTTGACACATCGCTTGCATTTAAAAGTAAGATTTCATCTCAGCTGAAAACTGTTTATGAGTGACCTAATTTAATTATTGTATTTTTTTTATATTGTATAATGTGAATATGGCACAAGGTGTGCTTTATTCTGCTTTTTCGGTCTTGTGATATGCTAACTGCCAATTTCGTTAACATCATGTTACTAAAATTATTCTTTATAATTAGAATTCACGTTATTAATTATCTGGTAAATGTCTATTTAGCGAAGGGAGTTATCACTTGCAGCGTATGTTATAAGGGTATTGCGGGGAAAACAAACTAACATGCAAATGCTGGGAATAATTAGTTTGTTAGTACCTGATCAGTACATACATAAAAGGCATCGCCCAGGTCTTATAAAGGTACCCTTTTCTAGAACGAACTTGTTAGGAAAAGCGTCCTGGACAAGAGCAGTAGAGGCACTAAACCTACTTCATAACCAAAAGGACATATTCTATGATGCATGGAGTGAGCTCGTAAAATGTTTGCAGTTTATAATTTCATATGGTTTATCCATGTGAAATTATAAACTGTAAACACTAAGGATATTTAAACACTAAGGATATTTAAACGCTAAGGATATTTAAACACTAAGGATATTTAACACTAAGCATATTTAATATTAGTTAATAGTTAGTTATAAGTCATAGTATAATTGTAATCTATATTTCAATGTTAGTTTTTAAGTGCAATGTCGAATTGGGCTTCCACCTGTAATGACAATGTAATTTTAATGATTAAATAAAATAAAAAAAAAATAAATAAAAAATATTTCTGTATGAATACCAATAAAAACGACTCTGAACTAAAGTAAATTGTCTTTGACAGCCTTTTAAATAATATTTGTATTGTTCTAGGGATCGTGTATTGACGTTAAGCCCTATTCCCAGTTCCTCTAGTCTTTACGGTATGAAGAGTACGATAACTACGCATCGGCCACGCCCCACTGAAATCCAGCGACGTATCTCTACATCTAGTAAGTACTGGCAACATAGAAGCATTCTGATTAAATAATAATATTCATTCTTTTCGAATTTAAAATTTTAATTTTAATTAATACCATTATACTCCAATTTCATCTAGAATGATTTCTTAGACTGCAAAGCATCAAGTTTCTGCTTGTGTCGTATTCTTTTAACTTTAAATCGTTGTTTCTTTGGAACTTTGAATAGGTTTTACTGCCCCAGACGTAGCCAGCTCACCACCAACTCAAAAGGATATGAGCGGATATGCAACGATACAATCACTAAACAAACATAGACGGTAAGTTTTAATGTACAGGTTAATAAATAACTACTAGAGAACCAGCAACCAATGTGCTGGTGATCTATTTCGGCTTCCGATATTCGGCAATCCATTGAATCGGAAACGCCATTAAATTTCACGGCTTTTTCATCTGCGGACGGTGGTTCGTAACCCGTAACCTACAGATTTTCAGAAAACGATAATTATATTACAAAAATGTTGGACCCAGTGGAAATGGCATCTTTTTTATTATTTTTGATTTGGTTGATTATAAAGCAGTACATTGCCACCATTACACCAATGAGCCTGTTCAATTCAACTGGTTTATAGCATTCCAGTAAGAGTAAGAATCTTCGTTCTTTGAAGTTATTGTTTTTTACTTTAGACCTCACGTGTCAGAAGGCGCCGCAACCAGTTCTAGTGACATCGATGAGCTTGTATGGCTCCTACCGGACTTTAATAGGCGTAAGCTGAACAGACCCTACTCCTCTGTAAGAGAGAGGTCTAAAACGCAACGAGAGAAAATGGCCAAATTCAAGTGAGTGAAATATTATAACTACATACACGACACGCACGCGGTAGCTTAATTTGTGAAAAGAGCAGTACGGAGCGCTGTGGATGCTGGTTCAAGCCCCGCTCATGTCGTAAATGTTTTTCTTTCAATGAAATATATTTAAGATTTCGAATTTATTATAGACAGGGATGTATCCACGTTTACCGTTAGAGCGGGTGATACGAAATTTAAATTTTTAAGTTGATATTTTTTAACTTTGAACCTAAGAGTTTCTTATTACCTACGTTTCATTGCTAAAACCTTGTTGATGGTTTAAAACATGGCTTGGAGTTTAATTTGACATTAGTGCCACCCTTCACTTTTATTTCCCTCGTGATATTTTGGGTCGTAGTTAAAATTAGAATGAATTATTAGAGACATATATTTCGCCTTTTAACCTATAAAAAGTGTTTTTTGGAAATGTATAGTACTGCTCGCGTAAACTACAGACAATACTTACGAGACATATCTATTCGAAAATAAACTATTTACTTAATATTATTAATTTGTAGCATGGTTGAAGAGGATTGGCGACCCTTGTGCCAACGTGAACGAGAAAATGTAAGAAGCGGTGGAGCGGGTGGGGCGCGCGTCGGAACGTGCACTCCGCCCGTTGGTCCGCCGCCGCACTATATGGCTATCTGCCTGCCGAGGGACCTAAGGCAGCTGTTTCCACTGTAAGCTACATTTATCTAGACACTTATTTTTTGTAAAGAGTATGGCCAGCAAATCTAGAAGTTAATTTAGTATATATTTGTTATAGCACAAATAAAATAATACAAGTTCAGGAGCATTTCCTTTAAAAATTCGATTAGTCTAATCGATTAGTTTATTGCGCGTGATGGCACTATATAAATTAAACATCGATTATAGATTGAAAAAAATCGTCGATGACGTGTACACGCACGTGGGCACGGTAGCTCAACTGGTTAGAGCAACAGCACGGAACGCTGTAGATGCCGGTTCGAGTCCTGCCCGTGTCGTAATGTTTTTCAATACGTAATTTTGCTCTGATACTGTTTGTATTTGCTCTATAGAGCCGTTAACATTCATTTGTTATGAATATTTTTTTCGTAGTCAGTGACTTACTGCTCCTATATATTGTTTGTAGAGAAGAGATCAAGGATGAAAATATTGATGCAGAGAAGACGCGTGTTAGACTAACTTCATTTGCTGATTGCAATGTGACAAGTGACAAGCGAACCACTCCCGAAGTACAAACTACTGTTCATAGGGGTACGTATCCACTACGTAAGTAATTATATATGCCTAACTGGAAATTAAATTTACCTTTTTATTCAAATAACAATGATAATAGCGACCAGGGCACTGTAGCTAAATTGGCAGACCACGTCAAAGATGTAGAATTGGATAAGCTATTACAAAATATAAATATTATCACGATTCAAGCGTTACATAACTCAGTAGAACTACTTTAATTAATTTTCATCCATATCAATTTCAATCATTAGCAAACGGCACAGATAATCAATTTTATAATAAAATTTGACACGCTCGTTGGTGTAGTGGTAGAAATGGCTAATAATCGGGTTCGATCCCCCCACCGGGTCAAACGTTTTTCTAATCAATTTATAATTTTTCTGAAACATGGTTGGACTTCGCCTGGGAATGTGCATATTAAATGGGTGGTAGAAATATCGAAATTCCGTCCGGGTCACAAACCACCATCCACCGATGAAAAAGCCATGAAGTTTAATCGAATTTCGGTTTTGGTTGACAGTGTTTCTTGTTTAGATATTATATGGCTTGATATTTCAGATTTCAGCACCAGTACAATGCAACGACCGCCTCTACCAATACCGACAGCTACTAACAAAAACGAGACCACGGACAAAATAGTTACAGATAAATCGAATACAGAGACTGATAGAACAGATGATAAAATGATATTTGCCAAGGAAGACGAGATAAGTTACGTGAAAGATATCAGCTCGAGCACGCTCGTGGGCACGTTCAGCAGAGAGAGCAAACCCGGGAAATGGAAACACGTGGCGCGGGACTGTCTAGTCTGTGTCAGAACTCGACCGCCCTCCTCTCACGAATTGAGAGAAGCTTTCTTCGCAGGTTTGTAACTATGTGATAACTGAAAATACGATAGTTATGATTTTAACCTTTCTTCTTAAATCATAATAAATGTAAGAATCACTCTTCTGATTCCTATTTTTGAATATAGCACTTACGGGCCCGACAATTAGTTTTGTCTTTTAAAAACGAATATGTATTTTTTTATTTTGTTACAGTTTATATTATGTAAGCCATGTCTGTAATAAGTGTAGCTTAGTTCTGTAAATCTTTAAAATAATTTGGGCCTGGCACTCATAAGAAAATATACCTGCTCTTCAAATGTCGTATTGATTATATAATATGTTAATTAGTTACAATATATAATATGTTAGCTGCTTCTCGTAAGTTTTTATTACATCTTAAATTAAGAGTTAAAATGAGTTGGTAGTATTATCGTGTAGAGTTTAACTTATAATATGGAACTGGACCCGACGCTATGTATCCTTCACAGCAGCCATGATTTATTTAATGTCTAGTATATTACCGATGTGCATTGTGTTGTAGTTATAGTGATAAACCCGGTTTTTTTGGCACAGACTTGGAAGGTACGAGTATTTCCGAGGAGAGGGAAAGTCCGACGCCCAGCGAATCGCAGCCGCAGGCGCAACTTTTGCACCACGTGCTCTTCATGTCCAATCCTATTCATTTCAAACAGGTAAAACATTAAAAACTGCGATGCCACATAGATGGAGTCGAAAAAAGTTTTTTCCTCTTATAAGTAAAAAATAATACGTAACAGCACATTTAATCCTCAAGATACCTCAAGAAGGGCACAATTTAGGTAAAATATGTCCGATCAAAACGGACAAATTTTACCGGATGTAAATAAAAAAATATAGATAGTAAAACTGTTTTCTAAAGCGTCCTATTCGCAAAGAAACGACTAACTAGTTTTTAATTTATATAAAGCTATCATGTGTAACAACTTGGAAAAATGATTAAGTTTTAGAACGTTGAACTTAGTCATTTCAGTTTATTGAGTTTTTGATTAGAAATTCAAAGAAATCGAACGAGACACGGTAGCTCAAATGGCTAGAGCACCAGTACAGAATTAAGACTATGCCGGTTCAAGTGCTGCTTATATCATCGATTTAAAAAAAAATAGATTTAATTTGTGAAATACTGTTCTTGTGTCACTGATAGATCTATCTAGACTGTGCTCTGCTCGACCAAAACAATTTATTGTTTCCCTGGAATTCGAACCCAGGACAAAACTTAAAGCTAAGTAGCATGTTCGACCATTTGACTATAGGGGGTGGGTCATTGATCACATGCCACCGAGTGACTATTATTTACTAATTTTTTTTTAGACTCGTTCCGCACTGCTCTCCTTGAAGCAACGCCACCCGGACGTATTCCGCAACGCGTGCGTATATTCGGACGTCTGCGGCCTTCTATCCCGTGACACGTATATGCTGTGCGCCCGTCGTTTCCTGCAGGAGCTCTTTCTTGACACTAATTTCGAATGCTTTCCTACTGAACTGAGTGCTATATTCGCCCGTCATAGTCAAGCCGCGCTTCTTTCACCCACCACACCCAAAATAGACACGTAACGATGCTAATAAGATTTTTCTGAAAATTAGTTCCGAACATAGTACAGTTAGCATAAAACAGGTCTTACATGTATTTTAAGTAAATCGAAAGTGTTATAAATAACTATTAGACAACGAATATTTATTTATTATGCCCATTCAAATATTATTGTGCTATTCCTTAAGTTAATCTGATTTCGTTATTATAAAGCATAGCTAATAGTATGAAAAACACATGGATTTACTTAAAATATATCTCATTGTTTTACCCTATACCCTACCATAATTGTGATAAATTGATAGCTAGTTTGTTTTAAAAAAAGATGTTCTTGAAATTGAAAACTAAAAAAACATAGATATGGCTAGCTTTGGCTCGATTATGTGTAAGGTTTTAAATAGATTACAGTAAGCAGATCAAAATAAGTAAGCCTTTGATTTATTACATCATTTCATATGTCGATGGCATTATATACAGCGAAACTTGCTAACACAATCAAAGGGTTTTTCTTTAGACTGAGTATTATAAAGTTAAATGTATCCCATGTTATTCTGTCTACCCTCGTTTATTTCCATTCAATCAGAGCATGGATGTTAATATTAACTTTTCATTTATATAAAGAAATCACTTCAAGGCCGCTCTAGTGAATTTTGCAACTACTAAAGTTAAATACACTTTCCTAATATAAATAAAAGTTTGTTCTAAAGATAATATCAACCATACGCCTTATATGTATATAAATATGTTTTAGTGAATAGGTATTAAGCTAACTAGGCTCCTATGTATGTAATCGTAGTTTTTCATTAGTCACTGTAGGCTTACAAGTATGATGCTTTATCTATTTATTTGACTTGTTATATGCCACTGATTAATACACATTTTGTAAGTGTTATAGAGTGTGAATGAGTGTGTGAGACTTCTATATGCGTTAGTTATAAGATTACCTACTACATCCCACTAAAACAATTTCAATGCTAGCCTTTCTTACAATTAGGCTATTTCATATAAACCGCAAATGACATTAGACAATATTATAGTGTAAATACTACTCCCTGTGGCACCCTTGTGATAGTGTACCACTTATCCCACCAAATATGTCCCCCATTATTCTATGTAACATACAATACGACGCCATTGTGTTCACTACCTTTGCATTTAATTTCCTTTTCCGCGACAGTTAAAACAAAATCTGTTTACGTTATTATATTAACTAAATAGTTATAATAATTTTTACCAAGTATTCTGTAGTTGTAATGTTCGGGTGTCAGCGACGGGGTACAACAATATCCTTTATTATCAATTGTTAACGCGAAGAGAAATATTATGTAAGATAAGGATTAACTGTAAGATTTATACAAATTATCAGTCCTAAAGGTACCCACTTAACAGTATTTCTGATTACATGTAGTACTAATATGGGTCATGTTCGATATCAGCTGCATTTATTGTATTATTAAGTCTGTTTGTTCTGACTTGTTAACGATTTTCATAAAATATACTAGTCTGTAATGTATACAGTGTTTCGTCTAATTATAAATTAACTTTTGGTTAGAATTCAAATCATTAGATAAATAGTGCCATTCAGCTGGTTCCTTTATTCAATAATAATAATTCGTCATAAATTACTATGTACTAATAATTATAACAAATTGTAGCGGTTATCTCACTCCCATTCTACAGGTTATATTATAAAATAATTTTATACTACCTAAACATTGTGTTTTATTTAAGAATTATATCTTTATGAATTCAGTAAAAAAAGGTACATTAATTACACAATCTAGAATAAGTTTATTAAATAGATTTTTTCAAGCGATAAATTCTTCCGCCAATAAGCGATTTAAGTTCTACGACACACTTCTTTATGTTTCACATGTAAAAAAACTTTCTAGGAATACGCGTTTCCTTAGGTTTTTGTAATTTTTTGACATTCTAATTTATTTGTTATACATTGCATTGGTTTCAATTTTGTCATTTTTATAGGCTCAAAAATACTCAGTGCATAACGCTAATACAGAAGAATTTTGAATCTATAAAAATCACATAATCTGAATTTCAATATAGCCCATCTATTATGGGATCATATATATCTATCTATGGGATGGGGAATCCCTTTTTCACGAAGTTTAAAATTTATAATCCCATCACTTCGTATTGTAATAGCCCTTGATATATTATATTGTGCTTATCTGTGGTTAACCTTAACACAATGTCAAATATAAAATTGTCAATACTCAATACTATAATGCTTATTGATAAACCCAATCTCAATTCATCGAATATCCTCTCCTATCGTATGTCCTTCTATGTATGTATCAAATTATTATCATTTCTCATTTTATATTTATTAATAACGTAAAATTATTTATATATTTTTATTTTATCTAATAATATATTAATTGCCTAATCATATAACTTCTTTTTTTCTTAAATTTCCCTACACCACACCTTAATTAACTGGTAGTTAGTTCTTCTTGCCACAAATGAAGAAAAAAAAAAAAAAACCGTAACGTCATTAAGTAATTCGTAAACAGAAGTTCTAAAAATACAGCATTTGGTTATGTCGATAAAAATAATTTGATAAATAAAAGCAAACCTAAAATATAGTCTTATTTATAAAATGACGCTTTATAAGTAAACATCACGCTTGATTATTTTAAATGTAATGGCTGAAGAGCGTTTACAACGAATAAAAGGTAAATTTTACTAGTCATAAAATATGGTTTATTGAGTTCTCTTGTTTATAATTCACTATGCAATCTATTGGTGTTTTAGCTGGTGCATTTCTGGCATCGGTTGCAGGCATTTCTGCTTTTGTGGGCTTTGGTACTACTTTAGCAGCGGCTAGGAAGTCAGATCCTAAATATTTTAACAAAGGTGTGTTGTCTAAGTTATTACCCACTACGTTACATATATATTTTGAAGAGTAAGAGATGTAACAGATAATTTATGCAAATAGGTATTCAAGGTAGTGTAGAATTAGCTGATGCTGGAGCCATTCTTGCATTAAGGGCGCTCGGGTGGGGTACTTTCTATGCAATTGCTGGTACCTCGTGTCTCTGTTATGGTATATGGAAATTGTCAGGTGCTAAAGATGTAAGTTATGAAATTAGTCTACCCACTTTGTAATACCAAGCTTTTCAATTTTTGTAATTTTTCTTGTAGACATCCCACATCTAGAATTATATTAAAATTTTATAAATACTGTTTGATTAGTGTTAGAGTATAGATAAGCATGGGGTTCTCTTGATTACATTTCTTCGGCTTTGGAAATGGAAAGGAAAATGTGTGGATAAGGATTTGTGACCCATATGGAATTTTAAATTTTTCTTTCACTTATTTCATATCCAATGTTTCAGAAAAATCATATATTGCTTAATAACCAATCAATTATGTATTTTAAGTAATTTATCACAGTAATAAAAATTAATGAATATTTTAGTTAAAAGACTTTCGAGTGAAAATGGGAAACATTCTGCCAATACTACCTAGGAACAATCCACCTCAATCAAGAACAGAATTTAGTGGTTTAAATGATCTTTTAACATATATATCAGAAGATTATGGAAAAAAGAAGTAAAAGGTTTTTTAAAATAAATTAAACATTGTTATTTAGTTGTCATGTAGAAAATTGTTGATAGTATTATAAAAATTATGTATTTAAATCCTGTTTTATCAATATCTCTTCTTTATAGGCTGGACCCGAATTACAGCTATCTTTACATGTGTATACTGCTAGCACACCCCAATCAATGCTGTTCAGGTCTATGCCAACATTTATATAGTTCAGGAGTTGTGGCATTATCTAAAATTAAAAGGAATACATTGTATCACACCCATCAAATATATAACAGAATTTTACATACATTTATGACTTGATTTAACATGACACAACCTATTACTACATATATATGTATATAACAAGTTTAGTTAATATTTTTAAATAATAACCTTTATTAGATACAGGTGTTAAAGTAAACTTTTTATTTTACAAGTTCATACCTGGAACTCAAATTTTCGTTCACCATTACAGTACTGGCAATTAGGCACGTCAATTATAGTATTATTGCTTCCTGTAATCCACAATGGTGTTCCACCTCTGTCATATCGTAACACTTGGTCAGGGTGTTTTGCTATTCGCTTAGTAAACTTATTGTATACTTTATCCTCGGGCATGTTTCCCGCATACTCTTCTAATTCACTTTCATTAATGTCATTCAGTGTGCCTGCTTTTTGCTCATGCATTAATTTTCTCAATTTCTCCATCTCTTGATTTGTATCTACGTTTTTTACATCTTCCTGATTGAAAAAAGTTATTTAGTGACTTGGAATTTTTTTTTATATCAAACGAAATAAATTAACTTACTTTATCTTCTTCATCAACAATCAATTCCCATTCCTTAAAGAGGATAGATTTTCCAGATTCTGTTACAGTAAAGTAATGGTCTTCCTAGAAAATTAAGCTTGGTTATAATATGCCAAACCACTATATAAAAATTTCAAAGCGTTATACCTCAAGAGAATTGTCACAGTTCTGCTTGTGTCCTTTTTGCCAGTGTAATACTTGATGTTTTCTACTACAATAATATACTTGTTTACATTTTGAACAGTGTGAAGGCCCCCCTTACACCGCACACATGACATAATTTTGGCCACTTATCCATTGGAAACACCTAAAACATTTCCCATTTATTTATGAAAATAAAGAGAACTGTTCATAAATTACACAATTATACTATTTTCTATGAGCTATATATATAGTTACCTCATTCTTATTTTCTTCATGTGGTTCAAATGAGTAAAAATCATTTTTCCTTGGTAGTTGGCAGCGATAGACTTTCAAATTGTCAGAATTATTTGGGCGACAGCAAGGTCCATTCTTACATATAAATATAAAGAGTGTCCTATGGAAGCTATCATCTTTCTCTTCAAAAGGAGCATATATCTGCAAAGATTTAAGGTTATACCTAAGGCATAGTTTCCTCCGACTAAAAGAAAGATACCTATACAATGAATTCACGCACTTGGCACAAAAATATCATAACTTCATTGCAGTGTTTACATGTTAGATCCGATGGCAGCACAATATTATTTAAATCCAGCCAGGACGGTTTACCACCAACTTTGCTCGGGAAAAATCTTGGATGAAGCAACCATGAGTCTTTTTCTTCCAAAAATCCGATATCGACATCCTTGCCCGTCATTGCTGTTTACCTTAATCCGATTTATCATAAATTGTAATATAATAACCAAATACTTTATTTCTATAAATTGTATTAAACTTTTTCCCACTATCATTTACTGAGCAAGTGATCTCATGATCTGTGACATGTGTTTAAACACAGATTGTTGAAAATATGTGTGTTTTTAGTCAATAGTCAAAACAATGTAATAGTTGAAGTCTGATTTTTTTACTGATTAGTATATACAATCAACACAAATATATTTACGGCCACGTAATTTATTTTTTTTGAAATGCATGTGGAATTTCTATGATTCATTCTGAATTATTATTTAACCAGATATATGAGCTGTATATTACTCTGATACTAGGCGATTATAGAAATTTAAATAAACTAAGCTATTCTCCTAACCTATAAAGTAGCAGATTTTATTTAGATATTTCTTATTGACACCTTTTATAAACAGTTGTTTTGAACACTTTGATTTAGTGGCAAAAGTAATCATGAAGAATAAAACCGATATAATACAGCTTTTTAATGATGCTCAATATAATGAGACATATTTAAAAATATGTGCTCCAATGGTGAGATACAGCAAGGTGCAATTCAGAAACTTGGTTAAGAAGCAAGTATTTATTTTTCTATTAATATTGATATAGTGTTTATGTTCTTGTATTGTGTGTACTACACAATTACCAAAAATTAATTCTAACAAATTTCATCAAAATTTTACAGATACAAAGTAGATATGGCATTTACTCCCATGATATTAGCTAATTCATTTTGCCAGAATTCAAAGGCTCGGACAAATGAATTTTTGACAACAAAAGATGATACTCCATTGATTGTGCAGTTTGCAGCTAATAACATAAATGATTTCTTGGACGCTTCTAAGTTAGTATATCCATATGCGGATGGAGTGGATTTAAACTGTGGTTGTCCTCAAAGATGGGCCATGAAAGATGGCTATGGTTCTGCATTGCTTTCTAAGCCAGAAATCATTCATGATTTAGTAAGGTCAGTGAAAAACAATCTGCCTAAAGACTTCACTGTGTCTGTAAAAGTAAGAATTCTAAGTGAACTTAAAACAACATTGACAATGTGTCAGCAACTTGAGAAGTGTGGAGTTGACTTTCTTACTGTTCATGGGCGTACCCCTGTGCAGAAAAGTGGTGAACCTATAAACATGGAATTTATGGAAAATGTATTTAGTATCTTAAAAGTACCCTGTATAGCAAATGGAGGTGTAAAAACATTAGAAGATGCAAAAAAAATGTATGACAGTCTAAACTGTCAAGGTGTTATGGCTGCGAGTGGGTTGCTTACTAATCCAGCCTTATTTAGTGGAATAAAAACTACACCCGTAGATTGTGTAGGGACTTGGATGAAACTGAAAAATTACAGTGGAAATAAGATTACGTTTCAATGTTATCATCACCATTTAGTGTTTATGCTTGAAAAGGTACTGACTAAGCAACAGAAACAAATATTTAATTATCTCCAGACTTTTGAAGAAGTTGACGAGTTCTTAGTCAAACATATTATAAATGATGAATCTATTTCAACGAATGTCAGTCATATAAGTGAATTCATCGCCTGTGATTTTGATAACAGCATTACAGATAAGCATAATAAAAAATGTAGGGGTTGTGGAATTAGCACATATTATTGTACCTGCGAGAAATATAGTTACGAAAATAATGAGGGTAGTTTTTTTAGTTCTTATGTAAAGACTAGTGATGATTTGGATTATATGGATAGTAGTATATTTGATGAAAAAACATTATAACATTATGATAAATTAATAGTGTTTTTTTATTATTTTATGAAAATTTTATAATTTATTTTTTTTATATTTGTGTAGTTTATATGAAACTGAAATGCGGCAGGTGGCATCTAAGTGACAAGATTGCCAATTCCAAATAATTTACTTTGCAAATAATTATATGAAACTGACAAAGATATTTTATTTTTTTGCTTTGCTTTTTATGAAACTTGGGCCATAAAAAGGTTAGTTCAAGTTTATAAATTTGAAACATTGTCAAGCAATTTGTAAAACATAATTTTAAAATTTTTCTAATGTGACTTTCTAATATTCATTAGAAAATACATTTAGTCATCTGGTTAATTATTTATTATATAAAAAATAATGAACTAATGTTACCCCTATTCCTATCCTCCACTGTAAGTATAATAAGTTGTAATATACTTTAATTAATGATTTTATAATATTAAAACATTACTTACACTAAAAAAGTTTATTTAATTTTCCATATTCTTTCCTCTTACCTCTTGGATCGTCACATGATTTGCACACAACGAATTTATTTTTCTCGTTTGGTGGCGTAGTAGTATCTCAAACCGTTGATTTAAAACCTATTGGTAAAAGCAAAACTATTTAGTCCAAAAGGAAAGTGGGAGTGGAATCATGAATAGTGCTACGTATTGTAGCGTTAAGCTACGAGAATCATTGTATAATTATAATGTAAAATCGTTTTCTATACTCAGAAAAAGTTATTTCATTTCTTATTGTAATATGATTAGGTTTTGGAGTTTGAAGTTGTACTTACTGGTTGCACGATAGTATATATTTGTAAGGGATAGTTTGATGAAAATAAAACTGCGTTTTAAATTTTACTTTTCTTTTAATCGATTTGGTGTTGTAAAATATTAACCGTCGATCAAAGTGTACAAAATTACAGGCCTTTATAGTGAATATAGGTATTTCTGGCGTTACATAAATACCTCAAGATTTTTCCGCAAATACAAATATTGTAGCGAAAGTAATGAGATACAATAATATTATATTGCTTATTTCCATGTACCATATGTGACACATCATTGTACTTAATATATTACGAAAGTACATTATAACCTATGTTTTAGTTAACTTTTATACAAACTTAGTGTCAGGATCGAAATGTGTAATTTATAGATTGGAAATATTAAACGGAATTTACATATTTACACTGAAATAAAAATAGAAACAATTAAGATTAAACCTGAATCAGTTTCCGTCCATTACTATTATACAATTAAGAAAATGATTCATCGAATTAATTAAGTTTTACACGATAGCGAAAGAAGTGATTGTACTTTGTTGCTGAGGTATGAACTGTTTACAATTATTGAAAACATGTATGTGATATGTAAACTCTCAACATACGTGTTCTTAGATGTGGCGTTTGTGCGTTAATTATGTGTCGTTAGTTTCAATTCGAAACTAGATTAGACATAAAATACAATCACATACCTGGTGAAAACACAAGCAAGAATAAATTATGTATTTATATCTCAAATAAAGGAATATAAAACAAAACGTCAACAAGGTCTCTAACATTTGTAACATTAAATCTTGGTTACAAATTGTTGTTTAAACTTTAAAAACTCCCATAACAATAACAAGGGTGCGAAATAGACTCTAATTAAATTAAAGATAATGAATTATACGTTTCAAAACAAAGGGCAGAAATCCGGCTCTTAGGTTAGAACATTTACATGTGTGTTTGAGCGAAAATAGTTTCTTGAATAAACTTTGAAAAACTGTTATCTAAACGAAGCCGATCGTACGCATAATATGAATAAATGCAGTATATAGCTTTGAATAACGGTTGCAAACATTAATATAATTACAAATTCTACATTACAAAAGTATGAAAATATAATCATCACAATCAACACACATATAAATGGTGTCTTAATGTATGATCCTCTCGAACGTTTCAGCGGTTTACAGTATTTCCTCGAATATTTTTACATTTAAACATTTTCGTTCTCGTAAGTAAATGCTTGTCATAAAATAGCAAGTACAGTTTATAAGAGAATGCGTATAAAAATTGCGAGAATAATAGAAATACTTAGAAAAAGCTACGGTTCTAAATCACGTATATGTTTAACCACTTGGAGTATACCTATGACGGATTTACACATAATGTGTACCAGAACCTATAATTACATTTGCCAATCGTCACATTGCATATCATCTCAGCCTTTTCAATTAGGAGAATCATAAATTGAATTTGGAATATTGAATAGTAACTAGGAAATTTGGTGAATTAAAATTTGTAAATAGTCGATCAGTTCTCGAAGCGACTGATTTGAACGACTACTACTCTACGATGTGAAGCACCATTTGTTCTAGCATAGGGTTAATGTACAGTTCGTTCTAGTCTAAGTAACATTAGAATTAAGTTGGCGCATACGCACTTACTCTCCGATTATTCTTTAGGAACAACGATTTACTAACATACGAATATTTTATTAGGATAACTTAAAAGTAGTATTATTAAAAATATTTTCGCGCTTTTGGCACTAATACTAATTTTATTATGCTTTATCATTAAAGACTTTAGAATTTTAATTCAACCAATGGTGTCCTATCGCTCGACTTAACGTGCCCAAATAAAAAGCGATCGGACTCAACTTTGTAATGGCAAATATAACGGTTGTGATGTGGTTCTTTGGTGAAATATTAAGCATCATTCATGAATCATGCAGTTCATTATGAAGAAATCAAATAGATAAGTATTCAAGTTACCTGCAAGTAACATATTTAAATTAATACTATAGAGATAGGAAGATTAAGTATGGTATTATACCGAGAATGTATTCTATACAATGTATGTACACGCCTTATAAAAAATTAAATTACACTACAGAGTCGATGGCGAAATATATTATTTACAATAGAATTAAGTAAAAAAATTGAGCATTATATTAAAAAAGGCTGAGACCTTAACGAGAACTCCGCGCCCACTAGAACTAGGTAGTCTTAAAATGGATGAATTCTATTTCAGTACTTAGTACTCGATACATCGCAATGCGGATACACTAAAATCTATTTTACAAATATACACGATAATGTTCATAATCTCATAGCCACTCGACGAGACGCATTGGATTCACACGAATGTCTCTCTAATTAAATGAATACTTTCACTCGATCACAAGAACGAAATCACGTGACACGGCGGGAAGACACGCATCGAAGTGCGTGCGGCGACTGAAATTAGGCTGGCCCCAACGCTCTCAGGTGCACTCTATGATTAGGGGCTGGTTGGACTCTATCACAGTGGGCCGGGTTTCAGCCGATCCGGAGTAATGGTCGTGGTCCGACTGAGCCGGGACCAGACCCCGGTATTGACCACCGGACCCCGGCGACATCTGCGCGTGGGTGAGGTGCGGCGTCGTCGTGTGCGGCTGCCCCCCCATCATGGCCTCCCCGTGGGACAGAGCACCTCGAGCCCCACCGGCCATAACCCCTCCTTGCGATGCGGAGTGTACTTCGTAACTTTCGTGCCCCTCTCTCTCGTGGCAGTCTTTGTCGCCGTTACCTGCAAAGTGCACGCGAAAATGAAATCGGTCGCGTTCAGCAAGAGCGCAAGTGAAAGTCTCGCTCCACCTACGGGGAGAAAGTGCAACGCGGCTCAGTCTCGCTCGTTCGCTTATTGCAACAGATATATTAAAGTGAAATTAAAATTATTAAACCCCTTTTATGGTAAAATCTAAAGGAAATATAAATAGTGAAAGTGAAGTGAAAGTTTAACAAGAAAAAAGTCCTTACCCATGCATTCAGTGTTGGCCGCATTTGTAATAGCTAGAACCTCTTCGATATTGTTTGGTTTGCAGCTTGTGGTCTTCCAGTGCGTCCTTAAACCCGACGCGCTGATATACTTCTTGTCGCATCCTTGGCAAACATAGGGTCTGTCGTTTGTGTGTAGCCGCTTATGTAGTTTTAAATGGACGAATTGTGTAAACTTCTGCATACATAAATCGCAGGCATACGGTTTTTGTCCGGAGTGCAGGCGCAAATGCGTTTTCAAATTCGACGTAGATGAAAACCTTTTCTTGCAAATATCACATTGGTGCGGTTTCTCTCCCGTGTGTACTAAATGGTGTTTTTGTAAATGCGCGAGTTGTGTAAATGATTTATTGCAAACGTTACATTTGAACGGCCTTTCGCCAGAGTGTGTTCGTAAATGAACCTTCAGATTCGATAACTGACCGAAGGTTTTGCAGCACACATTGCATTCGTAGTGCATTTTTCCGTCTTTCTTCTTCAAAGGGTAAGGCAAGCTTCTGTAGCCCCGTGAGGATTGTGAATTGGGACTCAAAGGTGCCATCATCATATTGCACGAACCGTCGGGACTTAGGCTGCCATGCGGTGGCCCAAGCTGTCCATTAACATTGGCGTTTTGTATTAGGCTTAGTTGTGAACAATTTTTCAATGTGATAACGCTTGTTGATGATGGATAATGGTGATTGCTTTGTCCGTTTGGATTTCTTTCGTATTGATGAGACGACGTCACAGTAGGTGAGTAAGTCGACGGTGGCGATCCGAGTTGCGTAATTATCGTCGAGTTAGGTGGAGAATACAAATTATACGAATAATTTGGGTAATGGCTTTCATACCGAGTCTCCCTTATTTCTCGTATTTCTCTGATCTCACGAATTTCAGTCGTATGCGGTATTGTGTGAGGTGGTGACGAAGAGTACAAGGATACGGAATTCGGCGCCGGTAACTGTTGGGGTAATGGCAATAAAGATGGTAGTGGTGTTAAATTGGAACTCGAATCCGGACTGCAAGCGTTACCATACCTTTGACTCTTTTTGTATGAATAAGCCATTTCTGTAGGTGATGATGGTGGAGGAGTAGCGTTTGGCTGTCTCCTGTTAGGGTCGTTGTTGTTAGTGTCAATTCTGTTTCCAGTAAGTATTGTTTCCAGAATTCTGGTATCTGGCGGTGAATACCTCAGAAAGGCGGGTTGTGGCGATGGTGACAAAGCTCCGTCTTCATAGTACGGTTTATTTAAAGGTACGACGGTATTTTGTGATGATTCTAATACGATAACGGTCGACGTGGCTGGATCCCTTCGTGGGGGTGATAGATTTTGTGGTGAAGTGTTCGCTATTTCCTCAGCTATCATCAACTCTTTCTCACTTTCGCAATCCATATCCTTGACATTTTGATATTGATAAGCCCTCGGCATTTTGATCTTGACTTTTCTGTATTCATTACGGTGCATATCTTGATCGACCTTTTGAACTATAACGGTTTCTTTCGGTTCATTTGTTTTATTTGAACAGTCTAAGACGTAATTTTCTACGTCTGAATCGCTGGAATCTTCCGGTGGCGTGAACTCGTCGTGGTAACCATTGCTATGATAACCTTCATCTGACCTAACTGAACCATCATTTGGTGTCAGTTGATGTTCATAGTGAGATGGAACGCAGTGTGATAGATTAGGTGATTTACTTCCTTGATGTAGAGCCATTGGCGAAGGTCCTCGCATGTCACGTTGGTGGTGGTTTAGAGCCGGTGATCTATTATGAATTCTAGGATTCTCCATTTGATGGATGACTAAATGTGATGTACTTTCTTTGTGTTGATGAATAATTAAGGTTTGTTCTCTGTGGTGTATTTTTGCTGGTGATGGTGGCTGCATTAGTGCACTTGGAGATATGGTTCTGTTTTCGCTCACAATGTGAGGTGTCTCTATTTTAGGTTGAATAATATTTGATAGTTCAATTCTAGGAACGGATCTTTCGTTCTTACTTATTAATCTAGAATCTTCTCTTGGCAATATTGACGAAGTTTCTATTGTTTTATCGCTTGACTCTCGCTTTCTTCGTCGACTTGGTAATTCTGCTTCTAAAATCTCTTTTGCGTTGGAAAGGCCAAGGACATATTTCATGTGATTGAATGCAATTTCAGGGTGTACTGGTGCAGGTGGAAGGCCATATGCCTTTTTGATTGTTTCTTCCTTACCTAAAATGAACATAATTTTAGTTATGACATTGTACGAATCATTTCAAATTTGTTATCTCATTACTTCTTTTAAAAATGTACTTACATATTGAGTACGTGGCTCTCTCCGGATCAATATCATAACCCAGCCTTGTCGCAAAGTCTTTACAATACCAAACCATAAGTTCTTCATTAGGCAAAATGTCTCTAAAAATATAAAAACTTGTTAAGAAAATGTTTAAAAGATGTGAAAAATAATTTTGGAATGTTTACGTGTGAAAGTGTTGCATTACCTGATTGTGTAAAAGTATATGTGTTCCTGATGTTGGCAGGCGACGAGGTTCATCACGGATAGTGAATATGCTGACGCTACATATCGCATCCAATTCGCTACGCTCGTGTCTGATCCATCAAGGTAATAGTAATCGCTATCTTTGAATATCTGTAAACAATAACGAACATTTTAACAAATTTGAATGTTTCGTTGTTCAATTTCGTTTCTATAAATAATAATTTATGGTTATTGCATAGATTAATAACATTATACTGTGTGAAGCACGTGGCACGTGTTAAATATTTACAATACGCGTGCAACTGATAGCATGCTTATTATGGAGTGGAGTCAAGGGCGAGATGCAATGGCATCGTGATGTAGGACGCTAAAGATAACGGCCTGTTTAAACATTGCAATAAAGGTAGATTAATAGACCCCGACAAAAGCAAGTCTTGAAAAACGCGACGAAATATAGTCTGTGTTACTGTGTGCACAGTCTATAGAAAAAAGTGGTAATACTTTTTACTGCAAATAAAAAAAAACTAAACACAAAATCGTTCTACCGTCACAGATTCAAAATTGCCGCCATTTTTTAACACGCCTGATTAATTGCGAGACAATAGATTAGGTAAGTCTCTTATGTAAATACCACCACCAGCGAAAGTGATTTAGAAGAAAACCCAATCTCACCTTAATATTTCCAAAGGTATGGTGTCTGACCGTTTCTTGTACCTGGCCCAAATAGAGGAAATCGTTAGAGATAAGAATAGTGCGTATTATACAGGTATACCATTAAAGTTAGTTATGAAGACTAGTTAGTACAGATTAGGTAAAGACTATATATGACTCGAGGTAAATATGTAGGTTTATAAGCAGTTGATAGGGTCTGACGCTGAACTTACCCTCCAATAATATCTCCAAGAGATTTTGTCGTTCGGCTTGTTAGGTGTTCGAGTGCCTTCGAATGGTCCAAATCTGGTACCACGTGGTATTACTCCGGTACTCCAAACGCCTTCCGTCTGCAACACATCCAATTTTTTTATATTTATATGTTACACCTTGATGGTAATTAATTGCACTAAATGGACACGAGGAGACCACGGCTGCTGCAAAGCATCCGAAACATCGGGCTGAAGTTAAAAATCCTTTTCAAATAAATTTAACTAATATATCGCGTTTTAAACCGTTAATTTAAATGTGTACTACTCGCGTAAACTACAAACAGTATTTGATACATCGGTAATTAAATAAAACTAAGGCAAAAGTGAGTTATTTCAGTTATTTGTATTTTAGGTGAATAGGTTCAAATCGCAGAATGTATTAGTTTTATGTATGTTGAAATAAGGGATGTTTCTGATGGTTTACAGCATCTGTAGTCTGTAAACGGTCACAGCTGCTGCCAAGCCCATTTCATAAATTTGCGTTTTAAACTGTTTTATTCAGTATTTTAGTTTTACAAATTTCGAAATACAAAAAATATAATCATACGACAACCAATAATTCTCTTATAATAATTATTCGCCTATGTTATATACATATTGAATGAATATTATACAATGTATAACAGGTGTTATTTAAATTTTGCCTGCAGCGAAGTTGTTTTCAGTTAAACGTACCGGTGTGTTAGGTGTAGATAATACTGCGGAGGGTCTTAAAGCCAAACTGCGAGGTAGGGTTCTTTCAGCTCTGTTCTGTACTCCTCTCTCACAGGGCACATCTGGCACGATGTACACTGTGAGTCTTTCAAACTCTTCTTCTCTCATTCTGGTCACGTCGTAGGCATCGTTGATGGCGACGCCAACATTTGGACTCGCCGTACGACCCACCGTCGTACTGGGAATTTCTTCGCTGGTTGACTATAAAAAAAGGTTTAATTAAATAAACAACATGTTTTATATATTGTCTATAGTTTAGTAGTACATATCTAAATAAAACACTTTAACGGTTTAAAAAGCGATATATAGTGGTTAAAGTCATTATTAGTACGGCCAGACATTTTGGATACTTTGCAGCAGCCGTGTATCCCCGTGACCACGACTGCTGAAAACGAAACGTCGGGCCGTGGTAAAAAATATTTTCAAATCGCGATTTAAATTGTTTATTACTATTAAAGTGTTTTATTTACACGTCTTTTATTATATATCTTGTCTTATCATCGGAAATAATGAAGGAAGAATTTTGTTTTTTCAGATAGAAAAATAAAAATTGTCATGGTTTGCTTGTAGTTTAGGTACAAAATGATAAGACTGGTTATATATGTATGTTCAAAGTAGCGTCCCTAACTCGTTGACTTATGAAGGCATAAACTCTCGTGTCATCTTTAATTTTCAGCTCCGAAAATATGCAAATCGCGTTGCAATCTCAGCGGCGGTCTGCGGGGTTAGCGCGGGCTAAGGCATTTTAAATCTTCTCATTCAAGTCGAGGGTACATTTTCGCCGAGTGCCAGGACGATGTCGTTGTTCGATAAAGAGGCGGTGCTACTACTGACCCAGTTTTCAAATAAGTGCGCACTTTTCACTGCGCAGAGACACTTCCCCTTTGCCTATTTATATCCGCAAAACCGAATCTATTTGCCGAAAATTATGTGCGAATTCTACACATAAATTCCATTCCAATCAAAACTAGACATTTTTACTAACAAGATTTTTCAATATAAAAATGTTATAAACCTTATTTAAGATACTTGTAGTTAGAATAACTTACCAGTCTCATTTTGACGGCTTAGTTATCCTTTGCGTTGAATTGTTGGTATTTCTGAAACAAAAGAACGACAATGTTTAACGCCTTGCTTTAGTCAAACATGAGATCTTATTTAAATGTCAAATTAATAATAAACACAACACGTACGAGACTTGAACCCACGGCCACATTGCATTGTACTGTGTGCGTTAAAATTATCTTAAATTTGTATTTTTAAAAGAAATAATGTTATGTTATTGTATGAAATTTACAAAGTTTGAAGCATATGTTTTTAATATCATTATAAGTATGAATTTCTTATTAATAGATACATATTGTTATATCGATTACATGTATAACATAATCCATTTGATGCACTCTTATCAATTATATGTGGCAATTAACACGTGACTGAAACGAGAAATGTTATTTCTCGTAATTGTACACGAGACTCCATATTTTATCTCAACACTTGAACTATCTTTATGATACCTAATTACCTATAACTTGCACTTGCTTGGCCATTTAATGTTAAAATACTTTGATTTAATGTAGCTTTTTGTTTGTAATTTATTAACATCCTGAAAAATTTGTTTATTAACTTTAACATAAGCGAGTAATCACAAAGACTAAGGATATAAATTTGTTGTATTAGCAAATTGCTTTAAAGTTTTTTTTTTTGAAGAAAATAAACTAAATTCATTGTCGTAAAAATAATCGTGGTCGCTTATAAATATGTCAAATCCTAGATATACTATAACTCGGCAAAAATAAAACAAAACCTATGTGAGTAAACGATAAAAATACTAATATAATATAAGAGCTTATGGCCTATAATAATAAGCATACATTGCTAGGTAATAAAAGTGCAAACTCCTTGCGTAATACTGTTACGATTAAAAAGAATGAAAAGTGACGTCTCACGTGCGCGTGAGCGAATTGCAGTAATGCGCGGGCGCACCAGGAAGCAACCTTGGCGTCGCGACTATACTGCACTTGAACTTGCCCTTTGCGCCAGCGCACTTCGCCGCGCATCGGTGCTCATCGATCTTTCTAATACGGACGGGCCAGTTTTGTTTAAATTATTGTAGTTTTGACGAAAATAATATGAATTATAATCTTTCTATTATTTATACAAATTTTAGAAAGCTGAAAAAAATCTATTTGTTTGTTTGAACGAGCTAATCTGAGAAATTACTGTTTGAATTGAAAATGTCTGTTAGGTTTATGTTAGATAGACAGTTTATCGGTGCAGGCTTTAGGCTATAAAATATTTCGCTGCGAATAAAAGGAGCTAAGTTATAATGGAAAAAACAGAAGAAATTATAAAACTTTGAGGGCTTCCGTTGTGCGCGCTGAAAAAACAGTTCAATTAACCAGAAATTATATGATAGAATGTCCGCGACAGTATATGTGCATATTTTACGATTAACTCACAAGAACGACGGGACTTATTTAAAAAACTGAGGAGGTTGTTTGGAAAGATGAATTTGGATGATCAAAATACTATGCCGACGAACGAAAACGAAAACGACGGACGAAGTTAAAAAATTGTGAAAAATTTCTTGCAGGAAATCGTATATTTTTGACTTCCCGTATTTATTGATTAATAAACAAATGGCATTTGAAAATGTATTATAAAATAACGTTTAATTTACAAACTATACAGTCAATATATTATTTTAATGAAAAGTTATTAAACAATATAATTCGATGGTATCTTTTATTGTCATGCGTTTCTTGTCACTCTTGCACTACGTTTTATAATGTTATTTCACTTGATTAAATATTATTAAAATATTGGTGAATTAAAATTAATATTCGATAATGTAGCTGTGAGCAACTAACCTTGTGGGCTAATAATAATGTAATACGTAGCTGTTTCTACTACAAATAGAAACAAGTTTTGGCTACCTAACATCATTTATTATGGATTAGGTTTATTGACATTTTTAATATAAACATTTTAATTACATTATTCACAAGTCACTAGTTATACTTATTGATTGTTAAGATCCAATATTTTTTATGTTATAGCTGAAAAAAAATATATATATATATTATATATTGTCGTGCACTAATGTAATCCAATTGATTTCGTTACACCTCATAGTGTTTATTTAACTGAAAATGCATTGATTACTTTGCATGTTATAATGATGGTTTGATTATTATATATTTTTAATTGTAGTATTATTATCATTATTATCCTATTATTATCATTTTGTTGTTTTATTATTAATTACTACTTTTCAGTAATACGGAAATATACATTCATCCTAATAATTTAATGTTATGTGGAATAAGTTAGACATTTTACCTCCCATGACACTGTTAACAACGATTAACTGTGCAAAATTTACACTGATTATATTTAGACAACACAGCACTCACGCCGAACTTATGTTATACTTACGAAAAATGTCATTATTCAGCGGTAGGAGTCTTCATAGAATTAGGAAAAGCCGAGTGACGCTTCCGCGTTTGAACCGTACAGCGTCTTTAGTAAATTTATCGGGTCTTTAAATAGTGTTTGGCGGTGTTCGAGCGATTTAATGTACTCCAATAGTATACGGAGCGTCAGCAAGGGAACGATGGGCCTTAGCCAGCGCGCCGGTATCATGTCGGCTCGCCGCTGGCCGGCCGGAGCAGCTAGGCGCTCGCGGGCACCGCCGGCCTGTGAGCTGGCTCAGAGCCTGGGCGCATTATGCAACACCGCCCGACCTGCCCCACGTCTAGCCGCGGAGCGCGTCGCACTAACCCGTCGCCTCGCTATGCCGACCGACCTAGATGCACTTTTACAGTGAGAATGCAATCGACACACATATTCGCGTCTCGTTCCGATAAACGCAACGACGAAAGCGCCTCGTGATGTAGAGTGCGGACGAATTTGACGGCGAGCGCAGTGAGTACGTCACGTTCGCGCCTAGTGTTCACCAATTAGAGATGAGCGGGACGGTGCGGCGGTGCGTCCGAGCTGCATTCAAGTTCATTACTTCCGTAGTGTGGCTCCCGCGGGCGCCCTGACCGTGCTCTCGATACGCGCCTCTCGCGGGCGCGTTGACGTAACACCTTGGTAAGATCACACAGTACTTCTATCGACACTTACAGCAACACAGTAATTCCTAAGTCCTCAACACCATACATATCTACATTATAATAAACTCAATACAATCGACAAGAAGCCCAAAAGCGGTGTGCCGGGTAGCGTGCAACGTTAGCGAAAGCCACGGCTGGGCGGGCGGGAGTCTCTCGCGAGCCACCCCGGAACAAGCTTTCACTATCGCGGGTCGACGACACAGCCTACATACCCCTCTACTAGTGCATCTCGAATGCAATTTCATGTAAGCGCAAATCGCCCTTTCCGGGTTGCACCGTATTGCATCGATGTAAAGCGCATAATGCAAGGGATGAAAACTCGTTGAAGTCCTAAATGAGCATTCGTGGTAATGGTCGGCCGTTCTCCCTGTTATGGGTTGCTCGTCACCCGCCACCTACTATTATACAATATTGATTTCACTATTTACGGGGTATTAATCAGTTCGCAGATTTTAATGGCATTTATTTAGACGTCAGTCCTTTTTTGTGTTGTTAATACTGACTTTTCTTATAAGACATTTTTAATAAATTAAGGCGCTTTATTAGTCTCTATAAAATACTATCTAAATAAGCCCTGGTGTGAATTATGATCACAAGTTAAAAAATATAATATTTTGTATACTAGTGATGACAAATATTGCATATATTATCAGTATAACTAAAATACCAAGGCCCTAATATTATCTTTGTTGCGACATTTCCCCTAATATCAGATTTGATGCATTGCTCAACCCATAATGGTGTGCCTGACCTGCCTTAATGTCTGCTCCTCTTTTGGCTAACCCTACCCCTGTGCGTCTATCCCGGGACTGAGCTTTTGCAATTACAAAATTTAAGGGTTTATCTTTAATCTGTATGTATATTAAAAGATTTTAATTATATAAAAGTTATTTATATATCTCACTTGTAATAAAAGCATTAAATTCTGATAAGATATTAAAAAAGTACTTACAGTAACATAAATCAATACGTACGTAAAAACCTAAGCGTAAACAAAGTAATGTTATAACGTCACGTTAAAAGTACATTTGCCGGTCAATTAGAGCGTGAAAAGCGAGGCGCGTCAAAGAAAATGCAGTTTTCCAACATCGGCGGAGGCTTGCGCGGTATCAAAACACTGAATCTTCCGGGGTGAACGGCCTGGGCTCGTAGCACTAGCCCCCCGCCCGGCGTCACTTGTCTCGCTCCTGCCTTGGGCGCGAATAAATCGCACAGCCGCTTCTGTGTGCGGGAAACGCGTCTACTGCACGAGTATTCGGCACCGGGGTCGATGACATCACTTTTCTGCCTTTCAAAACTTTAATTTCGATTCAGATGGAAACGTTTAATTATGTTTTTTTTTACATTGAGCGCGTTCTATTGAATACGGTGGATTTAAAATTACTCATTACACTCAGTTACGTCTTTTACAAAAGCCCGGGCTACAGCTTAACTTATCTCTTAATTCAATGTTTTACAAGATAAAAGCACTTAATTGCTCGGCTCAAACATTGCTAGTTTCACGTCTGGCGTCATTAATAAAACTTAAATTAATTTTTGGCAATACTAATATATATAATGCGGTTTTTTAAATTTTAAACTAGTACTTTCAACTGGTCGCCTGTGTACCTTAGTTTATTTAGAAGCTATAAAGTTTGATTTTAATATTTTTTTGTTGTAGTGCTTTATCTATAGAATAGGGGTTCTATCGATCTTAACAGAGCATGGTGTGGAGGCTATATCTGTGGAAGTGCTTGTGCAAACTCGATTTCCCCCTTCTTGGGGTAGGCTTCAATACTCATTCATGCCTTTTTCCTGCTCTAGCCGGGCTGCAGGCGCATACTTCGTTCCCTCTCGTTACGTTCCATGTTGTCGGTACGCGCATGCACTAGACCTAGCCCAATGCAGCGAATTTTGCGTAAGGTCATTGTCCTCTCTTCCTATATATATATCAAACTTTATCGTCTGAACCTCCTTAGTCCGCGCTAATAAAAAATAATTTATTCGACATCGCTCCGTGGAAAGGACTTTGATTGTTTTATAACCAGCAATTTCACTTTTCGCACAAAATGTGCAATTGCGATTGTTTTGTCGGCATTCAAGATGTGTTGTAATAGAATAATGACCGTTTGAAACAAAGGTTTTTTTGGAAACAAGGGTTTGCATGGCTCACAATGAGACCTTTTGATTTTTTGCTAAAAGTGCCGTTTGCACAAATTGCATTTTTTTCGTTGCAAATAAAAAAGTAGCCTTTTTAATGTTCTCTCAAAATATGAACAATAGAGACGGAGTAATAAATATTACTTGGTTCTGCGTTGAAACGTGTAAGAGATGTTTTATTGAGTTCCTGGAAGTCGATAGAACCCCACCGTAGCGTAATTGCGCAAAACCAAGAATGTTAGGGTTTTTCATGTAATAAATTGATGTACCGTAATAAATGAATTGAATTTTTAAAATATATTTAATTAAGTCTAATTAAATAAAAACAAAGAACTTAAATTATGAAAAAGAAATTAGTTTTATGTCACTTGACATAAAACTAATTTCTTTGTAAAATTTTTAAAACAAAAAATGTATGACGAATAACATTAGTCCTGATTTCCAATGCAAGTTAAAGCAAGGTGATAAATTGATTACATGGAGGTGCGAAGTTCTAGTCTAGAATGCTAGGCTAGGGTCAAAAGCCGCGCAGTATGTCAGCGTTTAGTATTCCGTGAGCCCCAAGCCCGGCCGGCTAACGGGACTTGCGACTCTACCGGCCTTTACTTTCATCGATCGAGCTAACCACGGTTTACTTTCCTTTGTTACTTACTACTTATAATAGATACTGATAATTTACTGTGCGACGGGCTCGTTGGTGTGATGGTAGCAATGGATGACCAATAATCATCGGGTCGTGGGTTCGATCCCCACCGAGTCTATATTTCAAAATTTATTTTTAGTAATTTTTAATAATTAAATGGGTGGTGGTAATGTCGAAATTCTGTCCGGGCCACAACGAACCAATCGCGTTTCGGTTTCAGTCTGTGGATTTTCGATATCTAAAGCCAAAATAGGCGGACAGCACATCTTGTTTACATGTTATATTGCTGGGGTGTTTTACCTACCATCAACTGGCCCCACGCTTGTCTGTGGCTAAGTCAACAATTTTTACATATAGAATTACTCTTGACTGCAGACTATATTTTTCAATTAAATGCAAAAATATATTATCTGTGTATTTTAACATGTTATTTAAAAATAGAACTGAAATGTGTTCTTCATTTGAGTTTGTTTTCAATATAAAAACTACACGGCCATTATAAATGATATTAACACAAAAATAATCACGTCTTTATACTTCACTTAAGGTTTATTACGACCATTAAATTCTCAAATTTAACGACAATGCGGGCTTATAATTATCTATGGTTAGCAAAAAACTATCGAACACTGCAAGTGTTTGCCTCGGGCAGGTAGAGCTTTTAAGCGGGATAACGACAACGGTTTTTGTAAGGGATGTACCGTTAGATCTTTTTTTGGATTAAATCATCTGAGAAATATTATTTTATTAAATGTGGCTATTAACAGAGATTTCGTATTAAAATCAGCAAGCGACGTGTTTTATATTTTCTAAAAAAGCAATTTTGAGTAAAGTACACACTTTGATATTTTATAGCTTGGAAAAGCTTTGTTCCCCTAATTTTCTAATATGTTTATAAAGTTTTTTGTAATTTGCAATATATAAATATTTAATAAGTTCATCAAGGCAAGTGTTGCCTGGAAGAGATCACTCTGTAGCGATAAGGCCGCCCGTTGCACTCCATAAGTAGTAATATTAATATGTATTTTTTCTCTCTAATAGTTGTATTTTTAAAATACATTTGTATATACTATGTGTGTGTTATTGAAAAGTTAATTAACAAATTAAAATAAATAAGTAAATTGCATTTTTGTTGATGCTATTACAATCAATCTAAAACAAAAACCAACAATCTACCAGACCATTTTGGTTACGTAAGAGCTGAAAGAGTGAATTAAAAGCCTCCACGTAAGTTACACAGGAAAAGCCTTGCATACGCCGTGTAACGTGCTAAGTGGTAGATATAAGCACGTCTGATTCTAACTGTACTGTGAATCACACACTAGCTTCACAAATAGGTTTACAGCTTTAGGACGCAACGGCCATACATAATCACCATATTGCATCTAGCTTAGTCTGTGATATCCGTGAGAGCTAGATTTTCTCAATTCACAGTTATAAACTTTAGATTTTGAATTTCGGACAGGTAGATTCTGTCGATTTGATTTTTTGTATAACTCGCCCTGAGGGATTCTATACGGTATCCGTGGGATAGCTACCGTTAGGTCATGTGAGTAAAAAATAAATCGGGCTGTGAAATACGCACCCGACTTCCTATGTCTTCAGTTATTCAATTGAAGATTGATGATTGTGTAACAAAAAACAAGTGGCGTTTTTAGAGAATGTTGAAGTACCTTCAACTTTTGTGTAGGTTTACTTAAATTTTCACCTCTTGTACGGTTATTTGAACAGGGTCTAAGATTTGATAACTACATATATATGTTTTATAGAAATTAAGTAAACTAAAATTAAACATTAAAATATAAATATTTTTGTGTTCGTTATACATAACACAATTGATAAATGTGTTAATCACATTTTTATGTCTTAAGCAACAAAATGTTTGCCAAGCAGCATTAAAGATAAAATGCATAGATAATAAACATTGAAAGAAAACCTCATTTTTGTAATTGATAAAGCACAATCGTTGCTTAATAATACAATAATAACACCTAAATGGGACACGTGTATTCATTCATTGAATAAAATGTCAACTAAAGTCAACGTCGCTTCTGTCTTGACACGGTTCGAAGGCTTCACGTGTAGATGCCCTCTTAAGTATTTGCGTCTTGCATAATGCGATAATTATCTGAATAAATGAATACATATCTATCTTAGCTTGCGTTGGACGTCAAGTAATAATCTATATTAAGTGCATCCTATCACGTCCTAGTAATAGTTTTGAAAGTAGTGAACATCTTAATATAATACATAGATTTCTTTCTAAAGACTCTCTTCTTATGTACCACGTGTAACACCGGAAGACACAACTAGTGGTCTATAGTGTATTAAGTATAACAGTTTATTAAAATGGCAACCGGAAGACAACCATACCGGCTATGTAGGACATTCTTTATTTGAATCTTATTTTACACACAGTAATAGAAATACTATCTTGTCGAATTTATTTGTTTATTCATATATATTTATAACTATTTAAATTTTCTTTTTCTTTCTGTTGAATGCCACTAAAAGCAATGGGTCAAGTCTTTATACTTTTTTTTCTACTAACTCTGCTATTTTAAAATAATTATAAATATAACGTTTCGATTCGTCAAAATAATTTCTTGTAATTCATATTTATCGGATGTAATATTGTCTACGCGATGATTTCCTAGTTTTTCCGTGTATTTGGGACATCTGTTGTCACCGCTTAGACAATAGACTTGTTGTGTCACCGTGATAAGCTTGTTATCGTATAGCCAGGCTAAAGGTCATGCACAAACCTATTGATGCATGAAAATGGACATTACATAATAGGCGTGTGCACGAGGCCGGGGGCACCGAGTACCGTTTCTGGAACAGGTTCTACGCGTCACCCTTTCCCCCCACCGCAACGCGTGCTCAATGTTTACCAGGCATTTACTTTCTACCCATCAAGGACCTTCCTAGCACTCCCACGTAAGTGCCAGTGTAAGTGAACTCGACAAATACCACAGCCCGTACTCCTCTATTTTTACCCACTCTGTACATTTGCTCTTCCCATTAGATGCTTCGACGTTTTGATTTTCAAAATGAACGCTGCGTAACAAAAGCTCGAGAGCGAATCTTAATTGCACGATGAATTGAATGCGGATTGAATATTCGACTTTATCGCGTCGAGGGTAAACACAAAATGGCGTAAGCGAAAGCGTTTCGCAGTACGCGGGCCCGCGGTTCAATGACCGAGTTTTCACGGGTTTGTCAGCTTGTTATATCATCGTTATAGTCAGTGTCATTGCCGAATTCGCAAGGCAATTGCGTGCTGATATGTGCCTTTCTATTAGCGGGATAAAGGCCATTTTTGCATATCCTGCTGAGGGCTTTTGAGTCGTTCTACCTTACCAATTTTTATATGTACGTATGTAAATGTGTTTATTGTGTATGTACTGTTTTTATATTGTAACGAGCGGACCTTGAAGTGCTTTCATGTATTCGGGATTTTTATCGCGTTAATTAAATATGTTTGGACCATGTCACATATTTTACGATTTAATATAAACTCATTCCATGAATAGACTTCTTAAAGGAAAATACGATTAAACGAATGTTAACAAATGAAAAATAAACTTGGCATTATATTATGAATAATGTATCTGAATTTTGATGTAATCCTGTAATTATTTCGTGTTCCTGCGTTTTATGTATATTGTAGGTATAGATGGTAAAAATGTGTGTGTGTGTGCATTTCTTCTCAGTTGCGGCAGTTATAACACTAAGAACAAAATAATAATATTTACCCAGCTCTTGTAAATGTTGCACAGATTACACAGATAGATAACGATAAGGGCTAGCCAGATAGAAGTGGGGTGAATTACACAACTAAGTACGAACCACGTGCGCGAAATATTAACCTTGAAGTTGAACTCAACAGGTTCAAGGATCGGTTTTTTGCTCCTCCATTGCCCAATAACAAAACCTGGCTGTATGTGGTTACTTAATTGAATCAAGTTATGTAATGTTACATATTTATTCTATGTTTAATAAAATGCTTATGTGACATCATTCATTGTTTATTTAAATAAATAGAATCGAATACAAATTGTTTTACAAATTTATATAAAAAATATTTATATAAATAATTTACACCAAGATTAGGTGAAATATTTTTATGTAATATGTGTTATTTTGCCTTACACTAATAAATAAGTACAAGTAGAAGAGAACAACCTGTAAATATCGTAAATTACATTTCTATATCTATATTTGTTTCTCCATAGACTATGGATATATATTTAATTCTTAGTTATAATACTTATAACTAGCAGCAATACTTACCTATATAAGATTTTTCATCCTACGATTTCATTACATTTCGTAGCGCGTTGAAGTCTTTTTATCGTAAGAAATGCATTGCATGCAAAAAAGTTTTATGTTTACATAATGACAAATAATAATACATCTACAACTTACCAACACCAGCATAATAATCCAGAGGAAAATTCAAATGTAAATCCAAATTGTGAATCAGCGTTTTTCACTAAACTTAAACTAAACATCACCTCACTGGAACCGTCACTTAAATTAAGTAAGTCTTTAATTGAGATCTAAGTTACAATCAGTCTAAGTTAGGCGCGTTAGTACATCGTGGAGTTGAGTGGAGGCGGCGTAGCGCACCAATAGCTCCGTCTAACTGATAAGTGTGGCTCGGTTCATGGTCGGAGCCTTCCTTGGTTGCCTGCGGTCTGTACCGCCGCCTGCGCTTCTTCCGCACTCGCTCGGGTGAATGAACTGCGTGCGAGCGGGACAAAACACCCCAACCAATGCCATGGTCGCGTTCTATCTCGGGAAGGTAATCTAGTACAAGTGTCAAATGATATTTATTTTTTAGTATTTATCGTTTCCCCCCCGAGGTCGCGAAAGTCTTGTTACAATTTAAAACTAGATAAGCGGATATACCTTCTGCATATTTCTTAAAATACAGAGATTGCAGCTACAAAAAAATGACCGTAACTATTATTATAAGTGAACTAGTCATATTTTGGCATTAATTATTCTCCGTTTTATATCACTTTCGCGTACAAATAGACCATACGTAACAAAATCTTAGTTTTTAAAATAAGCCAGAAAGAAGTAACGACACGTTTATGTCTGTATTGCGGTATATCTATACCAAAAAATATTGGTTAAGTTTAATATTAGATAATATGTACTAATATAGATCCATATATATCTATAGGCATGATTATTTATTTAAAAAAAACGTATATTTTATATGTTCAAAAGGTACATGTTAACTAATACGACTTTAGGTGCAAGAAAAACGATTTTGAAATCTTAAACAAGACTGAAACATTGACAATGAATACTTTGAAGTAAAAAATCTGCTTCGGTGATGATTTAACAACTTTGATACGTCCTCGTCTATTCTGAGATGTTATTTCGATTTGGTTGACGTCATTTTTGCACTTAGAAACTAGATTCTAAGTTGTAAGTTCGACGGTCTCGTTGGTCTAAAGGTAGCAATGTAATTCTAATAATAATCACCGGGTCTAACATAATATGAAGTGTTCCTAATTAATTTATAATTTTTCTGTAAAATTTTTGCCTGATATTGTTATAAAAAATGCTATTTTGGACTGGGATATGTCGAAACAAAAATCTCCTGAATGTTTAATAAAGACATTTTGTTGTCTTGAAGGTGGTTAGTATATCGTATATGAATTTGCTTTAAAGTGTATCTCTGTGATACGAAAAATAACATTTTTTTTCGTGTAATTTGCGTATACGTACAGTATACCAACAGACTGGTGTGGAAACTAAGTTTTATTGACAAAACAAAATAATATTTCTCTTTCTTGGTTCAGTAAAACTGTTAATGTATTTCTTAGTAATTTTAAGGAATAAAGCTGAACCTGAAATAAACTTACATTTTCGTATCATCATTTACAGTCGTATTTATTAATAAAAATCATTTTAATATCGAAAAAGAAAAGGAATGTAATCAGACCAATAATGAGACATTTTTGTCCTACTTTTGGGACTAAAATGGGCTAGGGCTTCCTTATAGCAGTTAGGCCTCAATCAATCAATGAAATAGCCAATTGCGCGTAACTAGTTAAACACAAACATACAGAAATAGATTTATGTTTTTTCACAATGTTGTACTATAAACTGTCGAAATTTTCAATATGTTTATTCAAACCTTGTGTTGTTCTGTATTTCATTGAATATAGAAAATGGGCTTTGACGCGGTATGTCTCAACAATCGGATGATTCGGTGCTATCAGCATACATCAAACACAAAAGCTTTACAGTTAAGATAACTGTAATCTGTAACGAGAAAAAAAACATTTATTATGTAACGTCAGTCGCTTTAATCGCAGCCTGGATCACAGATTTGCTTACCTGGCACCCTTAACTTTTTTGCTACAAAGGGGTGGCTATTATAATGTTGGCATAAAAAAGGCCATAACGGTTCTCCATCCAAGAACACATTGCGACATGGAACACAATGACAATAAAACTGTTAGGTTTCCTGTGATAGTGATCTATGATTTTTGCTCACTATGTGGAGGTACTTCGCGATTTTCAATTGAAAGAAATATCAAATGAAATAAAGACGTAAATTATAACGACAAGCCTAAACCACCGTCTTCTGTATTGCTACTGTAAAATGCATAACATTTTATTTAAGACGCGGTTTTGTTGTTGTACTTGTCCTCTTACTTGTCTGTAAAGTAAATTAATGTAACGTACATATGATATCTGATCCATAGAAACCACTTTTCCAAAAGACTAGGCTAAAAATAATAAGATTTTTATGCATTACACGATGACAAATAATTCTATAATACAATTGTCATTGTCATAAATTAGTTAAGCTTACGAAATCCATTGTTAAAAGCACCAGTACCCGCACGAAATTTTAATATATTCACCGGATCACTTGTTTTGCGAGAGAAAGAGAGTGGAAGACAATGAGATTTTATTGGGCAGTAGCTAAAACTGTAACTGTTAAAGGGCTGTTGACTTTCTTCGGTAACTGACCAACATTATTAAAAAGGGTTTAGTTGTAAATTACGTGGGTACTGATTTACGGTAGCTTAAATATTTAATAGGCTTATATTGGTGTTAACTGCGAGTGATCTTAGAAATACTAATCTACAAAGAATTAAAAGAAATCGATTAATCGAATTAAAACACTAACCAAATATTTTTAATAATAATTATATTACCGTTTTCTTTTCGTAGAGAATTCGAGCCGGATATATTTCTATGTCCGTTTTCCTGGAATTAGAAACCAGGAAATCTTGGCAATTCGATTGTTCATTGAGCTACAGAAGTGAGTACTTAAGTAGGTATTGGTTGAGCACATTTAACTTATATGAATTTATAGAAAAAGTATTTTTCAAAACATGATTATTGGTTGTTCGTTTTTTGTCTTTGTAATAAATACATTGTTTATGTCGCTAATATTTATTATACTACAGGAATGTATGTTGTATCTATGTGTAAATTTGAGTTAGATGCTTCTAAAATAGTTCTCGTGGTTGTATCACTAGGTACGTATTAGAATCTTTAATAGATGCTAGGAGCATAGTTATTAGACAAAAAAGAAGTGCCCAAACAAGTGGAGGCTTCGGCAGGACTGGGGAGCAACGGCCGTGGCCTTGAATCTAGAACCGACCGCGCCACCTCGCTCCGGCATACCTCCAAATTATCCAATATTTTTTGCGACACCCACATTATTAACACTTAGAAGCTGGAATTATAGACCAGTCGTGTTATGTACAAGCCAGCGCCCTTGGGTTGAGTTAATCTACGAATCGTTACATGATGTTAGGTATTTTAAAATATTTTTGTCTTTATAAAGGAAAAAGTTTCGTTTCTCAACGCTATTTTTTTGTTATTAATTTGGGAATTTTTAGGTATATTTTTGTTAAATTGATAAAAAGCTTTTGGTTAATTGTTAATAACATTTAAAGGTACTTAATAACGACTACTAACCTAATCTTGGCTAGCTTTAAATTAAAAAATGACCAAAATTTTTGTATTTAATTTAACGTGAGTGGCAATACAGTTTTAGCATATTACTGATGATAGTTCACCGCACTTTATAAACTATCTAGCATATGCCACTTTACATAATTTTACAACACCCCCTTAAAAAACAAACAAACAATTGTTAATGAAATAATTTCAATTCCCTCATTAATAATATCAAAATAACCACTCAAGCATCACGAGAACATAAAAAGCCGGCAAATTTAACCAAGTATATACTTTAGATGATGAACTATGATAGATTGTTGGCAGGAGATGATGTCATAACCAAAAGCGAGGCTGCACAAAAAGTGCCATTGTGTAGAGAATCTTGGGCTAGTCGTGCGTTGAACTCTTTCGATGGATGCCTCTAGCTTTGGCCGCTTGCCTCATCAATTATTTAAAATTTGAAACAGGGATACTGGCTTCATGTCTCTTTTTTATAGTGGAGTATCTAAACAAGATGCGCTGTCGTCCTTTTTTGGCTTTAGATATTCGGAATCTACAGACTGAAACCGAAACGCGGTTTAACTTGACGGGTTTTTCATCTGTGGATGACGGTACGATCTAGGTAATATAACAAATCAATATTCTCGTTCAATCCGTTGTTTTTTAATGTAGTAAACATTGAATCATTATTGCTTGTTTTATGTATTCAGTTACTCTTTATTCGTTCTTTACCAAGGAATTTATTTCGTGGTTTTTTTCCCTATTATGTTAGCACAGATAGTTTGTTTATAACTGACTTACAGACCTTAAAGCTATTTTTTTAACTTTATCTTATCTAACTATTGTTTTACCCATCCAATATTTTACCATATGCTATTCACTGATAAAGGAATAAGACACTTTACTTATTATTTACCAGAAGTAAAGCATTAAAAATGTTTGTGATTGGTTGTTAAGATAATGAGTATGTAGCCCGCATCCGTCTGTCGAGGTTTTTGACATTCGCAACGCGGGCTGTTTGCGAATTTTGTACAAGACTTTGTGAAATGAATGCTTGGTATAATGATACTATCAAAACTTTGCCAATAAAATACCTATTAACGGTTTCAAACACAAACTTCATTAGTTATAATTTTGTTAAGTATATGCATATCACACTAGGAGAGCTAATTCTTAATGAGTCTATATTCCAAACTAACGATAAATACTGAATATTGAAATTGTTTCTTACAAAAATTTAAAATGTTTTACTTATTAATAACTGACAAAAAAAAGATTTAACTTCAATGTACGTTGAAAATAACAATAAATATAGCAATCTAAATTATTCGAACAATTAAAGATCTGTTTGTAGTTTACGCGAATAGTACACATTTGAATAAAACACTTTAACGGTTTAAAACGCGATATATTTTAGTTAAACTTGTTTGATAATTGTTTCAACTGCGGCCCGACTACGACTGCTGCAGCACATCCGAAACGTCGGTCGTTATTTAAATAAAAGATCTTAGAAAAAGAATGTAATGAGCAAATCTTGGCGGCCTATTATATTTTTTTAAGATCACGTAGAGTTCTATAATTGTCTACAAAATTAGGCAAACTTTCTTTAACAAGTCCTTCGTTCGTTCGTTTTAGCAATGTATGCCTAATTAATGGGTTGTGGGTGTGTGATTCTTACTGGGTCCAACATTTTTTAAATCAATTTATAATTTTTCTGAAACATGGTGGTCTTCGTCTGGAAATCTCTGAATATTAAATAGGTAGAAATATATAAATATATATAGGTTCTGTTCCGGTCACAAAGTACCGTCCGCAGATGGCCGTCAAGTTTAAAAAGCCGTCAAGTTTAATAAAGCGTGTCGGGTTAAATCTTTGGATAGACACCTTGCTAAGATAGTATATGGCTGGCGTAAATACCTACCACCGAGTGATCACTATGTATCTTCCTCTATAATAAAAAAAATCGTGTTTTGTAATCGACTTAAAGATATGACATAAGCTCGTTCTTTCATAAGCACGTTTCGCAACGAGCTTTAGTACACGCCCTGAGTGCGCAAGGCGTGGAGTTCGATCACCCGTAGGTTAATAGAAAAAAACTCGTTTTATTTATGTATAAGTATTATCGATGTTTTGCTAGTTGAGATTCATATATACCCAGTGTGTCTTAGATTTATACACATAATTTATCTTGTGTTATTACATATTCAATATTGTGGGCAGATGTTAACTTCGTAAATTATTTTCTTACGCTTGAAATTAATGGTAGTTTGGCTAACAGTAAAACTACGCCTTTTGCGAAAAAAAAATTATAATTGAAACAATATTCGTCGGAAGGTTATTATTATTTGTTTTTGCAGACCTACTCATTGTTATAAATTATTGATGTTAACCCACGACGTCGGTTGCTTCCCGTCGTTCTTGCCTTTTTCAGATCATTAAAAGAGAAATCATTCTTTCATATATATTTTTTGGTTATCTTGAACCGTTTTGGCAGCGAATAAAACGGAAACCCTCAATGATGAGAGAAGAATGATTTTTCTCGATTAATCCACATTTTCCGCTGTTTCTTCGCTGTTATTGGTCTCAGCGTGATAGTTTAGCCTAAAGATTTCCTCGATAAATACTCTGAGCAGCGTGAAGTTCTTTTAGAATATTTATTCACATTTATTAAATAGCCGTAACGCAAGGTATGTAGCCGTTTAATTTATTCTTTTAAATCTTATTTAATATAACGTTATTAAGCAATCACACCTTTCATTCTAATAATGATTTTAGAAACTGATTAATATGACTGACATAATATGGAAAAAAAATAAACGTATTTTTCCTTACTTAGGATTTGATATTACGATTACTATGTGTGATCCTGTTTGAACTACATTACATAAGGCGTGATACGCAAGCAGACCTATTTTTTTATAATAGAGTAAAAACCCGATGGGCATGATTTTGGATACCATTAGAAATTCTAAATTTAATTGTTCCAAATACGTCAGACAAACGAAGTGTCGTCCATAGCATCCAAATTTACGATTCGATCGTAGACAGGTAAACCGTGTTTCGTTTTCAGTCCAAGGGTTACCACACGTCCACTAGGTTGGCAGCGCTACCTAATTGGATGCCCATCGCCGAAAATATCGAGTCAACTTCACGGTTGTCTATTCACCCGACAAACAAGGACGTGTTAGGTTCTGAAGTTCGGTTAAGTTTCGAAGTTAATTCCGTGTTACTTTCTATAGATTATGAGGTTATGATATTTATATTGAAAAACATTGTGACGGGGTATCGCCTAGTTTTCTATGTTGGAGCGCAAAGCGAAGTGCGTCGAGTCAAGGTAAGTGTGCCAACGGCCTGGTGTGACCCACTGTGGCTCCCCACCCTGCGTTCTGCACTCGCGAAAGTTCAATGAACCTATAGCAGATATCTTACAAGACTGTTACATTACCGGAAGGTTGTTGCAATCGACTATATACTTATACTTGCTTGTAAGCGCCACAGCCGGCGTTCGCGCTCTTAAAGTATTCGGACTTTATGTCACATATTGAGTTCTACAGTTGTCCTTTTAATATAGCTTATTATCAATTTTCTTTAGGGCTTTGTAATAAGAACCAGGAAGGGAAAAGAACGGTTATGAAAGATTTGCTTAGATCCAATAAAAGCTGAAATGAGATTTTTATTTTTACGTAAAAACTTTAGTTTAGCTCAAATTAATCAAATTATTTTAAAATCTAAAATAAATTGAAAAAAAATTCCACTCGGTCAGTACTTGAACCGGCATCGTGAGCGTTACGTGCTGTTGCTCTTCTATCAATTTATTTTCGATTTTTAAATTATATAGTGCCACCATGTGAAAAATATTACAGTTTTCAAATACTAAACATTGGTATGTCCTAACTATTTTCATATATAGTAGTACAAGACAATATAACCCATATAGGCGTTCTTTAGAACCACCAGGAAAAGTCTTTTATACGCGGAAAAACATATAGGTTGCGCAGGATTACGAATCGCTGCAGGTATTTTACATTTTCCTCTGCCGTACCAGATGAGTCAGGCTAAAGTCAGGCTAAAGGAAAGGTGCCGAAGCGGTTTGGTATTATGTTAATTTAGATTATTATGTCAGAGCGAGCGTTACGTGAATCATGTCGTCTTTTCCGCCCGCCCCCGTCCCGCCCTCGCCCGCGCCGCAACAAATGCACGCATTTACTTACACCGTTATTACTTTCTACGAACAAACGCATTGGGTTTTTGGTATTCGCAGCCGTTTAGTAGTAGTATGAATGCTCTAAATTAAATACGAAGAATTCTACTGTAGTAATCTTTTATACACAGTGTGAGATAGGTACAATTCTGTCTCTATTTGATTTATCTGTTTAACCTACATTTCAGACTTCCATGATCTAATTAACTTAAGTCATATTTAAACAGGGCTCGATCCTAGGACTTTACGCTTTAATAAATATTGAATGTATTGTACTACTCAATCGAATAATAAACAATATAATATATTTACAACAATATTTTGTTCCCCGACTTTAAAAAAGTTAGAAAAAAAAAGTTGTATGTAGAATCTTTCAATATACAGCTATAGCTGTTGCCTATTGTCATTAAGCTAATTAATACGATTCCAATAAAAAATAATAATCATACGTTATTATGAAATTAAAATAATAATATACTTTCAGTATGGTGTATATAAAACAGTATGCTAAAATATTCTCGAACGTTCCAAAAGTTAACTTTTTGGAACGGGC